CGGGCTCAGCTGTCTCAGCAGGTCTCGGCTCCCCTCCTTTTCCGACCTGAGATCTTGCGCAAGACCAGATACTACCACGGACGCACAACGAAAAGAGGAGCCAGCATGTGCCAGTACTCGTTCGTCCACTACCACCACCAGCTCCCCTGCACGCACCCGGCCAGCCTCGTCCCCCGATACTCGTACTGCGCCGCCGCGGCCATCAACCCGGCCACGAACCAATACTCGCCCTGTGCGGCCACCACCGTGTTCGCGTCGCCAGAGACCACGGGCGAGGATCCCTGCGCGCGGGGCAACTGCCTCATCTCGCCGGCCTGCAGCTCGGGAACGTGCCGCCTGCAGGATCTCAATGGGCGATGGGTCTGCTGCAAGTGCAAGCGCGGGGGGAACGTGTACCGGTCGTGCCATCACCGGAAGAAGGGGTGTCCAGATACCTTTTGCTATCACGACATTTGCGAGAAGTGCACTCCTGATGTGTAGTCGTTCTTGATCTTTCGTCTCCCCAGAGTGTTGTCTCTCTGTGGTCTGTATGATTTCATGAGGAAGAGGTGGGAGATGGGATCCTGTGGAAACCAGGGGGGGCCTTATGCATGCAGCAAGCAAGCCGCCACCAAAGGGCCCAAAGTTGGGGGCGAAAAGGACAAAGCCTAGCAATGTCTCAGTTGAGAACGCCACATGCATTGCCAAGAACAAACACCAGCCAGCCATGGCCAGGGTGCTCAGATCTGTGACGTGATGGGGAGGTATGTCCGGTCAGTGGTCCTTTACATATCGTGTCTGCTTGGTTTCCCTGGATCATGCTGGGGTGGAAGATTTGTATGAGTAGGTGTTGGATTATGGAGAGGCTTTCTTTGTATCTGGCGGGCAATCTGTTTGTGTTTTTTGCCTTTTACCTCTGCATACTTATTACAATGTCTCAGTTCATCGTCTTCTGCTTTGCTCGGTCTTCGCTGTGGTTTATCTATATCGATCTAGGATTATCATCACGGACAAAGCCATGGCTGCTTTTACACAGATTGCTCGTGATACACCCCATGGCAAGAGCAGTTCGATCCAACTCAAGCCATATCACCCCAGCTATCGGCATCCCAGCCGTCACATCCATAAAAAGAAAAAAAAAGCAAACCTCACCTGAGCAATATCCACCCACCATCTCTATCCCCCCCTGTCCCTCCAACCCATCCACTCGAAGCCATTCCCACACCTCCCAGTCACTGAAAATCTCATACCACTACCTCGGTATGTCATATTACCATCACGGGGTATGGAGTAAGAATAGGGACAACTACAGAACATAAGAAACAAGAGAACGAATTCCCATGCCCCGTACGCCCACCCCTCCATGAACCCACGAGCCGGGTTTTAAGGTCCCCTCTCCCCCCCTCCTTTTATCCAAGTTGACAGCTTCAGCCGGACGCCACATTTTACATTTTTATCCCCTCCCTTTTTTTCTTCACAAAATATTGGATGAGGAATAAGATGCCGTCCATGATGTATTATGTGAATCTGGCGAGATTAGCATTCTCAAGTGCGATGGGGTGAAATGTGTATATCACAAGCTAGAGCGGAAGTTAAGAGCAAGCACTCGGTGAGCAGAGAGGCATTGTTATTCTCACATGCCGCCAACGAAGCAATTTCAATCGAAACATGGGAACAAACCACCTGCTTCTATTCAATCATCTCAATATATGACCCCAGTCTTGCCCAGAAGCCATATTTACATGGCCAGATAGTCAGATCTCTATTACCCTTTCGGTCGGTATCCATCATTTCTCACTTTCACATGCCTCCTTCTCATCATTCAAGCATGGCAGTCCCCCCTTTTTCTTTGTTTCTCGGTGACTTTCTTCTGCCTCATTGGCCGCCACATACTGCCTTGTTCCCTTTTCCTCCTCATCTTCGTCTCGCATCACGTTATACGATTTGCTGCATGTATCTCTCCCCTTGCTTCCACTCTCATATTCTTCTCTGGTCACCGGACAGAAGTAGCCTGACCTCTTCTGATAGTAGGCACCTCATACCAAAGTAAATGGGCCATCATAAGCGAGCCTCTCACATCCCAAGTCTCTTCCTCCTTTCCCCTCAATTTCACATTCACATGTCATATGACAAAGGTCCCCATCGCCATAAAAAGCTACTCTTGCCATGAAAAAGACACTTTCCCATCCCAAAAATAACCCCAGAAGCAAACAAGCATATGTTCCCACCGTTGCCTGATTAGTGTACCTTTCCCGTTTATATAAGCCTCCCCCTAAAGGAGAGAGAGGAAGTAACATGCACATTCACATCCAGAATCCACTTGCTCAGTCGGTCAAAACAACCGAACAACCACGTTTTTTCCAGCTCCTCGCTTCTCACTTCTCACATCCTTCTACCTCCCCTCTCGGCCAAACCCCACGTTTTTCTATCTCATTAACACACTGAGATCATAGACAAAATTGAACCAATATTCTGTCAAAGACCGGGGGGCTTGGTTCAACTTGACAGCAAGCGAAGCGGGTCGATGTCTCGTTTCTATTTCAAGAAGAACCCCTAACAAACCCGAATGAAGAAAAACCACAAGCAAATGAAAGAGAGAGATAGAAGTGTCATCTTGACTTTTTTTTGTCCGGGGTTTGCTACGCGAGGAGGCGGCGCTCGGTGAAATACGTCCGTCGTGCGTGTGAAAGTGTGAAAGTATAGAGTGTCATCCGTCATCGTCATAAGTCAGATATTCAAGTCATAAGTCGGTAGATTGCAATGAGTAAAAGTCTATAAATGCCATGGGGGAGAATCCGAGAATGGACACCTCTCTCTCCGTGACAAGCAGACAAGAATTAGCGTATACTCACTGTCAAAGAGAGCTCCAACCATCGTCCACCTTCATCTTCCTCTCGCCTGATCCCCAGCAGCTCCTCGCCACAAGCATCGAGCCATCCAGCCATCTTCCATCCAGCATAGAACAGATCTTCGGCAACCTCATCCCATCAACGCTCTCAATCTTCCGACACCAGACCCCAGCCAAGGATGTGCCAGCTCCTGATATACGACCTTATCTGCTGCCACTCCTCCCAGAAGTGGTCCTACTGCGCAGACTCCCAGAGCAGCGGCCGCATCCCCTGCAAGGCCCATACCTCCCGCGTCGTCTCCTACCCGACCCCGGCCGCCTTCGAGCCCGCCCCCAACTGCCACCGGCCCGAGTGCCACTTCCACAGGCTCGACGGCGTCTGGAACTGCTGCTGGTGCGGCAAGACGCACAACACCACCGGCCGGTGCAGCGGTGCCATGGTGTACTATGAGTACACGACGTGCGATCACATCTGCTGTCCGTTTTGCGAGAGAGGCGGTCAGGGGTTATAGGGGGCGGGTTGGTGACGAATGTGGTGAGGATGGACGGGAGTTGGTACAAATATACCAGTAGACAGAGTCTTGATCCAATTCGAATCGACTCTCATTAATAGCGATAGTCATATTGACTGAATTGGCATCTTCCACTTGGCGTTTTCATCACTATCAATACCCTTGTCGTGAAATTGTCAACATTAACACGTCCTCTGCAACGGCGAGTCAAGCATCGTCGAACAGAATCCAGTACCAGCACATGAATGACATACCTGAATCACAGAATGACTCGTCAGGGGACATTCGTTGAGATTCACGTCAGCAGATACAACCCATACATGTTTCCTTGTTCATTGCAGCTTCTCAGCTGGCACCATTCAGACCACATAAGCCCCGTGTCGCGTAGATCAAGCTTATGCATTGAATGCAGTGAGACATTGCGATCTCGAGATCGGGGCCACGGCAGTCCACCTGTCAAATCTGTCATGTAAATCACCTGGAGCCCCAACAATCTCGGAAATGCGCATCATACTCTGTGGAATTTGTGGACCAACCTGGGGGGACGGGCTGCGCTCAAAGCAATAGTCGCAAACCTCTTCGGCGGTCCTGTGTCCATACCATGTAGTATCGTACTGACTCGAGGAGCAACTTCGTTCTGTGCTCTGAGACGAAAGAGACGGTGGCGTCCCGAGATCCAGAGATTCGGGACGGGAATCTCCCCGTTTGCGACACATGACCGGGGAGATTTTCTCCTGCGGCTGGGCAAAGTCGTACAGGCGTAACGTGACTTGACCTTGGACAAGCAAAATCAGAGTCTTGGTACGGGATACCCTTGATTTTCACTTCTTGCCCACTTATACTCACTCCAGCCGAAGGAGTGCGGCAAGCAAATCTCCATCTTTATCTGAATTCATCGACGACTCGTGAGGATACCGGCAAGCTTTCGACAGACGAACCGCTCTCTTCAGCAGACAGCTCAAAGGTGTAGCAGGTTCGTACAGAGGATTTGCCACTGAATCGGTCGTCAAGAGTTCATCTTGCCATTGTCACACGCAGTTCGAGTTGAGAACCCCACAGCAGTCCGAAACATTGGGTCGAGGCAATCTCGAATTATATTCCAAGCTTATCCGGAAACCGGGATCCCGAGGCTTGGAGCCAGATCTCGCCGCCTTGAATCTTGCATATGCCTGCAAGCAATGGTGTCACACATGCAGATTGGTTTCACCGATGGCGCAGTCTACTCATGCTGGATTACTCGTCCAGATCGTGAGGCTCGTATCCGCAAACAGGCACTACCCCTGATGGTGAGATGATTGTGGCCTCAAATTCGTCCGGAAGGACGAGCAGACGCCGCAGCAGACGAGTGGGAGGACAGAGAGCACATCCAGGACCGACATGATTGCAATGTGATGCCTGCACTGCCTTACACCGCAGTAATATCGATCCCGAAGTGCTGATCCCGGTGCGGAGATCGTATGATGAGCACAAGCAGTCGAGAGCACCTCAGATGCTCTATAAAAGAGACTCTTTCTGCTTCAACAGGAGACCATGCATCAGATTTGCCTCGCTCTCCCCCTTGTCAGTTCGTCCTGCTTGCTCTTCTCTGTGCCAAGACCAACTCCTTTTCATTCACATTTACCAGCTTCCCCTTGAGAAGCCAAGTGTCGGCTCCCCTCAACATGTGTCACGGACATCCTCGATACCACTCGTGCGCGCACACGTCGCTCGTCTGGTACTACTGCCCCTCGGCGCACATTGACCTGGAGACGGGCTTCGAGACGCCCTGCCGCAATGTCTCGTTTGCACCAGCCCAGTCCAGCGCGCTGTCGTGCCCGCTAAAGAACTGTCAGTTTGTCGACAAGGGCGGCAGCTGGATATGCTGCAAGTGCAATCAGGGGCCCAACACGCAAGGCTGGTGTTCCGCTCCCATAGCCAACGTCTCGGACGACTTGGACTCGCTGCGATTAGACGATGAGCAGAGAACTTGCGACCACGGATGCTGTGATGAGTGCAGGAGATTCGGTACGTGGGCATTCGGTGCCGTTGGATCTGATCGAAAGTTGACTGACATTCCCTTGCATCACAGGGCCGAGCCGTAGTCCCTCTCCCGAGAAGCGGGTTGTGGAGTCTCGCAAGGGGCGTTCACGCAAGTTCGGGTATGGGACGTCGTCCAGATCTCACCGGTGCGAGTCGCCATATGCCCTGATGAAGGGCCTATCACTTGATAAAGGCTCCGAGTCTGGCAGCACGGCAGCCTCTTCATCGTCAAGCAGTTCATACGACTATCGGTCGAAGAAATCCAAGCCGTCCAAGAAGAGCCACAAGTCAAAGTCCCGGGGCTGAGGGCTGCAGACGAATGTATTTTGCCCGTACATGGCGGTGTTAGTGGCCAAGGCCTCTGTGTACTTGTAATGTGTATCAGTCAACAACCAGGGAGGTTCGTGTGTCAAAGTTCTCTTTTTATCAAGGGTTGGTATAAGTCATTTTTGTGTGTCTCGGCCGGGTTCGAGATCGCACTCTGTGTGTAACTGCGTTACCTAGTCTTCTGAATGAACTGCGCCAAGCATGGCTGTACTCGATGACTGATAAGTGGACAAAGGGTGGCCACTTCCTGGCAGATGTACATGCTGGGTGGAAACTGTACGATACAGCATTGTGAAGATACAGTACGTCAGCGATTGCTACAAGAGGTAGACGGTAAGCATGAGCCCTGCCGTGGCGCATTTTGGCCCGAGTGGGTTGTCCGTTGGGTGTCCCAATGGATTTCAGCAGCATTCTCAAAGAACATCCCAACTGCTGAAGTAGGAACCTTTTCCGAGGGCTTGCAATGATTCGAGTCGCGATGTCCGGCTGTGGTCAGGCGATGTGTTGCAGACTCCGATCCTCTGCAGATCCAACGCAAAGCAACCACACCACGAACCGGTCCCGCACATGGACGAACAGCCTTTGGAGGGTGGAGGTGGGAGGAGCCGTCTCATGATGTCGCGGTGACATGGAGCTAGGAAAACACCAAACGACCAGGTGGGTGATGGCGCCAGCATGTTTATGCGTGCTAGCAGTAGCGCTGAGCCGATCTCAATGGAAGCTTCGTCGCCAGCCACGGCAGAACGATACCTAGTCTTAGTACTTGTACGATACTCGGGCTTCTCATCAGAGACATGAAATGCCCACGCGACAGAGGTCCTGTCCGGCAGTGGCCTGTGGGCCAGTCAGCACACGTCGCCCTCGTCATCCCACGCCCGAACCATCCGTCAACTGCTGTCAACAAGCCAAAAGCAAAGAGAGTAAGAAAGCATCGGCCAAGCTCAAGCCTCCCCTGGCCGAGCCACGTGCAATGGCGCAGGGATCGCTTCCCTTTTGGCCGCTGGTGCGGAATGCAAAAATGCCCTGCGCGAGAGAAGGGGTCTGTCGTGCCGTGTCGGTCCAGCTGCTGTGGCGCGCTGATTGGCTCGGCGACGGCGCTTTGGGCTGAAGAGTGAGGCCCGACACAGGGCAGGGAGGCAGGGAAAACGTGGCATGGACATGGATGATGGGCGAGATGCTGCGTGTTGTTTGCAGTGGTTTGCCGTGTCGTGTTGCGTTGATTTGCGCTGCGTCGAGGTGCGGGCAAGGGAGCGAGCGGGTGGGCGAGTCTCGATGATGCGACGGCGATGGGCTGCGCGTGTAGGGCCATACATATGCGCGGCGATGGAATAAGGATGCCGTCGTCGGTGAGTACCGTTCCATCATCAATAAGTATATGTATCGTAGAAGCTGGTTCGAGAAGCTATCAAATCCCATGATACCTCAGCGAAGCAAGGAAGGCGGAGAGTCGAAGCTGTGAGAAATCAAAGTGGTGGTCGGGCCATGCGGCTGGCACATGGCAGCTCCTTCCATGTTCCTGTCAGGCCTTGGGGGCGTTCGTTTAGGGGACATGACAGGCAGGTACCCGCTAACAAGCCCCCGGAAGAGGGACGACGGCTGATGGAAGACACGGGAGCGCAGCAGTGCGACCGACGACAAGATGCAGATCCAGCGGCTGTGAGATTGTGACATGGGCGATTTTGGTTCTTGAGTGAGTGAATATGCTTGTACGAGTACGAGTATGCAGGCATTTGCGAAGTGCAATGTGACCGACTGCAGTCATGACTCGTCCATGTAAGAAAGCTGTTGGTTATCATGACCAGACCATGGAAGGATGCCTGGACATACAGGCAGATAATGACATGAGAGGCAGACAAATGGATGAAAACAAGGTCGGTCAACGGTATGCGGATATCATGAAGATGACTCGCAATCTCAAAACATCCATCCACGCACAAAAGATCCATGCCTAGGTACTCACCTTCATCGTTCGTATGCTGTCCTCCGCCCCAGCTCGAGCAACCAGGGGCAGTTCGGTTACACGTGCATGCAGTCTGTCAAGTCGCAAGCAGTGATGAACCACACAAGCAATGCCTGTCACTTCAATCTCAATCCACGTTTCCATCCATCAGTGAAGCAGCGGCTAGAAGCAACAACCAGGTAGTGTCACGTATTTTAGATTGTCCTCACCTGCAGTCAACCACATGTCAGCCATGCTCGGAGGAATGAAGCCGTCAGGGTCCCCGGTTTGCGCGGTACTTGCGCCTCGTGTACCCCGCCGTCACCCGCTGCAGCTCCAGCACCCTCCCAGCGTCTCCAGCAGCCATCAGCGTCCAGAACGTCCCCTCCAGGTCCCCCCCAGGCCACTAACCCACGCCCCCTAGCCGCCTTACCACCGCTGGTGCCTTTCCTACTCCGTCCCACTAACGAACCTGGTGCTACTGCATCTCCATCTGGCTCCACCATCGTCTCGCCCATCATCTCCCATCCCATCCCTCGCCTCTTTTCCCTCTCGCTCCTCCGCCCTAATTACTATCCTCTTTGTTATTGCCATCTTGACCCTATCCTTCATACGCGCTTCGATAGACAGATTCTGCTTGTTTCTACTCGCCTCTCTGCAGTCATCAATTCTAGAAACGCCGCGACCCAATTTGCCCTGCTCCAATCCGAAATCTTTCCCCCCTGATCCCGACCTCAAATCAAATCTCAAATCCCGGCTTTGACTCGCCCACCACCATCGCCAGCAGTCCAGACACGCAAAAAATCTCCATTAATTGTTTCTCCTCCGTCGCCTCCACCCCCCAGCCAATCCCAACCCGGTCCAACCTGACACCAGACTTGCGACAACCGCCCAGCCGCCAGCCAGCACAGCATTAGCATTGATCTCGGCTTCTCCCCCCCTTGCCAATCACGCTCGACTTACTCGCTCCCTTTCTTTGCTCTCGCCCACTGGCCTTTTCCTTCCCACTCCCTCACACTCTGCTCAAACTTCGTCATCTGCCTTGGAACTGGAGAAAGAAAGCGGAGCCGCGACCTCGTGCTAAGTCGCCGATTAATACCTAAGCTCAGTGCTATTCGTCTAGGACAGAAACCCCTGCTTTCACGGGTTTCACATTCCCACCTGCTCTCGGCTCTTCTCCTCTCTTAAAAGCCATCAGCCCTCCGGCAAACACACACATCACCACTATGCCCGTTTCTATGGAATCTTCTCGCCCAATCATGGCTCCTTCGGTACGTCTGCCCTTCCATTCTTCCGCTTGAGTCCCCCCATTCACGGCCGTTTTCTGCGCTATATGGAGAGGTGTCAGATTAGCTGCTCTCCCCCCGTCTGTCCCACGCGCAGAACTTGGGTTCCCCAAGCACAGCATCTATTCACAAACATCGCCTCTTTACTTTCTTCCTTATATACTGTGAATAAAACCCGAGCTAACCAAGCCCCCCTTCAGGCTCGCACCTCCTACCGCTTCAGCACCTACAGCATGGCCGCGCCCTCGGTCGCCATGTCTGTCCAAACCAACGACTCGCAGCACGCCGAGATCCGCGAGATCGCCACCGGCCTGGACCGCATGGAGAACAAGGCCCTGACCTCGCAGCGCGTCACCCTGTCTGAGGAGAAGTACGAGAAGATGAGCAAGCTGGCCCTCGGCGCCAAGCTGGAGCGCGCCCTCGACAGGCGCATGAGCGGCCAGGACGCCGTCATGCGACCCCGGAGGAAGACGACGTCTGCGGTCGAGAAGAGCTTCAGCGAGAAGGCGCAGTAGACGCGGCTTCCTGGATCAACTTGGATTTTGAGATGCTCGGTGCTTCTCTGTCTGACACGCGCGATTTCACCTTTTGCCTCGGTGTCTTTGGGAAGAAGCGGTCTTTCGGATACAATCTTGCGGACGAAAAAACTTCACATTGGACTATCAACAGCAACTCGCCTTCTGTTGCCACGGGGAAAGCAGAGGTATTCTTTACCTCGTACGTCTTCCATGAGCAACTGCGGGACGAAGAAGACCAGTCCACAACGACAACCATCCACCCTCGATACGCTCATGCCCTCAGATGAACGAGGCAAATCCGACTCTATCTCACATATACCCCCCCTTGCGTCAACACGATCTCGGTCTCACCTCATAGCTTGTTTTGTGTCTCTCTTGTCTCATTATGCGGAAAGGAACGGAAAGGGCTCATGGCAGTTGAGGGCAGTGGACTGAAAGAGGCACGGCGTCCATTCAGATCTTACGAAAAAAAAAGAACCACATAAGATACCACACATATAGTCATTGGAGGGCTCTATCTTTTCAACTCCTGTACTGCCGCCGGTCGTGCTATTTGGTCTTTTCTCCCTCGGAAGCTATACTGGTCTCCCCCTGTTCGATATCATGCGATGTGTTTTTTGGTCTCTGCCGGCAAAGAAACGTCATGTGTAATGGAATTCATTGTCTTGCTTTTTTTCCCTTGTTCTTTTTCTATACATAGCGCTAGAAAGAAACTGCATTGTCCTTTTCCTCTTCTCTCTACGGAAAGAAACTGCATTGTCCTTTGTCCCCTTTTGATCTACCATGTGTTCGCCCTCTTCAAACCGCACCTTTCCAAACAATCATCTTACCCAGTCATGTAAGTTAAGAAAATCGTGGCGTGTCCGTCCTCATGCAAGGGAGAACAGTTTACATCGATCGGACAGCGTTCCCCTCGATGATTGGTTACACCTTCATCTCATCTCAATCTCATTTTACGGAGTAGTAGTACTAGTATTTCCCACCACTTGGCAAAGAACCAACGCCACGTTCAGGGCACCGCGCCGCACAGTCCTGTCAAGTCTATTCTGTGGAGCCATGTCTCAGTTGGAGGTGATTGCTTCGGATAGTATACCTTACAAATCCTCCGCATAAAAGAAGAAACGAAACATGACGTATCGTCGTCCTCGTCCACAAACAGAACCAACAGAAACAGTGCGTGACACAAGTCTCCGAGCACAGATGTCCATTCACCCTCTAGTGATTCTCACTAAACGTGCCAAAATCAGAAAAACAACAGACTCGAATAAACTCCCAACGCCATCCATCTTGCCCATCCCTTGTGCTCCAAAGTCACACGTCCAACAGACATCATACATCGTACATCCACACCCCCCTTTCCACCTCCCGTCGTTCCCACTTCACTCGGCGTTCACAACATCAGGGTTCTCTTCAGAAGAGCGCGCACTCTGCGCCTTTGCCTTGCGCCCCCGCCCCTTGTTCCTCTTCTTCTTCTTCTTCGTCTTATCTCCCACCGAGGCCTTGACGCTGCCGCAGCCGCTCTACGCCCGCGCCTTGTCAATCCTCTCCTCGATATCCTTGAGCAGCGACACCAGATCCGCCTCCTCGCCCTCCATCTCCAGCGCCCTCTTCACCCACTCCCGCGCCTCGTCCAGCCTCCCCATCTCCGTCAGGCACCGGCCCCTCCGCCACCACCCCTTGGCATTGCCCACCCTCCTCGCCTCCACGCTGGCCTCGGCGTCGACCGCGCCCTCGGGCCAGTTCCCCATGGCCATGTGCGACTGCGCCCGGTTAGCGTACAGCATCGACACCTCCTCGCGCACCAGCGCCGCCGGCTCCCACAGCGGCCGCTGCAGCGCCATCTCGATGCCCTGCGTGTACAGCTTCACCGCCTCCTCGTACTTTTGCCGGCGGTACTCCGTGTTGCCGCTGTCCCGCAGCTTGGACACGTTGGCCGTGCGCTTCGGGTTCACGGGGATCGGCGGCGGCGGCACCAGCGGGATCGCGCCGGGCGGCACCTCGATGTTGAGGATGGCGCGGTGCAGCGCGTTGAGCTTCTCCAGCTCCGCGGCGAGGGCGCGCGACGGGCGGCTGCCCGAGGGGAGGATCGCTTTGGACTGCGGGTCCATGTGGATGGGGAGCATGGAGAAGTGGTCGAGGTCCGACATGGTTGCGGTGGTTGGTTCTTTCTGGTGGTTCGTGGCGATGGTGTTTGATGGTCTGGAGCGGCTTTGGTTGTGTGTAAAATGTGTAACGATGGACAGTATCTCTAGAAGAAAGAAAGCCCAATATGTTGTCTATAGCTTGCGCTGACCGAAAAGAAACTGCTGGGTGGTGAAATGGTGCTCGTAGAAAAAGAAGTTTGCTTGAGTAAACCAAATGTTCAAGTTAGCTGTCATCAAATGTCAGTGAGGACACCTCTCACTGGCGCCAGAAGTTGACGCTTATCTTATCAACACCTGACTGTGGGGGTGCTCCCGGCGGGCGCTAGACTAACTCTTGGCCTGTGTCAACTTTGATCTACAGCTACCTACTCACCTTACCCTGAATTGATTTGCAATGTCAGAATGTTACGAGTAATAGAGCTCAAAGTGCTTGATGTCATTGATTTGAAAATGAGATTTACCATCGTAAAGGCTGAAGCTTGGATGGGGCGGTAGAGAGTGAACCAGGAGAGCGACCTGTATGGGGGAACTTGACGTCAAAGACCGGAGTCCACAGACATGTGATGGACCGAATTCACAGCAGCTATATCAAGACAAACTACAGCAGCATCAATACAGTGACTGAACTGATATCCACGCACATTACATTTTCAATCAGCATGGAAAGATGACCAGTCGTGAATTGTTCAAAGCATTTATCATTCCGTCTACTCCTAGTGTTGTGCAATGCTAGACACCTCTTTTGCTCAGAGAAAGGGTATGATCATCACTGCCCATCCTCTCCCACGTCCCCCAATTCCTGTCGCCGACTCACTTTTTGCCCCCAAATAAGCCGCGAATAGCGTCCTTGAGCGGTGTCAGGCCATCGCGAGGCGCAGACGGAAAGAAGAAACAACTTTTATCCTCCAACTCGGTTCCACACTCCAATTCCCATGCGCGGCAGAACAAAGGCAAAAAGAACCACATTACAACGTCGCGTCCAGTCCATCCCGCTGTCACCCTCACGAAACGTCCGATACCCGAGAAGACCGCTTTCTGTTTTCGTGCTGATTGTTGGGGTTTCCTGTTGCTTTATTTTTTCTGTGGGATGGGCCATCAAGTTCCGACTGACAAGGAGAATTTTTGATCAAGGAAATAATTTGGAGAAGAAAGTTTTCCGTCCGCGCCCCAAAAAGCCCGCCGCCCTCGCCATCACTCAGCAAATCAAGTGTAATTCCTTTGTGAACCGCCGCGCCAATCTAATGAAACGCACGAGAAAAAGACAATGCGAAGTACCAAGGCGTCCCCCGCGGGGAGCCGAGGAATGGCCAGCTTAGTAGCCATAAGCCGCGAGGGCCTTCGCCGTCTCCTCCTTGACAGAGGCGTTCTTCTTCGCGTCGGTCAGTTGTCGTGCAGCAACCTTCTTGCGCTCGTAGTAGGCAGCGCCCTTGGCCTTCCGCCTCTCCTCCAGGCTATTGATTGCGTTAGCTTTCATTTCCCGATGTGCAGTCGTGAAATAGAGTGGACAATGACATACCGGGCAACAACATCCTGGTACTTCCAGCCGACCTCGTGGCTCAGGCGGCCGACGGTGCAGTACTTGCGACCGGGCTGCAGTCTCAGGACACGGAGAGCCTGGGGAACGACCATCTTCTTCTTCTTGTCGTAGGGGGGAGGGACACCCTCGAAAACCTTGAGGCGCTCCAGAGCGGCGGCACCACGGGCGGTCTTGTGGGGGATCATACCACGGACGGCCTTGTAGAAGATTCTGGAGGGAGCGCGGAAGTGGAAGGGACCTGTAGGTGACGTCCGTTAATATCTCGAGAGAGCGATATCGGGAGCTGGAGTTGCGCAAACTCACCACCGCGGGTAGGGTTGTAACGGGTCATCTTGCGCAGGTAGGCGTGGTACTTGACTGTTTGCCAATGTCAGTATCTTGTTCTTATGCGGAACCGAGTCGTTGTTCTGGCGATTGCTTGTCTTGTCGACCGCTGGGGCTCAAGCTCGAGAAGATGGCACAGGAGTCGGACTCGGAAGCTGGATGGGGGATCGACGTACGCTTAGCGCGGAAGAACTCGCCAGAGATGTTGAGGGCCTCGCAGCGGACGACAACGATCTTCTGACCGCTGAGGAGCTGCTTGGCGACAATGCTGGCAAGACGGCCAAGGAGGTGGCCCTTGCCATCAATGACGACCTGGAAAGCAAGACAATTAGCATCATCTTCCACACATGTGTTTCCCATCCCTGTCTGCCTTCATCCCATCACCGAATGTCTGGGTCGTGTATGTGCCCGGGAAGGAGAGAGCAAAGAGGCTCGCGAGCAGCAGCAGCATCGATTGCCGCCAGCGCGAGTAGACAAATGCGAAGTCGTGTCGATGTTCCTAGCCCTCGATTCCAAGCTCTTCCTGTTGTTGTTTGCCCCTCTGCGCTGGCGTTCATCTGCTCTCGCTCTGCATCCCCTTCACCATCTTCCACTCCCCTGCCGGGCACTCCACAGACATTCGAATCCAGGCGAAAGGACAAGTGCGGTAACGGTGCTTTCAAACTGGTGAATACTCACAACCGACTCGAAGGACGACATCGTATCGGATTCTTTTCGGGGGGGTATGGAAAAGAAATGGAAAGAAGGAACGATGAAAGAAAGAAACACACAAATTTCCTCCGACCTCGAAGCGGCGAAAGAAATCTGGCTGGCTGTGTGTTTGCTTTGGTTTGGCTGGGTTAGTCGTTCCCTGGGAGGGTTGTGGAGGGAAGTGGTCGCGATACCAAGGAGCGGAAGAAAATCGCTGTGCCCGCTTGCCCGATTGGGCATGGGCGGCTTCCGGGGCAGGCGAGGAAGGGCTCGCGGGTTGGTGGTGCTTAGGGCTGCGAGACCTAGAGGTTGCGCCGAGGATCTGCCGCGCTTATCTTTGTGGCGCGCAGAGGATGCACGTGATGACAAAGGAAGCGTCTGGCAGGGCGAGTGATGCAGTGGCGAAAGATAAGCCGGTACGTACCAATTTTATCGGCTGGCTTGATTGCTCAGTGTTTGTATTCGAGGTGCGTCATATGAAGCATAAAGACGGGAGACATCACGATCCGCTCGGAAGGAAGGGTAATCTAGCTCAGAAGCCTTGATGGCTTGACCCGGCTGATTCTCATATCATCAAGAGTACATTAGACGTGCAATTCGCCTGGAATCTCGCATGATAGACAGCAACTTGAATTTGCACGCCATGCACCCATCGTCAATCTATCAAACATGCCCTTCTACTCGTGTATATCTGCAGGGCATCTCTCCATCCATAACATGTGACAGGAGTAGACGCCTCTTGTCTAGTCGTATCATGTAGGTAAGAAGCACGCAAAATGCGAAAGAGGTCTATATCGCCCATGGACCACGCTGCGCTTCGAGTATCGCCGTCCCAGCTCTCAATCTACCCGTCTGTCTCTTTTGTGAACCATGCCTCCCAAAGAAGTGACCCTACCCAGTTTTGCCTCTCATATGAATGTTTGAACGAAGGTGAAATGACAGGAGTTATATGCAGTGTGATAAACGAACACAGGCCAAGCAAGATGCCTAGATGGATGTCCCAGACCGAAAAGAATCACAGTGAAGAAAAGGAAACAGCCGCGTGCCAAAGGCTCACGACGCCTTGGCAGTATCCAGCCGCTTGAGAACGTCTTGAACTCGTCGAACAAGGTCTTTTCGCCTCTGTCGGATCTCGTCAACGCCCTCGGTCTCGACGCCGTCTAGTTTCAAGATGATTTGCTGCATGACGGATTCGGACAGCTTTCGGTGTTCCTCGTCTCGTTTCTTGGCATCTTTCGGGGGCGCCTCGATGTAGTCCAGGCACAGCGGCAGCCAATTGGTGTGGAACTCGTCGGAAATGTCGTCCAGCTTCTTCATCGCGGCATTGACAACCGTGGGTGAAGGCGCATTGGCACCATCGGCATTTGATCCGCTGTCGACGGGGCTGGTCGGGGAAGCAGGCTCGTTCTTGTCCAACTTCTTCTTGCTGCTCCTCTTCTTCTTGCGGGATTTGGAGGATTTGGCATCGCTTCGAGGCTCGTCCACGATGATCATGTCGTCCTCCGATCGGCCGCTGTTGTCGTCGTCGGCCTCGGGGATGACGGCCATCAGCTCGCTCTTGTTCTTGACTCCGTAGTCTCGGACGGGGACGGACGACTCCTTGAGCTGCTTGCCCTTATACAGCAGCTTGATGTGACGCGTCGTCCGTGACGGCAGATCCATCAGAAGTCCAATGCGCTCCCGCACATCTTTGACGTATAGCTTGCCGTCACCGATCGAATACGCAGGGAAGTGAGCCGGATACGTGACGCCCTTGCTCTTGATGAGCAGGATATCGTCCTCGGGCTCCGATGGTCCCCTGGAACGTGGTCGCGGATAGTAGCGGGTGTCGGTGTATTCGACGCGGGGATCGTCCAAGTCCTGGGCGGTGATGTAGCTAAAGTCTTCATTTGTGACGTCGGGAACACCGCCCGATGAGGCGCCGAAGCTCTGCTCGCGGTTGAGCGACCAGCCGTATCGCGACATGGTAATGGGAAGGGCGACGAGGGCGGCAAGGCCACTGTAGACAAAGGTGGGCGGGACGCCCAAGGTCCCAGAGATGAACTCGCTCGACTCCTGGAGGGCGGCAGAGAGGTTGGTGATGGTGCCGTTGAGGTAGTTGGCGATGATGTGTTGCAAGGCACCGGACGATGCCACGATGGGCTGGGAGGAATCCACCTTGGCGTCTTGGGTATCAAGGTGGCCCTGGCTGAGGACACCTTACCAGCCGGAGAAGGAAAGAAGCGAAAGGACAAAGAAGAAGAAGAAGAAGAAGAAGGCTGCCTGTCCTAGTACCCTCCCTGTGTCGAACTGGTTTTTACCCTTTCTTGCTCTGTCCGCAGAGACGAAGAAATGATCGCGGGGTCGTGGGGGGGTGGCCAGCAAGGCTGAGCGAAACGGCTTCTGCCCCGGAGCCGGCTGGCGAATGATCTCGAGCGAGGCTTAGCTTGGGCCGTCTCGACTCGGACCAGGCGATGGAGAAAGCAGGCGAATTGCCCACAGAAAGCGGCGATCCCGGCGCCGGCGCTGAGGAACGAGCGTCTGGCAGTGGTTCTTCGGACGGGCTCTGACGTGAAGCCGACGTGATTGAGGCGCAGCTGGAGCGGACGAAGGGCAGATTGTTCGTCGGCTGTTGCAGTCTGATGCAGACGGCGGTCGAATCACGGAGTTGGCGACTGTGGCTGGTGACGCGCAGAGGCTGGCTGAATCCGGGCAAGGCCAGGCTGTTGAGTCGAGCCAGCGATGCCGACGCGGACGAGAAGGATTGGGACGGACGGGCTGCTGCAGAGAAACGTGTTTGGTCGAGAATTATGGGGGTCCGGACGTGAGGTTGCTGGTGACCATTTGACAGCTGGTTTTTCTCTCTAGCGCGGCGGATGGCGGGTGATGGGGGAACAGGCGGGGCCGCAGGGGGCTGAGGGGACGGTTTAGCGGGTTTGAAGCGCTGAAGCATCTCAACTGGCCGGATACATTTGGATTCGACAGGGTGCCTTATTGAGTATGGGCCTCATCAATGAGAGAGTCAATGTGACCATGTTCAAGATGTTTGGGGTCAATGTCTGGTATCACAAAAGTTTGAAGGTGCTGACTTTGACTCTATCACAGATAACTATAACTATATGCACTGTCATTAATGCAACCGTTGTTGGAAGAAGCGAGGACTTGCAATTGGGCATCTGAAAGCACCCATCATATTGGTTGAGAACTGCGCATAGGTATCTCATTGACACTGGAGAAGAATGCTGTAAAGGAACATGGAGAGCAAACAACAACTGAAAGGTTCGTGTTGCCTCTGCATTCACCACAATCTGGTTTCTCTTCCCTCTACATTCGCGAAGAGGCACATTGGCACATTGTATAGCCTATCACCTTGCACACCCAATGTGTCAAGCAACTCGTCACCTCCCAGCAGCCGAAAACGACATCCGAACCGTCTGCCAATCGCAAGAGACGCAAACAAGTATCAACAGTCGAACCCCATGTCCATCTAGACTCAAATGAGCAAAGAGGCATCACCCATCCCCAGGTTCCCCGCGAAATGAAATTTGAGACTACGTTACTACTAGTTCTCGTAGTTGCCCGGGAAGCTAATTGGCGATAAAGCCCTTGTCACAAACCTGGTGATTCCATCTTGCGGGCATTCAGATGCACACCTCGATCTGCCGTCAACCAACTCCGTGGCACCTCGAGATTAGACTACGTAACTAGCAAACACCCGGTTTCAATAGTAGACTGCACCAAACGGTTGATAATGGCGGCAATGAGGGTAAAGTTATGAAGCACTGTGTCGATCAGATACCCTCTGCATGGGCCGGGGAAGAGACTATCGCCAAGTCCCTGGTTGCATACGAAGTGCCACTCCCAATACAACTCGCCGTTGGTGCTCTTTCTCGATAACTCAACTTGTCGAGTCACTCAAAGCAGGTGGGTAGGAATGAGGGGCATTTGTAATTCAGCCAGCCGTTATCAAGGCGGTTTCACAGAGTAGAAGATTTCCGGCCCAAGGCTCCTTGGAGCCTGGATGCACCCAGATGCCGTCCTACGAGGGCTCTGCTCGGCGAGGGGTTGCATCCGGGCTGCTTTAGTGACCGCCATCGACAGTAGATGTCTTTGGTTAGCTGAAGAGAACGTGCATTAGCACCTGTTGGCAGCAGGGAAGAGACCGTCCTCGTGTGCTACTGATGCCGCGTCCAGGCAGGGATGCTGCATGGGGTTGTGTTGCGATGCGCGGAAGCGGGCCGCGGATTGGCAAAGGGGTCTCTTTGAAGCTGGCATTTCCGATGGCTCGTCAGGAGAAGGGAATGGCTATATAAACAGCTCGTTGTCGTGGCCATTGAATGACCAATTCATCGTTGTGTTCGTGGACAACAACTTGATCCTGCAGCTTTCCAGTCAAAACTCTCCAAGATGGCAGTCATCTCGAAGCCGGTCATTGACATCAAGGTGTGCAACCATATCAACCCTTCTCAGAGGCCCGATTGACTGACATCGCCTCCAGTCTTATAAAGGCAACATCATCAACGGCGAATTCGTCCCAACAGCCAAAACACGGCACTCCATAGACCCAGCCACCGAAGAGCCTCTCCCTCCCGCCCCCGTCGCCACGAAACAAGACCTCGACGCCGCCGTCAAGCACGCCCACGAAGCCTTCCAGTCATGGTCCCAAACGACATTCGACCACCGAGCACAGCTCATGCTCCAATATGCAGATGCCATTGAGGCCAACCGCTCGGAGCTCGAAAAGCTCAACACCATGGAGTCGGGAAAGCCTCTCCTCGTGTCCAAGACGGAGTTTGACTTCACCATCCGCTGGCTGCGGACCTTTGCCACCATGGAGCTCAAGGACGAGGTCCTCGAGGACGACGACGAGCGCACCGTCTACGGCACGTACCGCCCGCTGGGCGTCTGCGGCGCCATCGTGCCCTGGAACTGGCCCGTCCTGCTCGGCCTGGGCAAGATCGGGCCCGCGCTCATGACGGGCAACACCATCATCATGAAGCCGTCGCCGTACACGCCGTACACAGACCTCAAGCTGTGCGAGCTGGGCATGACCATCTTCCCGCCGGGCGTGTTCCAGGCCCTGAGCGGCGATGACTCGCTGGGCCCGTGGATGACGGAGCATCCGGACATCAAGCTCATTGCCTTTACGGGATCCGTCCACACGGGCAAGCTGGTGGCTGCGAGTTGTGCCAAGACGTTGAAGAGGTGCATTCTCGAGCTGGGAGGCAACGATGCGCTTATCGTGTGCGACGACGTCGACATTGCCAAGTGTCTGCCCAAGATTGCGACCATGACGTTTATCAACTCGGGCCAGATTTGCATGCTGGCGAAGCGCATCTATGTGCATGAGGCCATATACGACAAGTTCCGGGCGGCCTTGGTTGAGTTTACCAAGGAGCATGTCAAGACGGGTGGCGGATTTGAGCCTGGCGTGCTGGTTGGGCCGATCCAGAACAGGATGCAGTGAGTTGATGCCGTCTCCGTGTGACCATGTAAGCTCGACAATTAATTCTAACCACCATTCAGATTCAATCTGGTCAAGGAGATGTACCAGGACGTCAAGGACTCGGGCTACCAGCTCGCCCTCGACGGCCGCATCCTCGACGAAGGCAAGGGCTACTTCGCCGAACCGACCATCGTCGACAACCCGCCCGACGCATCCCGCATCGTCGTCGAAGAGCCGTTTGGCCCCATCGTGCCGCTGCTCAAGTGGTCGTCGGATGACGAAGTCGTCGGCCGCGCCAACTCGCTCAACCACGGGCTCGGCGCGTCGGTGTGGTGCAAGGACCTGGTGCGTGCGGAGAGGCTGGCGCGGAGGCTCAGCGCGGGAAGCGTCTGGGTGAACTCGCACTTTGATGTCGCGCCGAACGTGCCGTTTGGGGGGACCAAGGAGAGCGGGATTGGGAGGGAATGGGGGGTGGAGGGGTTCAAGCAGTTTACGGATCACACGAGCCTGTGGGTGTGGAAGAAGATATTCGACTGATGGTGGTGATGATGCTTAATGATGAGAATGATGTTCATAATGACTGAGCTGACAAACAACATCAATATGGTGCTGGTGAATGGTGATGTTGGAACATGATGTATCTCGACCGAGTTCGACCGAGGTTGAGGGAGAGCTGAGCAGCAACATCCTATTTGGGTGTTGATGATAGATCGAGTGAATGCCGAACTACCTGCGCATGAAACCCGAACCACTGTAAATCGATGGAATTCGCGTTTCAAGTCCGGGAGTGAATTGCAAATACTCATTCCAGGTAGCATCTCCTCGTACAAGACCCCTGCTGCAAGACATCACATCACATCTCCCCCAGGTCAAGCACCTTAATAGTACATGCTTCTCTCACCTAAACACTCAATGATACTCAACGAAGAAAAACCTCACCAAAAAAGAAACAATGAATAAATAATCACCGAGCCCTCTCATCCAATCACATGCCCGCCCTGGCAACCGTCGCCTTTGGAATCAGACCCTCCCGTCCCATTCTAGACTAGATAGTCCCCTTCCCGATTAGCATCTTGATTCCATCTTGACAAATAAGTCGACGCCTCCACACGCGCCCAAATGCATCCATGCCATCATTTTCTTCATCGCCCCTCCCGACTTGCTGACTGATGCCAGTGGCTGTTGTGTTGTTTTTTCCACGCGCTTTCGTCATTTTGCCCGCCTGTCGCATTATCGAACCCCGACATCATATTGCCGATTACAAAAAGCGTAACTGCTATACTATTACATACCTACATAAGCGCATTCAATGATATATATTGCTCGCACTCCCTCCTTTACACTAGAATTCCTCCATTCACCAAAATCCTCTACATCGATGAACTTTATCCGATCCTTCTTCACAACTGCAGTCAAACTCAGCCCCGAAGCTAGAATGGCCAACGTCAAGGAAGTCCAGCGCATCATTGACAACAACAATGTTGGTGCGTAAATCCGCTCTTCTTCTCCCACAACCACTCAACATACCCTTTCAAAACATCATACTGACCATTTTATGCAACAGTCGTCTTCTCCAAGACCTGGTGCCCACACTGCAAAGCCACCAAGCAGACCCTCAACGACCTCAAGGCCCAATACGAAGTCGTCGAGCTAGACAACCGAAGTCAGTATTCTCTCCTTCCCCTCCCTCTGTTTTATCTGTCGGCAACATGCTAACCAGTCCACAGACGACGGTGACGAGCTCCAAGACGCCCTCCTCGAAATCAGCGGCCAGCGCTCCGTCCCCAACATCTTCTTCGGCAAGAAGCACGTCGGCGGCAACTCGGACCTGCAGGAGCTTGTCAAGAGCGGCCAGCTCAAGGCGCGTCTCCAGGAGGTTGGTGCACTTGCGTAAGCACTCGACCGAATGATATGACTAGGAGCAAGGAATAGAAAAACGAAGGGAATGAAGAATCATATGGCTGATTTGGATCGCTACGTGGGTGTTTGATAGAAGAGAGGGACAATCCAAGATATAGATGCGGCTTTTGCGCGATATGAAAGATGCGCTTGGCTGTGGTTTGGCAATATAGGCTCGATTAGAGTTGCTGCCGCTGCTTAAGAAATTCAGAATATAAAGGATAAATCATTCTACTTCAAGTTTGTGGACTCTTGAGGAGTTGACTTCTTTCGTTCAAATCAGCATGCGGCCATCTCTTTTCCGCTGCTGGTATTATACAAGCTACACATTTACATGGTCGCATGCCGCCGTCATACTGAAGACAGTGGCCGTCTATACGACTTGCGAAGCAACCGTTCCCACCGGCCTCTCCACAAATTCCATGACGCCCTCAATGATGCTCTCCCGCGCCGGCTCCGAGGCCACCTTGCTGCCGGCCAGATAGTTGAGCCACAGCAGCCGCGATAGCCTCTCGTCCTCGACCGTGCCCAGGAGCTCCACCCTAGAGTCCTTGCCTTTGCCCGAGTTGAACAGGACGGTCAGCGCGCCCTTTCCGTCTCGACACAGCAGCAGCTCCTGTTTCTTCGGCACGGAGCCGCGGTTGAAGAGCGCCTTGAAGTCCCTCATGGCGGCGCCAAAAGTGTCGTCATTGTACGCCGGGTTGCGCTGCGACCGCGCGGCAATGGACCGGACGAAGCCGTCGCGCAGGTGGTGGAAGTCGGTGTCCCGCACGGGAACAATGCGCAACACGCTGCGGCAGTCCGAGTCCCTCAGCAGAGCATCCCACGTCTCCTCGCCCTCGGTCGCATCCCTAAGAGCCTTGCGCAGCGCATCCTTTTCAGAAGGAATCAGCGTCGTGGCGGTAGGGTTGATCTTCTTGATCAGATAGTGCTGCAGCTTCGCAATGTCCTGCGTAGCCACGTAAAAGCCCACCATGTACACCTGGATGCCGATAAACGTCACCGTCCGCACGCCCAAGCCCACAAGCGTGTACTCATTTCCCTGCTTGTCCGAGATGGTCGCCGCGATCGAGTTGTCCCCCTCCGCAGACGGCAGCTTGACTTCGATATTCCTCGGGAACGCTGGCACCACGCTATTCCCCGTGGGAACAATGGCTCGCCCCTCCTCGTCGTGTACCACGACTTTCCTCTTCTCTCCCGCTTCTGTCTTGAACGTCTCTTCTGGGATTGGCGGTGCGTCGCACTTCACGGCCGCCTTGCCCTTTTGCTTCTCGGCCTGCTCCGCCAGAGCCTGTTTCAGCTTCCACGCCGTGTAGATGAACGAGATGAGGCCGGCCGTGGCTCCTGCAGCGAGGAAGATGGTGCGATGGCGCTCGTAGTCGCGGCGTTGCGAGTTAAGCTTGTTGAGATCCAGGTCCTGGGACACGCGCGAGGAGCCTTTGCCGGAGTAGAGGCTTCGACGGAGGCACTGCTGGCAGCGGGGGGCGGACCGGAGCACCGGCCGGAGGTTCGTTGGACGGAGCATGGTGGATGGCTTCAATTGAATGAGAGGAATCCGATTCAGTCACCTCATTTGGCTGTGGGAAGGGAGAATGAGGCCGTACAGCTACTTTGGGGGAACTGTAAGTGGCATGATGCTGATGCTGGTGTTGACCATTGGAAGACTGGAATACGTGCCCCACGTGATGTGACATCATTCGGGTCGCAGTCGTATCCGACGCTACCCTGGAGCGCGCCCAGTAAACTGAACTTGCTGCTTTTTGACGCTTGAATGGGCATTGAACCTGTATTTGGGACCTAATGATTAAGTCCGACACCTGTGTCAATGTTCTGGATTACATGAAAGCCTAGTGGTTTGCTTTGGAAGTGAAGAAAAGGCTTGTTGAGGTGCGCTAACGTGATAAGTAGCATGTCTCAAAGTGTCCCTCTCTAGCTGAGATGCAAGAGTAAGGCGACATTCAGTATTTGGGCTTAAGGAGTTTCTCTGTACCCTAAAAATAATTCAGAGTGATAGAGTCAATATATTCGTACCTTTGCTTAATCATTATTCATGCATCGCTGCTCACTCTTTTGCTTCTGTCGCAATGTAAACTCCCTTACACCAGCAGCCAATAAGTGAGATGCACCCTGCATGAACCATACTGTACCCGCATCCCACTTGTATCCAACTCTGATCTCTTCACTTACCACAAGTAATCTGCCGGTGCAGCTTAGAATGCAATTTCAAAAGAACAAATCATACTGAGCGCCTCAGCTGTGCCCGCCAAATACGAGCACCAACCTCGCCCAGTTTTCTGCTGGTTCTCACGGCCCGGGCCGCGTCTCTTATCGATAAGACGGTCACTTAACGGGCGTGGTCATTTCTGCACGCTGATTGGCCGCGTGCTCTACCGCCAATTGCCTCCGCCAAAATTATTCCCCCAGCAAATGCACGACATGGCTTTTACATGATTTCCAATGCGCTCGCCTTCTCGCTCCTTGCCATCTTTCCCTCTCGCCTGCTAGTTCAGGCTTGATCTCTGTGCCGGTCTTTTAACTCTCACGAGGCACGAATAACCCCATATCTGCTTCCTTTCCCTGGATGAGAGGGGATATCCACTCCTTTTTTTGTTTGTTTGGTTGCTTGCTTCTCCGCCTCGTCAGTCGTTCAACTTGCAATGTCCACTTTGCTCCCGGGGCTTCACATTAGCAGAAAGATACCCTGGAATGAGCCCGTAGAAACAGTTGTGAGTGATTGTTCTCTTGTGGACTACAAGATGGAAATACCTGGTTCGTCTGCTAACTCCCCTTGCCCTGACAGCATTTTCGATTTCGATCCCGCCACATCACAGCCGTCGGCCAGGCAGCCGACAACTACCATCCCAATGTCCGCCGCTTGAAAATCCAGCCGACGCTCCTCGACCAAGTCATCAAAGCCGTTCTCTACCTATTTCCCAAATTTGCGCAAGCCTACTTGCGGCGATGGTTCCCCGAGTGGTACCTCCCGTCGGCCATCGTCCTCAAGTCGCAGAAACCCGACTGGGAAGAAGAATTCGACAACGAGCTGGCAAACTACCGGAGTCTGCAGTCTCTCCAGGGGACAGTCATCCCGCGACACTTTGGCGTCGTGCAGTTTGACGGCGTGCGGAGCCAACTCATGGCCGACGTCGGCGGGGTGTGCATCCCGTACACGACGGAGACGGCAGAGGAAGCGTACGCCTATATCCGCAAGCTTCTGCACGAGTCCCTTATGGCGCTTGCCTCGAGGGGCTTTGTGCAGGACGACGTGAAGCTCGACAACTTTCACGTTGTGGGCAATAGAGTCGTGGTAGTGGATCTGGAGCGGGTGGAGAGGGGCAGGAGCCCCGACGAGATGGCCAAGTTTGTCGAGTCGAGCATACAGATTCTGATGCAACAGTACCGGAATTACTTGGAGAACCTGAGAGCGAGATACCCTTGATGCCTGTTATACGACGAAAATGCATATAGAGTGGCGTTTGTTTCGTGACAACGCAAGCTGATGAGACATGATGACATATTGGCGATTTACTACATACATATACACATATATATCCGCAGAGAAACGACTTCTTGCGGCTGCATTCGCTTTCTTTGATATCTTTCTAGGCTCGAACTGTGAGCTTGTTCTCTACAAGTGAATATGATACAGCATACGTGTTAGTAGATCAACGCATGATGTATAAGCTAGTAGTCATACGCCTCGGATTGCCCAAGTTGCTTGACAGTTAGGACATCCTAGGTCTGGTACGGCCAATTGACCAGTTTTGTGATATTTGTTACCGTACTTATGTTACTAGGCTATTTTGGAGCTATGACGAGCGCGTTGGAATGCTATTATACATAAAAGTGATGCTTCCGTGGTATAAGTGACGGTTTCCTGGAACCTCGTACTGAATCGCATCAAGCACCATCTACGTGGACAATAAGGCAAGGCTGCAAAACCTTATAACAACCATTGGATAACAAGCGTCAAGAGAAAAAATGAGACTTTCGAACCAAGGGTCAGAGCAATTTATTCCATATCGTCTTTGATCAGTCCGCGGATGCAACCCGTGGAGTCTTCAATTTGTCTCCAATGTCGACGCGCAGAAGCGAGTTCAGGCAAGGCAATCCCTGCGACTGCCGGCCACCCCACCATCCAACCTCATCTTCAACAAACAGCCGTTTATGCTGCACATTTCTCCGTCTCCAACTCCGTCCAAGAATCTGCAGCAATCATCCGATCTTCACGACACCTTCCCGTCGGATAAATACTCGGATTCCCCCAGATCAACGGCCCCAGCATCAGCACTTGCAACCCCTTGCCCACTGCCGATCGCCGCCCAGATGGAGGTCGCATCGGCCTCTCTATTATGGAGAAGCAGCTTGGCAGCAGGCTTTCGTCCAACGACGCTCCCCCGCATCTTCTCCGCTTGCTCCAATGACCTCATGCGCAAGGATTGGACCTGGAGAAGTCCCGGAGAGGCTGGAAACGACGGCATTGGTGCGCAAAAGGGGAGACTTGCAGACGATGCTGTTGGTTGGGCTTGATGTGGAGGAATACTAAGCACAAAAGTAGGCATTTGAAGAAGCTTGAAGAGGGTCGGGCATATGGCACAAGTTGCGGTTAATGTACCTGGTGGAACATTCTTTCCCGGCCCTCCGCTGGCGGACTGGAGATGCCTGCCCGTGTGATATCCGCGTCCCGAGTGTGACAAGCACGAACACGAGAGGAACGGGTGGGAGGAGCCCACGCAGAGATCCATCGTGCCATTGACCGACTCGAAGGGAAGGAGAGCTGCGGATCAGTAACCGGGGGGCTGGGACGGATCTCAAGCGGGTGTGACACTCTACAACGAGTATAAGATGGCCGTGCCTGGCGCTCTCCCCTTGCGCTGTGAAGATCCCAAGCGGTGACCTTTGCAGCAGCACAGTCGCTCTCGGACTCTGGGGTGGTCAATCGTTACGATGCTCGGCGCTCCCTCTCCTAGAAGGTTGGCGGATGTCCTCGCCGTGACGGCGGGACTGGTGGCCTCTGTTAGGGCAGCAAGTCGTGAGTCCATCTGCAGTTGATCCCCAGCCCAGACAGACACTAACACGTCTGGACAGCCATCTCCGCGTCTGGCAAGTCGTTTGCCCTCAACGGAGACAACGTCTCGTACCGCTTCCACGTCGACGACGACTCTAGTGACCTCATTGGCGACCACTTTGGCGGCCCTGCCACGGAAGATGGCGTCTTCCCTCCCATCATTGGCCCCATCCAGGGCTGGGTCGACCTCATCGGCCGGCAGCGGCGCGAGTTCCCGGACCTGGGCCGCGGCGACTTTCGCACGCCCGCGGTGCACATCCGGCAGTCGGCGGGCTACACGGTCAGCGATTTCCAGTACAGGTCGCACCGCGTCGTCGAGGGCAAGCCGGCGCTGCGCGGCCTGCCGTCGACGTTTGGCGATGCCGGGGACGTGTCGACGCTGGTTGTGAGCATGTATGATAACTACAGCTCCGTGGCGGCCGACTTGACGTACTCCATCTTCCCCAAGTACGACGCCATTGTGCGCAGCGTCAACATCACCAACATGGGCAAGGGCAACATCACCATTGAGAAGCTCGCCAGCTTGAGCGTCGATCTGCCGTACGAGGAGTTTGACATGCTGGAGCTCAAGGGTGACTGGGCTCGCGAGGGAAAGCGGGTGCGGCGCAAGGTTGACTACGGCTCTCAGGGGTAAGATTTGGCTGCATGGTTGATGACGAGGAGCGATGTCCACTAATACGTTATTTTCTTCTCATGCAGTTTCGGGAGCACCACTGGCTACTCATCACACTTGCACAACCCCTTCGTCTCGCTCATCACGCCTACGACGACCGAATCCCAAGGAGAGGCATGGGGCTTCTCTCTAGTGTACACTGGCTCGTTCTCCGTCGAGGTGGAAAAGGGTTCGCAGGGCCTCACGCGTGCCGTCCTCGGCGTCAACCCCTCTCAGCTGTCATGGCCACTGGGACCAGGCGAGACCTTTAGCAGCCCCGAGGCAGTTGCTATCTTCTCCAATACGGGCATCGGCGGAATGTCAAGAAAGTTCCACAACCTGTACCGCCAGCATCTCATCAAGAGCAAATTCGCGACTCAGATGCACCCCGTCCTGCTCAACAGCTGGGAGGGCCTCGGCTTCGACTACAATGATACCACCATCCTGCATCTGGCGCAGGAGTCTGCCGACCTCGGCGTCAAGTTGTTTGTCCTGGACGATGGCTGGTTTGGAGACAAGTATCCTCGTATCAGTGACAACGCTGGTCTGGGCGACTGGGTGGCGAATCCCAAGAGGTTCCCCCAGGGCATGTCGGACTTCGTCAGCGACGTGACGAAGCTCAAGGTGGCCAACTCGTCTGACCATCTCCAGTTCGGCCTCTGGTTCGAGCCGGAAATGGTCAACCCCAACTCAACCCTATACCACGAGCATCCCGACTGGGCGATTCACGCCGGGCCATACCCTCGCACCTTGACGAGGAACCAGCTGGTGCTCAACGTCGCTCTCCCCGAGGTGCAGGACTTTATCATTGAGTCGCTGTCTAACTTCCTGGGCAACGCCAGCATTTCGTACGTCAAGTGGGACAACAACCGCGGCATCCACGAGGCCCCTTACCCAGGGCTCGACTACGCCTACATGCTGGGCCTGTACCGCGTCTTTGACACGCTGTCGTCAAAGTTCCCCAATGTTCGCTGGGAGGGATGCGCGTCTGGCGGCGGCCGGTTCGACCCCGGTGTGTTGCAGTACTTTCCTCACATCTGGACGTCTGACGACACGGATGCCGTGGAGCGCATCGCGATCCAGTTTGGCACGTCGCTCGTGTATCCGCCATCGGCCATGGGAGCCCACGTCTCCGCCGTGCCCAACGGCAACACGCAGCGCACAACGTCCATTGCCTTCCGTGCCCACGTTGCCATGATGGGCGGCTCGTTTGGCTTCGAGCTCAACCCGGCGGTGATGCCGGAGGACGACAAGGCGCAGATCCCGGGCATCATTGCGCTGGCAGAGAAGGTGAACCCCATTGTGGTCAAGGGCGACATGTGGCGGCTGAGCCTGCCGGAGGAGTCCAACTGGCCGGCGGCGCTCTTCATCTCGCAGGACGGCAGCCAGGCGGTCCTGTTCTACTTTCAGATCCGGGCCAACATCAACAACGCGTGGCCGGTGCTGCGGCTGCAGGGGCTGGACGCCTCGGCCAAGTACAAGATTGACGGCAACCAGACGTTTTCGGGGGCGACGCTGATGAATATCGGGCTGCAGTACCAGTTTAATGGGGACTATGACAGCAAGGTGGTGTTTTTGGAGAAGCAGAAGTGAGCTGTGGGCGAGGCCGTCTTGATGACCGTGACCCAGGTACATGACCTACAGGCGGTGGTAATGCGTTTTTTTTTTTCAGTAGCCCTTGCAGTAGCTTAGCATTCAGTAATAATAGCATATGTTACCTGACTGTATGGTGAGCTCATTCACGAGTTGATGCTGTGTTGAGTCCAGAATGAGAGTCATTATGCGGTAAGGCACTGATGTAAGGGCCATATTTGGGCAGCGAAGCATGTGATGATGGCTGAGGTACAAGGGTCCCTGTACCTTTTGGACAAACAAGATCAGGCTCTGTCTGAGGCAGGGAATTTGACATCATTCCTGTGATCATCTACCTGAAAATACTTAATTCTATGAAGTCTGGAGAATAAGATGCTCTGCAAGGAGAATGAGGAAAGGCTACAGATGAGGAGGCAGGGTTCACATGTGCCTGATTTGCTTTGGCTGTGTCTAATAAAGTAATAGTACTTGCACATGGATGTGCAAAGTGTGATTGGCATCAGCTGCATGCAGTGGCTTTTTGTGACAAGATGCGGGCGTCACGTGCGGTGATTTAAGGTGCAGAGGCTGTTTGATTTGCTGTGGTCTTTTTGTGGCTGGTATTAGTGTGTGCTTTTGGGTTGAAAGGACTGAGTGCTGTAAGGAGAGAAAAGGAGGAGGAGGAGGAGAGGAGAGGAAGATGAAGATGGAGGATGCCGGGGACGAGGTTGAAGTTGTATTGATGAACCTGGACCTAATTATCGCGTACAAGTTGGAAGTTGGAAGTGCGAAGTGGGAATTACAGCTGATGCTACTCTCGGTACGGAGTACTCTGCACACATAGAGAGCCATCCATGTTCCATGTTCCATGCCGGCAACATGCAGTGATACACAGCTGAGTCACATAGAGGAGCCTCAAGAGTTGAGGAGAAATAAGAGGGAAGCGTATATGATAAATCGCCGGTAAAGGGGCCTTTGCAATGGATAAGGCGGGAGCTCAGGTAGAATTCCCGTTATTTGCTCTCTTTGGACCTTCGTGGCGCTTGTCTGGTTTTCGATTTGGTTTAGCAGAGAACGTGGAAAAGGAGGGGGAAAGAGAAAAGAGAGAAGTGAAGTGAGGGGAACGCTGTGATGCTATGCCGTCCAGGCTGTAGTCTGCTAAGTACGAGTTCGTCCTAGTACTACTACCTTATCTCGTAGGAGCTGCTGTGGCTTGAGTTGAGTACTTGGACGCCGTGTCTCGCTTTGCGTTTGCTACAGGATCGTCAGTTGATGTATGCAACGTCGGTGGTGTTCAGCTTCTTGCAAGCATCTCGAAGCAACATGAGTTGTTGAGCTTATGCGCCTTCAAACTATTAGTAATGCAGGCCAGAGCTGCGCTCTTCCAGGTTCCAGGTCCAACGAGGGCCAGAGCGCTGCTCCAGCGACTTGTGGCGCCTGCTAGCGCCCTCCTCCAGCGCCCTCCAGCGTCTGCAGGACACCAGAGGGGCCCGTGGTCCAGTGCTAGCCTTGGGCTCCCGTCCGCTCCGCTTTGGCTGCCCAGGTGCTGACCACTGCCAGGCCATCGCCAGCCTTCATCAAACACGCCCTCAGATCCATAACCCTACAAACCATCCATCTGCCGCCTCTGGACGCAAGACCTGCAGCCCCCCTTCCAGCATCCAGGCCTCTTATTTCCCACCCCGGCTCCCTTTCACTCCAGACTGCCAGTCTGTCTGCGCCGCTGCTCACCTGCAGTCTTCCTCCTGCTTCTGTCCCGCTTCCCGCTCCAGCTCCAGCTTCGGCCTCTGCCTGCGGTCTGCTTGCCACCACCTGCGCCGTACATCCCCGTACCTGGCATCCGGCATCCCTTTGTACGCACAAGCACCAGCCCGCACAGACACGAGAAGACACAGACACAGACGGACAGAACGGCCTCCAAGTCCCCCTGCGACGGATACACGGCCCTCGAGCGGAAATCCCAGACCGACGTCATCCAGCCTCCCCCCCGACCCGACCACAAACCAGCTCGCTGGCCTCGCCCTGCTGATTTCCACCCGCTGAGACATCCAGACGCACGCCTCCCAGTCGGTGTGCCCTGACGCCCGTCTCTCGTGCCCAAGGAAAGCCGACAGTCAGCCCTGGAAAAAAGGCCTCTGAGGAACGGGACAGGACAAGACAGCCAGCCCTTCTGCCCTCGCAAAAGCCCCCCCCCTTTCGAAGGGTTCCTCATTTCCACCGTCTGCTTGCTCCGTCTCCCAGACTCATCCTAAAACAACCCTGAGCACGGCAGTCCTTGTGTGTTCCGCCGCCGTTTTGTTTTCCTCGTCGTTTTGTTTCTGTTTCGGCCTGTTTTGTCGTTGATAAAACAAGAAAACAAGAATCGCCCGGATCGAACCCTCCCGCCGATCGACCTGCCACGAGCCGCTCCCAATAGCCCGACGAGCCCATTCACGACCGCCATCCGCCGGACCACGGGAGGCTCTTTGCCCCTTGCCGCCAGTTCCTCGTTCGCACATCTTCAGACTGAGCCCGACAAGCAGCGGCCCTCTGCCCGCTCAAGCCCGTACAAACGCCATGGCCACAATGCCCTCTGGCGCTGGCAGTTCAGGCCGGGAGGACTCTCGGTCCTCTTCATCGACAAATTCCCCCGTGCCGGCCGACAACGAAGAGTCCGACTTCTTTCTGGGTGCCAACGACTCCCAGTCTTCGCTCGGCGTCCCCAACTTCTCAGACATGCAGGTCGTCGACGACGCCTGCTGGCCGCCCGTCAACCGGCTGCCCAACGAGATCCTCATCGGCGTCTTCTCCAAGCTGAGCTCGACGTCCGATCTCTACCACTGCATGCTCGTGTGCAAGCGGTGGGCTAGGAACGCTGTCGACTTGCTGTGGCACCGGCCGGCTTGCTCCAACTGGAAGAACCACCACAGCATCTGCCAGACGCTGGGTCTCGAGCACCCCTACTTCCAGTACCGCGACTTCATCAAGCGCCTCAACCTCGCCGCCCTCGCCGACAAGGTCAACGATGGCAGCGTCATGCCCCTCGCCGTCTGCTCCAGGGTTGAGCGCCTGACGCTGACCAACTGCCGCGGCCTGAGCGACACGGGCCTGATTGCTCTCGTCGAGAACAGCTCGTCCCTGCTGGCCCTCGACATCTCCAACGACAAGCACATTACCGAGCGCTCCATCAATGCCATAGCGAAGCACTGCAAGCGCCTGCAGGGCCTCAACATCTCGGGCTGCGAGAACATTTCTAACGAGAGCTTGCTCACCCTAGCCCAGAACTGCAGATATATCAAGAGGGTGAGTGATTTTGGCTTCTGGCAGCTTGATGCGTGGCCTCGATATCTTTCTTGCCTTGAGCCGCTCTCCCGTAACCGCGCTCTATCCTTTAGCGGAATTAGCTAACATCTTTTCTCGCAGCTCAAACTCAACGAATGCATCCAAGTGCGCGACAACGCCGTCCTTGCCTTCGCCGAGCACTGCCCCAACATCCTCGAAATCGACCTCCACCAGTGCGTCCAGATCGGAAACGGCCCCATCACGTCTCTTCTGGCCAAGGGCAACAGCCTCCGCGAGCTCAGGCTGGCCAACTGCGAGCTGATCGACGATGACGCCTTCCTCTCCCTGCCGCCGAACCAAGTCTACGAGCACCTGCGGATCCTCGACCTGACGTCTTGCAGCCGCCTGACGGACGCAGCCGTGGCCAAGATTATCGATGCCGCACCCCGTCTGCGGAACCTGCTCCTCTCCAAGTGCCGCAACATCACGGATGCAGCCATCCACTCGATCGCCAAGCTTGGCAAGAACCTGCACTATGTCCACCTCGGCCACTGCGGTCAGATCACCGATGACGGCGTCATTCGCCTGGTGCGTAGCTGCAATCGCATCCGCTACATTGACCTCGGGTGCTGCACGCTGCTCACCGACGTGTCCGTTCGATGCCTCGCCACCCTGCCCAAGCTGAAGCGCATAGGCTTGGTCAAGTGCAGTAGCATTACCGACGAGTCCGTCTTTGCGCTTGCCGAGGCAGCATATCGTCCGCGGGTGAGGAGGGACGCCAACGGAATGTTCTTGGGCGGCGAGTACTTTGCTCCCAGCTTGGAGCGTGTCCATCTCAGCTACTGCATCAACCTGACTCTCAAGGTATGAATGATTCAAGGGAAAACAACACCCTTTTTGGTCGCAAAGACAAGACTAACAAGACGGCAGAGCATCATGAGGCTTCTCAACTCGTGCCCTCGTCTGACCCATCTCAGCTTGACGGGCGTGGCGGCATTTCAACGGGACGAGTTCCAGCCCTTTTGCAGACAAGCGCCAGCTGGTGAGTTGTGTTCCCAATCTTTCTGCCTCGACCGATATACTAATTGAAGCAGAGTTTACGCAGCATCAGCGGGATGTCTTCTGCGTCTTCTCCGGCACCATGGTGTCCAAGTTTCGCGACTACCTGAACACGGCGCCGCAATTCGAGAGCCTCCGAGACAGCTTCTTTACGCGGCATGCTGGCCGCTTGAGGGGCACGGTCATCCGTCGATCCAGCGGACTGCCTCCCATCCAGACCACCGAGGGCGAGGCTTTCGACGACGACATGGCCTTTGACGATAACGACTTTGAGGGCCTGGACGCCAGCGAAATGGTCGTCGATGCCCAGCCCCAGAATCTGCCCTTCCATGTGCAAGTTCCGCCAGCTCCCACACAGCCCGGCAACCAGGGTCAGGCGATACCGCCTCCTCCCCTGGAGCCGCCCATCATCAATTCGTCGACCAACTTCCTCTCCAGCATGCTAACCCAGCCGTTTCAGCCTGCCCCGAACGCTTCGGCAGATCTCTTTGACGAATCTGCTGCAGGCGTCGGAGCCACCACCAGGTCCTTCCCACAGTACGCCGTTCCCTTGAGCACGGCTACAATTTCCAACTCTCACGGCCACCACGGTTTCCCACATGCTAGCGTCGCCGGCTTGTCACAACCCTCCGTCTCAGGGCAGGGCAGCGCGGCAGCCGCCGGTCCCTCAACAGGTGCCAGCACGGTGACGATTCATCAGCCGTCGAGCACGACGCCGGAGCAGCAGCAGCAGAGCGATACCAACTGAAGCGTTTGAAGCATTCTCTGTGTACATGGGCTTGCAATAGGCACGGTCCTGAATTTCTTTGATTGACGGGCATACCGGATAGATGGGGAGGTGAATGGTGCGGAAGAGGCCTCTTAATGAAGCGAGGCGCTCACCCTCCAGCCCCCGGGTCAAATACATATCTATTCGCGGCAGCTTCTGTTTTACGATGCATGGGAAATAGTGTTATATACTTATTACAGCGCAGCCAAGGAGTTTGCATCGGCGTGCACGGCATAGGTTTACTGGGACAAAATTGGGCATGATTCGGCATTTCATCCAAGTCACCACACGCCTTTGGGCGGAGGCATTGAGCTTCATAGTGGTTGCAGATGCTGGTTCTCGAAGGCTGCAGCGGCATGTCGAAGGCTGGCGGTCTGTATGAGCTTTGAGACAGCTGTAGTGGTGGCTCGGTGTGGAAAGACGACTGGGCGGATTTCTGATTTCAACTGTTTCTTTTCGTTCATTTTTTTTACAGGTTGATGGTTGACACTGACACTGACTCGGCTGGGCTGCACAAGAAGGGCACGTCAATGCTGTAATTCAACGGAGGCTGTGAGAAGTGTGAAGTGTCTGGTACGAGAAAAGAAGGATGTCGTTTATAACATATGTTACGTTACCTACAGTCTCTTATATTACCAGATAGGAGGCAAATTACAGAGTTGCTCTTCTTTTTGTCTTCACTTTCTCTCAGATGGGAGAATAAGATAGGCATACACACCAAGGCAGATAATGAGACTCTTGATGCCTACGAATGGAACTGTTACAGGATGGATGTGAAGGGGACGGAAGGATGGAAATAGGGTCAATTGAAAGTTACTGGAAGGGCAGCTGGTTGGGAAAAGGATGAGATGTTTCTTGATTCAGATATACGATATACGTGGGCGTTTGGTAATTGATTTGATATGTTTAATTACTGGGATATGATGTGGAGATTGAGGTGCTATGAGATGTGAGGTGTTGTGAGGTGCTGCGAGGTGATATGATGAGTGAAGGAATGGTGGGATGTGAGATGGAGTTGCGGGAGAAGAGGAACGGGAGAAGAGGGGGGCTGAAGTAGAGGGAGCTGAAGTAGAGGGAGCTGAAGTAGAGGGAGCTGAAGAGAGAGGAGTTGATGCTGATACCTTCTAATCGTTGGTCTCTTTTAAGATCAAGATGTTTCTATGTTTATAGCATATATATATGTACTATTGCCTCATATTATACGAAATTTATTCTAGCAAATGGTATCAATAAACGGAACCCCCCATGCAAACCCCATATACACCACAAACAAAAAGCCCATTATATACTCCCAGTCAATCAACCCCCCCTCCTATTTCTCCCTTCAGCACGACCTCCACAGCAAAGGACATTCTTCTTTCATCAAAACGCTCTTTACACAGGCATCTTCTCAGCAGAATGCTTCTCCGCCGTCGAACTGCTGCTGCTCAGCACGGCGGGCGTCATGGGCACCCCGTCGGTGACGTGCCGCGTCAGCTCGACGTAGTCGTACGCGAACTCGCCCAGCTGGCAGTCGTCGACGCCAACGTCCTCGTCCTCGGCGCTGACGCGCAGGGACAGGCCCGGGATGAGGTTCATGAGGAAGAGGATGATGCAGGAGAGGGTGAAGGACCAGCCGAAGGCGGCGCAGATGCCAGCGAGCTGGTTGCCGAGCTGGACCCAGTGGTGCTGGATCCAGCCGATTTTGGGGACGGTGCTGCCGTCGAGTTGGGCGATGGAGTTGCTGCATTGTAACCACGTTAGCTGATGAGTCTCTTGTTTGAGGGTTTGAGAGACGATGACTTACGTTCCAAAGATGCCAGTCATGATGTTGCCCGCCATGCCGCCGATGCCATGGACGGCAAAGATGTCGAGCGCGTCGTCCACGCCGATGAGGAACTTGAGCTTGGTGGCAAAGTTGCAGCAGATGGAGCCCACGATGCCGATGATGAGGCCTCCCCAGGGCGTGACGTAACCGGACGCAGGCGTGATGGCGACGAGGCCGGCGATGGCGCCGGAGCAGAAGCCAATGGTGCTCCATTTCCTCTCCAGCCGGTAATCCAGCAGGACCCATGTGACCCCGCCGACAGACGCGGCGAGGTTCGTCACGAAGCAGGCCATGATGGCGCGGAGGTTCATGCCGAGCGCCGACCCGCCGTTGAAGCCGAACCAGCCGACCCAGAGGAAGACGGTGCCGACGACGACGTTTGTGACGCTGTGCGGGCGGTAGGGCAGGCCGTTGTTCTTGCTGTAGCCGGTGCGCTTGCCGAGCATGATGCTGTAGGCGAGGGCGCAGGTGCCCGAGGCGATGTGGACGGGGCCGCCGCCGGCGAAGTCGTACGAGGGCAGCTTGAAGAGCCAGCCGTTGGAGTTCCAGGTCCAGTAGGCGATGGGGTCGTAGACGACGGTGGACCAGATGAACATGAAGACGATGGCGGGGAGCATGCGGCCGCGGTCGGCGACGGCGCCGATGGCCAGGGCGGGACTGTTTTTGGTGTGTGTGTCAGTCTCGTTGATCGATTAAGAGGGGTGAGATGGGGGGAGAGCAGGAGATGGGAAGATGTGTTCCTGGAGGAGAGAGTACTCACGTAATGGCGGCAAACATGCCCTGGTACAGGCAAAACAAGATGTCGGGGATGTTGGACGAGCCGTTGGGCTGGGCCAGCGTCTTGAGCAGGCCAAACTGCGTCAGATCGCCCAGGAAGGCGTTGCCGGTCCGCGAAAAGGCCAGCGAGTAGCCCCAGAAGAACCACTGGAAGGAGATGACGCCGACGGAGACCATGGACAGCAGGATGAGCGACAGGGCCGACTTGCGGCGCGCGAGGCCGCTGTAGAAGAAGCCCACGCCGGGGATCATGAGCAGGACGAGGGCGGCGCTGACGGTGATCCAGGCCATGTTGCCGGTCTGTGTGAGAGGATGTGTAAGTAAGTGACTTGTTACTCCTGTTCACGGGATCGAGGAAAGACGTACGTCGTAAAAGATGTTGAGGTCGCTGACTCCGGTCGAGTGACCAGAGTCGGCTTTGCCTGTTGTGCCATTGTAGGCAACGACGCCTGGTGGTGTCGACATGATGCTTCTCTTGTTCCTCCTTTCCTATGCCCAATACCGTTCTGCTATCGGTTGGTCCTTGGTGTTTTGGTCGTGTAGCTCTTCGAGTCGACGGCACACTGAAGAATAACCTCAAGTGAGAAGTCCTCAAGTGAGAATCACGAGGCCGGTGATGGATGGACGAGAATCCAACGACAGGGGAAGAAGGGGGGGTTGAGATGGGAGCTGGCTTGATATATGTATGCATATACTGCCATCGACCCCCTAGCCTATAGATAACCTGGCATGGCCATGCACTCTGATCCTCAGCTTCATCGATCACCCCCCCGACTTATCCCGCACGTCCTTTCAGCTCGCTTGCTTTAAAGTTATGTGACTGGGTCAACACCAACTCGGAGCATCCATCGGCCAGGAGAGAAAGCTGCCACATCCCACGCCCAGAACACTATACAATGCGGCCAGCCGCATGAAGCCCAATACTAGTAGTAGTCTGTCTCGCCAGACAGGTACGCTGCGAGGTCGGGGCGACTGGCGCGCCTCTCAGATGAGCTTATCGCCCTCGAGATGGATGGCGACTTCATTGGTGCGGACGCCGGTTAGTGCCCAGGGAGGAAGCCACAGAGATAAGTGATGCGACTCCCACAGGTTGTCCGGGGATTCGGTACCATGTTGGGTTGATGCTTATCTGCGAGGCTTATCTCGTGGCATATCACGCCAGTGTATGAGAGATGGGAGGGTTTGGCTGAGGCAGTTTTCGTATAGCTGACAGCCTATTCATTTGGCTTTCTGCGATCAACGTCTTTGCAGGGAGCGGAATGAATACCAGTGACATGCTGTGAGGGTCTCTCAGCTGGCGTGGGGTTTCCTGTTTAAAGTGTTGCCGTATGTATAAGTTGTATGAGCTTTCGAAGCGCTGTTGCTTGTCGTGGTTGGTTCTGTCTCACTCAGATGGGGTCCCTCCCTTTCGGTTCGTCGCGCCGACCTCGAGACGGAACTGGAGATGATCTGTTCGTCGAGAGACACTCGGTGGTATTGAAGATGAGGCTTCTGCAGTGCGATGTTGCATCCCTGCATAGCTTGAGCCTCGCTCACTCCACTTGCTTCATCATCGTCGAGCTGAGTCCATCAAACAACACCAAACAGCACCCCTTTGCCAGATCGTAAGGTCCCGTCCCTGTATGCATCAAATCGGAGGCACACCAACACCATGCCAACCCTGCCCGATAGTCCATGCGTACATTGTCCTCAGTATCAGTCCCAAGGCCTTACGCAAAGCCATTTGTGCTTATCCGCCGTTGTCTGACACACCCACCCATGGCTCTTATCAGTGGCATCAGTCTTTCCAACGCCGCGCCTCTCACGGAACCGATGCCCAGTCTGGCGTAGACCCTCGATGTTAGACGCATGGCACCCCGGCTCCCGCCTGGCGATGCTGATTGGGCGACAGTCCTTATCTCTCGAGACGGCGCTTGTGGGGGCTCGCACTTCAGGCTGGCTGTCTAGCGCGGTGAAGCTGTGCCTGATGCCGTTGTTCACATGAATGGCTGCTTCAGCTGCTGGTTTCCTCTTCCCCGGGATATCCCCACGTCTCCCCGTGCTTCCGGGTAAGGCGAAAACGTGGTGGCGTGGTGGCGTCTGTGGCATCAACTGTTAGAAAGGTAGACGAAGTCGTGTAAGCCATGGGCGCAAAACAGGCAATGGTGGTGATGGCAAAGATTGACCTTGAGATTCTCGCTTTTCACATGCAAGTCACACAAATCACACTATCAGCGGCCCCAGGTTTTCGACCGACCGTGCGTCGAATCCTATACATTTGCCCGGGGCCGATCTGACGGGATTCACAGGTATAGCAGAAGATCACTCAGAGGTAGGAGAAGTGGTGAGAATAGTCGAGAATCGAATGGCTGATAGTTCTTGAGTTGAGTATTCCATCGATATAGTTTTCGCGGTGATTGTCGCCACGCTCAGTTCAGGCGAAACCATGCCATTCTGCGACATGGATTCTGTCACATCCAGTGGTTCATGCACTCTGGACTCTGTATTTTGCGTCGGCTGGTATGTCGTCTCCGCTATAGAGACAGCAGAGGGTAAGACAGATCGATCTCGATGAGATTCGACTGGGCGTTCTTCCACACTTACTGGAGCGCCGGTGAAAATATCAATCCGAGCGCGGAATAGTCTATCGTCTTTCGCAAAAGCATAGTATCCTGCAGTGCTTCCGCCAAATCCCGGTCCCGCGGCCTGTCTATCCTGATGCTTCATTCATTCCTTACGGCCTGAGGTGCTTCGATGTCTGTCCAGTAACAAGTGGCTGTCCAGTGTCGGAGCGCCCACATGTTCCGGTGGCAAAATCCTCCGTCTATGCTGTATCCGGTCATGCTATCGTTGAGACATGCAAGTTGTTGATATATCGGCATGGATGTAAGTAAAAGATGATACTGCTCATGGCCCGGTGTTTCCTCCGGCACTGCCCTGGACGTCCTCCCTCCACTGCTTTTCCAGATCCATCAGACACTTGACGACGTCCCAGGGAGCCTCTTCTTCCAGAGCTGTCCGGTGCTCACGAGAGATCTTGTTGAGCACGTAGCGGCTCACTGTGGCCGGATCCCGTGCCTCGGGCCGTCCAATGCCAACGGCAATTCGGGCAAATGGTGATTCCGGATACTTTTTCGGTGACACTGATCCCCTCACGCTCTTGACGCCGTTATGCCCTCGAGGACTACGGTCCCAGGGAAGAAGCTTGACCACCCCGAAGTCCTTCTCCAGCTCGTCGTGAACAATGACCAAGCTGAGCGATTCAGCGCCGTATTTCCGGACAGTCTCCTGCCATGCATTGGCCACAAAGCCTCCAGAGACGTTCATATACGTCGGAGACTGCACGAGCGTGTATTTCGGGCCCTGAGACACCATGCAAGACTGCCTGCCCAGCGTCACCTCGCGCAAGGCCGGCTGGTGGAGTGCCTTGGTGAGGCCATTGAGAACAAAATGACCGGCCGAATGTAGACTCTCGTATTTTGGCAGTGGATTCCCCAGACTGATGACGAGGAATCGAGGGTTGAACATGCTTTCCGCAGAAAGGACTGCCGTGGGTTGACTGACCTGCAAAATCATGGAATATTCCAAGCAAAAGACGAGAAATCGGTCATTCACGTGAGAAACAGCAGCGCAAATCAGGGAATGGCGGAACATATTTTCCCCGGTGTGGCTGAGCTAGCACCGCTGACGTCGACGAGCCCATTGGGCGGAGCATCGTGGCTGGGCATCTGGCAGTTCGTCACTTTGTCCTGCTCTCACGCCTCAGCCTCACAATCGCAAACTCCTGAGTCCGTCATCTGCCGCAAACCGAGCCAACGAGCACCAACCAGCTGCGCAAACAGTCGATACCCCGATACCCGAGATCCAGCAGAGAAACACCAGCTACAGTCACCGGGAAGCAAAGACAAGACAAGCAACATGTCGTGGGCGGGTACGGAGCTTGCGGATGCCCCGCTGACGGACAAGAGGGAGAGGGGCTGACGAGATCGCAGGATTCAAGAAGAATGTGAACCGCGCGACGACGCAGGTGATGATGAAGACGGGTGATTATGACCCTCCAGCCGAATCATACGAGGGATGGGAATCGTTACTCATCATGCGATGCAGGGCATGTGGAAAAGACAAACGATCGTGACTACGAGGTCGAAGAGAGGTAGAATAGGAGACAAACAAGCTGCTGGTGAGGGGACAGCACGTGCTAACCCAATCACAGACGGTTCAGAACAATGGAGACAGCTGCGCTACGGCTGCAAAAGGAATCAAAGGGCTATCTTGACTCTTTGAGAGGTACGCAGACGCCAGGCCCCTGTGGCCGAACGTTCCGGGCGCAGGACTAACTTGTCGACCTCTACGACAGCCATGACAGCGTCACAGATGAGAATCGCCGAGACGATAGATGCGTTCTACGGCGACTCGGGCGCAAAGGATGGCGTCAGCAGGAGCTACAAGCAGGCCGTGGAGGACCTCGACGCCGAGACCATCAAGGCCCTCGACGGCCCGTACCGAATGACCGTGCTCGAGCCCATCGCCCGGTTCTGCGCCTACTTCCCCGACGTCAACGAGTGCATCAAGAAGCGCTCCCACAAGCTGCTCGACTACGACGCCCTGCGCGCCAAGGTGAAGAAGCTGGTCGAGAAGCCGGACAAGGACGCCACCAAGCTGCCGCGGACGGAGAAGGAGCTGGAGATGTCCAAGGCCGTGTACGAGCAGCTGAACGAGCAGCTGACGACGGAGCTGCCGCAGTTGATTGACCTGCGCGTGCCGTATCTGGACCCTAGCTTTGAGGCGCTGGTCAAGATTCAGTTGCGGTTCTGCGCGGAGGCGTACTCGCGCATGGCACAAGTGCAGCAGTATCTGGATGCGGATACGCGAGACTTGTACGCAGAAGGACATCTCGACGCAAGGGTGGAGCAGGTGTTGCAGGAGATTCGGGAGTTGAGCATCAGCGGAACGGTGTAATTCGGATGTGGCAGGGTGTTTGAGCAGAGGAGCGAAGACGTGTTAGGAAGCGAGGAGATGCGAATTACGAAGCTACTGGCGTATGGTTTGGTTCCTTGTTCGATTATTGTTATTTAGATATTGGTTTGCTCAGGACGGTCTATGGATAGACTAGCACTTGCTCGCTGGAAGGTCGCCTTCGGTTGGCAGTATGTAATGAGATTCCCTTCCCTTCCGCTAGGGACAAGCACTGGTGAGCATGTCTGACTCTATCCTTTAGTGATTGGCGCTTGGAGTGATAAGAGATTGTCCTTTGAATCCTTCAGATGGGGACTCGGCGTTGCTTTGTCCTAATGGTTTGGCTTGTGCCTAGTTAAGATTGTTTGGGTGTTTTGGTCATAGGCGTTCAACTTCCCGTAGCCTCTGCTTGTCTCCCAAAGAGCTCATTAAGCGTCAATGGTCGCCCGATTGCCTGCATTGCTGGCCCTGCCTCTGGTCCCTCATTCTCCACGGTCCCAGCAGCACGCGCAATCTTCCAGCTCTCTTCAATAATGGCCCCGTTCGTTGCCCTTGTCTGCTCTTCGTCGTTGTGAATCCACAGCCCCAACACCTTCTCCTCGGCTTCATGATCGCTCTCCACCTTGAGAATCACCAGCTCGCCCATGATCTCCACATGTCCCACCCTCGCCAAATCAACGATGACATTGTCCAGGCCCCGTCGACTCAAGACGAAAACACACGCCCGCGGACGATTGTGCACGTCATCTGGCAGCGGCGTCTGCGCGCACACAAACATGGTGCCCTCGATGCCCGACTTCTCCCAGCTCGAGGCGGCAGCGTCAAAGGTGTAGACGACGGCGTTGGCGGCGATGCTGAGGATGCGGCTGATGGAGGGCAGGTAGCGCTGCAGCACGGAGAGGTTGAGCTCCGTGTTGGTCCGGGGGGGAGGCGGTTCGTAGGTCGGAGCCATGGCGGCGACGTCGGACTCGTAGTCGGAGATGGCGGGGATGCGGTTGGACGGGTGGCGGTGGTGCCGCGATTTTCGGGGGGCTGGACGGCTCATTTTGTGGGAGGACGAAGCGTGGAGAAGGAGTTGTTTGGCTGAGTTTGCTGTGGTGGACGACAGAGCGTGTGGTATGTCTGGGCGAGGATGAAGAGAGAATGAGAGTATGAGTTTGTTGGTCAAGCTGAGGCTGTGATGGCGGGGAGGTTCGGTGTCGAAAGAGGAAACGGCAGTGGTTGAGAGCAGCTATGTCGAGAGAGACAAACAGCAATGCAAGAAAAGGTGATTGGCGGAGTGATGGCGATGATGTGTAGAGAGTCGTTTCGGTCTGTGGGCGAGAGAGGACAGCGGTCAGTTGATGATGTCGCTTTGTCGAGGTTGGCTTGACCTGACAGCTGCGAGCACTGGAGAGACTGGGCTTAGAGCAGCTGCCAGTGAGTAAAGAACGTCGCTGGAGCTTATCGATAACGCCCCGGGACGGTAGCTGCTCTCGGCATGACGCGAAGCTCTGGATCGCCTGAAGATATGGGGAAGCTGCTCTATAATCGCCTGTCCATCTCTTTACCGTATTTCCTCTCAACCTCCCTGTCGTGAACATCTGTTCTTCTGCTTTTCTACCAACTCAATCGAGTCGCCGTCAGCAGCCAGATTGCTGTTTATTCCGCAGTTTATACCAACCACATTACACAATTGTCACAGCCCTACTCCATACAACTAAAAGGTACAGACAACACCAGACACAGCTACCTACCTATATATGCGGACCAACGCCCGATTGCGTCGGATTCGACACCATCGCCCCCATCGCCGCATCATGATCTAGCAGCCAGGCTGTGGCAACAAGATCCACGATCGTGAGAACCGGCGACGCCGCATTCAACGACTCTGTCCTCACTCTCTCGCGACCGTCGCAATGGAGGAGCCGGCGAAAGACCAGACGAACCAGTCCATCGCCTCGGACCCCGTCGAGGTCGGCGTCCCTCAGTCTCTGGCCCGTGCCGTCTTGTCTCGGCGCTCCGAATACCTTCGTCCGTGCCAGATTCGAGTCAAGGTGGGCACCTGGAACGTGGCGGCTCGCCCGGGGACGGATAAGGACCTCGCCAGCTGGTTCGTCGAGGATGTGCCAGTCGACAAGGCGCTGTCAGGGCTCGATATCGCTGGTGACGATCGTCCACGACGCTCGACTGAGTCGGGCAATGGAGACACTAGGCCAGAACCGATGACCCAGGAGGGAGAGGGAGGATACGATCTCTACGTGCTGGGACTGCAGGAAGTGGTGGACCTCAACCGGACAGGCGAGTACATGAGGGGCCTATATGTCGATAGCGGGCCCATGGACAAGTGGAAGGCAGCGCTGGAAGCAGCAATTCCTCAAGGATATCAGCTTGTCGTGTCTGAGCAGATGACAGGACTGCTGCTCCTGATTTATGCCTCTCCCACGATTGCCCCCACAATAAGCAACATCTCTACGCAACAGGTTGGGACAGGGCTGCTCGGATACTTTGGGAACAAGGGCGCCATAGCCACTCGTCTCGTTCTGGGAGAGACTACAAAGCTGTTGTTCGTCAACTGCCACCTCGCTAGCGGCGCAGGTCCAGCTGCTCTTGACCGACGGTGCTGGGACGTAGCCCAGATCCTGGCCAAGACTCAGTTCGACCCAGTGGTGATTGGAGGCGTGTCCGATGATGAAGGGGACAGGATCGGAGACGAAGACTTTGCTTTCTGGTTTGGAGACATGAACTTCCGGCTGGATGGCTTGCCAGGAGACGACATCAGACGGCTGCTGACGTTGCATGCTCGCGGAGAGTACGACTTGAACAACGACAAGCCGGCGCCCATTGAAGGAGACGACGGCATCATCGTCATGCGGTCATCCGAAAGCGACGACGACACAGCCACCATGTCGTCGATGTACTCCAGAGACCACAGCTTTGATCAAAGCTTCGACTCGGAGAGCTCTCTACCAGATCCCGACGACTTTCCGGAAGACCCTAGCCAGGACCCAGCGTCTTTACAGGCAACCATCGACTCGCTTCTACCTCATGACCAGCTGAAACGAGTGATTGCTAAGCAGAAGCTGTTCCACGACGGCTGGAGAGAAGGACCTATCACCTTTCTGCCAACCTTCAAGTACGACATCGGTACATTTGGCTTATTCGATTCGAGCGAGAAGCAGAGGGCGCCTAGCTGGTGCGATCGGGTCCTCTACAGGACGCGCAAGGACAAGGAGGCATATGACAAGAAGCTGGAGGAGCTGAAGGAGACCAAGCGCAAAGACGAGGAGATGAGGGCAAGAGGGCTTGAGGAAGACGAGGATGTGCTCTTTAGCTACGACCCCGACACCGACGGAGAGGAACAGCCGCCAAAGCCAGCATCCACCGAGGCATATGACGAGTATGACGAATACGACATGAACGAAGATAGGCCGGCAGACGGTGCTGATCCAGATCATGCCTCTCTCGATTTCTACAGCTCTCAGCAGCGCATCACATCATCGGACCACAAACCAGTTCTCTCCACGTTCACTCTGCGCTACGATGCCGTCGATCCCGAAAAGAAGGCTCGGATTCACTCAGAGATTGCTTTCGAGCTGGATCGGGCTGAGAACGAGGGCCGGCCCGGCGTCACGCTGATTATCGAGGGGGGCCACGGCGCGACGGACGGAGTCGTCGACTTTGGCGAGGTGGGCTTCTTCGAGGCACACTCGTGCTCCATCACCATTGCCAACACCAGCAGCGCTGCTGCCAGCTTTGAGTTTCTCCATGAGACCCAGACCAGCGAAGACGAGCGGGGCGCAGCCCAGTGGCTCAAGACGTCGTTCCACCGGCCAGACCAAGACGGTACTCAGACCAGGCTCGGCTCGTCGGTGACGCTGGAGCCCGGAGAGACAATTCTGGCCGTAGTCGAGGCGCGAGTGTCGGAGATTTCGCATGTTCGCGCGCTCAACGACGCCAGCTGCAAGCTGGACGATGTGTTGGTTCTGCGCGTCGAGGGCGGCAAGGACCACTTTGTTCCTGTCCGCGGCACGTGGCTCCCCAGCTGCTTTGGCCGGTCGATTGACGAGCTGATTCGAGTGCCGGAGTGCGGAATCCGCAAGTTTATCAAGGACAACAACATTCAGGGAGCCATCACGTACGACTGGGACGTTCACTGCTCTGCACCGCGGGAGCTCTTCAAGCTCACCGAGGTCATTCAAACCATGGCCGAGCGTTGCGTTGCCGACGAGGCGATGCTGGAGCACATGACTTTGCCGCGAGACCCGGGCTGGCCGTTGGACTCCGCGACATGGACGGTGGAAGCGGCCAAGCAGGACGAACTCAAGGCGGCACTCATATCAGCCCTGGACACGAACGCACCGCTGGCGGATGCTCTGCCGGTGGAGCTCCTGTCTACGCACAAGCTGGAGATTTACTCTGCCGTCTTACTCCTATTCCTCTCGTCTCTCATCGACGGACTGGTTCCACCGCATCTCTGGGCTAAGCTCTCTATAGAGTTGCCGAATCTCAATACCCTGCCGGTGACATCGTGGCCCGACGTGAAGAATCACATCCTCGACCTGCTTGCAATGTCTCCGAGCCACAACATTGCCTTTGTCTTCTTGACGGCCACCCTTTCGCGTGTGGCTGCCGAGTTAAACCCTGCGACTGCGCCGGGGCCGACCCCAGGCGCGTTAACCCGACGGCTCAGCTTCCGCCCCGGCGAGACTGAAGCAGTCCGGAAGAGGAGGGCCAGGGAGAGGCGGTATGCCGAGATTGTGAGCCCGCTGCTGTTCCGATCGAGCGATGATAAGGACAAGGCGAAGAAAGACCGAGAGCGGATTGTGCTGGAGATGTTCCTCAGGAAGGACGATCGGAGCTAGACGCTCAGCGGAGAGAGGGGCGGTAAATTTTTGAGGAAGATGAGATGGCGATGATTCGAATTATCGGTGTTCAACGGTCATAGATGGGTGCTGGGATACCATGCTAGCGAGTGTTTGGTGTTGTATTGTGATATGATGCGATGGATACCTCGTATATAGTAGACGACTATGAGTATGTAGTTGGTAGTCTTATGAGCATTCAGTGCCCCAATTGTGTCTTTTGATGTCTATTTACTTGCGTTTTGCGTCGGTATTGTACAATTGACGCATGTAGCAGAGTCCTTCAGACAACATCTACATGAGGATGAACTTAAGGGGCAGTTGCGTGACGTGGACGTGTATTCCAAAGTGAATGCAAGATCCCAACAAAAGAGAGCCTCCAGTCATTCATCACATGGTCAAGGATACAGCACAAGCACAAACGACTGAATCAAAGTACATCGTGTATACCCTCCATGAGAGAGAGAAAGCATGTGCTCCTGATTCCTCCTTCTCTCGCCATCTGCCGGACACGCGGTCAAGAGTCAACAATCTTCGAGCACGGGCACTTTTGTTGTACTCATTGATCCCACTCTTCTCGTTCTTCATGCAACTATTATCTGCTATGATCTCTCCGCTTCTTTCCTTGCACATGATCACGCACAATACAGAGCAGCCACCTGAATATGCCATCGCTTAGGGGGCGGTCAGGCAGCCTCAACTGGAAGGCACTGCTTCCACGAGGCTGCTTCTCGGCCTTTCTCTTTCTCTAAAACCTGATTTGCCTTTCTTTTCTCTTCTCTGAATCATTATCTCTGTTGGGGAGCAGAGAACTTTCACCCTCGGTTAAGGAGCCTATGTCCCCCCCTCGCCAACAATCCAGGAGGCTATCCCTTCCTCGTCGACGCCATCTTGCTGCAGCCCAGAACTCTACATCGCCTCGAATACTATTGACACGTGTTAAGGATACTTACGACGATAGAGGACGAAGCTTGCACGCCGAACTTCGTGTCCCGAGACGTCGACGCTATTCTTGACCCAACGGATATCCATATGAGGCTACCTCGATCCTGATATGCTTTGAGGCTGGATATTTGGGCTGTTGATGGCTGATGAATACCACGATTTGCCACCGGATCGTTCTACGGAGAGCAGACGATGGTTACCATGAGCCCCAAAGGATAAAAAGCCTCCGCGAAAAGCCACTCACATCTCCATCAACAGTTGTCCGTCTGCTGGTAGCCAGCAGGGTATATAGAGAGGCCTTCCATCCGGCCTTCTCTTGAGATCCTTTCCCCCAGATTCACAACATACACACCTGGCAACCCATCTTGTATACACTCACACTTTCAACACCTTCGACAACAAGATGGCTCGCCAGTTCCGCGACACAGACCCCAGCTCTCTCCTGCGCCGACGAATAGCGTATGGGAAGCTGCAGGGGCAAGCCGATGCGTTCAAACGCCATCGCGACGAGATGCGTCTTCTCTCCCCCCCGGAGTGCAAGACGTTTCTCAACGGCAGGCCCTACGAGGGCCCAAAGCCAGGGCCCCGGGTCGAGATGCTGTTCGAGGCTGCTAGAAGCACCTTGGACATCCCACGTGTTCGGATGCCACGCCGAGACCCTCAGGTAAGCTCCGCCACAAAGGGGTTGAAGTCCAGTTTGAGTTGATGTGCTAACTATCGATCTGGAATAGACTCCCAACGTGGCAAACTGCGTGGCCTTGGACGTGCCGGAGAACCAGCTCCAGATGGTCAAGTACCAGAAGGCCGTCGAGGAGAGGGGGAAGTTCGCGTGGCTCACATATCGCCGGCGATTCATGGTGTCGTGTCCCTCGCCCATGGAGACGTGGAGGCTTGAGAAAGAGTACGTGGACTACAGGGCAGCCGCGCACATGCTCAAGATCGACTTTCTCAACGAGAACGCCTACCATAAAACCCGCAAGGCGCTGAGAGAGTTCTTGGCCGGCGAGGGCATCACCCTGGAGCAGAGACGACGGGGCCTGCTCAAGTCTAGGGGCCGCGGGAGTCCTCTGAAGGAGGTCATCTCCATTGACGAAGACTGGCCCCAGTAGGGCTGGGCAGACGCCGGTCTTCAACGGTTGGAGGCGACTTGGGACTTGAGTGGGAAGATGCAGAAAAGCCAGCTTCTTGTTGGGGACACGGCGAGCAAGATACGGTGGTGATGGGGCATGACAACTGGAGATTTTTGGGCGATGACTTCGAGAGTTTGATTGGAGTTTGGTAAAAGTTGGCCTTGGGCTTAGACTGGACTTGGGCTTGGGATATTTGCTTTTGATCTGGTGTTAGACGATACCCTTTCCTCTTCGACGGGATGCTTCAGTTTTGCGCTGCTCTTACTATAGTGAACAAGAAATACATGGTTGACTGCAAACTTGTCTACTTTACGAGAACGTCCGCATGTAATGCCATGCGTATGTATGCGCTGTTGTAGACTAGAGTGATCCTCGTGCAAGTCAAAATGAAATCCTTTGGATGAATATCAGAAGTTGTGGTTACTTACTCTGCCCTCCTCATCTCTTCTTGATCGCTGTCTTGTATCTAGAAGCTCACAGTCAAGGCAGGGAGATAGGTGTATGAGTGTCGTCTACCTTACTCCATGGTACAGTTGTTTACAGCAATCTCGTTGTCTATTGCTCTGTTCCACCTGTAAAAAGATCTATGGAGACCTTTAATGTTAAAGGTTCAAGTTTCGATTTCTGGGCTGTCTCGTACTACGCTTTGCTCTTTGTGCGGGTTGTGTCCGACACTATCATCGTGTGCCCTCATTAGGTGTCCAGAGAATAATTCGACAATGGATAACAAGACGCAATAAAGTCAATCAAGCAAAGTAAAAAGAAGAATGAAATATCTAATTAGAAAACGGAAAGAATGAGAAATGATCCTGCCGCAAAACCAAAGTTGAAGTTCAGAAAGCTTGTATGAACCCCTTCTGCCCAGTTTCTAGATACTAGCATGCTTGCTGCTTACGAACCTTGGAGTGCCGCGGGGAGTCTTCGACATGAAGCCGGACACTGAAAAGACGTTTGAAGTCTACAGTTCTTTTAGGGGTTGTAGAGGCTATGCAGATCATTCTGGAGTGTTGTCGTCTTACACTTCTTCGAGACATTACCGTCGCTAATAAGTCAGAGATCCTACAAAATGGCCATACGCAGAAGATACCTAGCCAGTGCCTTCTGAGTAGAAACGGCCACTTTGGTAGTTGATGACTTATTTGCTGCCACTTGTTTCATTTCCACCTGCTAACATCCCCGAACTACTTGAGTATATCGGCCAGTCTTCCATTTGCAGACGTTTCTCTCGGAGAGCCTTGTGAAGACTTCCAACTGGAACTGGGGGCTTGATCTGGACGCACCCAAAATCCTGAACAGGGACAAAGAGCGCCCAGTTAGGCAGTTGGGTGATGGTAAAAAGGGGGCCCCTTCAACTAATGCACGATCGCAACGTGCCTAGACAACGGGACGACCCGTACTTTGATGTATCTTCCCATATAACAGCACTAGTAGTAGAACCAAGAAATAATCCATGTAATTCATGTACAAGCATGGAGCGCGCGGCACTAACGGAAGGACTATCGCTTGAAGCAGAATGAATTGGACTGTCTTCAGCGCGATTTAAGGGCTTAAAAGAGGAGAACTTTCTGCTGTTAGGCTTGGTGGGCGGGAGAAAAAAGGGGGGTGAGAGGGGGGAAAGCGGGAAAAGCTGTTAGCTTGGTGGACGTTAGGACCAACGACCCGAACGGCGAGCTGACGACGACGACAAGCGAAGATGGGGATTTGACAGATTGAAAAAGAGGATCGAGTGGTCAGGATTGGTAAAGGGAAATGCATGATTGGAGGTTGGGAGGTCAATTGCAGAATGGACGCTTACACGAGGAACACGAGTCCCTACATGGCCTCGGAACCGATAACACCTTGCATTCTCATACACTTTATGCTCCTCTACCAAGCTTCTGTCTATTGTACAAATTCTCGACATCTCCTAAAGTACTCTCTGCTCGAGTCTTTGTATTCCAATTGTATCCGCTGACATGCATACAAAAGTACTCCAACAACACAATACAGCAAGTCCTTCATAGCTGATAGCACAAGGCAAGGCGACAAGGCAACGAGGCAAGGCGACAAGGCAACAAGGCAAGGCAAAGAAAGGCAAAAAGGCAAACAAAAGGCGACCAAGACAAAAGGACCAAACAGCCCTGCCATCGGAAGGAATCGTCCTGCGGGCGCCGTGGCCCAGCCCAAGCCAAATACTGCTATTCCTCCTACTCCATGCGTCGTATCAAGGTAAGGGATGTCCCGGTAAGGGCAAAAAGGCTGCATATGGATGATGATATGTGATGCTGTTGACTTTTCTTACCTTTTATACTATTCTTGAATGAAACAGCAAAAGTACCGGTACAAGGCGCTTTCGCCATCTATGGCGTTGCGTGTGCATATTTCGCATGTTGGTTATCCAATAGTCCAAGGCTTTGATCCATCCAAACCAACATATTGGGCTCGGCTGCATCTATAGCATCACTTCCAATATCCAGATATTACTGTTCATTGAAAAAAGTACCAAAAGAGTCATCATTATCATAGGAAAATATGGAAATCTTATACTACCAGTCTTCCATCACTTCAGCCCCGTGAGAGCCCAATCACCGCGTCTACAATATATGCGATGCAACCCAATCGTTGTCGGTGCTTTTCCTGCGCCTGTCATCATGCTTCACAACCTTAGTCAATGTACTCCCTCTTGTACGTCGCATGCGGGTGCCAGTCTTCCTCAAACAACTGCGCAACCCAGTAGTAGGGATGGTCCCAGTCGTAAAAGACCTGGCGTCCCTCGTACGGCCTTCCTCCAACGTTGTTTGGAGCGGGCTTACTCACTGCGGCTGGGGGTTAGCACTGTCTAGACTGTTGCTCGGAAGGTCGGCACTCACCATATCCATTGTCTGCCTTGTAGCGTCTCCAAATATCCAGTTGCCCCTGCACGGCGCGATCTGCATAAGCCTGCATCAGGAGATCAAACTCCTCCGACGAGACTTCGGCCAGAGGGCCTTTGTATCTCTCAGCTGCCTCAGTCGAAAGTGGCCAGGCCTTGCAGTTGAAATAGTGCCAGTGCTGGAGGAGGTTGTTGCAGCTTTCATGCAGGCTCTCTACAAATGCCGGGATTGAATAGCGGAGCTGCAAACAAAGACCCATTAGCCTACCGAGCCAGCCAGAGCAGGGGCCATGTCACATTGCATGATCAGGGATAGAGCACAGGGCGGAACTTACACTCCGGCCGTGATTGTTACGCGCGTGACGATAGCGGTCCTCGCTGATCCAACTCGCTTCCCGGAGCAGCATAAACATGCAAGCATAAACGGCGAAGAAATGCTGTGGCTGGCTTCGCGACATGAGAGATTCCAGCTCGCTTAGCACCAGCTTGCCGTACTTGCTGAGGAGCCGCGTGTGGTTGATGCTGTCAAACTGCGCCAGGATCATGCGAGGCACCGAGACTTTGCCAAACAGAGGATAAGTGTCGTCCCTCGTCTCGGGCTTCATTCCTAGCAGTTCCTGGCCGAGGAGCCACGAGGATCCGGTTGAGTGGCCTATACAGCTTCGAGTCAGCTCCGGCAACAGCCACCAACTGCTGTCTCAACTTACGCATGGCAAACCAGAAAGTGATCATATTGCCCAAGAACTTGAGCTCTCTCTCTTCCGCTCCGGTACATGCGGGCTTGCCCTAGACAGCTCGTTAGCTATAGTCCGTTGCGTAGAGAGCGAGGATCATCCATACCGCAAGGTCTTGGTAGCGCTTGATGATGTAGTGGTACGTTCTCTCGAGAATGTCTCGAGGACCTGCCTTTCCGCCCGCTCGCTCCCTCTTCATCACGTCTACCGCGTTCTTCTTGATGTAGTCCTCAAAATAAATTGCTGTCTTCTGAATGTTGTGCAAGCAAAAGTGCGCCAAATCCTTCTTCTTGCGCACTCCCTGCTCGCCGTCCGGCACCATCCAGAATCTCGCAGTCACGTCCCCAGATTGCGGCTGAAATGCAACAACCTCGACCGTGATGGGTTCGTCGCATATGCCCAGAGTAAACTTGATCGTGCGAATGTCCTTGGGGTTGATTCGGTCCGTGACATCCTTCATCTCCGTGCCCTTCCAGCGTTTGGTCAACTCAAGTCCTCCGCTGCGGAACAAGACGGCATCCGTAATCTTTCCGCGATAGCACGGCATTCGATGGATCGTCTTCTTTGACGTTTTGGAGAATGTCTTGCATCCAACACAGTCTCCCGTTGGGTCTGCCGGGTCAGGGTCGCACTATCACAGTTAGCCAGCATCCTGGGTAGAGCAGCAATAAACCCTGCACTTACCCGCATCTTTTGCATCCGACATCGTGTACACGCCTTAAGTTTTCTCGTCTCTGCCGTCTGCTTTCGGTGATTGGGGCTGAGCGGGCTTCGCCTTGGCTTGTTTGAGGCCGAAGAGGATGCTGCATCCTCCTCTGCCGTCGCTGAAGAAGACTCTTGCTGCACCGCGCTTGCTGGCGAGGCATCATGAACATCGAGATCGGCATCCATAGCGTCAGATGTTTCCTCGTCGTTATCCATGCCGTAGTCACACACACTCTCGCCATCGTCCCGAGGCTCTTCGTCGAGATCAAGCTCGTCATTCCCAGTCAAGTCCGTAGACTGCCCGTACAAGGAACCGCCATGGCCTTGAGCATCCAACTCGCCGGTTTCCGTCACAGAGCCAGCATAATGGGAGGCGGCAGCGCTGCCCGGAGACATAGGAGCAGATGAAAACGGGACAGTAGGCTGCTGGACAAGATAGCCATCTGAGGGAGCCTGTTGGCGACTCTCGGGGTATTGAGGTCCTCCACCCATTTGCCCGGACGACGGTTGGGGATATCCGAGGTGTGGCCTGTTATCCACAAAGACGTGGTGTCTCAACCGTGGGTCGTTGTAGGGTGAGTACACTAAAGGATTCGGCACCTGAAAGGATAACTGTCTCTCTGCGAGCTGCTCAGGTCCTGGGTGGGCTGGGAGCAGTGGCTTATAGGTCTGAGGGTGATAGAGATGAGAAGCAGGTTGAGATGGAGGAGGAGGAGGGGGGGGATGAGGATGAATATATGGATGAGGAAGAGGATGAGACAGATGATGCTGCTGATGCTGATGATGGGGATGAAGCGGAATACCTGCCTCGCCCGAGACCAGATGTTGATTCAGACCAAAGGGATGTGGCTGAAACGCTTGGACGGGTGGATAAGGCGTCCCGAGGTTGGCATCGGCTATGACGCTCTCCTGTCCCGGCAGACTCAATTGATGCGGTGAGACTGCGTTGAAAGGTGGCGGATACACGGCACCATTCATGTGAATCGATTGCAGTGGTACAGCCTGAGACGACGAGCTCGATGGGACTGGCTGAAAGGGAGACTGGGCGATGGCATCGCCAGGCGGAGCCAGGACAAACCACGGGGATTGTTGATATTGTTGGTTATAAGTCGAGACCGGCGGCACCGCGGTGGAGCGAGGGCTGTAGGCTGTCGGAGCTTCAGAGCCAGCGATCGGCATGGCACCGTGGTCTTGGCCAAAGACAGGCTGAGCAGAGCGATCTTGGCCGCCATCTCGGCCTGATGGACCGCTGCCTGTGCTATGCAGCTGATAATCTTGATAGGCCTGGGGTCGTGTTTGCAGACCGGCTGCTGGCACATGTACCGGTACGTGTCCGGGGCCTGGTAGGACCGCCACCGCCACGGGAGGTGTTGCTCTGGTGGCAGCCGAAGCAGAGCCCGTGGGCGAGGACAGTGTGCTCGTATGAGCGTGTGTATGCGTATAAGCCGCATCGGGGCGACCTGGACTGGCGAGCTGAAAAGAGCCCTCGTAGCCCTCACAGCCCCGGGGCCGAGCAGCAGCTGAGGCGGCATTGTCGGAGGCTGCGTCACCGTCACTGGTCCTCTTTCGCTTTGGCGGACCGCGAGAGGGCTTGCTGGATGGGGCCTATGTTGAGACCGGTCAACTGTCAAGTCCCTTGCTTTCTCATGTTTGGTTCAGGCTGTCTGTCTGGTCTTGTCCGGTTGAGGACTCAACCCCGGCGAAACAGGAAGAGGGGGCCGGGCAGCTGCAACGGTAATAAGATGAGACGCCGTTCCTCCCATTCGCCATGTACAGACAGCACACAGGCAGACTGATGCTACATGCAAACGGGGGTGTTGGTGGGGGGAGTGTGTGCCAGAGAGACACAGGAACAGGAATGGGAATGTAGGGGGAAAAGGGCGATAAATAAGACACGATAAAACACGCAAGACGAGATTCATGAGCAGAAGATGTAGGAGAGCAGTAAACAGAGAGAACCGCATTAAGCGCGCCTCCCAGGGCTCATCAGCAACTCAAAAACCCCAAGCCCACCACCCCGACAGCTGCTGCCCCATAACATCCCGCAACTCCATACGAGCACCTCCATGCTCTCCTCCCGCAACGTGCGCAGCTCGCGGCCGCAGAACAAAAACGAGGAGGGGAAACAAAGACTAAAAGAAGACGTCACTTACGGAGCCTCCAGGAGAGCGCACAAGTAAGCTCACAGCGGTCGTCTCCATGGCTGCGGCGGCGGACATGCGACGCTGTGACGCTGTCGACGGGAGGGTGTGGTTGCACACGCCGAGGCCTCGAGACCGGTCAAGGCAGAGGACCCAGCACAGCACAGCACCCGGACAAAGACAAGGCGTGCCCTGGCTGGCGATAGGGGCGACGACAGAGTTTCCACCAGGAGAGGGGCCCCAGGAGCGCTTCCGAGGGGACGCAAGCGAGAGAGCGGGCAGTGGGACGGCTCGCTGCGTCGGGTTCGGGTCGTTGCCCACGGGGTGAGAGTGACGAAGGAGCTGCAAATCAGAGCGCAGGAGGCGCAAGGAAGACGAGGACCAGTCTTGAGTCGAGATGGAGAGCCCAAAGGAGGAGCTCAGCAGATGGGTGGGAAACCGGGATGACCAGGAAGCAGTGAGCCGCAGGGGGCCCGCCGTACTTGTACAAGTGAGTACGACGACGATGTGACGGGCGATGGCCGCGCGAGCTGGGAAACCAGTCCATCGGGACGCAGGCGGCGGCACCACACGGACATTTGCTCCAGGCCCGGAGACGACCAAGCTGGCAGACGCCCGAGGCGAGGCCCAGCCATGCCGTGATGCCGCCTTGTCTCCCTTGCAGCCATATTACACATAGACTCCGTCCCGCCCGTGTCGCTAGTCGGCCGAGCTGACGGTTGGCGTTGCTTCTCTCTTCTGCTATCTTGTTTCCGGCTTCTTTTCTCCTTCGTTCAGCGGCCGTCGAGCCCCCGGGCGTGGGAGGATTCGCCAGGATTTGCTGCGAAGAGCTGGGATGCTGCCCGCCAGCCGCCGGTCCGCCGCGGTCCAGAAAAGGCCTCACACGCAAGGGCGGGCCGACCGAGGCTGGCTTACTCTGTTTGCTCGAGTATTTGCGGCTCTCGTGGAGGAGAGACAAGGTCTTGGAGTCGTGATCTAGGCCATCCTGGAGTTGGACGCAGGCACTTCACTTTGGCAGCCAGCATATCGGAAGCAATGCCGGCCCGGCCCAGCAGAGCAGCAGCATCGAGGAAGGAGCGACAGGTCCATCTCTGAATAGCTTCACTTTCTTGTCTCTGATTCTGATTCTTATTCTTACTATCCTCTTGCTTTCTTGCTACTCGTGCACTTATCAAAGATCCATCCTCCTGACGTGTGCTCGTGCCGTCTCGTCTTGCGGCCTTGATTCAGAACGCAGAGGCATCACGACTCACGACCTGCTATCGCCAAGACAGCCGCGTCTGACTACATACATGCCACAGACCAAGCTTCCGTAACACGCTCGTCTCCGGGCAAAGACGAATCTGACGATCCTCCGCCCTCCGCTACTGCTCCCTCCAAGCACGATGACTCGTACACGCATGCATACACAGCGGCCGCCTGGTCGCGCCCAGACATGCAGCAAACACTCAGCTCGATACAGGCCAGCCCCGCGAGATATGAAGATACAATGACCATGGAAGCACCACCAAGATCACGAGCAGTATCACAGGTACGATCTAGAGCAGACCGGCATGATCATCGTCATCATCGGAGGCATAGCTCTCGGCACAGCTCTAGGCACAAGGGCGTAGTACAAGTACTTACCTGTGTGCATCCAGTGCGAGGCCCTCTCTCGCCTTACCGAGCGCAATCCCAGCTGTCAGTCCTCAATTGTGATGGAGAGCCACCCGGGCTTCGGACCCCCTGGCCGTTCCAGACAGTCCTGATGGGGGGCCATCATGCAGGAAACATCTTGGCTCGGGCCACACGCACTGCAACGGTGGCTGCAAGCTCAACCTCTTTTATCCACTCGCCATCTCGTCACGTACAAGGGCCCAATCACAGGCGGCAGCGCTTCCGCACGAGACCAAAGCCTTGCTGATGTTCGACTTGACAGGCCTCACCGGTTGACTCTCAAAGCCCCGTCCCTACCACCACAGCCCAGCTCTGAGTGGCTGGGCTCGGCAGGGGGGACAGAACCCAGATACATGTACGTACGAATGCGTGTACTCGTATCACTTGTACATGGTCGTACTCCGCGCTCCGCCAGCCGTGCCGGACGTGATGGGCCCCTCATTGAAAAGCTGAGGGGTGCTAGTAGGACGATATGTCGGATAGTATCCTCCAGTGTCACTCGCCTTCAGCTCTCTTTCCGCTGGTACCCGAACCGCTTCGAGTATTATGTCGAGCGCCGCCCATGCGAGGCGCGCCTGTCATCGGTGACGTCTCGATCAATCATGGCATTCCACGACTTGTACGGAGAGATGGGTACGGCAAGTAGTTTCTCTCTACTACTGCTAACATGGCGCGTTGTGCGTGCTACAATTGCGCCCTGCGTGTAGCAGCTGTTGTTGCCTCCAACGCCCAACGACATGTCAGGAGAAGGAGAAGAAGCGGAAAGACAGATGGCATCAGATGTCAACTATGTTAGTCGTTTTCTTTATTCAGGAAATGCCTGCTTTGTTCATATAAATGGCCGTGAGCCGCATCAGACGCGAGTTCATACACGAGTTTCTGGGACCGTGATGAACAAGCGAGCCCACTGCCTTTAGCGAAGGCTTCCCTGTCTTCTGACGACTGAAGCTGCTTGAGGACGCTCATTTTGTGTATATTCCACGTCAACGACACGGCTACCTGTATTGAGCGCTCTCTCACCCGTCGTATACGAATACTGCTCGGCAAAGAAGGGCTGGTGATGGGGCAAGAGAGAGATGTTTTTTTGTGGGTTGTGAATGTACATTCGCCGTGTGTGTGTGACAAGGATTCTAGCAGCACGCGGCTCATTGACAGGCACGGGACAGGCACTCCCAGCTCAAATACACTGGGTGAGCAAGTCTAGAACTGCAGCAGTTTTGGCCAGGCCGGCTGGCCAGCAACCCCCAGCTCTCTCGACTCGACGACCAAGATACGAAGAGGGCAGGTCGAGGCAAGAGAGCAGAAAAGGCTCGTGGTGCCAGGCAAGAACCGCGACAGCGCCATTCTCTTACTTCGTACGAGCATGGAGTAGCTGCCAGGAATTAGACTACGGGACTCTGGCAGGTGTGGTGTCGCCTCATGCGTGATCGTCTGGCTCCGCACAGTCGTTGATGATGTCGGTACAAGTACGCTCCCTCAAATCCCCCGAAATCAACCGTTCTCCGAGTGTCCCTACTGTATTACCGTGAACTGACCAGTGCTAGCTCGACAGCATGCGTGGATAGCCCGGGATGTGAGAAAGCACTCACTCACTTCACATCCCAATCACTGGCTAAGCGCGGACGAGTTTGATCGAGCAGCTCCACCCCTCAAACAGATCCAGTATGGTACGACTTGTGTTCTGCATTATTTCCCCCCGTCCATTAGCCAGCTGCTGAGGGTGATGGTGAGGGTGAGGGCGAGGGTGAGTGAGGGTGAGGGCTGAGGCTAAGCGAGTCACGCCGCTGAAAGGCAGTTTTCTCACACATTAGTTGCATCCTCACAGAGAGAGAGATTGTTGTATTAGTAACTTACGCCTGATATTAGTGTCCACAGCCTGGAGTTCGATCGCAACCGGAGGAAACCTAATTCCCTTTTGATACGGGAGCTGGCCGCGATAGTTTATCCGCTCTCCCCCTCCGACCTCTACTCTGTGCAAAAGAAAGGCCCGGTTCAATAGTTGTCCGGCCAAAGACGAGAACAGAAGCCTCCTCCGCTGGCGACAAAAGAGCTCAGAGGTAGAGGTGACCGTACCCAATCAGCGTTCGCTCTCTCCTTTCATCCATCCTCTGAACTGCTGCCGGAGTATGCTTTGGTCTGTCGCCATGCCCAAGCAAAGGAACCACCGCACCAGTATGTGCTGTATAATACCCATTGAGCTCTCATTACCCACTCTGGGCCGGTCGGTCGTCCAGAGGCGTGTCGTAATTGGGTTGCTATCGCGGGAGCTTGGTAGGGTTTGAGAGATTCTTTTCTCCCACCTCTCAAACGCAGGGCGGCAACCCAGCGACTCCTCTTTCTGCCTCTCCCAAACGAACAGCCAGTGGTTCCCCTCGGACCATACTCCGGCTGCCTACCACCGTCCCTGGGCCGCTGCAGACGTGCTCCGAAAGGCATTCTTGCAGTTGGCGAAGTGACCCCCCTTTGGCCGAACAGTGCGGTTAGAGTACGGGGCTCGCTGCGACATTTTCACCACCAGCTCAGCAAGCAGATTGCATTTGCTTCGTGCAGCTCTCTTGGGCACTTTGCGTCTACGTCGTCGATTCCCATACGTCCTCTGCCAGGTCTGATAAGCGATGTGCGTCGTGTCGTGTACGGACAGATCATCCCTCATGGCTGGCGCGCAAACGACGAGAGATACGTTACGGAGCTGGCGGCCCACAACCCACCTCCACTTTCTCGGAAACATCAACGCATCGCGTTGTCCCTGGCGCCGTATCCGTCCTCCGCCGCGTCTCTGCACCCGGTGGCGAAGCTCGAGCTCGCTGGCTGGCTTGCCTCCAGCCCGAACCGCTGCCTGCCACCTCCACGTCCTCCTTGGCATATAAATGACGACTCCGAGCTACGCGTCGAGTTTGAAAGTTTGTATGAACTGCAACAGACCATCCAGCAAGAGCAGTTATCCTTTCAGATACGCCAGGAGCCATGGTTTTTGACACAACCACTGCCATGCCTGAGGGCATGATGTCAAAACTCCCGGCTGCTTTCAAAGGCCCGCTAGTCTGGTCAGGGGCTGATTTCGAGAAAGAAGAGACATATACTCTGAATCTTGACAAGAATGATGTTGGCGAGATTGATGCGGCACTCCAGAGCTTCAAGTGTAAGGGGCTCTCAGGAATAGATCTTACCGAGGAGATGAATGGGCACAACTGACATGGCTGGCAGCTCTTGGCCTCGATGGAGACGAGGTTAACCAAGACAACTTCCGTCTTCCCAATCTTGCGGCTGAGCTTGCGAAAAGTGCCAAAGATATCCACGAACAGCACGGCTTCTTCGTCCTCAGGGGTCTTGAAGGCGCAAAATATTCGGTCGAAGATAGCACCACAATCTACCTCGGCATAGCGAGCTACATTGCTGACAAGAGAGGATTGCAAGATCGCAAAGGCAATGTCCTCTGTGAGCTATCCCTTTACCTGTGAGGCGGACGATATAGAATCTGACGATATCGAACACAGCCCACATCACCGATTCGAAGCTCTGGAAGGTCCCGGTTGAGGAGCGCCATGGCATCCACTCGAGCCAGGCTCTGGTAAGCATACATTTCCTTGTTCCTTTTGCTTGCTTCCTCATACAAACTCCGAGTGACCTGGACTAATTTCAAACAGCCTTATCACAACGACATGGGTTGCGATATTCTGGCTCTTCAAGTCCGGCACATGGCAGAAAAGGGGGGCTACACCTACCTTAGCTCGGTCAGCACCGCATTCAACGAGCTGCTTTCTGAAGCTCCTTGGGCGGCAGAGGCTTTGCTGGCTTCTGATTGGCCTGTGCAAATGTAAGGATACTGTTTTCTTCGACTCTCAACTGTTGACATCGAGGCGTTGGCTGAGATAAGCGTTGTCTTGATAGCTCGGGGCGTGGAGCAAAGTACTACTTAGCGCCCGCACTCGCCGACCACGACGGCAGATTGATGGCCAGCATGGATCCGAATCGATTTGGACCTCACCCGTCCAGCGGGCCAACCGATATCCCGCCTCTGACGACCACGCAGCTGTCTGCTCTTGAAAGAATATCAAAGGCCGCCTGCCGCTCGGAGCTGCGACTCCATCTCAAGACGGGAGACTTGCTCTTTTTCAACAACTGGGCACTGCTCCACCGACGCGACTCGTACACCGACAGCGAGGAGACGTCCCGCCACATGGTAAGGCTGTGGCTACGCAACTCGAAGCTAGGCTGGTCGGTGCCTGAGTCCATGCGGCCGCCTTGGAATGCGGCTTACGGAGACAATGGGGTCCGGAACCGGCTCTATCCTTTGATTCCCATGCCCGAGTACAAGGTGCCAAAATACTCGGCTGGCTCTGCCGCATTCGTCCTCGAGGATAGTGATGCCTCTGGGGACGAAGATGTTCTCCCTTGAACTACAAAAGATGGCTGCTACTCGTCAAAAAGGGGGAGAGACTAGGGAGAAAGATGGAATGTCGGCAATCTGCCAGCTCTGTGTTCGGACGCTTGGATTTGATTTCAGGATTCACTCGCTATACCTACAACTGCTTTTGATTTCATTACCCAAAATTGACTCTTGTCTACTTCTGACTCAAATTTACCCGCCCTCTGTTCACCCAAGCGGCATTGCCTCTCCTTGCTACTGCCCCGGACCATGATCGCCGCTATAGCTTCAGCGACGCGCCACAAAGTGAACCTGTTCAGGCGTAAAGGGGGCTAAGGGCCCACACAGCGGCTCTCTACTATCTTACCTGCTTTCGCGCCGGTACTCGCATTTCGTTACTATCCACAACTACCGCCAACGAGGTTGTTAGGCTGGAAATGCGGCGGTTAAGACGGGCAGCAGTGCGAATAGGGAGCTCGCTGGTGCACGTTGGGCCCCCTTTGCCAGCGGTTCGAGGGCACGTTTTGGTGACGGAGGAACCAACGCACGTGAGTGGGCGAGGAACCAACACAATCTTCGGTGAATCCGCAGCGGCCAACCCCCTCCTCCCCTTGAAATTCTTCATTCCTGCATTTCGCGCATTGTCGACCTCCCGACCCAACGTCCAACAAGCCAAATAGCTTCCCTAAACAGAATTGCTTGCAGGAGGCCATTTGCATATTTGGATGAATGCGGTACGCCTCTCGTCAACTGTCACATGCTGTATATTACGAACGTCTGCCCGCTCCATGGGAATGACGACCGGGCCTTTGGAGTGTGACGTGTATTATTATTCCCGCCTTGGCCATGGGAGAAAACTAGATCTCGCCTGCTGGCAGAACCGATACCTACCCCGTCGTTAATCGTCGATGTCGTCTTTCCGCGGAAATAAACAAGGGCCGCTTGGATGCTATTGGGCTTGGTGAGGGCCTTGACTCGTATATGACTGGTGAATATGCGGGAGCGGCAGTCAGCCGACCGTTGCCACGTTGTTGGCCATGTCACGGCAATCGCGGGCCACTACTGCTCCTCGATATGTATCCCCCCTGGGCGTCCGCTTGAGCTGTCTTTTGTTTTCTCCTTCACCTTCAGGGGGGAGGAGTGGGATGGATGGATGTAGGGAGGGGGGGAGGGGAGTGGGAGGGCGGCCGCATGTGGGAGAAGGTGTAGGCCCAAGACATTGCATGTGTCTCCAAAAGGGAGGGCAATTTACATGGGCAAATCTCTCTTCTCCCTTGTCAGTCGGCCCACTTGGATCTTGGAGAAAAGGTTTGAGATATCGGCATGTGGGACTTACTATTGCCTGCATGCAGAGAGTCTCCATAGCATGGCATGTATTAAACGGTTTAGTGGTGGTTGCCTCGGGCCTTTTTGCAGGAATTTGTGAGCCGACAAGCTGCATGATGGGAGAGAGACGTAGATCCCTTTCTCCGCTGTTAATCGACGATTCGTGCTAGTAGTATGTATTATATGCCACCTGGCGCGTCTAATAGCCTTGATAGACCGGGCTTTGTAATAGAGGTGCAAGGATATGGTAATACATATAGGAGGTGGGTAGGTAGTAGTTCTCGCCTCGCAGAGGCTTTCCCGCGGGGATTGCTCCTAGATGTGATGTATTGATGTACGTGATGCTACCCTTGGATGGTAGATCGAATGACTCAGGAGAAGAATGCAATTTTCCTATTGCTTCATTTTTGTTTTTCCTTCTTGCTTTTCCCAACAAAACGGCTCTTAATATAACCGACAAGATTTGAGAGGGAGAAAGGAGGCCTATTCGAGCAAATGCTCTTCTCGTCTCTGCCTTTTACTTGGCGGTTCCAAATGAGAAAAAAGAAAGTAAAGAACGCAATTTCGTTTGTGAGGTGGGGGAACGTGATGTGATAGGATCTCTCACACTAAGCCTTCTCTATCTTTGATGGGCTGCCTCCCTGTGAGCCGCTTAGGAGCAAAAAGGTAGGAAGGTTCAGGACCGCTTCTGCGGAATGTGACGAGATTTTGGCGCTCAAAAGAACGACTAGGGGGGATGGGGCCACCGGAGAGCGATGGGAGGGGCGCCGGTTAGGGATCCGAAGCTCCCCGGCTCTAGGCAGACTGCTTGCTTTGCTTGTGCTGGGCCTAGAACGATGTATCCCAGATCCAGACTTTGCCGCGGCTATTGATTGATGGATGTGATTGTTTGATGGGGGGCAGAGTACGTGACTATTGGGCGGCAGCTGGAAGATTCAGGGAGAAGATGGCTTCAGGGATGAGAATTGGAGGGGGTGGATGAGAAGTGCTTGTGGGAGGGTCATTGCTTGGACTTGAAGCGCTTCGGAACAGGTTGATTGGCATACCGGTCCTCGCGAGCGTCATGCAATGCTTGACGATGTCGTGTTCAAAATCCGGAAACCAAAACGAGAGTGAAAAGAACCTTGGGGGCCAAGAACACGGAGAGGGAGCGAATAGTTTGAAGGATAGCACTCTCCGCTGCATACGGAACTGCTGGATACTTGGAAGACGCTGCTTGGCGTTCAAGCAAGGGGACCCTATCCCAATAGGAGGCTCTATTTCAGAGGTCGAGATGCATTGCCACCTCGTCCTGCATCTTCCAGTCGCTCTTTTGTCAATTGGGGCTCCATGTACAGGTATCCGTGCCCAAGCCTGGAGTGGGTATTCGCCGTGCAGGGGCTGGCATAGCTATAGCTAGGGAAACACAGCTATACCTAGGGAGAAAACGCAGACAAAGGACCCTAATGTCCATTAGCTTGCGGGGGAAGATGGCTATCGGAAGGTGAGCGTACTTCAGCCGAAGGGATAGGGGTCCAGGTTCTCTTGTCTAGGCATCTCACGGCTATGGCCCCCCCCCGGACAGACACGTTGATGGACTCCACAGAATAGATGGAGATACAGGAGCTCGCGTTTACCGGTCAGCCGAGAAGTCTATGACATACCGATGGCGTACTATAGGGGATGTTGAGGGTCCTAGGGGTGCTTGATACGACACAGTATGCGCGATTACACAGTACAATGTGCGTGGTTGGATTTATAACTGAGGGGGAATTACACATTAATCGCTGCCTATACAAGTGGAAAGAGGAAACTGAACGTGGTATCGAAAAGAAAAGCAGACGGCGGCTCCTCCCCGTGGACGGAACCGAGTGATACTCTGGTATCCAGTGCAGTCGACCCATGGTTCTCGTGTCATCCAATCCCCCTGTCCTCTTTCAAACGATGATATGGTGATTATGAAGACACCCCCAGTTAAACGAAGCACGTAACATGCCCCCCTTTTCTGAGACAGCCCGTAAGAAACAAAGAAGGTAAGGGAGGAAACAGGAGGGGGGATTTGCACGGACATCCACTAGCTTTGACACACGGGGGTACATATGCAGGAAACGAAGGGATTTGAAAGCGAAAACAAAGGAAAACTGGGATCTTGGTGATCCGATTTGCTCCATGGGAGGGCCGTGCCGGAGAATTTTCCCACTTCCTTGCCTATTAATCTATCATCCTTCTTCTCGCCAGAGCGGAGCCCTCCTCTCCCCCTGTTGACAGACGGTGGTTGGATGAGAGCGAAGCCTGTCGAGACGGATGCGAGCCGAAGAGACACGCGGCTGGACCGGTGTGGAGGGTTGCTGTCTTGCTGCATTGCGCTGCGTTACACGAGGGGTGCTTGATTGGAGAGATCGAGCGGAAGTTTGTCCGACGGGGAGAGGGGAGATTGGCGAGGTGCGGCTGGCGAAGTTGTCTCCCCTTTTGTTCACTTTCTCGCGCTACTTGTATTGGAAAAGACGAAAACGATCAACGACACGATCTAGCGGACGTTGATTGGGCTCTCGAGGGTCCGGTAAGTACTGGGAGAGGGGGAGAAACAGGTTTGACGCCGGTTAGACCAGGACAGCGAATAGCGCGGCTGCGGCAGCGAAGACGCGGGTGTTTGTGTTGTGGAGAGGGGATGCTGCTCCTGTTACGACGGGCGGGCTTTCGTTTCCTGTCGATGTTTCTGTTGGGGTGACTGTTTCTGTTGATGTTGACGTTGTTGTGGACGTTGATGTTGTGGACGTTGATGTTGTGGTTGTTGATGCTGCTGATGAAGTTGTCGACGTCGAGGCCGGGGCGCGTCCTTCGTCTTCGGATGAGGACGGGAGGGGATACGCAGTCACGGCAGGCGACCACGTTATCGTCGTGACAGGTCCTTCAGACGACGGCGGCGACGACGACGAGCATTCACTTGCATAGTTCGAAGGACTGCCCGACGCGGCGGCCGCGCACGGATCCGAAGCCGATGGAACAGACGCCGACTCTGTCTCCGTCACCGACGTCGTCACCGTCACCGTCCCGCTCCCGCCCTCGGCCGAGCCATCATAGTCCGTCAGAGTCGAGTAGTACGTTTCGAGGATCACACTTGTGATTGTCGTCGAGCGGGAGATTACCCACGTCGTGGTTCGAACGGTTACAATTGCTGAATAGGAGGGACGAGGCGCTGTCGTCGAGGGCTCGGCGACGGTGGGGAGGGGAGACCATGTCTCGTCTGAGTATGGCTCTGGCGTAGGGGTAGAATATCCGTCGTCGTCTTCCCAGGAGGGAGTTGTGGTGGGTGTTTCGTAGATGTCGCTTGGGGGGAGGACGACTGAGCCTCGCCATGGGGGGGCTGGCAGGATGAGGCTTGATCTGTGATGTGGAAGATGATTAGTCTTGGTGGTCTGGTAGCGGATGCTTCTGTCGTGAATATGCTGAAGACGCTCTCGTAGCAAATTCTACCTTGGCTCCATGTCGCTTGTAACGGCGTTCGAAAAGCCTGCAAGGACAAGCCCAGCAAGGAAGGATCTCCAGACCATTTCCATCCTCAGTGTCCGGGTCGATGTATATCCAACGAACTGCTATCAGGTAAACGGATAATAACAAGAGTATGAGAGTTCTATAGAGAGGACTTAGCACATCAAGATGATATCAGGCTTTGCAAGTTCTGCTTGAAACCGGCCGAGCCCATCTTCAAGTAGTCCCACGATCGAGTCATGGCATACACACAATCACTGCCGCAAGCACAGCAATGTTTTCTTGTTTTTGGGTCTGCTTGCGTGTCTGGTGCGTCCATGTCACGGAGTGGTGCAGTTTGAACATATTCTAGTATATGATGAGTGACGGGCTGCCCGATGGTTGTGGCATCTTATGGGCAAGAGAGTTAGTTGAAGGGAATCAATGTTGCGCACGTCTGTGTGTTTTTTGGTGTGATATGTGAGCTGTTTTGGTCGTGCGAGTTGTGATTTGCGACAAGATGATGCTGTGATCGAGGTTTGGGATGGTGAAGAATGGACAATTCTACCTCGGTTCAGGAGAAGACATTGTACGCTCGGATTCGGTCGACGTTTGGATTGTACTGCGTCTACCTATAGATGGCTTTTACAGATCTAAAACAAGTTGAGGCAGCATAGATGGCATCATTGCTCAATGGCTCTCTGTTCACAACGTATACTTCTACTCCCTGGTAGTTAGCCACAAACGGGAGCTCCAAGTAGCCTTGATAGAGTGAAGTTCTGAGTGAAGGCGGAAAATCTCTTGTGACGGCGTACTCTGGTCAGATATAACAGGTATTTACAGGTGGATGGTGCATATATCGCACATAGGCGGCCCGATCAGGAGTCATGGGGCTCTCACAGCTGTGAGTATGCTTATCCATCTATGTCTTTGAGCTTTTTGTTTGCCTTTTCTGGCGTGTTGGACAACCATGATTCGAGTTTCCATTCCCATGGAGTTTGCCACTGAGCTCTCTAATGCTGAGACGTTAAGAAACAAGGTAGCACAAGCCTCGCTAATGCCGAAAACAAGCAAATGCGATCTTTTATGGTCCCAAGGCCCTTGTGATTCCTAAAGTCGGAAGATACTCCCACTCAACCGGAAGTTTGCTCAGAAGCACGACATTCGAATGGCTTGGTAAAGGGGATTAAGACCATGCTGGTGAGGTGATCCATGTGCAGTGTAAGGATATCATGAGCGAACACTAGTGTCTTCCAGCAGGAAGCTGAGGAACAAGAGCATCAGCTGAGGCGCGTTGAAAAACGATTTTGCCATTAAGAGCGGAACAAGGAGAGGAACTCGGAGGCCAGTCAAACTCGCGCCATGACGTTATACGAGGCGACTACAAGATGGGTGAAAGAGGTCGGTTCGGTATCATGTTGAAGAAAAGCAAACGCAAGAATGTCTGTGAGCATATGCGTCCCTGGCAACCTCATTCATGACAACCACTCCTTGGCCTCACTTCGGTGTCGACTAAGCGAATCGAGAGTGCTTGGGTATAATAAGACTCAGACAGACCTTGGGTTTGTCTTGAAGCTATCGCATAACAGGGACACCAAGGCGAAACGACAATGAGCTCCAAGACACGGTGATGCACCATCATCGCCACCATCTGCAACATTGCACTTATCATTAGCGAGAACCAAATCATTCCATCATGTTGTCTCTGAAACCCTGACAAAAGACCCCTTCTGTTCGTAAAGCTTAGTTTGACGAGAGAAGAAGGCTTGCGTTGTGTCACCCCTGAGCTGGAACTCTTCGTCATCCTGTGCGGTGATTACGTTCGGCGACAGCCAGACTGGGTTCTTGTTGCCGTGTTGCCTAAAGCTGTGCTTGCTTGAAAAAGAACAAGTGAGTTGCCACGCAAGATTTCTCGGCTGTTTGCTCCAATGAGGGTAGGATTTTTTGGGGGTCAAACAGCTGGAGGATGCTTGTGGAACGTTCATGTGAGATCTGGGAATCGGATTGGGGGCATGTGATATGCTTACCAGGGACTCAGGGGCATTCCTGGTCTCCTTTTTTCGCTTGAAGTTCTCGGATTCATCTCACATTTTTGTTTCTTCTAATTTGGCATGTGAAGTGGATGATATCAGACTCTGTGATGAAGAAGCCGACCATTGCTGAGGGTCGTCTCTCGCCGTCCTTGTCCTTCTACCGCTCTGGAAATCGATCGCATCGTGCAATCACCGGCCATGGGACGTTGTGCCGGTGATGTCAAAGGCCCTCACCGTTGACCGAGACAAGCAAAAGAAGCCAGGGTCAAGCACGAAGTTAGGATTTGGTATATATGGTGCCAGACATCCATTGGATGAACTTTCTTGTCTTGAGCTAAATATTGGCGAGAAGACTCACGGGGGTTGACGGAATGTAGTTACCAGCACCTCCGGTTCATCTCCAAGGGGGGGGGACTGCCTGTTTGCTACTGGTATGAATCATGCAAAAGGAATTAAATAAATGAAAGCATATGGCGTGATTGGAAAGTAAAGGTCCTGAGCATCAACCTTGGTGGATGTGGATATACAATGGATGGCCTACCCTAAAACTTGGATGAGATGCCGGGCGTAGATAGGGATATGTGCCTTGCCTACGACTTGCAGATGCTATGAGTGCATCACATGCCTCTTGAGTACGTGCGTCACTAGATGAGACCGTCGAGACGATGCAACATACGAGTGGTTCGGTAAGATACCGAGCTTCATCTCCTCCGAAACGGCCCCACTTACCCCGGACGGTGGTCCGCAGGCATCGGAGGCGATCCGTCCCCCAGAAGAAAGCGGGCATTCTCGATCCAACCAACAGTGGCGCAATGGCCGGATGCGGAAGAATAGTAGACTTGCATCTCGGCCGCACAAGGCACAGACGTGATGTTTGCTGTTGTCGCTTACATAACCTTTCAAAGGTGTTTCCATCTAGATTTGCTTCCCTCCTCCCAGTGGACTGATCTCAACACAAGGGTGATTACCCATACAAGGCATCAAGCAGAGGTATTAGAGCAAAGTTATAGCTACCCATCTAGGGTAGATAGAATATGTAGATTTAACGCTGCTTGGAGATGAAATCACATCCCGCGGATCGCTCATCTTTGGACGTCACGTCCCGGCCACTCGCAGATCCAAACTCGGCAAATCTGATGAAGAAACTTGATACACCAATGGCAACACAAAAGAAAAAAGAGCCATGGAGCGTCCTGCTCGTACGGCAAACAGCGGCATCATTTCCAGTGCCTGATCTGAAACGCAGCCATCGGAGCCATAGAGAACAAGGGTACGTGATGTCCGCCCCTGCCTCAATCTCGTGATGCGAGACCAGGGGGGGTTTCTCAATCAAGAGAGCGATGCTGCGGGCCAGGTCAAGGCCAAAGTATAAGCACTTGTCGCCGGTAGACGGGGGATGCGTTTTCCGAGGGCGCTAGAAAGCTTTTTGCTGCGCTGGCGGTTGAACGCCAAATCACTTGTAATAAAAGTGATTAAGCATAGATGCGGTGAATAACTATCTAGTAGCTTCTAGTAAGAATAAGGATCGGTGATGGGGAATAGTAGCATAAAAGCTCCGTAGCGTCCTTTGTTGGCCATGTCAGGGCGGTTAGTATTATACAACATCTGCGAGACTCTGTAGCGAGATATCGCACTTGGCGAACCTAGGCATTCGTATAGAAAGGGCACACGTATACTCGTATACTCGTATCGGGTCTCTAGAAGTGTGTGCATGAGAAGACGATGAGATGCTGCTGCGATCTAATTCAAGGGCACCAGCACTCAGATCCAGCGTAACTCGTCCTGCCTGGACAGAAGGCGGATGTCGCTAGGTCAATGAAGCCCCAGATCTCTCTATTTCGCCCCTGAGATGGCTACCACGCTGCCATGTGCCAACGCATCCCAGGCCCCATGAACAGCAAAGCAGCGAAGAAGATCAACTACGACTGTGGTCCATCGTGATCAGTGGCATGGTCCGAGGGCCTTTGTTAGTGTCGGCCTGCTAGTGCTGTTGTGCGACTACCATTTCGTCGCAGTCGGTGAGGACATGACGCAGTTGGGGGCACAGACCAGGAGACGGGGGATGCTTGTGGAGGTTTTGGCCTGATGCTGTTGGGACATGGGATGGGACATGGGATCAGGAGAGATGGGTTGAGGAGATGTTTATTAATGCTGAGGCGTTGCTGGCTGTCGAGATCGAGAGCCGTGATGAAGGGCTCACGTGATGATATAATCTGCGCGTTTTGAAGCATTAGTAGCAGATATCACACGGAGTTCTCGTAGAGGTAGGTCTGAATGCTGCAAATCGGATGCGTAGAGAACGCAAAAAAGGCAAATGTCAATGCCAAAGCCCTGGCAGCTTGTCCCCTGCATGAAGAGAAGCAAAGGAAAAGCTGCATTACAAGAAAGATCGTCATGCATTCTGCCAGGTCCAAACGTGTTACGGAGTCCTTTCAAGTAAGCAGCGAAATCTGACAAGGCCTGGTTGGTGCAAATAAGATGCCTGCAAGCCCCCCTTTTCTGTCTGCTGCGTTCTTGTACTCGTACAGGTACTTGCGTTGAAGCGGGCCCCCCTATATGCAACGTTGTCTCTGGCCTTCAGCCTTGCAGAACAAAGGCAGCCTCTTCGGTCCGACTCCAAGGAAGCCCGCATTCTGCAGTCCTACGATTGAACACGGAATACCGGGGTTCATTGAGGCGGAATACCGGCTCTGGTGCAGAGCAATGAGCAAGAACGAGAAGACGAGACAAACACCTGGAGAACGGCTGAGCTGAACGAGATTCTACAAGCCAAGGCGCATCCTTAGAGCGATTGCAGAGGGGTTTTGAGTTTCGCCAGTTGTGGCGCATGTGCTCTTCGTCTGCCATTCGACGCCTCTCTCCTCTTGGGATCCAGATCGACGAAACAATGAGATGCAGCCAATGCGGAATCACGACGCTGAGATTCTTCCCCACGGGATGGAAGCATATTGGAAGCCATGCTAAACTTGGATCTGTGTATGAGTGGACTCGCCAACTCAGCCAGTTGCCGAGGCTTGCGAGGTTAGTGGAAGAAATACTTAAATAGATAAAATATGGATTTCTTTTGAATGTCATCGGGTGGCACACTGTGGGATTGGGCCTTGTCCAGAAGGGGACACAGTGGCCGGGCTGATGAGGGCTGGACAAGTTGGTGAAGAGGGAAAAATCAATCCAGCCGGTGCCCGAGATTAAACGGATCGCGGCTGTCAAATTGTGAATCGTCGCAGAGAGATGGATGTGACGAGTGTCTTCTTCCGCGGCTGCCGAGGCTGAGATTTTTTTGCGAGTTTCCATGTGCTTTGTTTGCTTCACAGCCTCTTGGAGCGGCTTCTATTTCTGTCGTGTCTTGCATCGCGGTGAGATGCCTTTGTCAATACGCAGCTGCTGCGCCGTTGCTGTAACCGGGAGAAATAATGGCCTGAGTGCAGGTGGCTTATTCCTATCTCACTTTGTGCCGCGGTCTGCTCGTCTCTGGGGACGCTGTCGGCTGGCTGTGATTGGTGGACAGGAGAGACGAATCTGGAATTAGCAGAAGCAGGGCTCAGAGGATGGCTGAGAAAGGAGCGAGATTTTCATGGCCAAAATGACTTGCTGCCGCTGATTGGCGGAGGGTCGACAAGTTTCCACCGCTCAGCAGCCGGGGAGGGATCAGATCAGACACCCAACAGCGGCGTCTGCGTCTTTGCTCAAATCCGGGGTACGAAATGATACAACGGCGCATGGTCGTATGTTGGACCTCTCATGATGATTGACAGGCGCCGTCGTGGGTTCTGTCTCTCATCATCATTGTACCTACTGAGACACTGCAAGAGTGCGGCATCTGTTCTCGACGCGTGCCGCCCTGAGTCGTGTCTGTCTCGTCTCGTTTGCCTGCAAGAATACCGTGGCTGGCATGCTCGCTCCAGACGGGTAAAAGGGCGCTGACGGAAGCGCATTCCCCCAGTCCCGTCAACTGCACTCGAGTCCCAGTCTGGTAGGTGACATGCCGTGCCGTCTCTACCACTGACAAGCCAGGAATAGCATCGGCTGTCGGACTGCCCCCTTGGCTTGCGCGACGTCTGGCGATGGTCGTGCCAGCCATGCGACCGGCGTGAGTCGATGTGCGGCCAGGTCATCTCGAGTCGAGCCTCAGGTTCGACATGGGACCGCTGCTGTCGAGAGAATTGAGGATAGAGTCAGTCAGGTCAGCCAGACAAGTCAGTCACGGTACATCCCGTCGACTTGCCAGTAGTAGTACTTCATATAGCCTCCGGAAACTCGGAAGCCATGGTTGCTTGCTGGCATGATTCGCCACAGACGTAAATGAAACGAGTTGCTTCGTTCTCCGTTAGTGCGCCTCCTCCGCTTTGTTGGCGAAGTCCAATTGAATCCAGGCACGTCCAGCACAGTGGAAAGCTAAGAGGCCATGGCTTTGGAATACAGAACGAAGGGCACAGTACAGTATGTACAGACTCAGCTGGGACCACTGTCTCGTGATACCCTCGCCATGTTGGCTCTGCTGCGAGGCCAGATGGAGAGCAGCGGTTGCCTGTCTGTCCCTGGACCGTGATCCGTAGGTTCTCGACGAGCAGCGGCATCGAGTGGCCTCCGTCGCAGCGCAGGTGCCTGGTCAAGATCGACCCGCACAACATATCGGATGATGTTACCTTGTGGCCTGCCAAGTACCGGTACGCGCACTCCCTGCCGGGCATCACTGGCCATTGCAGGCAACTCGTCAAACACGCAACCGTCCATGCCCTCGAAGCGGCAGCCCACTATTAGGGTGATGACAGGTGATGAGTGAGTGAGATGAACGTCAGAAGTGCGTACCGGTACCTGCTTCATCTGCTTCCCCCATTGAAAGTCCGTACTCCGTGCCGCGCGATTCCATTGATGGATTCTTCATGGCTTCATGTTCTGGCGGCATGACCGAGAGCGCTCTTGCATAGCCTGGCGCGTGTCTGCGAATTTAGCCTCGACGCCGGCAGCAGGCGTGCGAGCGAGGATGCTCTCGTACTGTGCAAAGCCAAGGAAATCCACGAGAAGATACAGTGCAGTCCGACCCCGCTACACGCACTCGCTAAGCCATACGCAGCCAAGCGCCAGCCCCGGCTTCCGCCAGCTTTGTGCCACTGCTCCCCGATGCCTGCAGGCGCGCTGAAGAAAAAATCCATGGCAGTCCTAGCCGACGAACCCCAGCGGCACCGTGCGAGGCTCACGTGGCCGAGCCCACAGAATCCCGCCGCGCGAGGGCCTCGGCCAGCAGCCACAGGCGGTGACGCTGGGCAGACGCAGCGGTTGTCCCAGCGCTGCGCTCGCTTCTGCCGGGACGTCGCACAGTGTAGAGACGCCATGGTGGGCACGGCGCATCTCGTCCCATCTCGTCCACGCCAGCCCTTCTCCGCCCCCGCCTAAACCCCAAGGAGCAGCACTCTCTTGCTGGTGCCTCAGCCCTGGCCCCAGCCCAATTTCCCCCGGGGCTGGCCGTTCCCCTGCTCATTGTCATCCTGTTCCCCTTCATTCCAAGCCCACTGTGTGTTGTTTTTACGTACTGGCGCCCCCCCAAAACTGGCCAGAATCCCCATAGCCCGTCCTTTTCCCTTCCCTCTCCATCCGTGTTCCCTCTTTCGCTGCTGACTGACCCATTTCTTTCCTCCTCCCAACTCGTGTCTCGTCTCTCCAGCGAGACAATCGCGCAAAACCACCAGCAAACGCTCCTCCATCGCCGCATCGACGGCTTCAACTGCTCACAGCGCCAGTCCAGCGTCTCTGCAACCGCCCTCGTGAGCCCTCCAGCCCTCGACGCCCGACTCCCTGGCTTCGGCACCCCAGACTCCGCCTAATAAGCGACTCTCCCCGCGTTTTTTCCTGGCCCGCATTCGAAAGGGCCGAATATCGTACATAGACGTACATACCCTCCTCACCCAGACTCGACCTCGACCTTTCCTGTCCGCAACCAGACCAAAGGCCGCCCTAAACCACCTGGCACGCACCAGTCCGCTGCACGGCGGCCGTGGAATCGTCGTCCCCCGCAAACGAAAGAGAGCGACTACGCTCGACGGCTCGTCCCGGAGGCCCGGCCAATTCCTTGCTCGCCTTTTCATAAGGGCGACATCTCCCCAGATCGCGCCGCTCCCTCATCTAGTCTCCTCCCTTTCACGCGGGTTGTCTCTCTCGCCTCGTCGCCTCTCTCGTCTCCCGCCATCATGACGTCGGCCGTCAAGCGGGCGTGCGACGCCTGTCACCGGCGCAAGGTCAAGTGCGATGGCATCAACCCGTGCCGCAACTGCTCGACCGCCCAGCTCTCGTGCACCTACAACGCCATTCCCCAGAAGAAGGGCCCCAAGGGTTCGCGCGCCAAGATCATCAGCGAGCTGCGCGAGAACCAGCGCCAGACGAGCCTCGCCGCCAAGGTCCACAACCGCATCAACGGCGCCGCCGGCACGCCTCCCGACCCGAGCTCAGCGCCCACGCTCGGCATGCTGACCAGCGACATGGTCAAGGAATGCCTCACCTTCTTCTTCGACAACATGAACGCCCAGGCGCCCATCCTCGACCGGGCGCTCATTGAGCAGCAGGTTCTCTACATGGAGCAGAACCGCGACGCCTACTGCCTGATGGCTTCCATGTGTGCCTTTGTCCTGCTGCAGCCCGGCATGTCCATGCCCTCCGGAGAGCCCTACAATCTCGAGTTGGTCCCCGGCGCCAACATTGTTGCCTCTCAGCTCCTGGCCGAAGAGGCTCTGCGAGTCCGCAAGGGATACGACTACCTGGACCAGATCACCCTCAACGCCCTGGCGACCAACTACTTCCTCTTCGGCTGCTGCTACGCCCAGGAGATGCACGAAAAGGCCTGGTTCTACCTCCGCGAGGCCACCACCATGATCCAGATGGCCGGCATGAACATGGACAGTTACTACCAGCGCTTCGATGTGGCCGAGTCCGCTCGTCTGCGCCGGATGTACTGGCTGTTCTTTGTCATTGAGAGGTTTGTTGCCTTCCGTCATGTATTTCTTTCCTTTACATGGTCCGCTAACTTAGCGAAACAGGGCATATGCCATCCAGCGACAACGTCCCCTTACTCTCCAGGCCACCATCAGTCTCCCTAGTCCTGGAGATGACCCCCATGACCCCCTGGCCCATCAGCTCAGCGGCTTCATTCACCTGGTGAACCTGTTCCAGCCCTTTGACGACGCCTTTACCAACGCCTGGAACAAGACCCGTGGCCACCTGTCGCCCCAGTACATTAGCAAGCTCCAGAAGGAGCACAACGAGCTGGCTCAGGCCTACCTCTGCCGCGATCCGTCCTGGGACAATGTGGCCACGAATCAGGAGTGGCTGAAGAACACCGTGTGGCAGCTGACCAACAGGGTCGTGGGCAACAACGCCGAGCAGCCCTTTACCTTCCAGCACCCCGTCAACATGTCGAGGGAGATGCTCATGAACATGGCCTCGCATTTCCCCGGCCAGGGCATGGAGCTCCTCAAGTCTGGGCTTATCGAGAAACTCATCGAGTGTGCCTATTCCATGACCGAGTACCTCGGCATGCAGGCGCCTTCTCGGGACCCCTTCGCCGTGGGACCCCAGCAGTACCTGGCTCAGATCATCGCCATCGTAGCCGCCGCAAGGGGTGACGACTACCGCTTCCTGCCCCTCCTTATGAGCAAAGTCAGCGAGATCCTCCCCCGCCTGGTGGACCCCATGCTCCGCGACGCCCCCGAGACGGTCACCATGGCCAATCTCGACATCTTTGACGGCTTTGGCAACGCCGGCATGGCCCAGCCGCCCCAGATGCCGCTGATGGACACCGACTTTGACCGCAAGTACTCTGTCGAGGAGTACGACAAGAAGTTCGCCATGGACATGAGCGGCGGCATGGACCCTCACGGCAACCCGAGCTCGGCGCCGCCGCAAGTCGCCCGCCAGCCCTCGGAGATGGCCGCGTCCTTTGTCAGCTCCCCGCCGATGATGTCTCCCACCCTGGAGTATCCCCACGGCATGAATGGCTATGCCTGCACGCCCATGTCTGGGATGGTCATGAGTCCGATGGGCAACCAACCGCATCAGCACATGGGTCAACCGTCGCCCAACCATTGTCCTGACCCCATGGGCCAGCAGCACATGAACATGGTGACGCCGCCCAGCATGGCTTCACCGCAGAGCATGGTGTCGCCCAACCTGGCGTCGCCACAGCACATGGGCGCCGGGCAGAATATGCGGCCAGCCATGCAGCCGAATCTTCACATGGGCAACATGGTTAATATGCGACAGCCTGCGCAGCGGCAGGGGAGCTTTGCCATGCAGGGACAGCCACAGCAGCAGCACTTTCACAACATGAATGCGATGACGGGCGAGCTGAACTTCAACACACTACGGTAGCTTCCGTGGCACCATTTGCTCTCTGCTCGACCATTGTATTAATACCGTCTCCTTTTGTCTGGCCTTTCGTTTCTGCCTACAAGCTTGCCTTGCTTCAATTCTCTGTCTTTTACTTCTTTTGCTTTTTCCATTTTGACCTTTATTCCCTTTGTTCAAAGAATTTGACTCGCGAAAAGGACGAGATCAAACATATGATGACGACTACTGAACAAAATGCAAAGGGGCTTTGCCAATGTTGGGCTTTTGACATTTAATGGATGGCGTTTTTGGATGGGTTAATGCAGGCATTGGGGCACATGGGATTTGGAAATGGTGCGGCGTTGAAACCCTTTTGCTTTTTACACTTCAATTCGTTTTTGAGGGTTTGTCGATTAGGACATGTACAGCCTGGATACATGCAGAATTGGTAGATGAAGACACTGGATGGCTTATACCTCGCTTTCTACTGAGATGTGATGTTTGTGGTATGTGCGTCTGATGGCTCTGTCCAAGTACCTTTGGGGCTCACCGCACGGTGATATACCTACGTATATATATTGTACAACCAAAAATGGTATTCGAAATGACAGGACATGAAATTCAGCCAGAAGAGAACCCAAGTTTCTCTGTAAATGTGTAGGGGGCGACACCAGGTCGCACTCGTATCAGCTCAAATGATACCCGCCGGTGAAGCTGAACAATGTCCTGTAATCCTCCTTTTGACTTGTTCCTGTCCTTTCGTAAACAATCCTATTCCCTTGTACAGGCATATTCCTCCTCCTATAATGATAGAAGAAAAACAACGATAAACTGGCATTCCAGTTCAGGGCAAAAGCCGCCTAAAAGGATGCGCCTCGGTATTAAACACCCACTCATCCAGATCCGCCTCGTCCCAGCCGGCAAACACGAGATAGAAATACTTGAGCGTCTCGCCCATCCAAAACGACTCCATCGAGTCGGCCATGCCGGCGTCCTTGTCCTCTGGCTGCGTGACGTCCCAGACGGCGGAGTTGGCCAGCGTGGTGCTGGTCGTGGCGTTGATGGCCGTGAACATGTCCCATGCGGCGTCCGGGAGGGAAGGGTGGGCGGTGGCGCGGTAGGAGACGAAGACGCTCTCGATGGCTTCCGGGCGGAGGATGTAGCGCCTGTCGGGGATGGAGGTGAAGCCCTTGGGCAGGCGGTCGCGTGCGATGACGGCGTCTGCGGAGGTGCCGCCTGCGTCCTTTGCGCGGGCGAGGACTTGTTTCTTCCACGTCTCTTCGTCCCAGGCGCACGTCGACGGGGGGCAGGGCAGCATGGTAAACGTCTCGGGCATGATGCCGCGCGGCAGGGCCTTGTACGTCCACACGCAGCCGTCGACGAGCCTGCGCGCCGCGTCGAGGTCCTGCTGTCGGCCGAAGAGCTTTCCGCCGAGGGTGAGCAGGCCGCCGAGGAAGCAGACGAGGTGCTGGCCTTGCGGGTCGAGCGTGGTCTCTCCGTTTTCGGCCTTGACGGACCCGGAGACGAGAATGTCTTCGTTGGTGGGCGTCATGGGGCGGAAGAGGTTGTGCTTGAGGGCCGTGGCCATGGCGGCCTCGTACATTTGCTGGTAGACGGGCAGCTGGCCGCCCATGAGGGCCGTCATCTTGGGGAGGTACTCGTACACGCTGTCGGCCATGGCGCCGAGGGTGAATGCGTTGCCGACGTTGTACACCTCGTCCTGGGCGCTCACGACGAGGGGCCAGAGGCCTGGCAGCGCGGTCGAGTTCTGCTGCGACGCCATGCCCTCCGTGATGCGCTGCACGGCGTCGAACCACTTGGGGTCGCGGGTGATGAGGGACAGGCGGGTGAACTCCATGGACAGGCTGCCAATCTCGGCGACGAGGAGGCCGGGGGGCGCCGTCTGCTTCTTGCCGGCCATAGCAGCGTGGATGTCCCAACGGGTGATAGGCATACGGTTGGGCGTGTCGAAGGCGCGGTAGAGCATCTCGCCGACCTCGACGGCCTTGTGCAGCAGGCGCGCGTCGCCGCTGAGGTCGTACGCGGAGAGGAAGCCGCCGAGGTAGCGGATCGTCGTCTCAAAGACGTTGACCTCGTCGAGATCCGTCTTGGTGAAGTCGATGTCGGCGGCGGCGGCGACGGCCTCGGCGAACTCGGGCTTCATGCCCATGAGCCAGAGGGTGTCGAGGGAGTCGACGAGGGTGGCGGCCCAGCCGCCAAAGGGGTTCTTCTTGCCGCCCGACACGGGGGCGAGCTCGTCCGCCTTCCATGCGAGGCGCTTATACGAGGCCCAGCATTTGGAGAAGACTTGCTTGACGGCTGCTTGGCGCTGGAGGCGCGTCTGGAGGGCTTCCGGGGACTCGGACGGCGCCGGGGCCTGGACCTTGGGGAACTTGAGGGGCGGAGTTGTGGGCAGCGGGCGGATTTCCTTCGGGGGGTAGGTTATGGGGAGGGTGGTCCAGAAGTAGGATTCGTATTGGGGAGTGCGCCAGACGGGTGGTGAGGAGGAGGAGGAGGAGGAGGATGTTAGGGTGGAGGTTGAGGAGGTCCAGAGGTAGAGGAGGAGGAGGGTTGAGATGAGGGCGATGCCGGCGTAGCTTCGGGGTCGGATGATGAGCATGGCTGCGGCTTACGACATGGATGCGTTTAGGCAAGAGGAGGGATGTGATGAAGATGAGGATGAGGGTGAAGATGAGAATGAATTGGATGAATGAAATGAATGAGTGAGTGAATGGGAGAGTAAGTGAGTGGTTGTACGAGTTACGATGATTGAGGTGGATGAAGCTGGAGGCGGGGGCGATGATGCTGCCCCTGACGAGAGGCTGAGATTGACGTCAATGTACATCAACGATGGCGTTTCACAGCAAAGGCGCTGAAAGCGGACGCTGACAAGGCTGATGGCCGCTGTATGTACACACAGGCCTGTCCCGCAGAGCAATGCACTCATGAAGGATTGAGCATGCGTTTAATCGCTCTGGTTTAATTGGACTCTCGTGTTGTTGGTTCAGATCTACACGCACCTAAACTGGCGGTGTTGGAGTCGGAGATTGTTGGGCGTTGAATTGGGCTCAGGTGCTCTTCATGTTATCATGGCAAACATGCCACTGGATGATATCAGGCTACCTCTATAGCAAACAACTTGCGACTCTTTGATCCGAAAATACATTCTTCTACAGGCAATTCCTTGGTAGAGTCGGGTTTATTCGCTACGGGTTTACGACTCTCGGCGCCCATGTATTTCCAGCCCCCATGTTGATCTGCTGTCTGACAGGCCTCGAGATTCGGCCTCTCCTGGCACATATCCGCCTTGTATATCCGGTGTTTCATGGGCAGCCGGCATTATATGTATCGCAGTCCGTATCGTCTAGGCTTTCGCACGTATGTAGGCATTCGAAAGCAATCACTTCAACGCCATAAATAGCCAAGAAGCAAGCGCCGTAGAGGGGTTTCCGCGCATCAAATGTTTGCTTCCCTTGTCCTTTTCAACTGGACCCGGAACCATACAGCTACGAAATTCAAGCGCAGCTACTAACGATCCTCTTGACCCATAACAACCAAAAAAAGCATCCTTGGCAACAAAGCTCACCCAATCCCAGTCAACCTGGCCCTAGACACCCCTACCAAGACGACGTTAGCTGTCAGGTATCAATTGGCCTGTGTTCTTAGTTGCTCTGCTGTTCCGCTCTTTGGCAGCATTCCCACTTATAGTAAGACGAACCCATGCTTCGCGCGAGGGCGATGGAGATTGTGAGGCTCTTTCACCATAGGAGCAATGTACCAAGTCCATGTTAGTAGTCCCGTAGAGCGTAGGGGGTTGAATCCTCTCGATATACTATGTACCAGCCTATTGAACAGGAAGCTGCTACTAGCATCTTTACAGAGGTCGGGAGCGGTCTTGTTGTTTACACCGGTTGGCTGGCTGTGTCTTGGCGAGTGCGAACACGAGTGGCCGCATTGGGCCGCTCTGAGTGGTTTCATCTCCTGTTCTTCTGGAACTCTTTGCTTTCCCTCTCCTCTGATCTTCTCTCTTTCTTCTCCTTCTGTTTGGGCGCGGCGTATCTCTTGGCTTTCGTTCGTTCGTCTGCTTGTTTCCACTCTTTTCAGTGTGTTGACTGGACTCAGTATGCCAGTGAAGTCACAGTCACACACGTGGAGGACCATCATTTCATAACCCAAGCGGTGATCAACTACTCTCATCTATACCCCCCAAAACAATGGCCGTCTTCAGCAAAATCTTCTCCCTCCCTCTCCTCGCCCTCCTCCTCACCCAGGCAAACGCCCTCTGCTACTACCCCGACGGCACGCCCGCCCCCGGCGACGTCCCATGCACCGACAGCACCGCCAACTCGGTCTGCTGCGGCACGGGCTACGCGTGCCTCTCCAACGGCATCTGCCAGGCCACGGGCGACGAGCTCAAGAAGCCCGGCGCGACAGAATTCGTGCGCGGCAGCTGCACCGACAAGACGTTTAGGAGCTCGTCGTGTCCGTCGTTTTGCGGGACGCCTGACCAGGACAATGTGAGCGGCGGGGAGGGCATGGCCAAGTGCACCAACACGGATCAGGATCTGTATTGGTGCATTAACGCGGCGAATCTTGCGTTGCAGCAGAATGAGGATCCGTGTACTGATGAGAATGCCGTGGTGTTCTTTCCAGGTGTGTATGAGGGATGGCTTCTTCGTCGAGGGCCTGTTTGGTTTGATGCGAGTGAACTCGGCGTGGCTGACTGTTGATAGGAACGCCGACTGCGATTACAACAATCAATGTTGCTCCAAAACAAACCAGCACAAGCACAACCTCAGCTCCAACGACATTGACGACATCAACATCGTCTGCAGCATCGACTTCCCCCAAAGGCACCGGCGCAAACACAGGCACCGGTACAGGAACAAGCACAACAACACCAACCTCCCCAGCCGAAACATCATCGACGGAGCAAAAGAGCTCATCCAACGGAGGCGTCATTGGCGGCGCAGTAGGCGGCTCTCTAGGCGGCCTCGCCATCATCGGCGGCCTCGCATTCTTCTTCCTGCGCAGACGGAGGGGAAGCTCGAAGTCGACGATCCATGAGATGGATTACACGCCCGTGGAACCCTCCTCAAAGATCTCGCCCTCACAAGTCGTGGATCCGATGCCGCCGCATACCCTTGTTCACGAGGCGCCTGGGTCGTCATATTATGAGCCTGCGAAGACTGGGCATGAGCAGGATGCGCCTATGGAGTTGCCGGCTTGAGTGCGGATGGCTGGGAGGGATTGATCTTGTGAGGGGATGGAAGGTGTTGGATTTACTACGATTCTACGGAGTACGACTGTGTGCTGTATATGTTGGATATGTACTCGTTTTCTACTACTATAGCATATGTAATTTATATACCCGGGCAGCGATTTTGCGATTCTTTTCAGCCTTGTTACTGCAGATATTTGTTCAAAACGGTGCGCAAATCACGGTGCTCCAGTAAACTATAACCACTCAACCTGACTCGAGGGGCTCCCAGCAGCCCCAAGGATCCAAGCCCACCAACTCCACTTGTGATGACTTGAGCGGCACGCGATACCCTGGCTTGGTCGTTTATGACACAATTAGGGTTGGGCAGTTGCCTCCTGCATATAGAGATTAGCCGGTGCCACTGTAGAGGTTGGCTAAAGGCGAGCCAGAACGATGGCACGCCCAGAAGACAACAGTACTGTATACTTTGTCAATGAAGCTGAGGCTGGTTATAGTATTTATTCAGGAACATGTCGATATGCTCGCCCTGGCTCTTTGTGAGTGTCTCTCTTATTTTATGATCAGTATTGTTTGGTCCTTGGCAAACTGGACTGAGGCTTATAGAGTCTTCGGTCCGCGGACTGCTCCACCACGTTCTAGCCGAGAAGGACGCTCTTGCGCGCTATAGGCGAGTTGCTATATTTACTCTTGTGTGTCGATCCAGTCAGCTTCTCGCTGCAGAAAACCCCAGCTGTGAGAGAAGTTGACGTCCTTGTCTTGGGGACTCTTAAGTCTTTTGGAACCGATCAATGGTCGGGTGTCTAGTTGCTTGTTTACTAGAAACCTATATCCGCCTGACAGGACTGTGGCGCAGCTAGTATATGCGGTTGAATCGGCAGACTGTTTCTGGTCCGGCAGGATTCTTCGTGGCAGCTGATACGTTGCGTGTTGCAGCAGTTGCCGAGAGATGGGTAGATGTCCGCACTTCTCGGCGTTGGGCTGGCTTCATTTTTCAGCTGTTTCAGATGTCATCGCTGCATGCCTTCATATCCTCTCCGCGAGCTCACGACACGAGTATAATTCCTATGGATGTACGAAGTGTGTAGGAAGAGATACCAGCGTGCGGTATAAGTGATGCTCTATGTAGCTGCTTGCGGAGTTGAACTTCTTTCGAAGGGACAATAGTAATTGTGGCTGGAGTTGACCTATAACGGTTGATTGAACGACTTTTCTATGCCGTGAAGGGTCCAGTTTGGGCTGCAACGCAACGATCTTACAATTCAGAGTCCCATTCTATCGTAACAGACTTTTACAGGTTTATCTCGCGAAGTGTTGAACCACCAACCCGTCGTCTCAATGTCCATCTCACGTTCAATCACAAGATCGAAGAGTTAGGCAGCGGATGCAGAACTTCGGGAATCCGAGGAGACCGCAATCCGGGGGTTTCATCTACAAAGCTGGTTCATGCCTCGTATAAGGTGATAGATTAGCCATGCTGCTAAATCGTTTAGCTCTGCCATTGAACCGCGGCGGTGGAACGTAAAAGGCTGTGGCGTACAAAGTTGCTCCTTTAGGCAAGTTTGGGGAGCGTGACAGCGGGCAAAAGTGGGAATGGGCGTCTCTCGGTTGAGTCGAGAAGGGTCTGGAAAAGTCGTCCCTGAACTGCAAGTGTTGGCTCGTCGATATCCTTGGACAAGGTTAGGGATATTGTCTCATTGCTCACAGGGATATCACATCACGAAGAAGACTGGAAATAACGACTATGTTGAAGGATACCAAAACTTCCGCTCTATCTATTGACTCCTGCCAACCTCCAAACCTCCAACGAAACGTACCCAACCGCTCAGAAAACAAGCAGCAACAAAGAATCCACCACAGCCTGCCGCACTCCAGATGAGAAGACTTTCTCTCAGCGTCTGCAGATCTTCTTCGATTCCAGTCCGTCGAGCACATCTAGACTCGTTATTGTTCATCTGAACCCGGGACGCTACAGTAGGTATATACTCAGCCTTGTACCTGGAGATGCCACTACTTCTTCGAAAGGCCGGAGCTGGAGAAGGCGCTCGCTCCGACAGGCGCAAAGGAGGTCGTCGAGGGCTTGGAAGTGGTGGAAGAGGCCGCACCAGCCGAGGCGTTGGACTTGGGCTCCTTCGAATCGGCAGCTGCCTTCGACTTGGTGTTCTGGGCAAGTCGCTCCTTTTGAACTACAACAGGATGAGGACTGTTAGAGTTAGCACTAGGACCCTTGCTACCTTGAGAGGACTCGGAGTCGGGAGAAGCAGCGCGAGAGCCAAAAGAGCTGGGAACGCCAGAAGATGAACCGCATCCATAAAAGGGGTCGTATTCGGACGAGTTCTCAAGCGAGCTGTCGTAGCCAGGAGCACTCTCGTAGCCAGAGCAGGTGTCGTATTCGGAAGAGTCATGGGAGTCGGACGCGGGTTCTTGCTTGGAGGTTTGGATGAAGTGGCGCGAGTTGATGTAGTTGTTGTCGTCTCGGCGCTGGGCTCGGGAGCGGTGGTGGTTCTGCTTGGGGAGGCGGTTGGATTTGGTCATTTTGGAGGATGGGATTTGGGGGTTGATCGTGACTTGATGGGAAGTAGTGTGATAGTGTGTTGATGTTGTGGTGATGATTTGGTGGTGGATTGATGGTTTCTTACGGCGGCCATGGTCCGATTTTATCTTCATGGGATGACATGAAGCTGGTCAAAGGTGATGATGTTCATTGTGATGGTGTTGAACGTGCTTAGCATGGAGTATCATGTTCACCTTTGTCATTTCTACGGAGCCATTCTACGGTTGAGTCTGAATCTCTGTTGCGTTCAACGGAGGAAGGTAGGTAGTCTGCCGACATTCATATTGAACTCACGATGTGTAGTTCAAAAAAGTCTAAGAGAAACAAAAGAAGGGCTATGCCTAAGGCTTTGGTTCAAGAGCCTGGACAGCGAACACGAAAGGTGTGCAACACAATGCATTCACATGTACGCTTTCTTTGTTCAAAACGACCTGCAAGGACTTTGGCGCTTGGCTGGCCACACACTGACCAATCCTATTGGTCATACGAAGTGCTTCGTACACAAAGTCTATTTCGATGTTGGTTCATAGAAACAGGCTCAAAAGCACCAGCGGCGCATGATCCTGCCACTTCCCGTACATATATTGAACGACTCTAAGCCTCGATTAGAGAAGCTTCCTCGTCCAATACACTCGAAATGGACACGGATAGCTGCTTCCTTTTGCCTTTTCTGCCTTGTCTGCCTTTGTTTAAATGAGCAGTTATAGCGCAGTTCAACTACGTGTTCGATATGCTGCCTGTTAGGCGCCGAGTGAACTGTATGCATGTATGTAGCCGTCTTGTTGGCTTCAGGTATACAAACATTTGTTCATATACTCATCATGGCGAATGCCTTTTCATGGCTCCTTTGTATTCGCGCCATTTGTGTAACCCCGTGAGGCCTCTCTTGCGTCACTTGGCGATCGAAGCATGATGGCAAGGCTCTCAGCAGCACCATGGCTTCCGCGGAACTCATGGTAGAGGAGACAAGTGTAGTAAGAAGTATTACCGATTCACGCTGAAACGCCAAATGTGCGAACAAATAGCAAGATGACATTAGGATCAAAGAGTAAATACAGATAACGAACAGGCAAAAAGCATGACAAAAACAAGCAAAACGTAGGCAGGCCGTGAACAAACTCATCCCAAAGTAAACACAAGATGCTCCCCTCCATGTTCATCGAGAATCCAGCTTCACGAGCTACCCAGAGACTACGCCGCTGCACCCAGCCCTGCCAGGATAACGACCATGTCAAAGGATCCAGCCATGCCGTGAACAGCTGCATTGTCTGACTTCGCCGCTGCCTCCGACCCTGTCAGATTAACGACCATGCCAGAGACAATGTAGATGCAGCACGGATGGCTACCAGTTGGTAATACTCAAAGACTGTCCGCTGCCCCCGGCCCTGCCAGGTTAACGGATATGTCTTCGAGTCAACTGAGACTCAGAACCTAGATCCTCATCAGTAGCTTACTTCTTGTTGACAGTGCGCGTTGCAACGCCATTATCGCCGAGGCACCACAGTTCACACTTGCCGCCTCGTCTGGAAGACCGTGTAGAGCGTAGGAAACCATCCAAGTGTTTGGCATCAGGGTTGGACTCTTGACCTGTGGGGTGTTGTTGGCCATGGCCATTCTTCTTCTTTCTCTTCTCGAGGCTCGGCACTCTTTTCTCATGGCGATGTGATGCGCCGCTCTTCTCAATACCAGAGCGGGTCGCTGGAGCTTTCCCCTTGTTCAGTCGATGGCGGGATGAAGATGCATCCATCCACCTGGGAGGCGGCGAAGCTGAGGATGCCCTCGAGGCAGAGGGCTCCCCTGGCGAAACAGGGTTGAATCTCTGTGTGCTGCCGCTCCCGCTTGCATGTCCGCCAAAAGTCTCGCGACTGTTCAATACGTTGCGGTCCGCAGCTTCCACTTATTGAGCTGTAGGTCGAGGAGTGGAGATGAGATCGTGTGCTCCTGGCACAGCGACGGGCTGTTGGACAGCGTCCCCATTAACGGAAGAGCTCGGGCTCAGCATGCCGTTTCTTTTCCGCTCGTCTTCCGAATCTGTGTCTGGCCATGCAGCAAAGATCTGATGAACCTCTCTGGGAGCATTGCGGAACGCCCTTTGAAACGGAGTCAAGGGCGGCCGCGGTTTGTAGACGTGCTCTTTCCACTGGAAGTTGTACTTGGGCGGACTCTTTCCACGGCCGCGGGCTTCGAACTTTTCCAAGTCGAAGTTTTCCCAGTCTATCTCGACTCGTTTTTTCTTTGGCTCAGCAGGCCGGCTCGACTCGGCATCGTCCACTGCCTTACGCTTGTTGGGGCGCTCGGAAGCCGGGACGCCTCGAGTGCCATGGGCATTGGAAGCTTCATGAGCTTCGGAAACTTCAGTCTTGACAAAGGCAGAGACAGAAGAAGAGGCTTTTGGAGCTGCCGAGGATGATGCAGTTGAAGATGCGGTGCCGGCGTCAAGCGTATCAGCATCGGCCGCGCCGTCGAGCGGCTTCAGCTTGAGCTTCTTGCAAAGCTGAGCTTGCTCGTCATCAGCACCAGACTTTCTCTTGTTCATGATGATGGAGGTTTCAGGGAGATGGTTTGCAAAGATCTTGGACTCTCTCGGTCGCTTGGGTTTGAGGTAGATTTGGCTTGAAAAGAGAATCACTGACGAGAAAGAGTTGGGGGAGTAGCAAAGGAGGAGGTTCGGCTCCCTTTTTCTTTGCTCAGAGGCTCGCCATCGTCGGTCGTCGCACAAAGAACCACCACGTGATGCTTGCGACCACACTTACCCAATGCTCAACCAACAACAGATAATGAGAGCCAACGACTTGACCAACAAGCTCAGTCTTCGCAACTTGTACGACTCGCAAACAACATCTCGGGGGCTGTGTCTTGGCCCCTAAGTACTGGGAATAGAGGCATTGGGCGTGACTCGTATCACCTCACATCTCTCTGCCTAGCAGTGTTTGCGTTTGTAACACTTCGAATCTCAATATAGCACTTACAAGATGTCCTCTCAGCACTTCACATCTCAGTTGACTTCATCGAGGCAAATTGGAAAACCAGTCGGGCATTCGTCTACATAAGTCTCTGGCCGTCTCGATGAATTCTTCAATGTTTCTCCCTACTCTGCAACATTAACACCATCAACATCTTCTTTGTGAAAAAAGACAGCGATCAGAAGACCAAGAATGTCAACAATGACAGACACCAACACTTGCGATGCCCCTTCGGACATGATTCTCGCGGAAAGCCCGATGCCCTTTGTCATCTTCACTGGTGCAAATGCCGCTGCGAACCACCTGCTGGAACTCGTCCGGGTGACAACCTCATCTCCGGCCCTCCAAACCTCTGGTGAACAAGCCTGCTATGCCGTACCATTGCCCGTCTGGTCTATGGACAAAGGCAGCAGTATCACCAAATGGATGATCGGCAGCGGAGCGCCTTCTAATGAGCCCGCGGAGGATGATCTGTCTGCCCTCAAGCCAGATATTCTCCTCTGTCCGCCCGGGGCATCACCTAGCGCCTCGTCCGCTCGCCAGGACATTCAAGCTCTACATGCTGCTCTGTACTACCATCCTCGTTCGGGCGGGCTGGTCTTCGAAAACCGATCCGGAAACCTCATTGTCTACGAGGAGGGTGACAAGGACGGGCAGGACTTGACGCTTACGAAACACACTACTATGCAGACTCTCCTTTGGAAGCAGAAGAACTATCTTCAATTCGGGGAACATCGTTTTCTCATTTCATTCGCCGCCGACAGCCGCGACCAGGTTTATATCGGCCGCCAATTCGACGAGGTCATCGGCTGCGTCTATGGTTCTCTTTGTCCGTCCGTTCTCTTCAACTTCGCCCGAACGCCTGCTGCCAAGCTCGACTGGTACATAGCAACGCATCGGCTGTTTCCCGGCGGACGACTGTCTGCCGGCATTGATGTTCGCACTGGACAGCCACTCGTCGTCAAGAGGGTGTCGAAAACAGACCCCATGGCACGACACCAGATCATCGCTCGGCTTCAAGCCATGTACAGGCAGGATAAGGGACCTCAAGAGGGCATCTTGAAAGCCCTCGACGTCTGGTGCAAGTTTGGACGGCTGTCCCACAACCTTCACCACGAGCAAGGTGGTCCATGTCACTGTGATTACATCGAATATTCGATGCCTATCGCTGAACACAGCTTCGACGACATGCCCTGGAACGAGGTGACGGCCGACGACCGCATTCGTTACTTCTGGCAGACGCTGATCGGGCTTACCAAGTTGCATGGAATGGGCATCCTCCACGGTAATATCTCGCACAAGTCGTTGCTGATACTCACCGAGGAAGGGCGTGAGGCACCAGCTTCGGACGAGTATCTGCTCAAATGCTTGAAGGCCGTCCTGTCTGTATGCATGCGGCCAACCAAGGCGCGGAAGCAAAGCCTGTACATTGCGCCCGAGCTTTCGACTGGCTTTCTGCAGCAATACTTCGATGGGCTCCCCTTGGAATCTGGAGCACAGGGCACCGGTGGGGACGAGCCTGTTGATGTTGCGTCTTACCGTGATGATGCAAGCGTACCAGTTGGAGAGTCCTGCGGCCAGACGCTCGAATCATCGTGTGCAACTCTCAACGACGCGACCGCCTCGGTCCCAGAAGTCCTCAGCAACGACGAAGGCGAGCTCGTTCAGTGGGGCCCCAACGACACTGAGGTAACGCTCGGCGACGTGTCTGATGGCGACGTGTCTGATGGCGACGGATGGCAGCCAATTGATGGCATTGCAGGCACGAACGGGACAGAAGCTGACGTCTGGGCTCTCGCGATGTCGTGGCTTTCCACCCTGATCGCCATTCCAGCTGAGACCACAATCACAAGGGACATCCACAGTCAGCTCCTCGACGACCTGGACGCAAAGACCAACAGCAGCTCCTCTACGAATGAAAAGATCATGGCGCTGATTATCCGCGACATGCTTTGTTGGGATCCGTGGGCCCGGCCAAGCGCAGCTGATACTCTTCAGCATCCTGCCTGGCAGGTCATCATGAAGAGGATGGAAAATGAAGAGGACAAGAAGAGGAAGCGAGGCGGCCTTACTCGGCAGGACAGTCAGAGTGAGTTGCGAGGGGACAAGAGGGCCAGGGTGGTCTCGTTGGACGAGTGATAGGGGGATGATTTGACGATGAGGTACCGGTACACGATCAGGATAGATGGATTGTGGTGACTTTTGCATAGTGGCTTTTGAGTGATGAATTGTATTAGTGACTTTGATATACGATTGCAATGCTTGTCCTTGAATACATCTTGTTTTCTTTTCATTAGTCGTGATGCTACCTTGCAGCTGTGAATGTCTAGAAACATAACACATCGTTGCAATGGAATAATCATTGATCATCACATCTCGTTGCTTTCTATCCAGGTTCATGTTCATGATCGATTTTCATTCAGTCAATGCGTCTCCTTACTGTTACTGCAACCGTACAAATCAAGTCCATCCATCACGGCGTCGTCAAATCCCACAAGCTCTCCACCGTCACCCCCTCAACCCACTTCCCCCCCGTCGTATCCTCCTGCAAAGTGAAACCAACCTCCTTCTTCTCCCCCGGCGCCAAAACAAACGCATTGTCATCAAAGAAGCCCAAAACGCCCGCCGAATGCGTCAGCCACGTGTACAGCGCGACACCCGCCGTAGCCTCCACCGTAAACTTCCTCGTCGACTTGTTGTAGGAAAGCTTCAGCTTGGGGTCTGTGACTTTGGCTTGGTTGGGCCAGACGGGGAGGAAGTGGTTGTAGTGCGTAAACGTCGTGAGCTGCTTGTTGGTGGCGGATGCGTTGGGGAGCTTGCCTTTGGCGGTGAGCTGGATGATGAGGACGGCGTCTGCGGGGTCTGGGATCTTGAGGTCGGAGGATATGTTGGTGGAGAGGATTTGGGTGGTGTTGATGGCGCCTACGTGGAAGTCGACAGACTTTGGCATGCCCGCGTTGTTCTCGATGGGCTTGCCCTTGAGATCGACCCAGGTAAGAGACACTTGACCAGATACAGACTCCCAGAGATCAGAAGTGACCCAAATCTCCAAATCATTAGCAGTATAATTCCAGAAGGCAGATGCAATAACGTGCTCATATGTCCTGCGAGAAACATACGGCAAGACTTTCCAGCGTCCGTCATACTCTAGACCAGCCCATGTGGGAGCCTGCCAGATGTCGTTGAGCTGCCAGTACAGGGAGCCAAGTTGTCTCTCTGGCAGTCCGCTGCCCCGTCTGTAGAACTGAATCTCGGATTTGTACATGTCTGCTTGGAACAGCTGCGTAGCGTGACACCAGGAGGAAAAGTTGGCCACGGGATCGGTCTTGTCGGGGGTTGGGTAGTATCGTTCTACGGCGAGCGTCATTTCGACTTGTCCCAGTGTGCTGTTTCGAATGTTTCTCGTCAGGCCACCGGCGGGATAATGATGGTTTCGTAGAATCACGGTCGTCGAGTTGAAGGACAGATCTTCGGGGTCGACGGCCTGCTGCCATGTCTGGATGCTGGGCATGCTGATGAACCCAAACTCGTTGGCGAAGCGACCAACGGGATACACAGAAGTATCAAAGGACACTGAGGTATCGTAGTTGTAAAAGTCGGTGTCGCCGTAGATGTGCCCGCTGGTGGTGTTGTAGTACCGCTCGACAATAGGCACGGGGAGATCGAGATCAATCTCCATCCAGCCGTTGTTTGCACTGCAGGGGCTGTACGAGATGGAATGGCTGTTGGCGGCAATAATGTTGAACATGGTCTTGATGAAGAGATCCTCGTATTGGCCCAGGACGTAGGGGTACGTTTCTGGGTCAGCGCCTTGAGCAATCGGTAGCATCAAGTTCTCAAACTCATTGCCGCCCATCCAGCATGCCAAAGAAGCATGGTGATTCAGGCGACGGACATTGTAGGTGATCTCTCCAGCGACGTTCTCTTTGAAGTCGGGACTGTCTGGATATAAAGTATCACTGAACTGGAACTCGCTCCAGAGCAACACGCCGCGTTCATCAGCAATATCGTAGATCCAGTCTGGTAGATACGTGCCCGACGACCAGACTCGAAGCATGTTGAAGTTTTGCGCTTCAACAGAGTCGAAAAGTCGGTTCATCCTGTCGGACGTGACTCGTGGCCAGAAGGCATCTGGGGGAATGAGATTGGCCCCCTTGGCGTAGAATTCATGACCGTTGATCTCAAAGTGCCAGTTGTTCCCTGGAGTGATACCGCTGGCGATTTGCGCATCCGTGATGTTTCCCGAGCTGAACAAAATGGTACGGAAACCAACGCGGCGCGAGGAGACGAGAAGAGGCGTCTTAGACCCTGGGCTGCTGACAGACACTGTGATGTTATACAGCTGCTGGTCGCCCATGTCTCGAGGCCACCACAACTTGGGCTTATCAGCAGCGATAGTCACGGATCCAGTGACGGTCATGTCAGACTGCGTGACATTCTCCAGTTTGCCAGAATACAGCACTGAGCGGCTGTCCTTGGCATCGGTAATGACGACCGACATGGAAGCGTGCTTGGGCAGCGTTCCCACGAAATCAAGACTCGCATTGACAACCCAGGGAGCAGTCTGATCAGGCGCAAAGTTGTTGAACTGGCCTTTTCGGAAGATGTCGATGGCGGTGTTGAGAGAGTACAATTGGCCTCCTTTGCTGAGCTGGACGATGCGTCCGGGTTGCCAGGGCCCTACGGGGGAGAAGGCCGGGCCCCAGTCCCAGCCGAAGTCGTTTTGTTCCTTGCGAACCCATTGGCGGTTTGGATACTCAAAGGGATAGACAACCGAGGCAGGCCAGTCTGGACGGCCGAGAGGTTAGTCAAGAAATCCTCATGGGTCACTTAGGGTACTGAAATACTTACGCTGGACTTCATCACTTGCATTGATGGCGTTGATGATTCGAGGCACGCTTCCAAAGTTGATGCTGAGGACGGGATCGCTCTTACAGCTCGCGAGGAGGGAAGAGACGTCGTAGAACCATTGGCGGAACTGGTTGTCTGGCGTTCCAACAATGTGGTCACAGAACTTGATGGTCGCATATGTGTCCAAGCCGTCGAAAACCAACCAAGTAGATGTGTCTGCGTGTTTGTTGCTGATCTTCTGTTAGCATGACCGATGCCATCTGAGCACCCCGATGCGCACGCTTACAGTCCGCCGATAGGCTTGCTGGTATATGTCCAATTCTGCGCCGCGATCCATCGCAGATCAAAGTCATTTAGGCCATGGTATCTGTCCATCGTGTCAGCTCTCTTTTCAGAACCTTGGTTCACGTCAAATGAGAGCAAAGGCCATCTTACGGATCATCTGCGAATTGCTGGTTAGCAGACTCTCAAATTACTCTAGAGGTGCTCCATTGACTCACTAATCACACCAGCCGCGTGAAGATCGAGATGTGCCTGCGACGGAAACTTGCCCGGCACGGTAATGTTGCCGTATTCGTTTGTCACGGTCCATTTCTGCAGACCGAGATCGTGAATGGATGCTTTGCCAATGGTTTCGGTGGTTGCTACCGCGACGCTCGCACAGATGCCGAGCGCGGCAAGCAAAGGCCCGATGAGGCCCATGGCTGAGGTCCGGTGGCTCCTCTCCTCGGCGATGGTTATCTATACTTGACTTTAGGTCGTGACTTGGACGAAGAGGATGCGGTTAGAGGTTCATAATCATGGTACAACTGGTGTTACTGCGTTGTTGCCTTGAGGCCACGGACGATGCTCGATAGGCGCCGTCTCACAGTCATCCCTTCCCATTGCGTCCCTTGCAGCTTTTATACCTGATCCGATATCCTCACCCATGACTGCAACGCTTCGTAAGACATTCAATTCAATGAGGGGTCCGGAATAAAGCTCGGCCATTGTTGCACCAGTTCGCTTTCTGTACGGCATCGAATGGAGTCATCCTCACGCCGATCACCCAACGGTCATGCAGTGATATGCAATGGTTCATCGTAGGCAAACAGGCCATGTAACTTGCCCTTTACTGTAAGAAGATGGGAATGACTTCATCAGCACGGGAAACCATGGCATTAACCCCGGATTCTGCGGGCAGTGCCGATTCAGCCGGTACGTGGTTTCCGGCAGATGTCGGTTCCCCACGATTTCGTCGTGTCACCAATCGCGATTGTATCTGGGTGAAGGATTGTGGGAGGTTGTGCATGAGGCCCTACGCGGAAGGGGAACACTTTCTTTGTTGAGCTAGACTGGAAAGCGAAGCGCTCGAACAGGAGATGATGCCGGGAATGTGGTTGTCGTTGATTTGTCGGTGTCTACATATGAGTGCCTTGCAAGTGAATTCCAATTTCTAATCGGACGGCACTGAATGAAGAAAAAGATGCCAAAGAAAGCAAGGCAGATCTGCAACTCGAGAGAGGGGTCACCTACCCTGTCGTTTAATAATCCGAAAGTGCAACAGACTGGATGGAACATTGCATCGGCTGCTGTTACGCGCACAAAGAATGATACCGTATTCCAACTTATGATGGATGTGAAGATCAGCGGGGAGATGTTTGAGTGTGTTGCATCTGTTCTGTTTACTGTACGCAGAGATGCAGGTACGGGAGCAAGATCAAGCTCGTCTGTAAGCTTAAATGGACGGAGTGAGCAGTATTGTAAGCAGACGAGCACTCCATTTGCATGGTGGCATGCTTGATGACAGCTACTACGAATATCACTCGTGATCCCTTTGAAGAAGACATGGCCACCTCCCGTGACAGACAACTACGTTTGAAACATGGGCTACTGTGACGGCTACAGCAGCTCTCTTGTGAAAGGTACAATCTCATTGCTAGGTCAAATGGAGCGAAGAGAGTATTCTATTATACTCTATCCAGGGCCATACATATAGCCATATTAAGTAGTGTTTCCTGATGACCAAGCCGGGACTGTATCCTGCCTTCAGCTTTACGTGCTAGCCAACTGGCTCTCAAATCGTACCAGATATCAGAGTCGATCAGCCTACACATGGTGGCCCCCGTGAATCGTCCGCCTCAGATCAAATGTCCAAAGCCACAATCTTCCCGCCCTCACTAAAGGTGCCATTGACAGGGCTCAGCGATCCACCGGTAGTAACAACATAGAGAACATGCTTATCCTTCTTCGTTCGTCCAAAAGCCACCGAAGTATCGCCCGCGACAAGGCTGGAATTGAGGTTTCCAGCAATCACCTCATTTTCTCCAGTTGACAAGTCCACCTCGGTGACCGTATTGGTCGGGTTTCCTGCGATATAAGCTGCCTCTGGCGTCAATGCGAAATCGTCGCCAAGGATGCCCGTCGCGATTGTCTCGTAGCTTCCGGTGGCGAAACCTGACTTGTTGACGCGGACACGGCCGAAGAGAGCCTTGAAGCTGTTCGTGTAGTAAACGTAGTGGTCGAGAAAGCGGATGCCGTTGATGCCAATGGGCAGCTCAGCGTCAGCCGCGGGCTTGAACGTTTCGTCGTCCAGAACCACCTTGTAGCTTCCGGTGCGCGTGTTCACGCTGTAGACCAAGCCTGCAGTTGAGTCGGCAGTGAGGATAGTGTTGGGAGAAGACGGGAGAGTGGTCATGCCGTTGAGGGACAAGGCCTCAGGGATATCAGCGACCTTTGACACATTTGGCTGGTCCTTGTGGAAGGCAACCTGCCACACTGCGAATGATCCTTTGGTTGGGCCCTCTGTGACAGAGAAGTTGCCGGCGTTGAGGGTGAAGACGTCGGGGGAGACTTCTGTGATGCCCAGGAGGCCAAGATAGTCCGGGAAGTGGTGGATGAGCTTTGCGCTCTTGGGGATGAAGGGGTTGACTTCGTAGAGCTCTGGCCTGTCGGTCAGGGTGAGGAGGAGGTTGCCATTGGACCGGACAGCAACGTTTTCAATTGTAGTTCCGTTGGCGAACTGGTAGACGAGGCGAGGATCTTCTTGAGACGGCTGGGGATATCCGTTTCTAGTGTCGAGAACGGCGCCGGTGGCGGAAGCTACCAGAGCGGTGAATGTGAGGAAGATGTTGGAATGCATGATGATGTTAATATGATAGACACTAGCTGGATCTGTCTGTAGAAGTAAGAGAACTGAAGAAATGAAGCAATCAACGCACTGTTATATACACGAAGATCTACAGACCCAAGGAGTCGAGCTGAGCTTCCTGATGCCGTCCCGAAGGAGGCAAAATCCTTTCAGATCCTTCAAGGCCCTTACTGCGCAATCCCCCTAAACAAGGCGCATTTGATCCTTCTGTTGACGACATACACATACGTGTTCCTGAATTGCCTGGTGTTAAACCGAATAGCTTGATAATACATTTCTGACAAGCTGACAATCAAGAAGAATTTGTAATTAGAGGGTCTCCAATTCAGAAGGATTGCATTGTTGCGTTAGGTAATTCTTGCGATAGTGTCCTGCAAGAAGTTCATAACTTTGACTCCACATACTCCCGCGTTATGTTCGTTATGCTTCAGTGATCGAGTCTGATGAGATCGCATTTGCATCGTATAAAGTAGTTATTTCCTGTAACTTACGCCTTGCTATGTCGGACCCGATGATGCATGATGCCGTTATAGCTGCCTTCGATGGCGGTTACACAGAGTGGTTACGATCCAGCCTTGCCAGCCTCTTCGGCATATGCTTGGCATGATCGCCACAAGTCAGTCAGTCCAGTGCCGTGTTCCTGACTCTGTAAATTCCATGCTGATCAATCCTTCCATCCTTCTGTTCTACCTCTGAGACACCAAAAGCTCAGCCCCACGATCAGCCGAGGATGCTTCATAATCGTGCTCCATTTCCATCACGTAACAGTATAACATCTCCTATCTTTCGGACGTCAACTCACATCGACCTGGTCCAGCTTATGATAAATCTCTCTCTTCAGCGCCTCATCTGCCCAACACATGTCGACCGCATTTCTCGCCAGCTGCACCATCTCCTGCTTCGTAAACCCCCCGTAATGATACGCCTTTTCCATGTTGCCATCGATCCAGACATCGTGCATATACACCGGATCATCGCTGTTAATACAAAACTTGACGCCCCTGTCGAGCAGCTGCCGCAGCTTTGGAAACAGAACCTCGGTTGCCGTCCGTCGATGATACGCGTGTGGGCAGAGGGTCAGGCCAATATTTCGGTCCACGAGGCCTGCTATTAGCTCATCTCGATCGAGCGCATCAAGGCCGTGGTCGATCCTTTCGGTCTGCACTTCGAAGATGGCCTGGCGGATGTGTTCGTGCGTGTCCTTTTGTCCAAAGTCGCAGTGCATCGTGATGTGATGCCCGTCTGCCCTGGCGCGCTCAAAGGCCTTTTTGAACAACGACGGAGGCCGTTCATACGCGTTGCTGGCAAGACCAACTGCATGAAAGAGGCCGTGTCCAGACTTGCCCCATGGCAGAGCCTCCAGATACGCGGCTTCACCATCCTCGACTGGCTCGTCACGGATGAAGCAGAATATCCAGTTTGACCGCACGCCATATTGAGCTGCGCCATCACGCTGAGCGCGAAGATAGCCATTCAGTACATTCTCCGCAGGCACACCCCGGCGTGTATGTGCCTGGATGTCGAAGAAGGGCTCGACATAGCAAACATTCATCTGCTGGCACCGCGCCAGATAGTCCATGGCCAGCTCGTAAAAGTCATCTTCTTTGCGCAGGACCTCGCAGCCCGCGAAATAGGCCTCTAGAAAGGTCGGCACATTCTTGCGCCCGCCAAGCTCGGGGCGGTGGTTGTAGGTGACGTTGTAGGAGTCGAGGAGTTGTTCGTATGTGGTGTATTCCTGGGACTTGAAGCGCAGCGGGATGTTGTTGCGTTGGGCGAGTTTCCAGCGGAGAGATGGTTGGAGAGTGCCTTCAATGTGGACGTGGAGCTCGACTTTGGGAAGGGAGGCGATGAAGGGGGAGATTGTGAGGTCATTCATGGTGAAGATGGTACTATCATATCAGTCCCATGTTATCGTGGAAACTCGAAGAGGAGTGAGAAGAGAAGATGTAGGTGGGCGCAAGGTGAGTGAAGTGCTGGAGCCCTCGCCGCTGCGCTTGGGCGATGCTTTTCGCCTGCGTCGGGGAACTCCTCGACGAACTCCTGTGCTATCCCCAAAGTAACCAAGCTTTACAGCAAATTCTCTGGATCTAGATAATGGGTAGCATTCGAGGACGAGGTTCGGCGAAGAGAATGATAAACCAGAGCTCCACAGACCGTGTAGGCGGGTAACGCTTCTACGAGTACTCCGCACTCTGTAAGTGGCGATCCGACGGCGGGCTTCAATGACAACTTGAGAAGGACATTGAGGCTTCGCTCAAGTCCCGAACAAGTCCATGTTCGTATGCTCCGTATAATCATTGGCGTGTACTAGCATGTTCATGTTATCAAGTCTAAAGGCCAAAGCTAACACCTTGTTAGAATAGAGCATCACCAGTATCAGTTCTAGTCATTTGGTTGACTTCTCTCTCCAGGATAGTGGGCTTCCCCTAAGCTTTTAGCCGGGCCCAGTCCCCCTCATTCAATGATTCTCTCCCTCCGCAAACGGCCGGTCTCGGGCAACTAAACAACCTCGTGCATGACACTTCTACCAGCTACGCATATCTCGCTGCTATCTCGTTCGTCTCATCCAAGATAAACAATCCAAGATAAGCGTGAGGGGAAGCGCCGTCTTGCAGAAGCAAATTGACATTTCCCTGCGGTCCTACATTCCGGGGTGCATGTTAAATACGCGTTCGGGGCCCTGCCTTCGATGAGCCGCCAACATGCGTCCGCATCCCGCGAATCTGAGCCGTTGCTGGGCCGCTCTATTGACACCGACGGCGAGATGAGTTCTCCTGCTGAGGCTGCGTCTCGTGTAGAGACGGGCCCGGATGCCGCTGTTGCGCGTCGCGTGGTGAGGAAGATTGATCGGGTGATTATCCCGCTGCTGTTTGTCACGTACATGTTGAACTTCATGGACAAGGTCATCCTGTCGAGCGCCGCAGTCTTTGGCCTGCGCGATGATACGGTAAGATATCGTGATATTGCCAGACCGGACAGCTTCCAAGTATCTAATGCCCTGGTGTAGCATCTTGTCGGACAGCAGTACAGCTGGGTCAGCAGCATCTTCTACTTTGGCTACCTCATCTGGGAGTATCCCACCACCATCCTCATCACCCGCCTGCCCACGGCAAAGTACCTCTCCTTCAACACCCTCGTCTGGGGCGCCGTCGTCGCCCTGACGGCGGCATGCACCAACTTTGGCGGCCTCATGGCCGTCCGGTTCCTACTAGGCATGGCCGAAGCCACCATCACGCCGGCCTTTATGTTCCTGACCTCGACCTGGTACACGCGCGACGAGATGCCGATCCGGGTGGGCTTGTGGTTTGCCGGCAACTCCATCGGCGGCATCCTTTCCAGTCTGATTGCCTTTGGGCTGGGCCACGTCGAGGACAACGTCCATCCGTGGCGGTGGATGTACATCGTCCTTGGCGTTGCGACGTTCCTCTGGAGCATCCCCATGTTCTTCCTCTTGCCGGACAGCATCTCCAAGGCCAAGTTCCTGACGCCCGAGGAGCGACAGATTGCCGCTGACCGCACCGTCATTGCCGGGACCGGACGCACCGAGAACGCGCACTGGAAATGGGACCAGGTGGTCGAGTGTCTCATCGACCCCAAGACATGGCTGATCTTCCTCATCGAGCTGGTCAGCCAGATCCCCAACAGCGGCACTCAGAGCTTCTCCAACATCATCATCTCGTCTTTCAACTTCACCTCGCTGCAGTCCACCCTCATCAATATCCCCTATTCGGTCATCACAGCAGGCATCATTGCCGGAGCCGGATGGCTCGCCGGCCGGTACCGCACGCTCAACTGTCTGCTCATCGTCATCGTCCTCATCCCGTGCGTCGTGGGTTCCGCCGTCATCTACCGCCGTGACAACGTACCTCATGGAGTCCAGCTCTTTGCCTACTTTCTCCTCTCTCCTGCTCCCGCCGCGATGCCTCTCAACATGGCTCTCGTGCAGTCCAACTATCGCGGCGTGACCAAGAAGATGACCGTCACGGCCATGCTCTTCCTGGCGTATTGTGCCGGCAACATCTCCGGGCCGCAGTTCTTTCGCGCAAATGAGGCGCCAACCTATGAGACTGCCTTTGAGACAATCATGATCTGCTACTCCATCGTCATTGTTCTTGCGGTGACTCTGAGGTGCTACCTACAATGGCTCAATGCGAAGCGGACGAGGGAAGAAGGCTTTGTTGGTAATGCCGGCTCGGCTGGTGCGGTGGCTGATGGAAAGGTCTCTGATGTGCTGGACGGTAAAGATGTCGCCGAGGCGATTACAGAGATTCAGCTGAGGCCTGAGGACTATGAGGATGTGACGGACTGGAAGACGGTGGGCTTTCGGTATAGACTGTAGGTCGGACCAATGTTATTCATATCGGCTATTTTCGAGGAGAGCTATACAAGTATGCAACAACTCTGTCTACTCCCTGTCCGCATGTGTGGAATCATCTGCTGTCCCCTCCTCTGCGTTCAATGGTTTCGCCTCTTTAATAAAGTCAATGAGAGCTTCTCCCCCGGCAACAATATGATGAATGCTGCCCAAAGTCACCATAGCCGTCTCCTGGCTCTTGTCAAGAAAGTTGTACTCGTCCGGCGCAATCACATTGACATAGTAAGGATCGGAAAAAGCACTCATATAGCGCTCCAAGCTCGAAATCTCCCATATCACCGCGCCGTCATACTCCATGACGGCAATAGGGAGTGGCGTTGCAGTCAAGGACTGCCGGAGGACGTTGGAGGTGTGGACCTGGGTGACATAACATGAGCCCCTCTGAAATGAAGTAGGATTGTGTGTGATGGAGATGCTTACCTGCGTGTAACCCGTGATTCCGTGTTTCTTGGCCCAGTATGCAATCTTGGGGGCGTGGACGTTGCGCCAGTAGTTGTAGAATTGCTCTTGGGTGAGGTCGGGGCGACGCTTGATGAAGCCGATCAAGTACAGTGTAGAGCTCATCCTGCTGAGAGTATACCTTACCGCAATACGGTTATTAAAGATCGTAAAGGTTAAGAGGCTCTATTGTCAATTGTTTAGATCTGCCATTGTTTCTTTGACAGCTACACACGCCATAAATACACATTTCCTTCTACATGGTCAACTCTCATCAGCCTGATCTTCAACCGACTCTCGGCCGAACACAGAACGCTGCAAAATAAAGATTGAAGTGATCATGATCGTCACAGCTCTCAACCAGAAGAGTGTCCAAAGATCGATAGTAGTTACCTGTACTTCTGTTGATGCACCTTCAGCGCCTTATGCTAATTCGGCCGAGCTCGGCCGAACTCCCCAAGCAAGGGCACCACGGCAATGGATGACATTGGAAATGCATTTGCACGAAAACGGCATCTTTGTCATAGGTATACAAAACACGACTTTAAAATCCCATTGGTCAGTTGTTTTGCTCGACGGGTGATATCACAATGATGGCTGCGAGTAAACAGACCTGTTGAATCGTTTGGAATCTTGTGTCTTCTGTTGCTCCTTTGGGCAACTCCAAGTATCATCGTCAAAACTTTCCTCTTCTGGCAGCTGTAAGTTGCCTCTTCTGGCAGTGTTTCTCGGGCAGAATACATGTAATGCTCAGGTTCAAGCTTGGGGGGCAGCGCTTGAACGGCCATTGAATACATGTACGCGGGTTTCCGTACCCGCGGGATACGGAAATGACGGGCCAAAGGGACAAAAGCCGACAAAGATCGGACTCGTGCTTTTTTTCCACTCTTGGCCTGAAGCCGCAGTTAATTCAGCATCTCCGGGACTCTTCGTATCCCAAGGCGAGATGCTTGGTAAGTGCTATTACTACTACTACGGGGCACCTGTGTCCTTGTTCCTTTCTTTTCTTAGCCGGTACGGATGGCAGGTAATGAGGCGCCTCTTCCGTCTTACATCTCCCCCACCAAGGAATTTTTAGACATTGGCGTCTAGTCTGCGTCTAATACACAAGGAGCACCGCTTGCGAGTTGGAGGAATGGAATGATTCAAGTCAAGTTTATGTGAGGCTAATGCAAGCATGTCCAAGAAAAGTAAGCCAGGGATTCTTCTTTTCTGAAGTTCCAGACCCCCACGGAGGGCATGCACCAGACAAGGCTGGAGGAATCCTCTTAACCGCCACTTAACCATGACCAAAATCGATTACTGTAGTCTGCCGTCTGCTGGCAGCATCTTATTCGATCGTAAGCAACATCTTATTCGATCATAAGCAAGCAATCAACGTGGAGTTTTGGTGCCCAACCTGTCAATGGCAGCCAAGAGGATCCTACAGTCGCTTATTGTGGCGAGCTACTGCAAGTACTCGGTGGACAGCGCAAGACATTTGGGAGAAGGATGCTTTAGACGGCGACTAGTGTCGATCTGAAGGATGAAAGGATTCTACAAGCGCGAGCGATATATATATATATTAGACTATACCACGGGCTTAGCAAGACAGACACGTTACACAACAAGTTGTGGTTTCAAAGGCCATGCATATGTGGATGTGAGAGGACTCGGGGCAATGTTGAGACAAGCAACCGATTAGGATTATAAAGCCTCTGCCATGATACTTCATATCAGCTGGCCACGGTGACGGGCTGAGGGGTTGCGGCCGAACGATGAAGCCGGCACATGGACTTATATGCCGAGTATCACATACTATCGGCCGACTGCATCCCACTCATAAGGCAGTCGGTGTGCAGGAGGTCAGTGCCGATATTACTGCTACAAGGCAGGAATATTACTCCGAGCCTCGAGTGTTCAAAAGATAGGTAGGGATAGCCCCACACACAGATCGACGGAGTGTGTAGGAGCAGGAGCATCGCCGGGAATGGTCGAAAGTTGAAGCTTCTTTTAGCGAGGCCAGGAACCCGACCATTCGGTCACGATGACCAAACAACTGCCTTGGTTGCTCAACTCCTAGGCTCCAAACTCCGAGGGCTGCCCTGCCCTTTCCCCAGTTTCCTCTGATAAAGCAAGCCGGAACATTCGTCCGCTGCGCTCGGCTTCGGCCGTCTGACGGAATTGGGCCTCCTCCGTGCCATGCACCAGCGAGTCGGCGGCGACAAACCCGCTAGGTGAACTAGGACCCCGAGTCCCCGATGCGGCGACCTTGCCATTTCTACGGACTACCCTGCCGTCCCTCTCACATGCAACTAGACAAGGCTCTCGCTGTTGTAATGAGAGAACGCCCCAGCTGCCTGTCTGCAGATAGGCGGGAAGTATTTTGTCCTGTATTACTACTGCTATTGCTACTACGTAGTTGCTTTTACCGAGGCTTGCGAGGGGTGCTTGGGTGCCCAGCACCGTCTGCTTGCCTCGTGCTACGCTCACCCCCCTTTTCCATGAGGATCAGTGCGGAGAACGGATACTAGTCCGATTTCCGTCTCCCGTGTAGCTTTTTGCTTGTGCGTTGCTTATTATGATGCCTGTTGAGTGCTGGGCTCCCGGTTTCTACCCTGGGACAAACTATGTGATACAATCATATCCTGTTGATCCTATATATGTGTGTAATACAAATACTATCGATTAGTGTTTGTACAGCTAAGCAGCCACCTACATAGACAATAAGCCAGTACGAGTAATACGAAGCAAGTTGAGCCTCTCATGGACCAGATGCAGGCATCCCTCACCCTGCTCACGCAGCAATTCGGTGGGGCATCGCCAGAGGCCCAGGAATGGAAGTGTTCCCTTAGCCTCACGCAGAAAAAGTTCATAGCCGAAGTGTGTGGCTCCGTGTGTTTGCGCTAGTGTGTGTCCCCCGGTGGGATAGTAATGGGGATTGGTATATACGAAGGGCCCTTGAGCCCGGTTCGAACCTTAAGGGCTTGCCTTATTAGTAGTCGTCTAATGTGATGAGTCGTTCCGGGGTTCATGAGACCGGAAGCTGGGAGAAAGGTTTCGTTTCCTATGCGAGTTGTTGATCGACTCTCTAGACAAAAAGGGGAGCCTCTGCATCCGCCGCCTCGAGTATACTATACACGGTCTTGTTGAATCATGAGTCGATCGTCGGTGCATCAAAAGGCAGAGTCTGCCATGTCGCCGCCTCAGCTCCGGAGGGTCCGTAAGGGGACTCGCAGCTGTTGGGAATGTACGTCCAGAACTATCACAAGTCTTCTTCGTCTTCCTCTTTCCCTTTTGCGTCTCCATCGTTCCCCTGCCGTCCGAGTTCCTAATTACAAGAGGGTCTTCTCGTATATAGGCAAACGTCGCAAGATTAGGTGCTCGTTCCAGCCTGGAAACCCGGCGACCTGCATATGGTGCATCTCCCACAACCTAGTCTGTGTCAGCCAGCGATTCCGAGATGAGGCGAGCGATGCCTCGCGCAACCAGAGCATGGAGGAGAGGATGATGCGGATGGAGAACCTGCTGGGGCGGGTTCTCCAACAGATGGAGGCCGCGAGCACGCATCCTCCTCATCCTGCGAAGGAGTCTCCCAGACGCCCAGAGACCGCCGAGGACGGCACCGGCATCGATGTCGTCAACACGGATTCCACCATTTCAAATCCTTCTTCAACCTCGGCCGTGATTTCCATCTTCAAAAGCTCATCTGTAGGAATAAAGCCTATACAAATCCTGTATTAGGAACATATTACATACTGACCGATCCCCCTATAGTTCATGTCAGAGATTGGAGGAGAGGTCTCTTCAACGCCTACTTCACCCACAGCACCAGATATCAACCAATCTATCATCCGCAGCGATACAACCATGTGGCCGAAACTAACAAGAGTCTCCCGCCTTTTGCTGGAGATGATGCCGTCTCGTGGCACAGTAGAGCTCCTCGATAGCCAAAGCTCGCCTTGGATCTGTCAACTCCTTCGGCCCCTTCCATCACTCAGACACGTGAACAAGTTCTCGCTGCTAAAGATGATGCCGCTCGAATCATCAACTCCGAGCCATCCCACGCTCATTGCGAGGGCTCTCATGTGCATCGTGATATGTTTACAGCAGCTTCCCCAAAACGTCGACACCTCGCAGCTTCGGTTGCCATCTCCGCGAAACGAATACATGCAGTCCCTTACTTCGGTAATCATCTCTCTCGTTACCTCCGATGACGAAATTATTGCCACGCAAGAAGGCCTCGAGTGCCTCCTGCTTCTCTCCATCTACTTTGTCAACTCGGGCAGACCTCGACGGGCGTGGCTCAACAACCGAAGGGCAATGGCGATTGCGCAGTTGATGGATTTGCACAGGCCACGCGACAACGACGACCTTGACGGAGGCGCAAGCATCGCTGAATCCAACATGGCCGACCTGTGGCCTCACATAATCCACCATGACCGTCATCTATCCCAGATCCTAGGGTTTCCTTCCGGAGTAGCGGATACATACGAGCCCTTTGTTCCGAGCAATCTCAAGCTCATGCAGCACCTGGACGAGAGGAAACAAGACGCCATCTATCTCGCACATCTCGACCGCATCGCCGGACTTTTGATCGAGAGGGAACAGCGCGCTTCGACTGCAGGTACGGCCATTACCCAGACCATTGACAATGCGCTTGTGAATCTGGCCACGTCGATGCCCTCATCCTGGTGGCATCCCTTCGACAGGCTCTCGGGCACACAAGAGGAGGCCATGGACATGCTCTACGGCCGCTACAACATCCAGCTATGGCATCACCAGCTCGAAATGTCCAACCACTTACCGTTTATGCTCGACGCAGCCGAGGAGCGACTGAGCGAATACAGCCGGATTGCCTGTCTCAAGGCCGCGCGCCAGCTCATCAAGGTGTATCTCCCGCTCCGCACGACCTTTGGCATGTTCTCGTGCTGCATGACCAACTTCCAGGCGTTTACCGCGGCCGTAATCCTCATCTTCAACATGTTTCTCCGGACGCCCGCTGCCGAGCTCGAGGTCCTGTCGGGCCGGAGGGAGAGAGACTGGGGTCTCATAGCGGATGTCATCGGCGCCCTCGATGCCGCGGTCGAGCGGTTCGAGGACAGAGTCGCTCTGCAGGCGCGGGACGTGTTGCGGCTGCTTCAGGCAATCGAGAAGGATCCCAAGACGCTGCAGGGCGACAAGTTCCACTTTACGATTCCTTACTTTGGCATCATTTCCATTGCTCGGAAGACGGCACAGGACGGGGGTAACGACAGTCCCGGCGGAGACAACGACCAGCAGATGCCCGACGACAACGGCGAGAACGAGAATACGTGTGGCCACCAGCTGGCTTCTACAGGGGCGGAGCTGTACCTTGACTATTCAGCCACATTCATGACGACCATCGACTTCATGGGACCCAGCACGGCGGCGGATGTCGACGAGCTGACGCAGCAGTGGCTGGTGGAAGACGTCTGATGTCAACTCGTCACACTATTACAGCAACTATCCAGATCTCGCATGGAAAAGATAACCACGATTCAACTCGCAACATGCAATACCACCATGATACACGGAGGAAAAGAAACTCCAGGGCCTCTTGTGTATACTATAACAGTAAGCAGGCTGACTCACGTCAGGTATGATTTCGGGCATTGAGGGGCCCGCGGTGGCGAGAGTCCATGTTGTGTATGTATGTGCACCATTCAACCCCTGAGGCACTTTTCTCCGCGGCTCTCGCTATTATTTTGTCTGCTCGGAGCATGTTTCTGCTTTGGACTCGGTTAGCCGGCGCTTTCTGGTTGGGGTGACGCAGCCAATGAGACTCATGAAGAATGAAGAGGAGGGCGCTGTCTACGTGTATCTACTTTTACTGTACCATCAACACACATGGCTCGGGGGGTCAATGGAGCATGATGTATACCCAACATTATTAAGACGAAACATGATCTTACAAACCAGGAAGTATTATCCGTTCATGCTTCTTCGCTGGCTTGCCATGTCTTCTCGCACGTTCTATCTCCGCAGAACATTTCTCGCGGGTGACATTCACTTCGGGCTATAAACGGAGTGCGAGATGCACGGATATGGGATGGAAGGGCCCTTACTACTTGACGCATGCAGACCCTGGTCTTACCCAAAAGCTTTGACGGTGTTAATCTAAGAATCGGAGGGCGTACGAAGCATGACCACCGAGGACGCATGTACGTACGGGAAACATGCATAACTTGCCCGATCAGGCCTGTATGCGCCTGATAAATTTCGCCTGTCCATTCCGGCAGTTCTGCGCAGCGGCCGGAGATACGGTAGTTGAGTTCCGTAAGGAGTACATAGAGGAGATGATGATAATGGTATATCACCAGGCGCCTTGTCTCTTACAACTCATCAGGAAGCTTGATGTTCTTGTCGGCTGCCTACCTTACCTATGTACATGGAGATATCCTACAACCCGGAGGCCGGAAAAGCTAGACGGGAAGGAAAACCACCCATATCAATCGGCGGCCGCCATTGCGGACTTTTATAATGTCCTAGCTCACGTTGCTTCCCCCATGCACGGAGTAAGCACTGCGACATTCGAGCTCAAGGAACCACAATTCGGCATAGCGATGCGCTATAAGCGGAACAGGCTACAAGCAGACATGCATCCGAACGGTTTTCGTGCAAACAGTCCAGCCAAGATTCCGGTCCCACGGAATTCGTGGTTGCGAGATCCAACTAGTACCATGGGAACCAGCACAATCATCACCTGTACTTAGTGCGAGTATGGAGATGAAGAAGAAGCATAGGTACATACAGTATACAAGAGCCTGCGAATATGTGCCGATGAGGGCATGCCGACAACATATAGACTAGTAATGATTGTCCAATTGAGCTTGTTTTGAGGAAACGGGATTTTGACTGGATTTCCGAGCCTAACCACAAGGCGCTGGAATATTACCCTGCATGTGCAGATCCGTGGCGTCTATGTAGGGCTGCAAAGAACCCTTTTTGTCAAAACCGACGACACACCATTCAGCTGTTGGGAGGGTAAGCAATTAGGAATCAGTTTGCCTGACCTATAGCCAGCTGCTTTTGCAACTATAGGGTTCCAGCTCAGTTCCCCTTTTCTCTTGGTCCCCCCCCGGTTTAGCAATGGGATGAACGACGAAGGATCGGGTGGTACAGTAGTGGTGAGAAGTTCCTTTGGACGAAGCACACTATGTTCATCTTTGCCTTGTTGAGAGATTATTACTCATTGAGGAGCGCCTATTATCTCATATAGTAATAGATGAAGAAGGCTTATTGCATTGAGAAAGAGGTGGGAAACATGAACATGAATGTCATTAGAGTATGACGGAGAAAAGCACTTCGCCGTCTTGCGGCGCTGGTCTCTTGAGTCAGGTTCCGTCGGGACGGCTTGTATGTACTAGCCCTGATACAACATGCATAGGTAAGTAAATCCTCAAGCAGTTTCAGTAGCACCGAACGCTGAGTAGAGTTAGTCTTTGCAATTGTTAAAGAGAGTATTCCGAGCCTAATACTGATCTGTAGGTATCTTGATGGCGTGATTATGTGATGGTAGACTTAAAAAGAAACCGCAGGATAGAGGGGTGTGATTCTCAAAGAGGAATCGTGAGGCCGGCGTGCGCTTATACATACAAATAAGGCATGCTTGCCATGTCGAATCTGCGATTACACAGCTTCCATCAACGGACAAGGTAGCTCGACAAATTATATATAGAGAGTATATTAGCATTGACCATGTTGATTAGTTGTTTACTGATCAAAGACGACGAATTCAAGATTCTGCGGTCTCCTTTTGTTTGCTTCGCCCCTTCAGGAGGCTGTGAATACTAATCATCCACTGCTTGTCTTTGGCTTCTTTTCGTGCCGTCGACATTCGAGATCTCACGAGCAGCGCATTGATTAGAGTAAAGGTATCATTGTCTCGTGATGAGTGATCGGGAATGATAGGTGCAAGACTGGACATGACCCTTTACCGAAGCTCGCCATGCCCTAACCTCTAACTCACATACCTCGCTTACAAGCACGACGCATGCAAAGTGCAGTGATGATACCTTCTTTTCTCGTTCATCAAAGTGAGAAAACGGCTCCTACAGTGATATCACTACCGGCATGTGACAAGGACCCTGCAGAAGACCCAATTCCTGGCTCTCGGAGACAAAGGGGCTGACAAAACTTCCCGCCGAAAGAAAGCACCAAAGTCGGGCGCTTGTCTCATTCACTTTAGATCTTTTCTCACCTTTGGCCTGGCCGCCTGGTTGGCGGGACAGGCTTGGCACTTGTACGGAATACTACCCTACTCCCAGTTTATACCGACAGTGAGATGCTGCGATCGGGTAGATTCTGTAGATTGCTTTATTATTGCGTCATTTGCAGGACGACGCTCTGAGGCACCTCTTTCTGCTGCATATTCCGAAACACGGACGCTCGCTTGGGAGTTCTGAGGAGCAACCTAGATCATCATTCGAGTAGGTAGGATGGAGTGCTTCGGCAAGTTCCTCGAAGCCTTGGAGACGGTCCACAGCTATCGGCCGATACTCCCCGCTCAGTCAACGGTTAATTTCGCCTCGTCCCGAGTCATTTGGCCTTTTCTCATCACATATGCTACCATAGACTCCTCTTTGCATCTTCTTGCTACCTGCTCTTCATCTAAAATTGGAGGGTCATGGGATGCTTGATGGAAAAGAGACGGGAACACGGCCCCAGGCCGTCTAGCCAACAGAGAATGCTCAACTACCCCCTCGTCGGTGAGTTTCTGTCAGTCTCAAGCCGCACGCTCTCAACCCGCACGTTATGCCCGACGACCTGAAGACAGAAAATTCTCCCGACGTCAAGAGCACACGTGATGCCTTTCAACAGCGGTATGGAAAAATTATATCCAGGCCGGCATTTCTATCCCTCATTCCCGGGGGCCCGGTACTTATACACCAGACCCCAGGGCCAACTTTCTGCTCATCCCGCCGCCGAGGTTCTGCTACTGGGTGCCCCCCCACCCGGTCATCATGAGCCAGAGCATGAAAGACGGAGCTTCTGTCAAGCAAAACTCAGCCTCATAATTAGCCCCGTGTCAGCACTTGTCAAGCCCACAGCAAACAAAGCCAGGGGTTCACAAACGTCTATGGAGTCTTTTAACAGCATCTGCTGGCGCATAGCGTGACTAAACGGCAGCTATCGGCCCAGCCGTCCAGGAACAACGCCGGTTCTGCCCCTGTGTCATATAAATCAGCACGGCGACTAGCTGCTTAGTCTTGCCTAACAATAGAAGCCCAGAAGCTCAAATTGGGGCTTCCGAGTGCCGATCGGGGTCACACGCGGTGAGTTGAAGACAGGGGGAGACTATCATAGGGCTTGTTTTGGTTCTTACTTCCTAGTCATTCAGTACGGGCAACAGAGGGGATGCTCCAGCCCTACTGCTGAACCAATCTCCCAAGGAGAAGAGTCTTGATGAAACTGTGGAAATTAGCTCACAAAGCAGCAGGCAAAAGGCATCTGAAGCAAGTCCCTATGTCAGACCCGGTTGCTGTTGACCCCGTTTCATCACGGAGCTCTGCCGTTACGGGCAAGCTTCCCATTTTGCTGTCAGAGATCAGCGGATACAAGCAACAAGTTCCTGCGACGATCTGCGGAGATGGCCTCCATAATAGCCTGTATAGGCAGGACGTGAAGGAAAAAGGAAATATGATGGCTCTCTGGAGCAGTATAATTGCTACAGCTGCTAGTAGCATGCTGTCTCCATCGGGCCGATGGGCATGAACGATGGCGACTGGGCTGAGCGAGGAGAAGTCATGGCAGTGAAGGGAGGCGGTAAGTAAGACGAGGGCAAGCTGAGCGATGAACCATGTTCTTTATATAGATGGCGATGATGGGTTCTGGGGGCTTCGCTTTCTAATAGTTCTTTGATCCACGCGATTAGGTGATCGTAGCGAGCACTCAGGGTGTTGATCGCTTGTCTTTAATAATACACGAGCGTCGTCTCGGTATCCATTCCTTTCTTCTGTATCCTTTCCCTTCCGACGACAAACTCTCGTTTTGCGCGTCTTCCACTCCTTTCAAACCATGATGAAGTCACTGGCCGTCGTGGCCGCCCTCCTCGGGCTCGTCACGGCCTCGCCCGTCGCCGTCCACAACCAGACACGCGTCCAGGCGCAGCTCGACGCGAGCACCTCCTTCTGGTACGCCGCCATGGACCACACCGGCCAATACAAGGGCTACGCGCCCAACGCCCCGAGCCCGGACTCGTACAACGTCTTCGTGGCCGCCAACGCCGGCGACGCGGCCTCGCTCCAGTCGGCCATTGACTCGGCCGGCAGCGGCAACCGCCAGAACGAGTGGCTGGCGTCGCAGCCCCGGGTGGTGTACATCCCGCCGGGCACTTACACGCTGTCCAACACGCTCAACATGCGCACCGACACGATCCTCATGGGCGACGCCACCAACCCGCCCGTGATCAAGGCGGCGGCTGGCTTCAGCGGAGACTACCTCATCAACGGCCAGGACCCGTCCACGGGCGTGTCTGGCGAGCTTTCGTTTGCCGTCGGCATCAAGAACGTCGTCCTGGACACCACGGCCGTCAGCGGGACCTCTAGCATTTCTGCCCTGTACTGGGGCGTTGCCCAGGCTGCGCAGCTGCAGAACGTCAAGATTGTTCTTGCGCCCTCGAGCGGTGGAAAGGGTCACACCGGCATCCAGCTCGGTCGAGGATCGACTCTTGGTCTTGCGGATGTGCGGATCGAGAACGGCCAGACGGGTATCTGGCACAACGGACACCAGCAGGCCCTGTACAAGAGCATCTACTTCTACCAAAACACGGTTGGCATGCTCATCAGCGGCGGAAACACCATTTCCCTGCTGAACCCGACCTTTGACACCGTCGGCACCGGCGTGTCCAACACCGGCGGCAGCCCCTTTATCGGCATCGTCGATGCCAAGTCGATCAACTCGGGCGTCACGTTCAGCACCACCGTGTACCCCTCGATCGTCATCGACAACCTGACCAAGGACACCGACTCCGACGTCGTCGTCCTCCGCGGCTCCACGGCCCTGGGGGCTTCGAAGAACGTCGTCAACTACAGCTACGGCAACACCGTCGACCGCAACCCCATCTACGGCGCCGTCACCGGAACCACCGCCCGCCCTGCCGCCGTCGCCCCCGGCGGCCGCATCCCGGCCGTTGTCGTGCCCAACTTTGCGCAGAACCCGGTGACGGACTTTGTCAACGTCAAGGACCCCAGCCAGAACGGCGGCCAGACCGTCAAGGGCGACGGCTCGACTGACGATTCCGCTGCTCTGAACAAGGTGCTGCAGTTTGCCGCCTCCAACAACAAGATTGCGTACTTCCCCTTTGGCGACTACCGCGTGCTTTCGACCCTTGTGGTCCCCGTTGGCTCGAGGCTGGTTGGTGAAGCTTGGGCGACGATTTCCGGTGGCGGAGACAACTTCAAGGACGCCTCCAACCCGAAGCCTGTCGTCCAGGTCGGAAACGAGGGCGACGTCGGTGTTGCTCAGATCCAGGACATGCGATTCACCGTCTCCGATGTCCTACCCGGTGCTATCATCGTCCAATTCAACGCTGCCGGCTCCAACCCCGGTGACGTCGCGCTCTTCAACTCCCTCGTCACCGTCGGAGGAACCCGTGGCGCGGACGGCCTGACCAACACCTGCACCAAGGCCAACGCCGAATGCCAGGCTGCCTTCATCGGCCTCCACTTCACGGAGAACTCGTCCGCCTACGTCGAGAACACCTGGAACTGGGTCGCCGACCACATCACCGAGGGCTTCAGCGGCGGCTCCAACATCGCCGCCAAGGGAGGCGCCCTTGTCGAGTCCACCAAGGGAACCTGGCTGCACGGCCTCGGCAGCGAGCACTGGTGGCTGTACCAGCTGAACCTGAAGTCTGCCAGCAACGTCGTCGTGACCCTCCTGCAGAGCGAGACCAACTATGACCAGGGCGACAACACGCAGCAGGTCCCCCCTGCGCCGTGGACCGTCGATGTCCAGGGCTGGGGAGATCCCGACTTCTCGTGGTGCGACAGCACTGCTCGTTGCCACATGGGCCTGGCCAACTATGTGCAGGGCGGATCGAACATTTACTACTTTGGGTCTGCTTCGTGGGCTTTCTTCAGCGGTCCCGGATATCAGGGCTGTGCTTCTGGTGGTTACCAGTGCCAGGGTAAGTCAATGTTCTCCTCCAGACGGAATGCATGGCAAAAGGGTTTGTTTACTGACAATATGATAGACTACATGCACGTTATCAAGACGACGCCCACGAACCTCCAGATGTACGGCATGTGCTCCAAGGACACCAAGGTTGCTCTTCGCTTGGGCAACGGCACCGACATCAATGCCCAGGACGGCTTCACTGGAGGCTGGAGCCCTGGTGGCGACATTGGTCGCTACACCTCTTAAGCATAGACGGCGCAGAGAGGATCTTTTCGAAGAACCGTAATGTATATACCATACGTTCTCATAATTCGGACATATTAGAGTTTTGCCAATGAATTATATATAATGTTCTTCTCTATCCAACATGTAATGTTATTAGCAGGCGTCTGTGACCAGACTCGCGAAACATGGACTGATCGCCAGAAGACGTGAACTCTTCCTGAGCCAAGTTCCAACGTTGACTCCGCTGTTGCTCATCGTAGCCAGCAAATATACCCATCAAATATACAGTAAATGTCTGAATAGAGGAATCACGGGTCATGCCACGATACTGCTGCGGACTTGCCGGCTTGTTGATCATACTCCGTAGAGTGAAGCCAAATCTCCGTTCCCCGCCGTATAAGACAAGGGAAGAGACTGGGCGATTGGAGGTCGTTTTTCCATCTTTCATCATCTTTCCGTCTTACCAGACTCTTCAATTTCGACCATGGCAACAACTGCGGCTTCGTCTCTCGACGACATTACAAACCATGACTTACGCCACTGGGTGAATCTCATAAAACAGATCCGAGCCGCCGTCGACGCAGCCATTGTAAAAGAACGAGCCCAAGGCATCGACATATCCCAACAGGTCCTAAACGACTACCCCTTCATCAAAACCCCCGCATCCCAAGAATCAATCCAACAGCAAGAATCAACCCTCCAAACGACACTCCCAGAAGACTACAAGCAGTTCCTTCACGTCACGAACGGCACCGGATTCTCAGGCATCAGCTGGATCCCATCACTGCGCGGCGTGGAGCAGCTGCAGTGGACGCAAGCGGCCGACGAAGGATTGGGATTGCTGCGGCTGGACACTTTCCCGCCAAATGTGACGTCTCTTGAGGAGACGACATCGTTGACGAGCGAGGAGTTTGACGAGTCGCCTCCGCTGGAGCGAATCCTGATGATTGGCGATGAAGATGAGGAGACGGTTGTGCTTTTGCTGGAGCCCGAGTATGTGAGGAAATGTTGGGTTTGGCTGGCGGGGAAGAGGGGGATGGAGGTTGGGGATGCGCCAGGGCAGTGGCTGTAAGTCACGTTGTTCTATGCAGTCCTGCTCATTTATACTGACTGTTTGCAGCTTGATCTCGTTTACGCCGTGGATGGCGACAGTCGAAGTGCATCCTTCTTTTGAAGAATATATGCGAAGCAGAATCAAGTCTGTTGAGGCATAGATAGCTCAACACCACCCTTAACCACCTCACAAAAAACGTTACTGAATCCTCGTAGCTATCCGTATTCCCATCCATCTAGTTGAACGCTTCAAATGCTATCTAGTAGCTGCCAATAGCTAGCGCAAACTGTTGACCTCTAGCAGATGACTGGATGCCGTCTCGCGAGTTGTCTCGGGATCTAAACACGTCGCATGACTGGAGCTGCTGACAGAAAAGCCCCAAGTTGGGGGGCATGTGAATTTGTCAGCCGATGCCATTTCGAGATAAAAGACACAGTTGAATGTCTATCTTGTCTCAGCATGAGGAGGCGCTTTAAATACAGCAATCTTCCGACTTGCAATTAGAACTTAGGGCAAACACTGTCTGCTTGCTCAGAGCGACACCAAGAGAGCATCAGCAAAATGGACCAAAAGGGCATCATCGAGCGGCGCCTCCCCAACGCCGTCATCTACAACCTCACGCAGCCAAACCAAGTCACAATCACGCTTCCCCCCAAATCAACATGGTCAAGCGGCCTCCACTGGCACGAAACCCACACCGAATACCTCAAGCTCATCAAAGGCAGCATAAAAGTCCGCCTCGGAGACACCGAACAAACCATCACCGCGAGCAAGACAGACCAGCCCGAGATAACCGTCAGGCGATATGTCTGGCACGAGTGGCAGCGCGCGGAACTAGACGGCGAGGAAGTCGTTGTGATTGAAAAGACGTATCCAGAAGATGGCGAAAAGGCGCTGTTTTTCTGGAACTTGAATGGGGTAATCTTGAGTGCTGGGGAGGTTGTTGGGACGAATGTGCCTGGGTTCGCCTTGTTCCCTTCAAAGATCAAGGATCTCATCATCGATTTCTGGATCACGTTTAACCTCTTCATCGTCTTCCACTCGCTGGACAACTATCCTGTCATTCTGAGCACGACGAGGTTCTGGAAGGGAAAGGCTTCGCGCGGCTTCTCGGCGGATTGGCTTGTGTCTCACTTGCTGCTATCGCTGGCTGCGTTGACCGGCCGTGTCTTGGGATTGAGGGCTGTGAGATCGGAGTACACGCCTGCTCCGCAATACAACCGCTGGAAAGAGCATTATTATATCGAGAACTCAAGATAGGCCCTGGATAACGATGCTTTGCTATGTTACGAATAACGAACTGCGGCTCATGTGGCTGGGCTATGTGATCGTGTCTGCATTCATTTGCTCCGTCCAAGGGTCTAAGCTTCGCCCCGTATAACGCGTACCTGATCGAGAACGGAGCAGATCCTCCCAAAGTGTTGAGGCATCCATATGTCATAGACGTTCTTCACAAACTGGTATGCAGTCCACTTCTCTCTGCCATCATCTGCGGTAAACGACAAGTCTTTGATGAGATGGCGGTAGTACTTTATATCCCTCCCATCTATCACCGGGTAGTGTCCATATATCCTAACTGACCTGTCATCGTGTGAAATAGAAAAGGCGAGAATCTGTCGGTGGAGCTCGTGTTCACGTCCTACAATATAGAAGAGCAATGTCACGCCCTGCACCGCAAGGGTCATGCTGTGTGCGTTTTGACGATCTGCGACGTCGAGAGAAGCCATTTCGCAGGATAAGAATGGGAGGTACACATGAGACGTGGCCTTGAAGAAGGACAGGCGAGAGGAATCCGTGACGAGCCACGACAGCACCGCACGTTGTGTGTCTGAAAAAGCACCCAACCGGAATCCAACCGAGTAATCTGGCTGTGGAGTAGCAACCCCGGGTACGGCGCACGAGCACTTCCAGCCTTCGTTGACACTCTCTGCGAGGATATCGAGGTGCCTGGCTCCGTATGTTGCAAGAGTCTCTGCCGAGGGGACAATAAGCTGAGAGATGTCACGAATGATCCGAGCGTGGCTCGCGTTTCGGAGCTTCAGGCAGGTCTGTTGGAACAAGTCGTCGTGGAAGAGCGACTTTTCAGGAATCGTCTGCTTCGTCTCTAGCAGGACCTGGCAGAGCTTCCTGCTTTCAGTCGCGATGCCCAATGACGATGGAGCCATGAAGCTGCTGCCATGGATGGCGAGCAGCGTCTCGCATTGCTGGTCTCGATACTGGGCGGGTTTGTCCTCCCGAGGCCCCTGGTCGATTGGCGGTGCGAACGAATCAGAGCTTGCTCGCTTCCGCTTGCCGAGGGCAGACGAGGACTCCTCTTGCTTCCGCTCCGGGCCAGGCTCAGCGTCTTCGCGCGGCCATGGCCATTCTGTCCTCCAGCCGTTGATGCGGGGGTGGGTGTCGTCGGCAGATGTTGTTTTCCCAGCAGGTGTGGGCTTTGTGAGAAGGGGGTCGGGGGATCGCAGGCCTTCAAAGAAGGCTACCATCTGCTTGGGAGCAAGCAGGTGGTTGCGCTGCCTTTTGGGCGCTCTCTCGACTGGACTTGTAGGCATTATGATGGAAGAAGGTGGTCGAGATGGAAGAGGGCGCGGACAAGAGCTGTGAAGAAGTTGAGCGGTAACGTCCAGTATCAGTGCCGATTGACAGCGACCTGAGCTGGCCAGGCGCTAAGGTTGTTACATATCTCAGGTTAAGGTAGGCCATGAATGTGATACCCTGGAACAAGGACTTTCTCTTTGTCGATTACATGCTACTTAGCTCTATCTCGAGATATCATCTTGAATTACCATCCAGATTAACCAAACCAATCAACTGGCCTTTCTTCACATATATATCAGATTACTACTAACTGATACCAGACCCTTCCCCATCTCAATCCGCTTCACATCATCTTCCAAGGCTCTGCCCCGGTCCAAGATGCCCTGTAGGGCTAAAGCTACAGCGGCATGGGGGCACTTTTGTAGGGGCCGCAGAGCTCGGGCAAGCTCCCGCCGGCCGCCAATCAGCGCGTCCGGCTCGACCAACAGCAGCTCCATCGATGACACCACAGCTCCGTACCTTGCCTTATCGTCTCCGTTTCCAGACGAGGCGCATCATCCTTCGGTCTGTAACCCGCCAGCCTTTTGCTTTTCCTCTCTTTCCTCCTCCTTCTGCATCTTTCTCTTCACAGCTAACCTTTACCAGAGGTGCTGGCTGAGATGCCGCATGCAATCTAACCGCGATATCGTCCCCATCTCCAGGCTTTTCAGAAACTGCTGCGACCGTCTGATTCCCGCTTCTTGCGCCGCTCGATCGCATCATATCGCCGACTTGCCGCTGGTCATTAAGCTCACCCTGCTTCATCCCATGACCGAGCGCTTGCCAGCCTTTGCCGCTGTCGCCGCTTGATCGCAAGGCAACCATGAAGCTCCCCAATCCCTTCAGCTTCCGGCCGGGGCCCGTCACCTTCTGGACGACGGTCATCTATCTCGCCCTCGTTATCCCGCTGATCTACGTCCACGAAACCGTGCCGCCTGTGCCATCGAGCCACTCTCTCAAGCAGGGACTGGATTTGGACGAGGCATGGCTTGATCTGCAGCTCATGACGAGACAGTACCACCCGTACAACAGTCGAGCAAACAACGAAGTTCGCGAATTCCTCATCAAGCGCTCTCACGAAATCTTAGAACGCAATGGCGTTCCCTACACAACCGAGAGGACTGGAGGTGTCATTTGGGATGCCAGGTCTGTCCAGTGACACCCAATAATCGCAAATCAATGGCTGACGATAATAGTCTCAATGCATCTACTGTTGCCGAAACCAATGACGAGCCGAGAGCCAAGCGGGCGCCGGGTGCCACCATCTTCGATGACCGCATCTCAAACGTAACCTGGACCGTCGATTCGCTGCTGCAAAGCGCCAAGAAGGGCCCCAAGACGTGGCAGGGCTATTACTTTGAGGGCGACAACTTCTACATCTATATTCACGGCGAGGAAGATCCTGAAGGCGACTGGTGGACGTCACAGGCTGGAGCAGCCCGCTACAGCAAATCTGGAGGTGTCCTCGTCAACTGCCACTTCGACTCGTAGGTCTTGATACCGCATAGCTGAACGGTTCAATTGCTGACATTTCCAGCGTCTCGACTGGGTACGGCGCCACCGACGATGGCATGGCCTGCGTGAGCATGCTCCAGCTCTTGAGCTACTTCACCACCGAGGGACAACAGCCGAAACACGGCATCGTGCTGCTTTTTAACAATGCCGAGGAAGATGGTCTCCTCGGCGCCCGTGCTTTCGGCTATAGCCCGCTGCTCAAGTTCTGCCACACCTTTGTCAACCTGGAGGGAGCTGGTGCTGGCGGTCGTGCCATGCTTTTCCGAACCACCGATCTCGAGGCTGCCAAAGCCTACGCCAAGAGCCCTCACCCCTTTGGATCCGTCGTCGCGGCAAACGCATTTGAGCGAGGGGTCATCAGCAGCGGAACCGACTTTGAGGTGTTTGCTCCAGACTTTGGACAGCGCGGCGTGGATATTGCCTTCTACCAGCCCCGAGCACGCTACCATACCGAGGACGACGATGCGCGTCACACTTCGGTCCGCAGCATCTGGCACATGCTGTCTGCCGCTCTGGCCACTGCAGAGAGATTCTCAGAGGTTACCGGAACGGTCTTCAGCGGCGATCGGCGAGACGGTGACAAAAGCCTGGTCCAGAACGGCAAGCCGACTGAGGGTGTCTACTTTGACTGGTATGGCAGCGGCTGGTCGGCGTTTCCGCTTCGAGGGCTCTTTGCGTGGTCCCTCACTCTGCTCCTGGTTACGCCTCTGGTGTTGATCGTTGTCACCTACTTGCTCATCCGTCAGGACAAGTACTACTTCTTTGCCAAGGACGTCGAGCTGGAGAACTCTGAGATCCACGACGACCCGATCGCTCTCGGTGGTTGGCGTGGCTTCTTCCGATATCCTCTGGCCCTCATCTTTGCCGTGGGGTTGACACTGGGCTCAGTTTTGCTCGTCGCCAAGGTCAATCCGCTCATTATCTACAGCAGCGGATATGCAGTGTGAGTCTCTATCCCCCTCCAGTGGCCCCTATGTCCTTGGACTGACAATGATTAGCTGGGCCATGACTGTGTCGTTGTTCTACATATCCTTCTTCATGATCATGAGAGGGGCCAATTTTGTCAGGCCTTCCGCTCTCCACCGCGGATTTGCCCTCATCTGGCTGTTCATTCTCTCGTGGATCGTTCAAGTATTCGCTGCGGTTGCCGAAGACCGCATGCACATTGGCAGTCTCTATTTCACAGCCTTTTTCCACACAGCCGTCTTTGTATCGCTCTTCATCTCGCTGGTCGAGCTATTCGCTCTGCCCGGAAAGGAAGATTTCGCCAACCAGTTCCAAGACGACGCAGCGCCGGTGCATATCCGAGTCACCAGCTCTGATAACACGATCACCGGCAACGAAGACGACCAAGATGACGCTACAGAAACGACGCCGTTGAGGGCTGAAGGGAATGGCTACGGATCGAGCGACCAACCGACGTTTGCCAGCACCTATCGGCGGTCGGCTCATTTGGACGAGCCTGCTCCCTCGGATCTGATCAGCTTCCCTCCGTACGAGCACGAACAAGCGTGGTCTGGGCGGCTGCCGACCTGGACCTGGATTGTTCAGTTCCTCCTGCTTGCCCCTATCCACATCATCCTCGTGGGCAATCTAGGGTTGGTGCAGACGTCCGCCATGGCCATGAACGGTGCCGACGGCGGCAGCCTCTTGTCTCCCATTATGGGCGTTGGGATAATGACGATTTTGCTTTTGCTCCCCTTGACGCCTTTTATGCACCGCATCACGCGCCACGTGCCGCAGTTCCTCTTCGTCGTCTTCGTCGCCACGTTCATCTGGAATCTTGCTGCTTTCCCCTTCTCCAACAGCGCTCGGTACAAGCTGTACTTCCAGGAGGTCATTGACGTGGATGCAGGCACAAACGTGGCTACGCTAACTGGTCGCTCGGAGTATCTCCACAAAGTCCTCGACTCTATCCCATCCGTTACCGGCCAGGAACTGGCTTGCAGGGCCGCCACGCGCACAGGCCTCACTACCTGCGAATACGATGCGTCATCTCTCCCGCCGTATCTTGCCAACGGCACAGATCCGAAGGACTTGATCACTGTGTCGAGCTCGAAGTCATCCGACGGCAAGACGGCGAATCTCAAGGTGGACGCTTTGGACACCAAGATGTGCATTCTGAACCTTACCCAGCCGGTGTTTGGATTTACGATTAACGGCGGCGCTCCCCCGGACACCCGATTTGGTACGATTCCGCGTGGGGGACTGCGGACGATTACCCTCTTCAGGCGAGAATTCGAGGGGCCGTGGGACCTTGACCTTCAGCTGACGGAGGAGGACCACGTGTTGGATGCGGACGCGCTGGAGGTGATAGTGAAGTGTGCGTACAGCGACATGAATGACGACAAGACGATACCGGTGCTGCGCGAGCTGTATCAATACATGCCAAAGTGGGCTGTCATCAGCAAGACGGCAGTTGCCCTTGTGGAAGTCAGGAAGAAGTTTCCTATATCATGAAGGGGCTTTGCTGTTGGATGTTTTCATTTATGTGGACGTGGATATTCAGATTTCAGATCTCGGTGTCATGATGCTTGTATCGCGGCCCCTTTGGTTATTTGCGAAGCATATACAGAGTATGAGCCTGATTGGTCTTTGTTAAACACCCATGTCTTTTTACCGTAGCTGTTCTTGAGATAACCTTGACGTGTCGTATTGGCTTGCCTTTGACCTCTCAATACATAAGATATCTTATTTTGAGAGAAAGAGGGTGGCCTCGGAGGTATCGCTCTATGACGGCTCTGGACATTGCGGCTTCAAGGCTGAGAGAGCCATGCTCAAGCGAGAGTAAACAGAGGACTGCACATAAGATCTACCTAATAAGAATGAGCGCTGCACCATGAAAACCCCCCATGTACTTTATATGGATCGAAGGCCGTCAATTCGAGGCACAATTGTCTGGTGGACACCTTCAACTTCTCACATGCCAGAGGCCCGGCATGACCCACCGCCAGCTGTCGTCACTACCGCCGCCATCGAAGACGCAAATCTGCTCTCACCACCACCAACCTCTCAAAGTCCAACCCACCAACGACTCCATGCCAATGTCATAAAGCCCATCACAAACTAATCCAATTGCAAAGGCACAATCGAGAAGACTGCAGCCATGCCCCCATCAATATCCCTCCCCGCCAAACCGCGCCCAAACGACGGCCCTGCAAACCAGCGCCACGGGCTCATCTACTTCGTCTGCGGCAACCCCGGGCTCGTGCACTACTACACCGTCTTTCTAGAATGTCTGCGCGGAATGCTGGATGAGTTGCAGGATGAGGAGACGGGGGGTAGAAGAAGCAGGACGGCGTATGACATCTATGGACGGGATCTGTTGGGCTTCAGCGACGACGATCATGAGCCGTTTGTCCGTGGTAGCAACGAGCCGTGGGATCTGGACGGCCAGATTGAGGGCATTTATAAGGATGTGGCGGCTCAGAGAATCCCATCTGCTCAAACCCAAGATCAAGGAACCGGACAAAATGGACTACAAGACCGAGAAGGGACAAGGCCATACGACTTTGTCATTCTCATGGGCCACTCCGTCGGCGCATACATCTCCCTCGAAATCTTCCACCGCCACGCAAAGGACTCGTCACGGGCCCCCCATCTCCATCTCCGACACGGCTTCCTCCTCTTCCCCACCCTCACGCACATTGCCGCTTCTCCCAGCGGGCGCCAAGCGTCCCTCCTGCTCAGCATCCCGCGTCTCGAAGGCAATGCGCATCTGCTCGCGAAGTTTGCGCTACGCTGTCTTCCTCACGGGGTTGTTCTGTGGATTGTCAAGAATGTCATGGGGTTTACGGACCAGACGGCGAGGGTTACGGCGGATTGGCTGAAGAGTCGGGATGGGGTTTGGCAGGCGATTCATTTGGGCTTGTCTGAGCTGCGGACGATTTGCGAGGAGAAGTGGGAGGAAGAGCTTTGGAGGGCGACGGCGGAGGATGAGGACGATGCAGACGGCTACGAATACTGCCATATTGACAACAATGACACTGGGGATGGCGAAGGGAGAGAAAGAGGGAGGCAGATTCCAAAGTTTTTCATCTTCTACGGGAAGCATGACCACTGGGTTGCAAATCATCTGCGGGACGCCTTTATCGAGCGGAGGAGGGAACATGTGGAGGAAGGGCATACGAGGATTTTGGTGGACGAGGGGGATCTTCCGCATGCGTTTTGCGTCAAGGAGCGTGAGTACTTGGACCTGGACTTGGACGCGTTTGAAAGTGATGATGGGAAAGCTAACTTGAGGGTTAAGATACGAGCTTTGTGGTTGCGAAAAAGGTGTTTGAGTGGGTGAGGGAGATTGAAGGGCTGTGACATGTGGTGGAGGTATGAATGTGATAGACGCCGGAAACCATCGACAATCTAATTAGATTTCTTTTATCTTTTATCAACCTCACCCTTCAGCCTCTCCATCGACAGAGAGCCATTCAGCTGTGAATGCAGTCTTCCACCTCGAATACATCATGTCGGCGGTTGGTGGTACAAGAAACGGCACAGGATAGGGGGACTTTTGTACATGTATGCCCCGCTTTCCACTCGAGACCATGACTCCTCGCCGGATCAAAGTCAAATCAAATCAACCCCATCATCCCATCGTAAACACTTCTGGCCAAACACATCAAAATATGGGAGAATTACAGCCAGAGGTCGACAAAGCGTAAGACACAGCGAATATTTATTGTGGAAATAAGCATCTGACTGTAGGCATGCTTAGCAAGGCGCCTGGCCTTCTCGATGCCACGCTCGACCAGCTCGCCGAGGGGTTGAAAGCCGGGCACTTTACCAGTGTTCAGCTCACAAAGGTATATATACGCCACTCGCCGAGTAAAAGAAACGCATCGCTCACCGTATGACAAGGCATACCTCAGGCGCATCGAGCAAGTCAATGAGACCGTTCACGCCGTCGTCGAGACAAACCCCGATGCGCTCGACATTGCCCGCAGCCTCGACGAGGAGCGAGCCTCTGGCTCCGTTCGAGGGTAATCACACATATCAACACTCATCTCATAGACCTTCAAGCTCACATATCCAGCCCCCTCCACGGAATCCCCATCCTAGTCAAAAACAACATCGCCACAAAAGACAAACTCAACACATCAGGTACGCCCTCCAACTCTCCCTCCTCACAACCCCCATCTCACAGCACATGCACCCAGCCGGCTCCCAGCTCCTCCTCCACGCCACCGTCCCCCGCGATGCCTTCGTCATCCAAAAGCTCCGCCGCGCAGGCGCCATCATCCTCGGCAAGACAAACATGTCTCAATGGTCAAACTACCGCGCCCGCGACTCCAGCATCAACGGCTGGTCCTCCCACGGCGGGCAGACGCTCGCCGCGTACCACGCCAACCAGAACCCCTCGGGCAGCTCCAGCGGGAGCGCGGTGGCGGCAGACCTGGGGCTCGCGTGGGCGGCGCTGGGGACCGAGACGGACGGGTCGATTGTGTCTCCGGCGCAGAGGAGCGGCGTCGTGGGCGTCAAGCCGACGGTTGGGCTGACGTCGCGGAGCCTCGTGATGCCCATCTCGGAGCATCTGGATTCGGTTGGGCCGATTGCCAGGACGGTCAAGGATGCGGCGTATCTGCTTCAGGCCATTGCGGGAAAGGACCCGGATGACGAGTACACGGCGGAGAGTCCGGGGGAGATACCAAACTACGTGGCCGCGTGCCGAGACAGTCTGTTGGGATCCCGGATAGGCGTCCCCTGGAAGGCCATTAATGAAGGGCTCGAAAAGTACCCGCATCTGGCTTCGGAAATCGAAGTCTTCAAAGACGCCGTCCTCTTCATGGAAATCGTCGGTGCATACATCGACGAAGAGGTCAACTTCACATCCGCGACGAAGGACGTCCGCGACGCCGAATCGACCATCATGAGGGCGGACTTTTTCGGAAACATTGCGTCGTATCTGGCAAAGCTCGAGTCCAACCCGAGCGGCATCCACACCCTCGCGGACATGCGCGAAAAGACGCAGAAACACCCCCTGGAAGCCTATCCGCAGCGCGACACGGGCATCTGGGACGACATTCTCGAGAAGCACAACTGGGACAACACCGACCCGCGGTTCGGCCCGGCGCTCGAGCGTCTGCGCGAACTCGGCGGGCCGGGCGGGCTGCCAGGCCTATTGGCGAGGCACCAGCTCAACGCGGTAGCGATGCCGACGAGCATGGCGGCGATGTGGGCCGCCGTCTCAGGGGCGCCGGTGATCACCGTGCCGATGGGGTATCACGCCGCGACGGAGCCGGTGCACAAGGACGGCGGCACGGTGGAGACGGGCCCCGGGGTCCCGATCGGGATCAGCTTCATGGGGCCGCGCTGGTCTGAGAAGAAGCTGTTTGGGATAGCGTATGAGTTCGACTGGAGGATGAGGCTGCGAGGTCGGGGGCCGCCGAGGGTGGTTGAGCCGACGGCGGAGATTGAGACGGGGCGTGTGAAAGGATGATTGATGGCTTGAAGAGTTTTTCTCCTCGCTTAGGAAACTCCGTGGGAGCCGAGTGGAAGATTCTAGAGCTGGCGAGTGTGCCTTGTCTTGAAGAGGGTTGGTGAAGAGTGTTTGGAGGGTTTGAGCCAGTCCTGATGCGGCGAGGGGGGAGGGCGCCGAGTTGAGTGGCCGCATGGCGACGGAACTTGACGTCACTGAGTCTTTTTATGTTTCGATTCTGCCCTCGTTTTGGGTGTTTGTATGTCAGACTTGATGGAGTTTGTCTTTGTGGTTGGCAATCGTGAAGGCTGATGGGGGATGGAACGTTGACTTGCACTTACACGCCCTGAGACGCCTCGATGCCCTGACCATACACCATGCAGGATCCATACGCCATACATCCTACCTCGACTGGTATCAGCCGGGCACTCGTGAGTGAGAATCCACGAAATGAAGCAAAACATGTCCAGCCTGTCAAACTGCGGCAACGGCAACGGCAACGGCATTGACCCTGCAGCCAAGGGCTCGTCGATCACCATCCTGACAATCTGCCATCTGCCGTGCCAAGGAATCAAGGCAAATTCAAGCTCCCACACCACTCGGCAGTCGAAGGGGACGAAAGAAACAATGATCATCTTCGTCTGCTGACGTCCGATTCGTCCAACTGCCGGCAGCAAAGCGACGTCATCCTCACAGGGCAAAGTCCCGAGATGGAAGGGTCCGGAATTGGTGTCTCGTGGATGAGCACTTGAGCGTATGCTTTTCTTACCTCACTTCTCGTCTCGCCGGAGATTCCGTCTGCGATCTCCATATCCCCAGTCATGAAGAGCAATCTCTAAAGATAACACCCATATAAGAGAAAGAAGAAAAAGAAGAAATTTTTCTTTCGAATAAGGCCTGTCAAAGATTGAAGTGGCTGTTTCCCTCTGGAATGCATCTTCCCACTACCGACTTCGAGCTCCAATAGCTCTTCGGTTCCTCCGCCACCGCACTCAGGAGACGTGCTGTCCTAGCAACAAGGCCCTTGAAAGTTCACACTTTCTCACCATTCGCCTCTTCTCCGGCATCCTGTACTCTACTCTCCTTGTAAGTAGTTTTCATAGAGGTTCATAGAGAAATCAATGCAATGCCACATGCACACAACACACAACATGCGCATAACAAAAGCCGCGTCATAAATGGGCAGCTCTCCACACCACCAACAACTCGCATCACCACCAAACTCCTCTCCTTCAGAGGTACCTCGTAATACCTCGTATAACCTCATCTAGGTACGCAAAAAGAGCCCGACCAACACTGCGAAAGAACCGGCAAGGTTTCACATCTATCCAAGCTCCATCGCCCTCTCCATCAAGGGCACCAAAATCACCCCGAATTGGGACCCTCAATCTCACGAGAATCGAGCAGGAACCCCTCCTCTTCGTCCAATGCCATCCAAAGAGAATCTGCTCTTCCCCAGCTTTTCGCCCAACCCTATTTTAAGCAAAAACTTTGCGCTTTTCTCCGCTTAAGGTACTAGGCAGGAATACGAAGGAATGCCACCCTCCATCTCGTCCCCTCTGGTGACAAGCCACACCAACCTCTCCAAGCTTCAAGTCACCATGCTATTGGGGCGCCACCAAGGTACTCACAGCACCTTAGGTACTGCTACATGCTGAGATCGACAGTGGTGGTTAGGATGGTTGTATGAATACAAAGTGCGTATAAACGCCCGCTTGTGTGTGTGCCGCTCCATGTAACGTGTATGGCTGCATCGTCAAGCCCAGACAAGCCCAGTGTTGATGCGCCTCCGCCACATTTTGTTCTGGTTTTTTTCTAGGTAGCTCTTCTTCAGCCGCGTCTCACCGAGTCCTTCGCTTCATCGAAATACCTCTTTTACTAAGCTAACAAGAAAGCGGGTGAAGCCGTCATGGATCCAATGCCCATGGTTCGCATGAGTAATTCCTGAACAGCAACTCAATGTAAGTCAGTAGCCGTCCATTCTCTCACAGCGCCTCTGCAAACAGCGCGTCTACGTGTAATGCTCCCTCTCCATGTCCCAGCCATCACACCATCTTTGACCCCGTCCTGCATCCCGTACCTCAATATGCCGCCTTAGCGCCCTGCACGATGGACACCTCCAGGCCGCGATGCGTCATTCTCCAGACAATGGGTGGTGCTCCAAGCACTACCTACTGCTACGACTCCTCGTATACTGGCTATACCATCGCCATTCTATGCTGTTCTCATTCCATCTTCTTCTCTGTCCTGTGACATGACCACATTCGAGCAATACCGCTAAACACAAAAACATATGCTTTGCCAAACCCACTCGTCTTCCTAGCTGTCCTGCCTGCACCCACAGCCCCGTACAAGCTCCAAGCTCGGAGCGTCACGATGCATCGCCAACCACCTTTTACAACGCCATTGGCCATAGTAGCATGTATCATCTCCTCGTCTTGTAGCCCTTCTTCGAGCGAGATACTTTATGCGCATGTCAGAGTTGCTCAATGCTGCAGTATACTCCAGTTTTCGCATCTCATCACCCGAAACCCCGCAAGACAACCAATGCACCCAAATTCACCTTCAACAAGAGACCTTTAACCATCATTTCAAAACATCAGACCACTCCCCAAGCAGCTGTACTCCAACTCGCAGGTCACTGCCAAACAGGACAGGCCCTCCTCACTGGCACGCTTACGTCGAACCAGGATTCTTTTCCGCCGTGTTTCTCTTAGTCACAAACAGCAGCAAGACACGGCCTGGACTCGGGCCCTTGTCTCCATGTCTGCTCCTCGCGGAAGCTCGGATCCAGCGGGGCCCAGCAGGTCTCCAGCAGGTGTTGGTTCATGTTTCTTCATGGATGTTGGCAATACTGCAACGGTACATGTAGGTAACCTGCTGGATGCAGTACCTAGAATTGCGGCAAGTGGCTCGGAATCGAGGGCATAGTAATACATGTACAAGCCCAGTGAGTAACTGCAGGCATCCCGGAGACAGCTCGCGCTCTGCATCCGTGGGAGTCATCCAGCCCTTCCCAGCCCTATTGAGAAAAACTTTGCAACTCCTCACCAGTTTCCTTCACCAATTGTCTGGCATATTTACATAAAAAACATCAGAATAGACATCACAGGCAAAGGGAGCAAATGAAGGTAAATCGTAAAAGCGTCCGAAGACATTAGCATTAAGCCAGTAATCTGGTATATTTTGAGTATTACAGACCCTCGAAAGGGCAGATCCAAATCCAACAGAAGTTGTCCGGGTCCAGCTCATTCATCATTCCATTAGCCTTCCAGCAAATATCCTCCGGGTATTCCCATCTCTACCACGCCGTTTTCGCTCCGTACTCGTCAAATGGCAACATTGAAAAGTCCCTTACAGGGCAAGGGCGCCGATGGCGAGCATGGCGAGGCCAGGCAGGAGAGCAGAAGCGGCGCCAGTGGGAGCAGTGGGAGAGCCGGGAGCGCCGGTGCTGGTGCGGTTGCCAGAGGGAGGAACGCCAGTGCCAGTGCCGACAGGGACAGCGGGGGTGGTTGTGATGGTCGTGGGAGCAGCGCTGGCGACGGAGCTGACAACAGAGCTGACAACAGAGCTGACAACGGTGGTCTGGGCAACAGTGGTGGTCTCCTGAGCGACGGTGGTGGTCTCCTGGGCGGCAGTGGTCTGCTGGGCAGGAGTAGTGGCGGCAGCAGAGGAAGCGGCAGAAGAGCCAGAGCCAGAGTTGGCAGCGCAGAGAGCCTGGGTGGCGGGCAGGACCTTGTCTGTAGCAAGTGGTTAGCACGCGGGCTCTTGAGGTCATCAAAGCACAAGACGGGTTGGAACATACTGATGGCGACGTCAGTGCCGCACTTGGAGATGACGCAGCTGGTGGCCGCGCCCTGGACGGCGTCGAAGTCCTTGCAGATGCAGGCGTAGTCGGTGGTCGAGCACTTGGTGTTGGCCTTGACGGCGTCGTCGAGGCAGGGCAGAGCGCACGAGGGGATGTCGGCGCGGGTCTGGGCAGAGGCCAGAGCGGCGAGGGCAAGGGCAACGAAGGCGGTCTTCATCTTGGCGGTATTAAGGGACTTTGGGTTGGATTGGATTGGGGAAGTGGTGATGTTTTTTTTGTTGTTTTTATGGTGTTTGCGACAACGAATGTAGCTGGACTGTAAAGCGAGCGAGTGGATGGAGAAGCAAAAGAAGAGGAGAAGGAAAAAGAGTCTGGATGGAGGGAAGGGCTCTTATGTACCTTGGCGAGGTCGAGGCAGGTCAAGCCGCAATGGGTGAATGGCTGGATGGATGGGATGGCCTTCCAGTGAGGTGCCGTTTCCCTGTCGAGGAGCTTCTGCTCGTCTTCCCACTTCCCTTGCCTCGTTAGCGGCTGTTACTGGGCCTTAGTGCCTGCTAGCTGGTGCAACCCGCCTGTGGCGCCCCTGGTCGGCCGGTCGCTGTCGCTGGTCTCAGCTGGGGCCGCACGCCCCTCCCCTAATCGATCGTCGGGCCGGGGGTGAAATTTGGACGAGGGCCTTAGGAGGCAACGAGGTCCCAACAAGGCAGCAGGGCCGAGGGGAAAACAAGGACGAGGCCGTCGCGGTGACTGCTCACTGAGGTGCTTGTATCAAATCGTATTGCTCAATCCGTCTGTTGGCGCTGGCTGTGTCGAGCTCATGGGAGCCCAGGGAATGTACCGGCTAAACACGCGGAACATCGGCGGAAGTCGCGGAGTACCTCAGCCGCGTTGGCCGTCACCGTGACCAGGGGCGGTGTCCACTAGCATCTCCAAAGTACCGTCACACCCGCAAGTACCTCCCGCTGCAAGCGTGTGCACACAAACCCCGTTAGCGCGTGCGCACTGCGGAGCGCGACTTCTGTTCTGGGCAGCCACGCAGGTGGAGCTGGAAGGAACAGCGAAGGAAGGCGCTGTGGCCACGGCAGGTTACAGGGGACATGTCGTACCGGTGACTTGGGCGATGCTGTCTTTGTGGGTAATCTGGAGTAGTCACTGCGACTTGTCGCTTCAGCGCCTCGAGCTGCCAGGCAGACGTTTGGTGACTTCCATGAGCCTCTGGTGGCAATGGAGGCCATGGATGGACCGAACCTCGTCCGACCAGGGTCTCTCTGGCCTAACCCCATCTGCTACACACGGCCGAGCCGGGCACCGCAGCGATCGACGCTCCTTGGACGCTGGAGTATGGGGATGACTGCAGAACAGTACCCCGTCTGGACTCTGACGACGAGTTGCAGGTACGCTGCCCACTGCGGCCGCTGCTGGTGATGTCAGGTTCCTGCTACTCGGCCGCTGTACCTCGACAGAGGCAAGGTATCTTCAGGATACAACAGCAATTGACCTCGCTGCTACCGCGGGCTGGCATCCTGGGTTCCGGAGAAATGAGTCCCGTCCTCATCCTCCTCTCTCGGTCCCCAGAAAGACGAACCGGCCAACACTCCAGGGAGACCAGCACGGAGATGCCGCACGATGACCCGACGAGCCACCGGGCACAAGCAGCAGCAGCACCGCTCCTCCATTGGCCTCGCGCCAGAAATTGCCAGAGCATCGACACGTCCAATTGCTGTCCTCGCCAGCCCGCATATCGTCGCCATTGGCCCAGCCCCTCTGGCAATCTGGCCATGGGGCTTGGCTGCTTCTCCCTGCCATTCGACTTTTGCATCCGCAGATCTGGGGTTTCCATGAGCGAGTGTGGTTGGCCAGCTGTACGGCCAGGTCGAGCCGCTACTGTTCCATCTGCTGCGGCCGTCATTTGCCTCCGCTTCATGGGCCAGCCAGTGTGTGTGGGTGCGGATGACCATCTGGTTGCAGAGGCGCACGTAACCTTGCATGTCTGCTGTGGCTGGGCTGTCAACAAAGTTTTTCTGGGACGACGCTGTGGTACGATGATGGCATCGATGCTCTGCTGCAACCACGAGCGGCAAGATGGAAGGCTGTACGACGATGCTCGCGGCCATTAACAGCGATGTCTCAAAATGACAGGTTCGAAGAGCATCCCCGCGTTCGGCTCAGGTTCGGCCGAATTCATCGTCGCGTTCGTCCTGCTTCCTGCGGCTGCCAGGTGCTACAGCGTCCATTCGACGAGTTTCCAGGCGACTTCCAGTGCTTTCAGCGCCTGCAACCGCCCGTGGCCATCGGCTCCAGCGACCACGAGCCTTGTCCGGCCGCTGTAACCTCGACCCCTGCCTCCATGTACTGAAGAGGTATCTCATGCGCAGCATCGCAGACCACGGATGACCTCTTTTCGTCAGCATCATGTCATTGAGCTTCTCATGTTCCTCTTGCCTATGCTACGAAGTCCTACAGCGTCCGGAGAGATGCTCGGCGGCGTCATGAGTCTACCAGCGGGATACCAGTGGAATACTCGTACATGGATGCTCGAAGACGCTGGGCTATGCCTGCTGGGTCACCCCAGAGCTGGCGCTTTGCTCGATTCTGCAGGCACACACACGCTCTTCAGCCTGTTTTCATCGAATAGCGCGAGCGCGACGAACCTGCGGAGAAACTGGTGCCTCCTTTTCCCCTTGCCTCGTCGACCTGGTAGCTCAGTAGGGGGGCGATCGACGGGCTCTTCGTCGCGGCCCATTCCAACAACGTCCGACTCTTCCGCCATGATTCGAGAAGCTAGCAAGCTAGGCATCGAGGTAAAGGGAGGTTCGAAATGAGGCGAACACTATTAGGCTCGATGGCTGGAATGCGGGAGCGGCTCCACCAGAGACAGACGCCGCTTTGGCTCAGACACGACGGAACTGGATGGGCAGAGGGAGCTTTGCCCTACGAGGATACGAAGAGAAAGGGAGAGAAGATGCAGGAACACGACACCAGGCGCGCATGAGCTGAACACCTCCAATGCTAGTCCAGCTGCTCTTTACCCGGAGCGTCAATGTCGCCCGCGAGAGTGGCGTGAAATGCTGCCATCAACAAACAACCAGGACAAGGCCGCCATGTCTCTCTCATCACCCTCGCTGACAGAGGCAATATCGCACCAGACTTTGCGGCTCGACTTCGTTGCCCAAAGCTCTGCCAAAGTCCCCTGCCAACCCTTGTCCTTTCCTCCTTGCAACTCGCTAACTCTAGCTGAGTGAATCGGCAACAAAAAGTCCGGGGAACCAGAGGGTCTGTGAGCGCCTGGACGACAAGCTTGAATCGCTCGGCCACAGACGCGATTCCCAGGGCCTCCGTGATGCGTGGCTCTTCAACACAATTTCCCCCGCAGCTGCCCCCTGACGCCAGTTGCTCATCCCAGGCGCCTGATCCGATGGGATCTCCATAAGGTCCACGGCCCATCGGTTAGCTTGCTCTAGCCCTGGGCCTTTTCTGCAAGCTCCAGCATGTCAACAGGGTGCGCCGACCAAGTTTTTTTCCCGTCCTTTTGCTTACCTTGTGTTGCTTGTCCTGCTTGCTCTCCCCTGGTCCACCACACCACACCTCTCCCCCTCCCCGCTAGCCTTGATGGTATTACAGCTTCACTTCTCGAGCGCGCCGTGCCGAGGCCTATTATGGCCTGCACACACGAATCCTTTCGCCATGTGATGATGAGCGGCAGAGCAAACCCCTCGCTTTGCACAGCCTTTCTATCGATCTTGCCGAATGAATAGGGGCCGCCAATCTCCTTTGCTGCTGAACGTGGCAGCTAGTCTACAGGGGGGCGGTCGGACACTGATCAGAACCTGATCAAATTATACTCCCTACCGCGTGCAGGACCGGCCCAGAATGAGAGATGAATTCATGCGGGCCCTCTCCAGCAAGCCCACTGGTACGGTAGTCGTACGTATGCGTACATACAAACGAAGTCGTACGGGGGGCAAGCAAATCAGATCTATGGACCAGGCCGGAGAACTTCCTTTAACGAGCATGGTTGTTCTCTCTCCTGCCACGGAGAAAAGTCCCCAGTCTGGCATGAGACCTGGCAAGGCCCGGTGGGTAATTGGTGACTTGCTTGAACCCTTGCTACGTGACGGCGAGGTCTGCCATCGAATTGGCGAGTTCCGTAGATCGAACAGCTTCCCAATGAGCGTTTTGTTTTGTTATTTTTCCTTTCCTCTGGCTTCTCGCAGATGTCGCCGTGCCCAATGCTCCTCCCTCGCCTCAATGCTGCTTCGTTCAATGGACCAGGGGTCAAGCCACCATTGTGCGCAGCCGGAGCCGGGTCATAATCCGAACCAGCAAACTGACTCTTGACTCTAGATCGAGAGACGCTCTTGGAAGCTGCAGGGTTTGGCTTTTTGTGGATGTCCACGCTGTCCGGCATCATTTCCGGGCCTGTACGGGGCATCTGCAAGTGGTGATTTGGCTGACGGGTAGTGGTGCTGCTCGCTTGCCAACGGGCTCTTCGTACGCCTTTTTTTGCGCTGCTCACACGTACTAGATACATACGGGGTTGGCTGGTGGATGCTGTCATTCATCAGGCTGGAGGATCAGCAGTACAGCCAGCCTGATCGTGACGGACAAACGCAATGTTGCTCCCGTGAGACTGTAGATCGCCTCACATCGTCTGTCTGCTGATGCTATTCTTGTTGCTGCTTGAATCGTCGAAACTGCACTGCCGGCAACCACTACGTTGGAGTTGGAGGTCTCGGAGATTGACCATGCTCTACTTGATGCAGGCCGCCCGCAGCCATGGTCTCATGGCTTCCATTGGACGCTGCCAAACTGGCCGAAGAAGGTATATCCTTGCCAGACGTTGTGGGCCTGGACGGCACGGCCCCGGTGCTGCTTGAGGAAGACACCTCGCGTGGGTGCACCAAATACAGGTGCTGTGCCTCGTTCGTTGCACAAAGGCCGATATTACCTTGTATTAGGTTATCCTGCAGCATCATTACTCGTGCTCCGACGGCAGTCACTTGGTCCTGATGAGGAGGATAGCTTGAGCTGCCCGGCTCATCTATCCAGTACAAACTTCCCCTTTTCTAGTTTGTGACTGATGTTTGTAGAGGATTTAGATACGAATCGAGTCGAATCATGGTTCTCCCCGGGCTATCGAGCATCTTCAGACCAGTACTCCGTATGGCTTATACGGCTCAGCACGGAGGCGGCTCACATGCAGAACTGCTGAGACACCACGACTCAGCGCCTTTCACCCATTCCCGTCGAACAGATGCAGACTCGAGACGAGGGCGAATGAGCAGCGCGAGACGAGGTTTTCTTCTTGGCGATGAGCAGCAATCCGTTTGGGCAAACGATATATGGCTTCTCAAGCTCACGCTCTGAGCCTCCAGATCGCAAGATGCTCCATCGAACACACATCGTCCAGGAACTCGGACAGGAGATTGGCTTGATGGTGGCTCGCCGTGGCGACGAACCATGATTCTGGAAGTTCCCCCCCTCACAGATGGGGGATGGGCGCTGCTGAGCTGGCCGATCCCTCTTTTTCCCCTGAACGAAGCAAACACGGCTCGCGGCCTCGGGTGACTCTACCCCAATCATGCTTTACGCTGCATGTGGCCCGGCAAGCCACAGCTGAGAAGATGCCCTCTGGAGGGATCGGCCACCGCCGGCTGTGCCTTGGGCTTGCTGCAAAGTACTGTTCGCCGCGATAACCGGCGCTACTGTCTTGCTTGGCTGTGCGGTGTCGAGAGCCGAGGAGTAGGTGTGCGCGTGAAGTGCAAAGTATGCCTACCAACTTGAAGTACTCGAGCATCACCGCCTCAGCTGTCTCACCTACGGCTCCGATTGCACGTCAAGTGCGGTGGTACGATCGGAGCGGGAGTGCCACTTTCATCGCCCCCGATCCCTCCGAGGCGGCGGCTGTGCGTCTCGGTTTGCGAAACATTGTCCCGTGGTTCGTACGAGGTTGGGAGTTTGAGAATGAGTCGGATTCCCTTGATGTTTTGGGTTTATTGTGTGAAACTTTGACGCGTCCTTGATCTATGCAGAGACATGCGTATTCGACCAGTAGTATACTCCGTATTACTTCGTACCTTTGTACGAGTAGCATGCAGATGGCCGAACAGACAGCTTGATGGAGTTTGTTGGTATGTAGGTCGTGGAGCTTGTTTGTCTTTCAGCGTCCACCTTTCAGCTTTCGGCTTCCATCCAGCCTCTTTTCCAGCTGAGTTCTGGGGCGGCACGGAGTATGTACGTACGTAAGCCCGCCGTTGTATGTGTGCGTGCAGTGCGGGAAGACAGGCTATAGCCACACGCCCCCCTTTTTGCAGGTGAATCCGTAAGTCTGGGCTTTTGATTGGGAGCCTTGGTGAGCTACTCTGTACTATTTTTGGTGTGGCAAATCGTATTGTAACAGAAGTGAAAAGGGAGAAAGGAGGCTTGGACTTGTTTTGAGACATGGCGGATCATGGATGGGTCGATGGAGAAGATGTTTAGGCAGTTTGTTGTGATGATGGGATGTGTAAACAAAGGTAGAGTCGACTCGTGCTTTGGTGGGTATGATTTGCTTGTTGCTAGGACGGGGGTTCTACTTGTAATGTATGTGATTGTGGATGTGTATGTGATTGTGAATGTGGATGGGCCTGGTTGCCTAGACTTTATATAAACAAGAGTGTGTGGATGAGTGATGAGGTGGGTTGGGAATGATGGCTGAGGAATAGCAGAGGTGATGAGGCGTGAATTCTGCACTTGTTATTTGTAGCTGGCTGACTGAGAGGTCTGCGTTGTGGCTGTTCGCTGAAGCCCGTGTTGATCACAGGCATCGACGCCTCCTATATCTGATGTGAAGAGCTTGTTCCATGCTGTTCTACGTCCCTCTTATGTGTTTGGCGGACATATGCATCGGTAAGCGCGCTGGTAACTTCACTTGACTCGATGGCAGATGTCTTCATATACCAGAGGTGGTTGTCAACTGACTTCGTTGATATGGCAGCGGTATTGACTCCGGGTTCACGTCGCGTTGGTTCGCTTTTCGGAATGAAACTCGTGGTTCGTGCAAAAGTATTCTACGATGAGATGGTAGTGCTATGGCAGATGGCCAAATTAAATGCCATAAGATGATGCAGCATGTGGATTTGTGTGTTGTTGCTAGAAGGTACTTTGAAATCTCCAGGGTAGAACTGTTGACCGTTCGACTTGTGTTGGGTTGCCGGTTTCTGTGAACTCTTTACGGCTGGCTACTCTTTGTGTACAAGCATGGTGAACTCAGTGTTTTGATCGTATTGCACTTGCCAATGTCGATATAGTAGGCGATGGGCCTGGCGGGGGATCAAATGTTCTCGATTAGATGGGTTTGATAGCTGGTCTGCTTATTCATTATAGGAACCTTAACGTAGAGCTGAAGGGGAGTCATTATACTACGCTGCTTTCCAAACCTTTTGACATGAATCATATGAGTAATGAGCGAGAATATTGCAGGAAAGCATCTTCCTGGACCATACTGCGAGCGGGCAAAAGAGGGGGAGATGGAACGATGCCAGTCCGAGAGACCGCCGTGTATGAAAGGACCGGACACCCTGCATGATTATATTGTTTCTAGACTATGAGTATCTTGTTTCCAATTCAAAGAAAACAAAAAAACAGATGGTAATTGAAAAAGAAAGGCAAAAAGGCGGGACAGCCGCCGGTTATCGAATCGGTGCCTTCCTCGGCCGCCCAACCTCCAACACGTGCGATTCGATATACCGTTCGACTGCCCCGCTGATGAACATGTCCGGACTTTTGCTATATATACCATAGGCCCCTGTTGGGATGGGTTGGGGCTGGGCTGGCAGCTGGTGGCAGCTGTCGACGGAACTGGAGTGTCAAGGGGCGAGTTGGCTGTCTGGTCTGACAGATGGCGCGGGATAGTGGGTTTTGGCGACTTCTGCCTTGCTTCTCTATTTTGAGCTAAATGATGCGAGGATGAGCATAAGCAATTGAACATTGGCGGCAATGCGGAGAAGGGCTGCGATACTATGTTCAACGGGTAGTATGTTTAGTTTTGGTGGAGGATGCCAGAAAAGAAAGAGGCTTGGCTTCAAGCTGGCTGTGAAGCGGCGTTAGATGCGAGTACAGGTGGCTTTTTGGTGGATAGGAATTGCCGAATATCACCATGGAATAAAGGTAAAGTCACTTGGGATGATATGTCTGAGCTTCCTCCTTGCTTTGACTTGCTTCCTGCAGTTGTGTGACTGTCTTATGCAAGTTTTACCGTTAGGACACTGCATAGGGTAGATATGGCAATGGCTACTGGAGAGACGAGATAACTTATACTGGTGACCTGACCTTGGTATAATGGTTCGCCTTGCTGTGCAGTGTCCGAAACATATCTTTGAGGCTTTGGCTCCCTTCTTTTATGCGGGTAGTGATCGGCCATCAGACCCAATGAGAGAAAAGGTTGCACTGAAGGTTATATCATAAGCATATATATAAAGCTTGCATGTGGAGTTCAGCTAGATGCCAATCTTAAGTCCGATCTGACTCAGGGTAGATATACTACGTAGACGTAGTTGAGTTGTGATAGACTACACGCACCTTACATGCTCCCAATTTGAACGAACGTTCTATACCGTGATGTCCCATGACCTTAAAACGAAGACATACTCTTTCTATGAGGCTTTTTGTTGTACACAATTACCATGAGCGTCATCCGTCTGGCGGTCCTTATATTACATGGCACACAAGACCAGCGTTGGTCCAATCCCACGCCGGAATCCAACCACCAGACTGCAGAAAGTGGCTTTTTTTGAGCGAAAAGCATCACACCGCGTGAGCAAACGAATCTTTTTGTCCTTGGATTTAGACTATCAGGATGATGAGATGCGCGAAAAAGTGAGACTGGCTTATCGGAGCTCGGAATGAGTGACTGATATACTGACTGATATCATGTAGATACTGTGAAGACTTCCCCTCTCCCGTCGCGGAGAGAGCCTCATGTTACTTTCGGCGTTTTTTGTGCTCCTATTGAGTTTCTTCCTCGTGGAGTTCATAGCACTGACTTGAGTAATCAAGATGGAAGAAGCTGTGTATTTGTTCGTGCCTTACCCGTCTTCATCGTGGCAAGGCCCGGCAGGTGTTGCGTTCCTGGCCGGCATCGCATCTCATCATCTCGTCTTCCGACCCTATGAGATCGATGTCTACGTGTGGCAACTGATCTTCCTCTACGTCACCGCAGTCGCTACTCTCTTCGCAAGCTGTGTCCACATAGGAGGGTATCGAGTGGCAACTGCTCTGCTGTGGACACTGTCCATCGCGAATGTGTACAACTCCAGCGTCATAGGAAGCATTCTTGTGTACAGAGCCTTTTTCCATCCTCTGAGACGCTTCCCTGGCCCATTTTCGGCGAGACTCTCGAGGTTCTATGCGATGCATAAGATGCTGCAGAGTAGAAAGGGGTATGAAGATATACAGAGGCTGCATGACAAGTACGGGGACATTGTGCGAGTTGGTAAGCAGTGCCAGGCCCTATGACTCTCTACATACTATCTTGACATGCGTTGAGTTACTCAATAGGGCCTCGAGAGCTTTCCATCAACCGTCTCTCTGCAATCCGAGCTCTATACGGAGCCCATGCGCAAACGACGAGACCGCCTTGGTATTCGCAAACGACGAGGCACGCCGCAAAGTCTTCGCTGGAGAACACGAGAGATGTGGTGATGCATAAACTAAGGAAGAAGGTCTGGGAACGGGCTCTGGGATCTCGAGGTATGTACTATGTCTTCCCCATCTTCCGCGTACATATGTTTTGCAGCCGAGGACTGTCTTTGTGATGCTGACGGGCGGGTTTGGAAGCGCTGGAGGTATATGAGCCTCGAGTACAAGCCAAGGTGGACCTTTTACTGTCCAAGATCGCAGCAGCGAAAAGTAATCCGGTTGATGTGACAAAGTACTTTATGTACTTTAGCTTCGATGTCATGGCAGACGTAGGCAAGTAAAGGGATCATTGAACAAAGTCTCGTGTCCGTAGGCTAAGGCGTAACTCGCAGGGTTTTCGAAAAACTTCCGCATGCTTGAGTCGACCAACTATCATCCCGCCATCAAAGGCGTCCACCAGACCATGTCGTTCATCGGCATCCTGGCTACTGTCCCGTGGCTCATATACATGATTGGGTCGGTACCGGGTGTGACGACCTTTAACCGCTTTTCGATGTGGTGCCACGACGAAGTTAATGAGAAGCGCAAGGTGGGCCCCTGTTCTGGTTGTTCTTCGACTTATTTCGTATTGTGTGATTCGATTGATTGACTAGTTGAACATCTAGACACTTGCTATCAGCAAGGAGAGAGAGCCGCAGGATGTCATGTCATGGCTCCTGAAAGCCATGAATGAGAAGGACCCGTCAGCACCTCCTAGCGAGAAAGCTGTTGAAGAAGACGCTCGGCTGTTGATCATAGCAGGCAGGTGTGTAATAGGCCTCTCCGGTCTTTACAGAGACTAAGAAGTTGACCGTCTGACTTCTCGGTGCTCGATAGTGACACATCGGCTGGTGTCTTGGCAAATGCGTGAGTCGTATGAAGCTTGTTCTCCTGAGCTATACTCATCATTCGTGCATCGTTTAGGCTCTACCTCCTGGCACGCAACCCCCACTGTTACCAGCAGCTACAGGCAGAAGTACAGAAACGCTTCCCAGGAGGAATCTCAGAATGGATATATGCAAAAGCAAAAGCAATTCCCTATATAGACCATGTCATCCATGAAACATTGCGCCTAAGGCCCACCGTCCCAGGCGGAATGCCCCGAGCCGTCCCCTCACAAGGCATATTCATTGACGGCGACTTCATCCCAGGAGAAACAATTGCCGCGGTGCCAACGTACACGATCCAGCGCGACGAGAGATACTGGGCGGATCCGCTTACCTTTAGGCCCGAGAGATGGAAGGGCTGTGCGACGGACGGCGGGGCGTGGATGGCGTTCAGTCGGGGGCCGTGGACGTGTCCGGGGCGGCAGTTGGCGATGATGGAGATGAGGATGGTGCTGAGCCGGATTGCGTTGCAGTTTGATGTTGGGTTTGCGTTGGGCGGGGGGGAAGGGTTTGAGAGAGATACGGTGGATAATGTTTCGATGACGCTGCCCGAGTTGAGCCTCGTGTTTACTCCTCGTTAGATAGATGTGCCAGCGAGGAAGCCGGCTGGAGATATGGTGGGGACTCTAGGAAGCGTGATGCGTTCTTTTGGCTATCGAGGATGTCCTTGAGGCGCACTGCATCTTTTGTGTTTTATTGATGCGAAAGTACTTGTGGCGACGGTCTACGGGGAATGGCTTTTGGCTGACATGGAGACAGGTGTGCTTCGCAAAGTCGAGGAGGATCGATTCGCTCGACTACGTCAAAAAGATGCGGTGCCTCTCCAAGTTTGCACGTATACGGCCAGGAGAACTGCTCATATGCGACCATAACATGCTATAAGAGCTTACGGAACATCAACGCTTCCAACAGAGTATGCGAGTGAAGGCAAGAGAGACTCTTAGCCGAATAGAATGAACTGTAAGACGATGTTAGATCTGTAATGAGACTCATAAGTTTCATTCGTCTTCTGCCCGCTCACCTTAATTGGTCAACGCCCAGCTTGTTGAGATCACATTGAACCCACGTGTCATCGGCACAAGTGAGCCTTGGGCCTTAATCTAGGCATCGTCGGATGAGCCTCGTTGCAAATATGTCCAACACCAGCAATTATGCCTTGAACTTGATCGAATCGTGTGGATACCCATCATCGCGGCTATGCTAATGCGGTGATTGGTTTATCCCCTGTAACGTGTACATTTTGAGCTGCAACTCTGCCATTGTGAACTTGTTCTATAGTTTTGGAGATTCCATGTTTTTCACACCAAGTCTCGTCCTACCGCCATCAAGAACCGCGTAAAATGGTCCTGCCTGCGGAGATTACTGATGGAATCCCCCACGATGACATGAGCTATGAGCGACGCCTCTTCTTGTTCACCAAGTGCGCGGGAAAACGTGAGCCATATGTTGCTGCATTTCAAAGCCTGCACCGACTTAATATAGTCCGGCTGCAAATGGAGCTCATGCAGTTGGAAAAGGTGATTGAAGAGTCCAAAGAGCTTCCGAAGGCCAAGAACGAGGAGTTGACACGACTTCTTCGCGCCTACAGTAAGGACCACGAAATCCTAAAGGCAGAAAAACGTTGAGCTAAGCTATACCTTGCGACGACTGTTGTCAGCCAATGCCATCCGCGACTATCAATATCTGAGCACATTAGTGCCACTCACGGCCTCCCAGGCTCGGAACCAGCGCCTCGACATTGAACAAGCCTTTATTGAGGCGGGAACTGTGTCCAACGACCCTCAATCTTACCGTCGCTTTCCCGACACATCGCTCACGGCCAGCGATCCCCTCCGGGACTTGTTAAAGGCCCTTCTGCCTACCTCCCTCACTTACACCAAGCGCGAGATACGGCGCCACACGGCCGAGTATCTGAAGGGCCTGCCGCCTGCTGACGTCTCACCGTTTGTGGACAAGGCGGCACGGTTCATTGTTGCGTTTATAGGCGGTGCTTCGCTTGTGGTGCCGATGCTGATTATGAGGCTGCCTCGGGTTACGTTGGCGAAGAGCTTGGTCACGGTGTCTGTTGCCGTGTTGCTGTTTTCTGCTTTTCTGTCTGTTTTCATGAGGGCGTCGAATACGGAGACGATGATTTCGACGGCGACGTATGCGGCTGTTTTGGTGGTTTTTGTTGGAACGACTTCATGATATGGGTCGATTAATGTTGGTAAAGATTGGATATAAATCAAGTTGGTAATTGGTACTCGCTGGGTTCGTAGGGGAAGAAAAGGCGTGGCGTCAAGGTGGACAGTAACTGCGATATTCAAAGGCTTACTTGTTTTTGTTTGTTTGGCCTTTCAAGGTAACATCGAATCCTACGTACTTGGTAGTTTAGCACATTTTGGCGGGTCGCCCTTCACGGAATATGGCCTGGCCAGGAGGGATTTCAGCTTGATAACATCAGCTCTAGCAACTCGTTGTTGACCACTGGTCGGAACACACAACAATCTTGAATATGAGAGTTTGTAAGCTAGCCAACGTCTGTCGGTGTTATAAGAGCCAGGAGAGTGAAGGATTTCTACGCTACTAAGCACTCTCTACTGTCCCAAGCGCTGTTTACTAAGATATTCTTCAACGCAACGTCCAGCTAATCGTAATTACTCCGACAAATCTCCTTCATCAGTCTCCATTCCACGCGCAATACGAGTAACTACCCAGACTTTCTACTGTAGAATGGCGAAATAACCATCTCCAAGATGCTTAACACCCGCTAAACCTACCCTAGAAAATCTCCAATTTTCCAGCGTCTAGAAACAGACGTCATTCGATTCCGGACGATTCATGCACCGGTGGGCAGGTGGGGAAGGAGGGGTTGGAGGGGTCACGGATGGACTTGCCTGCTCTAGACCAAAAGCCTCAGTGCGGCCAGAGTTGCCCATCTGAAGCAATTAGCCTCGTATTATTAACTTGGAAATGGCATCACTATTTCCTACTGTCACTGCTTGAATTGTTAAATGTCGATGGTGAAAGTTAAGGATTACGAATTAATAATGCCAATTGGGGTGGCGGAAGGCTAAAATAACGTTGAAAGAGCATATCTACTTATATAAGTTGAAAAAGATATAAATACACATCGCCTGCTTCGCTCCTTCCCAAGCTTCAAGCCATCTCTTGTCCAAATCTCACTTGCTCTACTTCTCTTCGTCTCCATCTTCTTCCGTCATCAATCTCTCCTCTCTTTACATAGTCATCACCAGCAGCATCACCACAATGGCCAGCAAGACATTCAACGTCGGCATCGTGGGCTACGGGTACGTCACGCAAACCCCAACTATCCCCAATTCTTCACCAAACAACAGACTAACACCATCACCAACAGCCTCTCCGCCAAAGTCTTCCACATCCCCTTCGTCGTCTCAACGCCCGGCCTCAAGCTCCACGCCATCGTCCAGCGCTCGCCCAAGCCCAGCGACTCCGCGCCCGCCGACTACCCCGACCTCAAGCACTACACCTCGTCCGACGACCTCATCGCCGACGCCGACGTCGACGTCATCATCGTCACCACGCCGCCCGACAACCACTTCGACCTGACCAAGAAGGCCCTCGAGGCCGGCAAGCACGTGCTGACCGAGAAGCCCTTCGTGCCCACCGCCGCCGAGGCCCAGAAGCTCGCCGACATCGCCAAGCAGAGCGGCAGGCTCATCTGCGTGTACCAGAACCGCCGCTGGGACGCCGACTTCCTGCTCGCCAAGCACCTCATCGGCAAGGGCGCCCTCGGCCGCGTCCTCGAGTTCAACACCCACTTCGACCGCTACCGCGCCGACGCCCCCGCCAACTGGAAGGGCCAGCTCGGCATCTCCAAGGGCGGCAGCGCCCTCTTCGACCTCGGCACCCACCTCATCGACCAGGCCTACGTGCTCTTTGGCCTGCCCCAGTCCGTCCACGGCCGCCTGCTCAACCAGCGCGAGGGCCGCCCCGAGTTCGAGACCCCCGACGCCGTCGCCGCACAGCTCACCTACCCCAACGGCCTGCTCGTCAACGTCAACATTAGCGCCCTCAGCGCAGAGGTCGACCAGCTGCGCTACTGGATCCGCGGCACAAAGGGCAGCTTCCGCAAGGTCCACCTCGACCCCCAGGAGGACTTTTTGCGCGCCGGCGGCAAGCCCACCGATGCGGGCTACGGCATTGAGAGCACCGACAAGAGCAGCCTGACGGCCGTTGACGAGGCCACGGGCAAGGCCAGCCGCGTGCCCGTGCCCGAGCTCGAGCCCGAGACGTACCGCGCCTTCTATGCCCAGTTTGCAAAGGCCCTGCAGAGCGGCAAAGCCGAGGACGTGCCCGTCAAGGCCGAGGAGGCGAGGGACGTCTTGAGGATTATCGAGGCTGTTTTGGAGAGCGCAAAGACTGGCAAGGACGTTGTTCTTGCTTAGGGGGATAAAGATTTTAAAAAGGCAGAAGTTGGATGTAAGAGCATGAGATTGGATGTACAAGTGTTTTTGTATATATGAAAATACCAGCTTCACAGGAGCAAACAATATGTCAATGATTTAACGTCTAGTTTAATCACCCGCCATAAGCACCGGTGACGATGTGAAGCAAAATTACATGGAAACATATGTGACACAAGACGAAGTAAAGAAAAAAAGTCATGATTCTATACACGCTATCGCTATGCGCGAGTTATATCCTATCCTGTCCTATCCTATCCAGCCCAAGTACATATTATCCAGTCATCCAAAACAAAGGCAGAGAATGAGGAAAATGAAGAAGAAACAATGGCGTAAAATTGCCAATAGAGCCCAAATATGCCAAATCCCTTACATGAGCAAAACAGCACACACCACCGCCGCCAACGCCGTCACCACCGTCGCCCCGCCGGCCGACTTCGCGCCCGAGCTCTCAATCTCAATCGGCGTGCTGAAAAACGTCGGGTCGTAGTCGCCGGGCGTCTGCTCCGCGAGGGTGCCGTTCCAGCAGTACTGCTGGAAGCACTTGTTGCAGGCGTCGGGCACGGGGGTGCGGGTGCGCTCGAAGCTGCGCGCGAGCATGGCGCAGCCCACGCACACGGGCCAGTTGGCGTCGCGCGTCGCGTTGCCCTGCGTGACCACGTCCCAGCCGTTGGTGACGATGGCGTCGCGCTCGTCCAGCTCCGTCGTCATCTGGAAGGTCGAGATGTTGGACTGGAACTGGTAGGGGTAGTTGGGCAGGTAGACGATGAGCGGCGACTCGCCCGTCACGTTGGTCGAGTTGCAGCCGAAGAAGACGGGCTTGGTGTTCAAGCCCAGGTTGAGGAACGTGTTCTTGCCGGGCACGTACGGGAAGCCCGTGCCGTTGGAAATCTTCTCAATGGCTCGCTCGTAGGTGGCAGTGATGGACGCGCCGTCGGGCCAGCCGTTGTCAGTGTCGGCCGACGAGTCAACGGAGAAGACGACGTCCACCTTGCGCGCCTGAAAGATGTGCGGATGGTAGGGCACGTTCTGTAGATCCTCGCCGCCGTCCACCAGCGTCAGCCGCTCGCTGCCGGCGCCCGGGTTGTTCTTTGGGTTCCAGCCCCTGAAGGGGTTGGGCGTCCAGTCGGCAATGTCGTTGTTCTCGTTGCCGAGCACCGTCAGGATGCCTGTCAGGATCTTGATGACAAAGTCGGGAACTCCCTTGGGCACATAGTTGCTGTTGTCGTCCCGAAGATACAGCACAATCTGGTTGAAGAGGGAGCTGGAGGTGCCCATAACGTAGCCAACATTATCAAAGCCGACCATGCAAGACTCGTTCTTGGGCAGCGTGCCGTTTGCGAACCGGGATCCGGCGTACTTGAGCGGCACGTAGCCGTTGAGCGTCGGGTCGGAGGAGCCCATCTCCCAGGGGTTGATGTCAAACACGGTCGAGTTGTTAGAGATGATGATTTGGCCAGGTGCTCGACCATCTGCAACCAGGAAAGGGAGAGGTGTCCTCGCGTTCTTGAAGTCAGGGTCCTCGGCAATGGAGGAGAAGGTGAAGCCGGGACCGCCGTTGGTAGCATTAACGAGCTGGTACGAGAGCATGCGGCCCCAGTAGTCCGTGATGGAGCGGTCGTAGCCGGCATCGTCCTTGGCGTCGACGTCGTCAAAGATTTCGTTATAGTAGCTTAGCAAGCTATACTGCTCAGGTCCTAAAGTTGGACGTCAGCGCCTGTGTTCCGACTTCACATGCAGTCGACCTACCCTCGAGGATGGAGTTTTGTGTCTGCCAGATGGTGCCCGAGTTGAGGGCACCCTGAACCGTGGTAAAATTGTTAGTGTAGATGCTGCCAACAAGCCAGCCACCTCCAGACAGGCCCGAGAGATAGGTTGCGCTCTGGAGCAGACCACCGAGTTTGCCCGTGTCATTGCTACCGGGTGACCGAGAGTCCCAGGCAGCAATGGCTCCCGCTCCGTTCAACATGGCACGGTAGCCGCCTCCCGAGACCGCCAAGCCGATATTGGGCAGGGCCGTCGCGTCTTTCTCGACATTGGATAGGTACCTGTCGCTGTTGAAGCCAGGAATGGCAACACGCTTCAAAAAGTCGCGGATGGGCGCAATTGTGTTATTACGCCTCCGGGGCAGCCACTCTTTCTCCTGGGGGCTCAAATCGGAACCGACGCGAATCTCGGGACGGTCGCTTGGGCAATCGACGGCAGAGGGAGCGTAGCCTTTGGGCGACTGATCGGTGGCTCGGCCCTCGAGTGACCGGGGGAACTCCTGGAGATCGCGATAGCGAATGTCTTGGGGAGGCACTGAGGCAGAGTGTCAATTTGGTTTCCTTCAAGCATGCTAGTGTGCAATCAATGTCGTTTTGAAGTCGCAGAAGAATGAGATGAGATGAGATCCAGTTTGCAAACTTTTGCTCAACGGCTTCGTGAGTAGTTTCTCAAAATCTGCATTCTTCATTCTTCCTTCTCAACGGCATCGAGACGGCGGTTCTAACTGGATCCGTACCTGCTGAAGCCCCGGCCGGCGCCAGGACAGCCGCCGCAGCGAGCAGAGCCGCAAGATGGCGGCTCATCGCTAAACGTCGAGAGCAAGGTTCTAGTGAGCTAAGATGAAGCCTGAGACGCCAAAGCAAAGGCACCCAAAACAAGATCCAAGAATGAGATGTGATCCGCGAATGAAGCTGGGAGATACAAGAAGGACGACCGCGAAGGGGGAATACAACAGGTCGTTCGACGAGACAAGGGGATTAAGAGGATCGAGTAGGCTGGCAATAAGAAGAAAAGAAAAGACGAAACAAGATGAGAAATATCAGCTCAGACCGTCCTGTGGCATGCACGCCGGGAACAAGCAACACCAGACGAGTGGTCAAAGAGCAAGGAGGGAGCTGCGGAGATTTATTTGGCTGTGACACCCAAGGCACGAAGGAAAGGTATTCTTAGCACAACTCTTTTTCTTACCAGCCCTTTCGAAGAACCCGATGCGGGTGGCTTAGTCGACGTTCATGGCCCTCCACAGCTGCATGCTAGTCGCTCTCCGCTAGATCATCTCACTTTTTGGAAACACCCTCCGTGCATCGAGCGGATCCGACAGCAACGTGCCAAGGGCCCATCGCGGTGACATCGGCTAGGGCACGGCCAGGGGGCGGTAGACGTGAGTGAATGCCGTGATCCGGTCATCAGGGCGAGTAGTAAATCGAGTCGAACATGCGCGGTTGTGGGCGTTTGTGAGCCGAGAGCACAAGTCCGAGATGGCGCCTATTCTCCCCGTGACTGTCCGGCGCCATCCTGTCATTGTCCGTCTCTTTGTCCAGATTCCGTCAACGGGCAAACACAGCTTCGCACAGGGGAAATTAGGTTGCGGATGAGCCACCACCAATGGCACGCAGTGAAATTGGAGACGCCCGCCAGCCGCCAATGGAACCGCCATACCAAGAGTGTGCCAAGGGAACCAGCCACTTCACCTCGTTCTTGGCGGCCTGCACACTGTGAAGCCGTGACAAAACTGAGACCTGAGGGAGAGGGCATGTGGTGCCCAGAGGAGCGAGGCGGAGCCGTGGGAGCACAGCGTTCGAAGGACCACTGTAACACTTCGTAGGAGCCAGAGAGGGCACCCATCGTTGCGCCTCCGTTCGGTCAGCCATTTTATTCCCATTTTCTGCCCGTTTGCCCGGAGTGACAGGGCTTGAAGGCTTCTTGGTGTCCCGCATCGATTTTGACTCTTCCCGATGGCTTGGTAGCGTCCATCTGTTCGGCGTCCCTGGGCGTGTGCCTGAGCATGCCGCACATGAATTTATGCTTCATTGCCAGCAGCCAACCGGACGACGCCATCAAGCCACCGCTGTGCAACACAAGATCTGCATGAGAGGGAGCGAACAAGAAGCAGTGCTGATGTTGGACAACAGCCAAAGGCGGCGACGCGCTGCACTGTGCGTTGGAGACGCACAGATCCACGGGTCAGCAACGAGAAACAAAGCCCAAGAGGCCCTTGTCTGAAACCCTGTGAGCAGACCTGGCGTTTCACTCCCTCGGCCCGTGTGAAGTGCCAGAAGAGGCATGCCAAATCCCTGCAGGGCCGGAGAGTGCATGTGGAATCGCGTGGGCTGAGGCACCACTTTTTGGCCCAGGCGCTGTCGCCCGTTTGCTGCCCAAGAGGGCCGCCGATTCGAGGCTTGACAAGTCGATTCGCGAACCGGGCCTGTTTGACAAATCGGGGGACAATGTTCGAGGCTTGCGAGGATGATAAATGAGGGTAGAAAATAGATCTGGCTGACCAGAGGAAGAGAAGAAGACTTTGGAGTTGAGAGGGGAAAGACAACATGTATGTACATGCTCTCTGTACCTCTGTCACCGCCCTCGGGATATCTGTTTCTCCCTCCCTCAACTGCCGGCCTCCCTCTCTGTTTCAAGATGAATTTGACACACGATCTCTTTCTCTACCATCAAACTGCGTCGTCTTTCATGCTCATAGTATTCTGGTTCTGTCAGCCACGCCGGAATCCCACCAACCGCATCGCGTGCCCAACCGAAGCTGAGCTGGCAAATGAGAATCCACGGTCAACCACACCGCCGACCAGGCGCGGCTGACTACATGGCTCTCTGTGCTACCGCTAGTGCTTCGTCTTTTGACTAAGAGTCGCACAAAAAGAGGCTGCCAAGCTGCTCCAAACTGTGCCCAAACTGTGCTCAGCTCTGCTTTGATCGGCGTTGATCTGCTGCTTCTCCCATCCTTCGTCCTCTGCCCTGCCCTTGACTCAGCGGATGGCCCGGGGCCACGGCGCCAGCTCCAGCCAAAGGCGCCGTTCACCGCAGCGAACACGATAGCCTCTCTTCAAGTTCCTGGAATTCCGTCATCGATTCTCTACTAATATTGAGTAGCAGCGCTAATCTTTCGCAACAAGCCCCTCCGCCAAGCTAATGCCAGGCGGCCTTGCGCCCTGCCGAGCTTGCCGAACCCAGCCCAGCCAAGCCCCATGCGCCTTGTTCACCACCCCTGACCCGCGGGTTGACCAACCAGAGGCTGGCCGTCAAACGGACTCGGAATGTTGCTTGTAGCCCTAGCTTCTAGGTCGGATATCGGAGTCTTGTCGACCGGTCATGTTGTTGGCTTTGATTAATGCAGAGAGGGCCATCCTTATCATGAACGACTGCAGCCATGCACGAGGCGATGATTCTATCTGGTTCCCATGCAGAGATAGAACCTCAGCCATCAAGTCATTGACGAAATGAAACAAATGCCCCTGGCTGTCTCTGCCGGCTAGCTCCGCGTTTGACATCTCATGTATGGAAGTCCGTGCAAGCCTACCACCTAACAAAAGAGAGTAGGCGCCTGTGCTGGATGATTGGACAAGAAATACCACTTTGCAGACTGCCGCTTTGTCATACTCTCATCCGCAGCAGTCTAATTTCCCGTGCGTTATGTTGGTAGGTGCTTACGATCTGAGTTACTTGAGGCCTCCCAGGTAAACAGACCGCATGTAGGACAAAGCGTGCGGGGAAGTCGAAATACGAGTGTTTGATTTTGTTTTACTGGGTGGTTCAAGGTGGACAGGCCGATGGAAGGAGATTAAATGCCTGATTGTGCGGAGCCCTCGGGTTTGTTCCGTTCGGCGAGTATACAGGAGAAAGGGGAGGGAGGGAGTGTGTCTTCTTCCATCTCAATGGCTGCCTCTTCTTGAGAATCTCTAGCGAATCACTGGGGCCCAATACTTCGACGAGATTCTTGTGGAGTGTGTAAGTACCGTATTTGCTGGAGATGGAAGGGGTAAAAAGCTCTAAGATAGGTCACTGCGAGACGCCTTGGAGGATCGCTAAGCAGGCACTGAAAGCTTCTTGACTAGAAGACATTGCTCCAGATAGGCAAACACACTTGCAAATTGGGCAATTATTCGTTAGTATGCGAGAATCTTCATCCAGTATTGAGTTAAGACGACTCTGACTTGCTTCCTCACTATAAAGTTTCTGAGCTGAAGCCTCTATTACTGCAACGCATGATACTGGCTTACAGGTATCATACAATGACAAGGCAGTTGATATTCACACGCTGATATGCCCGAGTTTAAGCTTGCACTGCTAGAAAACTCGTTTCCTATTCGAGGCAGCAGCGCCATCCCTTAGATTCGTTGTGAAAGATTTAGGGTACATAGTTGCTCTATTCAATGCCCTGCTACTCCATAGAGTCAGCACTACGGCCGACCTTTATGTCGAGCTTCCAACTTGATACAAGGGAAATTATCTGAGCATGTTATGCCAGTAACTATGACATGTTGCTGCCTCCGGAGTAGATCATTGTGGGCATTCTACCTGAACCATCAAGAACCTCTCTCATCACTGTCGCCACTGGACATCACACCATACTAGGTAATCACTAGGCCACAGCAAAATAGCCAGTAGAAGACTCAGAGCCGTAAAATCCTTATTGAAGTTTTTCAATAGGGTACGGTATAGGATTCCTTTATGAACATCCTTTGTTCCTGCTATCACATGGGCTACGATCCATGCTAACGAGGCTTCGACATCTCAGCAGGTTTGGTGGCCCGCAAACCAGACACGAACCGCTACGAACAGTCAGCCAACACAGCTACATGGGCTGAGAGTGACAGACAAGGCTCTTTCTTTCGCAAGAGAAATCGCCGGTTGAAGCTTTGTAAGTAGAAGCATCCCTTGCTCGTCCTCTACGTCTCCAACCAACCCTCATCCACACGACGGTAGGAAACTCCTATTATACATACACAGATAGCTTACAAGGGCAGCACAAAAAGGACAGGCCCCTGTGCCACAGCATCACGACTTGAAAAAACAGAGCATTATTCAGTACAGCTACACTTTTTACATTCATAAATAGGTAAGTAAAGCAGATTTGCGGAAGTAGAAGAGGTAAGCTAAAGTGCCTGTGCGATTAGTCTGCCTTCCCAGCGGAAAAACAACATGAAAAAGAGGCCGACTACGAGGCCTCGACAACCTGGTGATGACGTGTGGAAGAATCCTAAGCTTCGCACCAAACAAAGTGCCTCGCCCTTCTTTCATTGGTAAGGCAGAGAAGTAACTGTATCCGTCCATGTTGGGAATTATCTGTGTCAGGTCTCATCATACTGATTTCCCTACTACAGTGTGTTGAACATGCCTGAGCACAGGCAGGTAGCCTAGGTTAGATGACTCTCGATTACGCGCCAGGGGGAGGAGGCGGAGGCGGCTGATCGCTCGGGGGCGGTGGGGGAGCATCTCCAGATGGCGGGGGCGGAGGAGGTACCGCTCCGGCATACTGCTGGATGAGAGCATTCAGAGGACCCAGGCCTGGCGGAGCAGCGAGACCGGCACCGACTTGAGGGAGACCTGGAGGCGCTGCCATGCCCGGTGCAGCACCGTAGGCGCCATAGGCAGCGTAGTTCGGATACGCGCCCATTCCAGGTGCCTGGTGCTGGGGCGCTGCCTGGTGTGCCTGCTGGTGCCACGGGGCTGGTGCCCCAGACGAAGAAGAGCCGTAGTTGTTGTGTCCATAGTAGTTGTTTTCGCCACCGCCGTGACCGTTGCCGTTGCTGTTATCGTGGCCGCGGTTACGATCACGGGCCCAGGGAGCCGCAGAGCCTCCTCCGCTGCCTCCATCGTTAGAGTCTTGGTTGCGGGATCTCCAGGGCGCAGGTCCACCAGTAGGTCCTCGTTGCCATGGCTTCGCATCGCTGTTGCCGTTGTAGTTGTTGCTGCTGGGACCGGCCTCGATCTGAGCCGGAGCGGCTCCGCCGCCGCCAAGTTCCTGCATGAGTTGCTGTAAAGTGTTGTTAGTACCAAATGATATTCTGATCGGAATCTATAGAAGATTGGTTACGTACCTCCATTTCACGATCGACGGCATCGCCACCCCCGATCCTACCTGCGGGTCGGCCGCCTGCGTCGTTACGCCAGTTGGCACCCCTCTGGCGATCAGGACAGTCTCTGGCCATGTGGCCGGCATTGCCACAGACTCGGCAAATAATGCTGGCCGTGTAGTTCTGTCGCTCGGGACAGTCATATTTGCGATGTCCAATCTTACCGCAGTTCTGACAAGCCTGGTTCTCGTCGTCTCGGAGAGTTCCGTTGAGCGCGGCGAGTTCTCGAAGCTGGTTACGCTTGAGCTCGTTTTGGCCTTCGGGAATCGAAGCTGCCTGAGATCGGCATCAGTATCAGAGGAAGATCAAGCTTGATGGGTTCGGAGGAAGATAAAGGAGACTCACGGTTTCGATGACGTTGTGGATGAGCTGCTTCGCCTTGTTGACCTTTTCTTCAGTATCTGCCATGATCAAACAGTGAAGGTCCTCCTCCTGGTTACTGGAGTGAGCTGCATCAGAACGACCCTTGCCCTCCTTGACGGAGCCCTTGCCACGAATGGCAATCTTGGCTCCAGAGTCATTCTCCATCTTCTTCAGTGTGTTACCACGGGGTCCGATAAGTAAGCCAACTTTGGGGGAGAGCTATGTGTTAGTAAGGTAACTTTTCAGGGAGCGGAAATCGGAGACTTTAGGATTAGACAGGCACAATCAATCGACGGAAGAAACCAGAGCTCCTCAAGACGCCGCATACCGGCGCCATGAAGAGGGTCTGGCCATACTCCAAGATGAAAGAAAGAAAGGGGGAGTTAGTGGTCAGGGTTAAAGGGTTAGCAATCATACTGAAGTTAATCTCCGGGTAGTCGTTGACAGGCACATAGACCTTCTCCTGCGTCTTTGTTGGCCTGCGGTAGTCCTGCGGCGGGTGGTAGTTAGGAATGGTCTTCATGGCCTTTTCGACCAGCTTGTGACGTTCATCCTCGAGGCGCTTGCGGTAGCGGTATTCTCGTGTGTTGATACGTCGACCATGGTTGTCGTACTGGGGTGGCGGCGAGGGGGATCTGGAGCGTAGAAGGGTTAGAATCTGGATATTTGAACATGGAGAAAGTGAGAGGAGAATGAGCTGGGGATACACACCGATCACCATCTGCGGGCACCACGTCGTCGATGCGCAGCTTCTGGCTAATCTCCTCGATACGGAGATGCAGCGTGTACGCCTCCAGCTGCTCGCTGGTCATGGACGAGAGAATGGCGGTCGGAAGCCCCATGAGGCCAGCGGCCTTGTTCTCTGACGCGTCGCCCCAGCGATTGCGCTTCTTGCGACGACGAGGCCCGTCGGCTTCGGTTCGAGGCTCGGGATCGCGGCCTCGTTTGAGCTCGCGTTCCTCAACGGCAGCGCCAGCGCCCACGCCATCCTCGCCGTTCTCGCTTCCGAAGCGGCGCCGGCCGAGCGGGATGTTGTTCGAGCCGGTGATGCCTTGACTTCTCCAGGACATTTTGGCGGTTTGTGCGATGGATTCTGCGGCAGAGTGGCGCAACGTTTGGGGGTGAAGGGATTCGGCCTGATGAAGCCTGGCAGTGGCCAAAATGCGCGGCTCAGATTTCGAGTTTCCTTGATATCGGATAAACAGTTTGTCCGGGATGTTCTCGGAACAAGTTCCCATTTGACGGACGAGCAAAGAATGGATGGAGAATGATGGACAAAGCCAGCTTCTAGAACGACTCAGGAGGTACCTCGGCTCGTCTCCTGAATCGAACCGCTACCTCTGGTCCCGCGGAGGTGGTGCCGGGGAACAGGTAGTCGGTACTCCGATGTAGGCGATCGGAAGTCTTCCATGTTGCCCCGGGCGGGATGGAGGAGTGCATATTACACTACCGCAAAACTGGGATATTTGAGTGAGCGAAATGCCCTTGAATGAAATCGACTGCGATATCGAGTGGTGATAAAGCTCTCGACTACCTATACAAGTAGAGCTGAGAAATGATAGTACGTATGTAGGTATTGTGATACCGGTGAGGTGACGAAATAGTCTGCCTTATCGCATCCGGCTCTGCATCTTGCGTTTTGCCGAGGCGACAAGCGTTTTCCCATTTCGTCAAGATCATCATCATACATGCACATGCTCTTCCAATGACCAAAGCCGCGGTTCTCATCCGGGGAGTGGGACATTCCACTACTGCTGACCTTGCTTGCTAGAGTATTGAAGCTGAAGTGGATAAGAGAGCTCCCAGCCTGCAGATATCGATGCCGGTGAGTTGCCAGTGCAGGCTGTTGGACGCACAGCTTCCCCTCTTCTCCCCTCCTCACCCCAAAGTTTCCCCGTCGAAGAGAGACCCTCAGTGCCATCATCGAGGCTCGGTGTGGTGGAACGCGATACTTACTGTATCATGTCCTACAGAACGTGAATGCAGTGCTACTGCTACTGCTACTGCTCCCTTTAACTACCACGGCTACAACGTTGTCCGCGGATGTGGAGCGCTTACTGCGCCACTGACTCGGCCTCGATATTCTTTTTCCCCGATATCAGCCATTCCAATCTCCAAAGACTAAAACGGTGGGCTCCTGTACGGAATCATCGAGATTGGAAAGGCGTGCAGCCCGTTTGGTCTGCCTGCAGGACCGAGGATGTGGTTTGTCTGCTCTAAGCCCCCGGTCGGTCAAATAGCACAGATGGCTCCTCCAGCAGTATGTTTTGCGCCTGAGTCAAGACCGGCAGCCGACGATCGCAAAATCATACGTTAAAACGGCACTACTAAAAGTGCTAAGGTAGGAACCAAGACACACAGGACCTCTTTGTGAACAGTGAGGTGCTGGGACTGTACGTGCTGCTCCTGCTCACCGGATAGCTCGCAAACTGGGACTTTGAGGCCATTCACAGGGGACAAATCGGCAGCCGAGGATAGCATGTGGCGTGTCAGCAACCTGTGCCAAACAGCCTGAAGCAAAAGCCCCAGCCGCCGTTGACGTGGTTTCCTTGACTATCTGATGGACTCCTACCGCTGCCATCCTGGGCCATCCCGGGGCCTTGCTTGCTGGGGGGGCGAATGGGGATAACCCAGATTTGCGTGTGGCGCCATCTAAAATCCGCTGCCTGGCTTCTGGACCAGATCCTTCCGTCGACCCCTCTCGAGGCCAGTTGCCTGTTGGCCTCGGGGCAATCCATCAACATTGTGCTCTCTGGTGCCAAGTCCTGTCCTCGTATTGGGCGGATGGATGGGCAATAAACAGGTTCGAGCTCACCTTCACAGTCCGCGGCGTGGTTGCAAGCCGAAAGCCGGCATCTTGTGGCATCTGCAGCACCGGCGTCCGTACGCTAGCACCGTATCACACGCCTGCACAGGCTCCCGCCGATTCCAATGAGCTCAAGCTCGTGGCGTGGCTTGCTTGCGGAGACGAGACGGAGTCGGCTAATGCATCGACGGTAGTATTCCTGGCGGCTTGGGGGCCTTGAAATCAACAGTGCCGGGACTTCGTGCCTCCAGGGATCCCTGCTTTCCCACCTGTCTCGGCGGCATGGCTTCGGAGACGGACGATATCAGAGGCGCAGGCGAACCGTGATTGGTGACTGAACCCCCTCCAGAAGCCTGGCGACTGACACATTGGCGCAGCCATTTGGCTTTTTTAATGCTTATGGGCTAGCATGACCCGGTCTGAAGCTTGGGTCCCACGCGAGCTCGACCTTGTTATATTCTATTATAATATCTGGGGTTCGCGAGAGCACATGTTTTGGGGCCCGGCTTTGTCCTTGTCTCTCATCAGCGAATCCTGCGGCCTCCGTGACAGAGTCGAGCTACACGACAGACTGCTGGCAAAACACTGGATTCTCTTGCTGCCCACAGTGAAATTCAACAGGCGACGGGCTAAGGTCCGAGATCATCCGAAATCCTTCGATCCTGGTGATTGCTGGCGATCGCGAAAGGCGGATATTGATGAGGGGTTGACTCAATTGGGGGACCGAACGGCCTGTGAACTGGACTCCACGGTGTCCTGACAAAGGCATCATCCGCTGGGTGTCATATTTTGACGGCAGAGGCTGAACTTTGCTTTTATCTCCCGGCTGTCGCTACCGCTCACCTGCGATTTCACTTCTGACACATCATCGAGCTCGATACGCGGATCGCCAAGCGGGCGTAGACGAACGGCCTGCAAAGCGCTCCTGAAGTCGCATTAGAGGGGAACGCTCCCTATTTGGACATTTGATCCCGCATCCTCAAAGCGCATCCTGTCCATCTATTGCCGCGGCATCGACAAGGGGGTTTGATCACCCAGGTTTCCATCTTGATCACCACCGACGGCAACATCATCCGCAACCTCTAGCCACCACGCATTCGATCATCAGGCGACTGACGGGGCGGAATAGACTGAGCCTTCAGGGCTTGGGACTTGATTCCCGCTTCAGGCTTGAACCTCCTTTTTACGATCAGAGGGGTCTCTGTAAGGGACCAGACAGTGACCAAAGATGGTGGGAGTCCCTGGAAGATCCAAGGGCTGTGTCACTTGTCGACGGCGAAAGAAGGGTGTAAGTCCCCATGCTGATCCGTCCCGTCCCGTCCCCATCGACACCCGCAACTACACTGACTCGGGTCCATCTTACGGGAGGTGCCGCTCACGATCTATCCCTCCATTTCGATATCGTCACTAAGCCAGATTCGCAATGCTGACTGTGTCCTCAACAGTGTGATAAGAACGAGCCGTCATGCCACCAATGCATACGGTCCGGCCTAAAGTGCGAGGGCTATGGACGGGAACTCGTCTGGGTCAACAACACGCCAAATGGAGAAAACGGCAAGGCCGTACCGCCGCCGCCTCAAGGGAAAGGCTCGTCTTCCCAACAAAGGCCATGGAGTGTCATCTACACCACCAAGAAGCAGCACAGCAACGACTCGAGAGTAGCTCTTCATGACTCGCTCGCTCGCTCGGCTAGAGAAGAGCTCTTCTTCGGCTTGCTCATCTCCACTGCTCTTCCATACGGACACTTGCTGTCGCCCAAGGCCTCGGCCATCTCGACCAACGGGTGGGTGGCGGCGGTCGACGAGTATTACAACAGAGAGCCGGCGATTCGATATGCAGCGCTGGCAATGAGCGCAGGATTCATGGGCGTGGAGGACAAGAAGAAACAGCTCGCCCAGCACAGCCAACTAACGCTGCAAGGCCTCCAGGCATACAACAGGGCCATTCATGAAATGGTCAAGGGGCTGAACGACGAAAGGAGGTCAAAGAATGATGGCGTCCTCGTGGCGGCCAGGATATTGCAATCCTACGAGGTATGGAGCATGGCTTTGTCTCACCACACTTTTGGTTGAGGAAGATGGCATCAAGCGGAGTAGCTAACATGGGCTGGCAGCTGTTTTTCGGAAGAGCACCCGACTGGCGCGCCCACATCGAAGGTCAGCTGGCTCTCTTCTTGGCCAGAGGACCGGCGTCGTTTACGTCTGGACAAGCGCATCAGCTGTATGTTGATGGACGGGTTCTCGTGGTATGGCTTCCCTACCCCTATTTGCTCCCGTTTCTCTTCTGGACAAGCCTCAAGCCTCGACTAAATCTCTACAACAGGTCATGTTATCAATCGGCAGGCGAACGAAATCACCGCTTAACACACCCGAGTGGCGCACCGTACCATGGCGTGAGGTACCCAAGTCGATCAAGGACAAGCTGATGGATGTCATGGAAGATATTCCATACATGCTGGTCAGCTACGACAACCTCTGCGCCTGCCAGGACCCGGATCGCATGAACGAGCTCTATCAGATTGTCATGCTCAACTGCCAGCACATCTCCAACAGTCTGGACGCGTGGGAAAGGGAAATCGGCGCGGATCTCGACCACTTTGACTATACCGTTGCGGGCACTCCTGTGCCTACACCCCAGGACGACACGGAGATTTCGCTCGTGTATCTTTCCTGCGTGTACTGGGGCGCTCGGTTGATCCTGTACAGCACTCTAGGCATGACCATGAAGTATGCGGCCGAAGCCATGAGCCCCGGCAGCGACAGCGTCCCGTCCTTTGGCAACTCCCCAGCGTCGTCGGCCACCGCCTCCACCCCGATCACCTCGCCCGAAGACTTCACCGCCTGGTCGACGAGATCGTCATACAGTGAAGTCCCTCAAATAAGGATGCTCAACCCGGGCATCTTTGCGCGCAAAATCGCCCACGCCGTGCCTCTCCTATACGGACCTGCTGCTGGTGCTATGCAAGGCGCTTCGGGCCTGTTCCCGATGGCACTCGCGCTGCGGTACTTTGCCACCACGGAGCCGCCTGGGCAGAGGAGCGTGGAGTCGCAGATGGTGTACGACCTGTATGCGAAGCCATTCGTGGGGAGCTTCGTCGGGCGGTTCCTTAATGATTTGCAGGGCCCGCAGCTTTCGGAGGAGCAGAAGCGAGATGTGGAGGCCAAGGCGCAGAAGAACATCTTTTGGTATGCTGTTTTGGGGAGTGAGAATATTGTGCGGACGTAGCGAAGAAGCGGGAGAAATTGGATATGATGGAACCTTTCTTTCCTTTGCTGGATCGGTGAGCTTGGGAGGCAGCGTTCTGCGTGATGCGTGTCGTTGAACTCTTTGAAACGTCACTACAGTAAGTCTGTGTCTGATGGCAGGCTTGAATCGGTGCAATAACGCCATATAATCTGATCTTTTGAGTCATTGTACAGTATCTAACACATTCTTAATATGAGTCTTGCTCTGGAGCATTAACCCTGATGGGCTAGGTGATGCAGTCTCGCATAGATGATTCACGGCGACGCCAAAAAGGTAGTAACAATTTGTCACATATGTCATGAGAAGTTATATTGACAGCGCAAGAACATGGCCTGTAAGCATCTCCCACATACTACGTCGCAGACTAGTTTAGGAAGACCGCAAGGGTTAAAGAACAGTCCCGAGGTGATTCTAATCAAATTCACCTACACGCTCTTGGCCACTTGAAGAGCGTCACGGTACCTCTGGCACCGGTGCTCAAGCTCTACCCTTTTAGTCGAAGTCTTGTAGTTCTCAGCAGCCATCTCGGCCAGCTGTAGATCAGATAGACCTCCCACGTATTCCGATGAAAAGAACTTGAGGGCTCCTTGGTCACCCAGTAATCTCTCAACCACCGAGACCACCATGTAATCCTCAAACCTCTTGATAGCTACCTTGTAGTAAGCTTTCAAGGCATCGTGAATGTCATTGACGGCTTGGTCCTCGTTACTCAGGTGTATAGTACTAGCAAGCCCTTCCAAATTGACAGTATAGGTAGAGCCATCTTGAATGCCAAGAGCTCGCAGACGAGCGATGACGCGCTCTTGGCGGATTTTGGCAAGCGTTTCAGCAAAATAATGGTTCACGGTCTGTAAGATACCGCCTCGCTCATCATTCAATAGATCCATGAGGTGCTGCTTGGCCGAGGCTTTTGTGGTATCAATGCGGTCAAGTATAATGGAGTCGAGAGACGCGCGGATTGTTTCGTCTTCCTCCGATCGGCGAGACTCCAATTTAGCATACTCAGTAACGAGTTTGATTACTTGGTCGAGATAATCGCCAGCTATCTGTTCCCATTGAACCGTTTGCTCTCGGAACAAGTTGATTAGAAGTGTCGGATTGACCATGCCGGGAAGTTCTGCACCGCGAGCGTCTTTGTACCTTTCAGAAATCCATTGCCTGATGTCTTCAATTTCTGGCCCAACATCCTCAATAAGGTAGTCTTTATCGACCGATCCATCAGGAAGCTGGAAGGGGGCCGTGTGTCCCTTCAACCGAAGGTCTTTCTCGAATTGATCAGCCAGGTCGCGGAGATGCATTCGTAGCTTCAATGGGCTCTTCGCATCAAGATCTGCAGCGTAGTTTCCCCTGAGAGCATCTTCAACATTGCGTTGGTACCGATTCGCCAGGCGCGTCAGGTATTGGCGCTGTTGTGCTGCGGTCTGGCGCGAGGCTCCAAGCTCTGCCAGTTTCCGCTCTGTTTCTTTGTGATAGTCTTCGATTTCCTTGACAAGAGCAGGGAATTCGCGGCGAATGTGTTCATATAACAGTTGACCGAGAAAAGGCTTCAGGGCGTTTACACCCACTCGGTCTTTTGGCAGCTGGTTCCAAGGAGCTTGTTGAAAGAACCGCTTCTCGTTTTCATGACGTTGAGAGATTGTCACGCCGTCTTGGATCTCTCTAGTCGACCTGTTCCGCACAACAAACCACCCATGTTGGAGTCGCTCCACGCTATTCTGGGCGATGTTGAGGACCTGGAACCTGTCAGTTTGTGTTCACACGGCGTCCTTAATGTTACGTACCCCCTGTTCATCTCCAGATTGTAGTGCATCGCACTTGGTGATGATGCCAACTGTACGAATACCAGCGGGATCGGCTGCGCGAGCCATCTTGAAGACCTCTTGATTGGCCAAGTTGTTTCGTGCATCCATTACTGCCCTGAGAATAAGTTAGTAAACATCCCGGCCACGCCTTTTTGATCCTTACAATATGATAGTCCTTGCATCCGTCGTATAGTCCTCGATAAGTCTTCGAATAATGGACAAGTCTTCATGAGTCTGATACTTGGTAGGGTCTAAGAAGTCAATATGACTGTAAAATCCCTATGTAGGGGACCTATCTTACTGTGAAAAAGCCCCGGCACATCGACTACGCTCAAATGATGTTGCTCCGGCCCGGAGATTTCGATACGCAGAATGTCGTCGGAGAAGCGCTTCTCCAGGTTTTCAATGTCCTTCTCGCCCGGACTTGGCAATCCCATGTATTCAGCGGCCTATTTGATTTAGCATCACGACGTATTTCTGAGAAATCTGAAGCAGCATATATACCTTTTGTAGAACCCAAGCAAATTCGGATCCGGTAAGCTCATCAGCATCCATGCGCATACCGAACTCCAACAATCGTCTCTTTTGGTCTTCATCGTCCCGACTGGAAGGACCAGGCACAATGGAAGCTTTGACCGAGGCTTTTTCTCCAGGAGTTCGCTGCAGGACAATTTGCGTCGCAAACCGCGTGCAGAGGTCCGAGGCAATTGGGAACGAAAGACCGGTGAGACCTTCAAGCAGTGACGACTTGCCACTGGACTGATCCCCAACCACAACAATCTAGGAACGTCTGTTAGAGGACTTATAACCAAGGCTTAAGACGAGAGAGCTTGCCTGTGGAAGAGGTAGATCTTCATTGATGCCGAAACCGCGAAGTTGATCGATTGCCCGGAAGTAGCGAAGGCGTTCTGGGTTGTCCATTTCTTGTATACCTCGTACAGCCGTCATTTTCCCAGCTGTCATTCTATGCTATGATCTTGCTGATTGGTTTACTTTTTCTCAGTATTTTTTACCTGCAAGAGAGTTGACAGAATCGAGATTCGGGGCGGGGGTCGGTTGGAAGCATATATATGTCATTGTTGCCGGTTGCAGGCTCCTTGCGTCTTGCGTCGACATTTGCTTGCCGCTTGCGGACGAATCTGTTGAGCTTTAAAATGACGCCACAATTTGTTTATCGGAGGATTTTGAATATTTTGTCTTTCTTTCTTTTTTTCTTGCCTTAGATTGTCGATGTTTCCTCCATTCCTGATTAACCTGCGTCAATCACCACGAAAACTCATGCAGTACAGCATACCCGGAGATGGAAGCAAGCCATTCATCATCCCCCGCCTCGCGCAACACAAGTCTCAAAAGCGTCTTTACAATTTACAGGATACAACCTTACAAATGAGCCAGTTAATGCAGCCAGCTCCTTTTTGTTACTTGCGAGATATAAAATCTCACTGCTGATAGACCGTCAAGCACTGAGCACGGTTAGATAGAGGGTAATCCGCGGTCGTGAGTCACTTGGGTCGGCATTGTGCATCTACACGGCGGTGTAAGTATGCAGTTTTCCGCACACAAGTGTATCAGTCACTGCCTTCCTATGTATATCGGTAGATGGGGTCAGTCCGCTAGAAAGTTGTAGGCCATCCTCGCACCTTTTCAACATCTCAACTGCCACCAAGGAAGCGGCAGCAGATATCGTCAAAGTCCAGACAGCAGAGTTGTTGATGCAAAGTCCCAGGATCGGCGGCGACAGCCCGGCTGGAATTGAACCAAAGGGTACCCCAAGTCTGTGTAACCGACAAGACGTGCATCATTGTCTACTCCTGGACGCTGTTTGATACGCTCGCCTACGCCTGCTACTTCCTGCTGCTCAAATATAAGCTCGTCAGCATAAATCATGCCAAAAGAGTGCAGCATTTGCGCCGAAGTCAAATCCTCAAAGCAATTCCCCACGGCCCCTATTGCTCGAGGGTGTGACCATAGACCGACAACGTGCCGGCCGTGTATAACACGCGTGATCAAGACCGAACTTTCCAGCAAACCGTGGGAAGAGGTTGCGTGTCCTGAATGCGGCGCCACGCTCGAGTACCAAGACGTCCAGAAGTATGCCGATGCGGAGACGAGGGAAAGGCACGATAAGTTGATGGTTTTGCATACTCTGCAGCAATATCCAGACTTTATCTGGGTAAGTCGTGCTGCCCACATATGGACAATCTCAATATGGCCATTGCGTTTCTCACTGCTTATTTGACTAACAATTTGACAGTGTTCATCTGGCTGTGGCTCCGGTCAATTCCATGATAGTGGAGAGCCGAGCCCATAGTCAGGTGCACCTCGTGTGGGCACTTGACATGTTTCCAGCACAAAGTCACCTGGCATGAGGGTGTGACGTGCGAAGAATTCGATGAAGCTGTTGAGGCGCGCCATAAGGCGGAAAATGACGCCAGTGAAGAAACCATCAAGTCGACGACAAAGGCTTGTCCCGGGTGCAAGTCACAGATTGAAAAGCATAGAGGATGGTGAGATTTCTTTCATCACCCGAAAATGGCTTCCAACTAATAACTCACGATTAGTTCACATATGACTTGTAAGACTCCGACGCTTTCCTCTGTCTTCCTACATTTCTCTATACCGCTGCCTCATGCTCCCCTGCGTTTACATCTCTGCCCTGAATACGTGATAACAACGATACCTATCGAGCTGTGAAGCGTATTCCTGCTGACATTCACTGCTACCATGGTTTTTTTTTTTTTTTAAACAGGCAGTCAATGTCAGTGCCAATTTTGCTGGGTCTGTCTCCGGCTATGGCACTCATGCCGTCACTACCCGGACATATGCATGTAGACTTGCCCGAGCCTGGGCTCCCTTATCCTACGTTGCCGTCTCTCCTGAGGAAGACTTAATATGCATATACTAATGCATACTCATCAAAAACCTCAGGCTCTCGGTGCAAGTACCAATTCTGCTGGGAATGCTTTGCGGATTTTCAAAAGATTCTAGAGACAGACAATAGCTGCCACGACGACTTGTGTCGATTTCATAGCAACAATCTACCAGCATCCATACAGAATCAGACAAGCCATGAATAGTATGTTACTTTTAACATAACGTACTTCTCACCATTACAATGAAAGATAATAAAAGCCGACACTGCCGCAGCGAGATTTTAGAGTTGGGCGAGTATCTCTTGTAGACAAAAGTACCTCTGGGATGTCCCCTACAAGTATTGGGGTGTTGCCTAGACGAATAATCTAAATTCGTGATGTATTGGCATATGTTGAATGTGATTCACGAATTGGCTGGCGATAGGGTATGGCTTGTGTTTGTATTTCACCCCTCATTTGTTTTGAACATGAGGGCCTGTCTACGTTGACATTATCTCTTTACAGCAATTCAATGCAAAATTTGTCAAACCCCGTGCTTCTGAATGTGTGTTCGGGAAAATGGATGTGGGTTGAATCAGTGATGTCGCAGTCCTACATATATCTCTCTATGGAACGACAACTGGAACACAGAACATGATACGCACGAAAAGCAAAGTGACCCCTATAAGTTTCTTTCTACTCAATTTCAACCAAAGTCTTCTCGATTCTCATCATCTTCTTAATCTTTTCCATTGATTTATTTCATTCAAGATGCACGTCTGCAACTGTCTGTGCGGTTGTCAGCGGGTCGTCGAGGTGGCGAAAGAGGATCGGTGCCATTATTGCAACATTCGGCATTAGAAACTCTACTCGTGTATCAGGAGAGCACTCCTGCGAGGAAGGGTTAATTTGCTTCATTTCTTGAAGTCGTTGGACGTGGGTTGGACTCAGGGAAATTGTTTTGAACGATGGATTTGGAAGTGGGCTGAGTGGTTGGGAGAGCTGGCTATAAGGGGTGCCTTTTCGTTGAAATAGGTTAGAGAAACAAAATGGAATTTTGTCGGGGACATTGTGTAACTGATTGCTGTAATGTGAGTTGAGTTCTCTTGTGTGTGATGATAGTGCTGTTAGGGTTTGGTGTTGAAGCAAGAGGACATCGTCCCATGCTACGGGATAGAAGATGACGAGAAGACGCCAGTTTGACATCCGATGGCGTAGATTGCCATCTTCTTCAACTACGCAATACAACAGTTCCTATGTGATCTTAGCATGTTCCTTGGTAAACCACCATCTTCAGCACGGCTTTGAGTGCGTCGTCTCCCTACGGCTTTCATCAGGGGTAGACCAGCTAATAAACTACGACGGTAACCTCCCGATCATGCCTTTTCACTCCACAACTCTGAGGCCGTCGAATCAATACTTCATGCCAATCATCCTCCTCCAAAAAGATATGCCAAAAAGGCAAAAAGAAAACTAAAGGACATACAACAGCCGGTGTTCGCCAGTGGTCACCCACCTGACTACTAATCTGCCTCTCATTAGCTTGACTCTGGGAGAGCGGACGGGATCCCGTATTCTCTAATGGATATGGTCGTATGTGCTCGAGATGCTGCCACAATAACTTCATGAATCTCTCACGAGACATCGCGAGAGAGGTAATGGCAAAAAACCAAAAACATACAACAGCCGGTGTTCGCTGGTGGTCACCCACCCAACTACTAATCTGCCGGTTAGAGGCTTATCTATGGGGGAGCAGACGGGACCCCGAGCTCTCCTCTACCTATGGTCGTATGTACCAGAGATTGAGCACAAACCGTATAGAACGGAGGCCTGTTAGGTGTAGGTCAACCCAAACGTTATGGTTGCTCCGATCTGACCAACGAGAGAAGTGAGTTGCATTGATGTGAATCGCAAATGCAATGAAGACTAGCTACTCACACTTGCTAGCCTTGAGTAGCATATAAATGTATTTCTTCCTTCACTGGTATATGGAGAGGAACTTTGCGTCCCGTTCTCCAAGAAGGCAGTTGGTGGTGCTATTGCGGCCAAGCTTCTACAGCCCCAGTGTATCATCGTTGATCTTGTACACGATGTTAAATTACCACTTGTAAAGCTATTCGACTATAAAGCTAGAAACTAAGTTTAGTACTGTCGTTATTGTTGGCTATTTGCTTGCCCCGGGAAAATATATGCATCTGTGGCTGATTTCGCATGCTTATACTTGCCATAGCATTCACTACCATCAAAATGCAAAATGGAGAGCTTATGAAGATTTAGAAGCGATTCTGTGTAAAATCTTAGCATCACGGTAAGAGTGATATATCGGATGCGTTTCTCCGAGGAGAGTTAAGAAACAATACTTTTGTAGCCTTTCCAGAGAACAGGTATCTGTTCGGACCACTACCAGTGTCCGTACTCCGATGAAATCCGAGGACCACATGAAGAATGAGCATAAACAAGGTTGGTCTGTCGCCACTTCATGGATGATCCACACTCAGCTGCAAAAAGGACTGCTGGGTATGTCGGGCCTTTGCCGACGGAATTGGGCCGTCTTATTGTCAGCTCGAAGAGGAACCTCGGCCGCAAACCTTGGGCTCTTGAACCATGCAGTCAGTCCGTAGCTCCCTTGGTCAGTCCACAACTTCGAATTCATAGTTGGATATTCTGATTTTCACGTGAACCTAGAGAACAGACCGGAGCGTCTCAAACATACTCTGGGCCACTAAATGGCTCAGCTACCGGAGAACCAATGGAGAGAAAGAACCTTCCGCTCTCAAAAAGGCCCTTCGTATAAACAAGCCGGAGAAGAAACAAACGGTCATTCCTAATCAGGCAAGGCAGGAGAGACGATAAAGTGGGCTTTCCATTGGGTTGAGCCATTGACAAGCTAGGATCAGATCTAATCTAATCTGATGTGTCAAAATCCATCTGATAAGATTATGATCAGTCCATCTTTACCTAAAGAGTTCCGCCAGATGCGACCCTAAATCATGCAGTAAGTGATCTAGACCGCTGATCGGGACCATGTCGAGCAATGTGCCTCCACCTGTATGAAGTTTTTTTCTTTCTTATATTGTGGGTAGACCCTTGTAGCTGCGAGTGTTCATGGAAGGGCGTGCCAACTTCATGTGCGATGGAGGTCTTGTTATGAAGAATTCATGCTGATGGACTGGAGACTCCTGGGTCGTAGTGAGGATATTGTACCGGGATCCCGCAGCGGCGTGAGCGGATATCGTCGCGCAGTTCCGAGCTGCCGAGGAATTGTATCGTAGGTATATAACGCAAGTTGCCGAGCTCATGATGTATCTTTGGCTTCCTGCTCTGATAGTTTCTGTTGTGGGACAGACAATTCCGAAGGAGTAGAAGATCTTCCAGCCATGATAGCCACAAGGAATATTGTGAGGGTCAGCCTGACTCTCATCAGCTTATTCGCATCACATGGCCTATCCCTCACCCCTAGCGTCCATCAGGAGTGTGTTTCCGCTGTCTTTAGTATCCTCGGGAATCTCAACTTTGAAGGTATTGGCTACGGCGCCTATTACGTGGCCATCTGCCAGAACCCGCTGAAAGTCGCTTCCATCTACGCCGTCTCCAGGACGTATTGCTCGCCCTCTGATCTGGATCCTGGCTTTGACTACCTTAAGACGGCATGCCACAAGTATGGCGGCGCGGAACTTTTGCCGGAGAGCGAGGTGGCTGCCAATTTGACGGATGAAGCAATCAGTCGCTATCCTGTCCTTAGTCAGACCGATGAATTGGTCTTGACGAACCTTACGACGCCGATTTTGATCTCGAGGGATTGGTTCGACTTGGGCTTCCGGACGGAGGTAGGCTTTCTATGCCCAAGCCTCGCTATGTAGCATCATGCTAAGATTATACAGGATGAATGGGATTTCGAGGCTCGGACGCATTCTAGATATGGGTGAGATTCAGCTCCACCATCTCCCACCGGTTATCAAGTTGCTGAAAGTAAATACTAACGTTGGGAGTACTACAGATTCGCAATGTACGGATTTTGGGGCGGCGTTCTCCTCATCGGAATGCTCCATCGATTCATCGCCCACTTTCTTGAGAGCCGACTGCCTCCGTCACCCACCAGTCCTGAAGACAACGGATCGGCCGATAGCCGCGAGAAATCAACAGCAGGAACTCGACCACTTGCGCACCTGTACTCGCGAATTCACAAGGGTCTTACTACACCAAGCGTTTTCCCTCCGTATCATCGCCAGCTCTTGTTTGGATGCACCATACCGACCCGCCTTGAGACATTCGTCGTCTTCTCATACTGGGTTATCAGTTTCATTCTTTGCTGTGTGAACTACCGTGCTTTCGAGGGTAACCTTTAGTAAGTATCCATATGGACAAAAGAAACAAACTGTTTGCGATACACAGAGGACTAACATGATTATTTGAAGCTGGTCTGCCGTGGCTGCTCAGCTATGGCGATATATTGCCGACCGAACGGGCATCATGGCCTACGCCAACCTACCGTTAATCTGGATGTTTAGCGGCCGAAATAACATCTTCATCTGGCTGACAGGCTGGCACTTCTCTACGTTCAACCTCTTCCACAGGCACATTGCTCGCATAGCGACACTGCAAGCCATCATTCATTCCATTGGATATACGGCATTCTATTTCACGTCCGGTTTCGGTATGTTGACCACAATCTTCTCATTAAACATTTCATGTTGATTCTCTGTTAACAGATGATTCCAGCGGAGAGTTATCGCGAAGAATTTCATGATCCTTGGTTCTACCTCGGTGTTGTGGTAAGGACGCTTCTGGTTGGCATCTCTCCAAGACTCGCACACTGACGTCGATCCGCTCTAGGCAACGATTTCAATGAGCTTTATTGTCTTCTTTTCCTTCAGTTGGTTCCGAAGAAAGATCTATGAATCGTTTCTGCTGATCCACATCATCCTATCCGTGGTTGTCATTGTCGCTTTGTTCTAGTACGTCCCCCGTCTATTTGATGCTCCTCAGTGTCCATCATGTACTGACTACAGTTGACATCACAGCCACACATCTATTTTCGATGGCCAGTATGAGCCATACCTGTGGCCCCTCGTTGCCATCTGGAGCTTCGACCGCTTCATGAGAATTGTGCGGGTGGTGTACTGCAATCTGCACGTTCGGCTGCGCAAGAAGACGCTCCAGCGTAGTGTCGCCGCCATAGCCTACGACCAGGATGCCAACATCATCAACATCCAGATTAACACACACGTTAAACCAGGACCGGGCCAGCACTATTACTTGTACCAGCCGTTCCGCCTCACTGGCTGGGAGAATCACCCTTTCACCTTGGCCCATTGGACCCAGTCCGCGAAACCCGACCAGAGTCAGTCTACAGATGTGCACTCAAAGGCCGTAGATGGTACTGTTGTGACATCCTTCGAAGCTGATTCGAGACATGGAGCCATGGAAGACGAGCATCTTCTGTCATTCTGGATTCGCCCGTATGATGGCTGGACTCGCCATCTCCGCGATGCTTGTCTGAAGGCCCAGACCAAGTCACAGCTCTCCGCAATCTACAGGGAGACCATCCTCCTCGAAGGCCCTTACGGCATGGCTGAGCCCCTGTGGGCTTATGACGAGGTCCTTCTCATCGCAGGAGGGTCGGGTATCGCGGCCATGGTTCCGTACATACTGGATCACGTCGAAAGGGCCACCGCGTCGAGCAAATCGAACCGAACACGCACACGCGGATTGACGCTGGTGTGGTCAAATCGCGACCGAGCTTTCATCAGCCGAATTGCCCAGAGGGAACTCGCGGCGGCGATTGCGCGAGACGACGTCAAGTGCATGTTCTACTGCACGGGCAATGCAAAGGACTCGGTTGATTCGTTGCCTTTGCCGTCGAAGGATGAGATTGCGGCGGGAGAAAAGCACAAAGTCGCAGAGAGCAGCGTGCTCAAGGGCAAGGAGGAGACGGATGTGTCTGAGTCGACGGATGGCGCATACAAGGCCGGTTCCTTGAGTATGAGAGTGGGCAGGCCTGATATCGCGGGCATCATCGAGAGGGCGGCGGCATCTGCTGCCGAGTCTGGATCACGACTGGCTGTGATGGAGTGCGGTCCCAGCGAGATGGCGGATGCAGCGAGGGAGGCGACGTATCGGGCTATGAGGCAGAATCATTCTGTCGATTATTTCGAAGAAGCGTTCGGATGGTAGAATCTAAAATGGCTAGTCAAATGATGATTGATGATGTTAAGAATGATCTGATATGATAGATGATGTTCGTTCGCGATGTGTCACGGAAGAAGAGAGTCCATCCAAGGGGTAAGGAAGGACGAAGTTTGAGTTCTGGATCACTTGATCTCATGCGAGTACTCCAAGATAAGATGAGCTCCAAGTATACTGGTAAGTCACGAAGCAGTTTAATGTAGCTGCTAGCAAGGTTGAGGCTGAGATGTGAAGATGGAGATTGAATGCCTTCGAGGATGATTCACTGAATCCTGAGAATGGGCTGACTAAGGTCCGCGTAACTGGCTTCTGATTAGCCAGCGGCTGGTAAACGAGTGACAGCTGAGGTTGGTCCAGAACATTCAACGCAAACACCAACCTTCAAGCCTCACAACGACAAAGTTCACGATGGAACATCAAGGCGCAAACAGTGCGGTCCGACCACTACGAGTTGCCTCAATTGATGAGATGCAAACCCACAAGTAACTGGATCTCGGAATTATGACCACATATGTCGATTGTTGGCTTTTCAAGAATGAAGACAATAAGAAGAAGCGGGTGACTCGACGCGGAGATGCGGTGCATTTCCATTCAGAGGTGAAGCCAGAGCGAGAATCCGCGCGGCGACAATACCGGCCTTAACCATTGTCGACAATGCTCAGGGTTCAAAATGGGCAGAACAGCTGCCGAGCAATGGAGAACATGGTTCAGCCTTCTCATCAGGTTCTCTTCCTTTTGGTGTTTCTCTGCACTCTCGGTGCCTTTTCTTCACGCCACCTTTCCGTCCGGAACCTTATTCCATGAAGCTTTCACCACAACCAACCCTCCAAGCGAATCTAGAGTGACTTTGCTCTCTCTTTTCTTCTATTGAAGCTCACCTGTTCTTCTCTCCTTCTCTTCTCTCTTCAGTCTTTCGCTGCCGTCTTCTTGCGCATCTCTCAAGCTGACTGCATCTGCGCTTCTCCTTGCATACCCTCCCAAGAATCACACCCTCGCGACAACCACCAACGATGGCTTCCAACAAGCGAACAGTCATCGAAGTCTCCTCCGGCAGCGACGATGACAACCCGCTCGTGAACCGCCGTCGCAAGATCCGTCGACGATCTCAGCCACAGTGTTCGTAGCAAAGAAGGACCCTGATGCTACGCTGACACTAACATTCTTCAAGACAACACGTCAGATCCGGAAGAGATCAAGGACAAGGTGGCCGGCTTTCGAAAGTTCATCGATGGAGCACTCCCGCGGAGCCTCGTTGCGTGTGATGTCGCAGACTACATCCAGCGAGAGTCCAACGCCCGTCTTGCTGTTGCTCGACAGCAAGGCGTGCCGCTGGAAAAGGTCTTCATCGGCCGAGATTGCTTGCCGGCCTGGACTGATATGCAGTGGGATCCGGAACAAGAGTCGCTGCACTGCGCTATCCAAAACCGTCTGCTTGACCTGGATGTCGCGAATGTTTTGGGCGATACTCTTCGCGGCCTCCTCATCGACAAAGGCAATCGGAAGCTTGAAGAGGCAAGACAGCTTGGGCTCAGGCTCGAAGACCTCACTATCGGTGTCGGGCTTCTGGCGACTTGGAATCGTCCAGCGCCAGAGCTTCAGAATGGTCACGGGCTAGAGAATCCTTTCAATGAACAAGCCCAGCATGAAGAGCTCATGGACGATGACATGGGCCAGTCAAGCCTCGACACCAGCATTCCGCGCTCGCTCATTTTCAGCCGAGCGGGAACGCCTGAGTTTGATACTGAGAGCGTTGCGTACGAGTCATCCAGCGGTTATGATAGCTCCTCCGTCTTTAGCAGCAGCAGCGGCAGCGAATTTAGCGAATTCAGCGAATACAGCAGCGACGAAGAAGAGGAATCTGACGACGAGATTCGCATGAACAATGCGATCGATCCCCGGCCCGAGTATTCGGAGAGCGACGACGAAGCGCCGCATATCCTTCACGATGTGGAGGTTGTCGGCTGTCTCGAAGGGCATCTGGATGTTGACTTGGAGGTTTACATGGTGGAGGACGATTCCGACGTGGACGACTTGCCTGAACTCGAGCTTGCGATTGATGGGGACGCGTTTGCATATTACTTTGGTGATGATGGGGCTGTGGAGGTGGAGATTCCTGGAATGGATCTGCGGTGCTCGCTCGATGTTCCTCCCGATATGAGCTATGAAGACGGCGATGCTGATATGGAGGATGCGTACCCTGAGGAAGAAGGCGACGATGGGGAAGACGTTAACAACCTGTTCAACGAGGATGAAGATATGGATGAACAAGAAGACGGTGGCGCAAATACTCAGCTCAACGCAGACGAAGTCAGTGTCGTTTCCGTGGCTCAAGAGGATGAAGAGCATAACTCGGGGATTCGGATCACTCAGGATGGCTTCGTTTGGTGAATGGAGGCACCCTAGCATCACCAATCCGCATTCAAGTTCACGATTGGCTCATTCTTTTCTGGACTGCTGCACTTGGGGCTTTTCCCTTTCTATTCTTCACTTTCCTTTTCTTGCTTGTTTCTTTTTTATTTCTGGGAAGGAAAAATTTGCAGTCTGCCGAAATCTGAGTGGTCATGGTCGCATTTTTTCTTTTTCTATTTCTTTTTTCTATTTCCCTTTCTTCCCTCTTCTCTCCGCAGCACGCATAATCCTTGACTTGGTAGAAGACCATGTTACTTCTGGGATACTACAGGGCTGGTCAGGCTTTTTCACTCAGATGCTCTGTGGGATGAAATCTTCTGCGTTCTGGCTTTGGGACGACAACAATGGGATCGCACCTTGAACACGAGAACATGGGACACCATTATACTGGGGTTTCGGTATTTCATGACATTTTCGTGTTTGGAGAGGATAGGTGGATAAGCAGTTCAATAGATGATATTGCTTCAAAATGCCAAGGAGTGAAATTCCTACACGATACTATTGGGTTAAACGCTGCCAACCGCCTTGGGCTACGCTTCTTCTGAGGCTTAAACTACTCTGCATATCACAAGAGTTGATGCCGCTCTAGTCTTTTGGAAATGTCCTGTCTGTGTAAGAATGGCAATGCACATGCTATCCTTGGATAGACGCAGTTGGACGCCCACATCTGACAATTGCGCAAGTGCTTCTCAATACTATGAAAAATGTGCTTTACTTACCTTGATCTCCAACCAACATGATTCGCGGCATCTTATTCCAAGTTCATCCTGGGCATATCAGTAATCACATCGCGATCGCTTCTATCAATTAATAAGACACACCCGAGAATCGGCATGTCGGGTGCGCGATGAAGCACGAGAATGACAGCGAGAGGCGTGCACTTCGCGATAGCTTATACAAGGTGACACATGAAGCCAGAATCACGAGGATGCCTTGTCCGATGCCTTGTTCTTTTAACTCGCGAGCGCGTAGTAAGCTCCGTTTGCTGTCCCTTGCCATCGGAGATATGGACGAGCCGAGATTCACGCAAAGCCGAAGTGTGTGGATGTTCTGCTACTCTGGAGCGCTGATGCAGGGAAGCTCGGAAACAGGTCGGAGTAAGCCGCAGGAGAGACGGGATAGGCTGGTTCCTATGCATAAGGGAGCTTGGTTTAGACGGACGGATAGGGTGAAGAGCGGATAGAGGCATGAGACTCGGAGTTTGCATATTGTAGAGTTTCGATGGTGAGGAGTTTGGTCGATGAGATGATGGCGTATTAGCCTAGAAGAGATGGTGTAAGTCAGTACACAGATAAAGGCGCTTCTACTACCGTACTACCGTACTACCTTACCTGGGGTGGGATACGTGAAACAGTGCATCTGCAGGGTTGCTTCATGACTCTAGCCCTCATCCTACCTACATGACCTGCCTACGCACTTGACCTGTTCTCGTATCTCGTATTCAGCATCGCGAAGTCATGGTCCATGAAGTCAACGTATTATTATCCAAGGCTGCCCCGGCTCCGCCAATCGGTTTTCATACCCCGTACCTACTCAAGGATTCGGCACTCCCGCGTCGCTGACCTTCACAATGCGAGAAGTGAGAACACAAGTCTTCCCCCGAAGCACCGCTTAAAAGATGCCGAGCGAGCGAGCTTGGCCTCGCGGAGGGCGAGTCGCCGACGAAGTCGACCTTGAGACGACAATAGGAGGAGACTCGTCCGAGTTGAGCCCGGCGCTGCTCGATTTGGCGATTTCTTTCTTCCTGTAGACGGAGGATGGGAGGGGGTTCCGTTGCCAAGATGTTGCATTGGCTTAACCTATGATGAACAGCGTGTCTGTTACTATTTCTCTCGAGAATTCGTACGGCGAAGACCTTGAGATTTCACATACCGGTGGTGTTGTGCAAGATGCTATACACATGAGGAAGGGTCGACATATAACTCGCGAACATATATATAACTATCGTGAACCCATCTGAAGCCGAGACGAAAAATCACCGCTCCTAACCACTCACTCATCTCAAGACATCTTCCCTTAGACGCAAAACTCCAGACAACTTCGATCCTCTGTTCTTTCAGAACACAACGTCACCATCATGTCCTTCGTGCAAGGCCCCAACGGCGAGCAAGTCATCCCCATCAAGATCGACGGCCTCGCCCTCCCAGTCGACAACTCCCGCCTCATCCCCGTGGAATCAGTCTCCCAGGGCAAAGTCATCCACTACGCCCACAGCGCCACGCCCGAAATCGCCATGCTGGCCGCTGATTCTTCCCAGCGAGCCTTTCTCAAGTGGAAGACGACGACGCATATCCAGCGAAGAGACCTTCTTCTTCGCACGGCTGATGTTATTGACTCCTGGGTCGACCGCTTCATCGAGGTGCAGATCGCCGAGACGGCATGTCCTGAGGGCTGGGCCCGGTTCAACGTGGGCAATCTGACGCGTGGTATGCGCGAGATTGCTTCGCACATCTCGCACATGGCGACAGGGGAGCTGCCGCCTCTGGAGGTGCCTGGATCGCTCGTCTTGGTGTACAAGGAGCCTGTCGGTCCCGTCCTCGTCATCCCGCCTTGGAACGGGGCCATGGTCCTCAGCGGCCGTGGAATGGCCGCTCCCATTGGTGCTGGCTGCTCCGTCGTGCTCAAGGCATCTGAGCTGTGCCCGCGAACGCACCACCTCATCGTCCAGGCCTACGAGGAGGCCGGTATGCCCAAGGGCCTAATCAACATTGTTCAAGCGGCCCGCGAGGATGGGCCTGCTGTCACCGAGGCCCTGATTGCCCATCGATCGGTTCGCAAGGTCGAATTCATCGGCAGTGCTGCAGTCGGCCGCATCATCGGCCAGCTCTCCGCCAAGTATTTGAAGCCTGTGCTGATGGAGCTCGGCGGAAAGGCGCCCGCGATTGTTCTCAAGGACGCTGATGTGAAGCACGCGGCGGGCAAGATCATCCAGGGCATGATTATGCACCACGGCCAGATCTGCATGTCCACCGACCGCATCGTCGTGGTGGAGGATGTCGCAGAGGAGCTCATCGGCGAGCTCAAGACGGCTCTTGCTACCACCTTCGCGGGCAAGCAGGGCGTCGCTGTGTCGAAGAAGCAGGCAAAGAGGGGACAGGATCTGCTGCTCAGAGCTCAGACTGCTGGAGCGCGCTTCATTGTCGGCGATGCCAGTCTAAATGCCGAGGGGACAGGTCTGACTCCCACCATTGTCACCGACGTGAAGAGCACTGATGAGATCTTCCACGAGGAAATATTTTCTCCTGCTGCTATTCTGACGATCGTCAAGGACCAGGCTGAGGCCATCCAGGTTGCGAATGATACGACCTACGGCCTGAACGCCGCTGTGCACAGCCGAGATGTTCTCAATGCCCTGCGTGTAGCCAAGCAGATTGAGGCCGGACAGGTTCACATCTGCGAGACCACGGGCTACGACGAGCAGACTCTGCCTATTGGAGGTACAAAGGACAGTGGTTGGGGAAGGAATAATGGCAAATACGGGCTTGCTGAGTTTCTGGAGGAAAAGACGATCTCGATCCACGATCCTTCTGTGAGCAAGAACCGTTTTGGAGATGAGAAATGAGGGGGTCTTGCTTATTGGAAGATATGGGCTTGTATCTTTAGCGTTATTGAGGTGTACCTATTTAATAAAATGATGAGGAGTCTATATACGCCTTTAGGAAGAAGATTGCGGTGTCTTACGTGCTATGTCGGAGAGTTCCTAGAGTGTCCAATCTACTCGTTGACTATAAAAGAGAAGTACATGTAAGATGTGCGCGGCTAAATGTCATGGATAACACCGAAAGACCGCAAAGCCGGTACGCCGCAGAGCTCCGTATGCCGCAGACAGAAGCTTGTGAATGGCTTCATCGGAGGCGGCACGGTAAGCAAGTCCCGTTCATCATCTCATAACTCCATTTTATAGATACTTCGTACGTGAGACTTGTCTCACCTGTTGCTATTCCATATAGCGGAAGATGTTAAGGAAACATGTCGGGCAACATATGTGACCAAAGCATTATAAAAGGATGCTATATTCGCCATGAAAGTGCTACGCTATAGCATAGCAATAGCATACGAACTTGCAAAGAAAGCCTCCTTTGGAGAATCATTACAGCGTCCCAAAGTCTTCAACTACCCATCATAAACATGCCCTACGTCCCAGAGCAATGGTCATTCGACGATGTCGTCAAACTCACCAAAATCAGCCCAGCCTACTGGCGAGCAACCTTCAACGCTCCCCCCTTGAACCTCTTCACGCCGCGAACCTACAAAGCCTTGCGCGTGCTTATCGAGATGCTTGAAAATGACCGAGCCGTCAAGGTCATCGTCTTCGATAGCGCCTCTGAAGAGTACTTTATCGCTCACTACGACCTGCTCGCCTCTGAAGGCAAAACCGAGGGCGAAGAAACTTCGGTCGTCTCCGACTGGGCAAACTTTGCGCTTCGCCTTGCGCGTGTTCCTGTCGTTAGCATTGCGCAAGTAGCTGGCCGCGTTCGCGGTCACGGAAGCGAATTCATCCTCGCATGCGACATGCGCTTCGGCAGCATTGAAAAGGCCATCTTTGCACAGCCGGAAGCCGGTGCGGGGGTTCACTGTGGCGGAGGAGGCATCGAATGGCTCCCCCGTCTGGTCAATCGCTCGCGAGCACTGGAGATTCTCCTAGGCGGCGACGACATTGATGCCGTGACCGCTGCTCAATACGGATACATCAATCGAGCTATCAAAGATGCAGAGTTGTCTTCCTTTGTGGACAATTTCGCGCGGAGGATTGCGGGCTTTGATCGGAAGCCTTTGCTGGAGACGAAGCGCGCGGTGAATGACCGTGCGGGACTGCCGCGGCTTACGGATCTTTTGGCGTCGATGCAGGATTTCGTGAGGGCTACGAAGTGGCCGGAGACGGAGAGGCGGGTGAAGACGCTGTTTGAGATGGGGTTGCAGCAGGATGGGCCTGGGGAGAGGGACTTGGGGAGGTTGCTTCATGAGGCGTCGGTGAGGATGTATGGGAATGAGGAGGATAAGTGAGTGTTGAGATGATGTAACTGTTCATAAGTCACATGTCAGCTTTGTTAACTTACACCTTCTTTAAGAACAAGTGCTTCCGAGATTCGTGAGGAGTGGGATAGGTTGTCAAGTGTTTAGAACTCATAGCTCTCTCTGGTGATGCGATGACAACACGAGCTGTGATTACTCGAGTGAAGATTAGAGTAAGTAACATCCTTCAGTTCACCTCATTTAAGCTTTTCAGCAAATCGTGACTTGATTCGATGCAATTTGACAAGAAACCCATAGACCATACGGTCGCCAGCGATATCTAGATGTCAAAAGTTTAACGCACAGCAGCCACTTATACCATAACCCAAAATATGACGGCCATCTCCATTCCTCGCATTACCTAAAAAGTAAATAGTAATCAAGCCCGCTACGGCACTTCGGCACAATCCAGCTGGAACTTATAAGTCCGCAGAATCTCCACGCCCGCTGAGTTCAAGTCCGCTCACCTTTACACCGCACGAAAATGTCCACTCCACACAAAAGCCCGTCGCCGAAGCCGCAGGCCATGACGGACAAGAGCAACCCCGACGCTTTGGCTCTGCGGTGGTCGTGCTCTGCGTGTCGGCAGTCGAAGCGGCGCTGTGATAAGGTGTACCCGGAGTGTACGCTCTGCACTCAGTGAGTTCAACTCTTGATGGTCCATACGCAGCGAGTCATGAGTTCAGTATAGTAACTATCTCGTAGGAAGAATATCCCGTGTAATTATCCAGGCCGTCGCAAAAGACAGAAACTCAAGGCCCGTATCAAAGCAGCTTCAACAGCGAGCAAACCTACTGTCAACCCGCCTTCTACTAGCACCACCAAGAAAGACCGAGGAGACGCACACCAGCTATCATTCCCTTCTGCCAACACTAGCTCCATCGCCGAGCGCTTTCTCGACCCAGATGTCTTTGCCCGTGCTCAGTTGACGGTCGTCAATGCAGACGTACCGGTAACCGACGACATTGCCCAGCTCGTGGGCGGCGTGTTGGACATTCAAGCTACGTCCGCCCAGTTCTTCAAGTCGGTTCATACATGGATGCCGATCATCTCGAAGCCGCAGTTCTGTGCGAATCTGCTGAATCGCTTGACTTACAAAAGAGCCGAGCTATTCCTGCTTGTACTTTCCATGAAGCTATGCTGTGCTCGTCGGACAACGCCTCTGTATGAGACGGTGAAGCTGTTGCACTTCAAGATTGAGACTTCGGGCGTGTTGTCTGTTCTTGTGTTGCAGGCGGCGATACTTATTGCGCTGTATGAGCTGGGGCATAGCATTTACCCGGCGGCGTACCTTTCGGTGGGATCGTGTGCTCGGTATGCGACTGCGTTGGGGATTGACAAGTCCATTCTTTTGTCGAGTTTGGGGAAGACTCAGTGGATCGAGGAAGAAGAATGCCGTCGGATTTGGTGGGCGATACTGGTCCTTGATAGGTGAGCAGCTTGTTGTCAGTACATGTAGAGGCCGAAGATACTGATCGACGTCTAGGTATCTCAACTTGAGCGATCCCAAACGACATCTCATCACACCAGATGCGGATATTGACAGCTATCTACCCGTCGACGATGAAGCATGGGAGACAGGAGTACGTTATCTATCAAACTATAAGAATTGTTCAGCATCGCTGATCCTTCAAGGTATACGATCCTAATCACATATATACCCTGGCCACGGCCAACAGCTACCATCTGGGGCTCTTTGCGCGCTTCGCCCAAGCAGCGCACTTGCTCACCAAAGTCCTCCATCACGCATCTGAGCCACCCAGCGAAACAGCCCAGTTGCGGCGCACCATCTTTGCGCTCGTCAACGTGTCCAAGATTGAGGCATCAATGAGACGTCTAGAGTATTGCAGCCAGACGTCAATATGCTACAGGTACAAGCTGCTCCCGAGCTTCTGTCGGTGATCCTGGACGCTAATAGCACAGTGGTATCCTTTTACTTGAATCGTCATCAATAGATAAGGACGAGAATCATTCCGGCACGCAGCTCTCTACTGAAAGCGCTCACATTTCTCAAGTAACGCTTGATATGGCTCTATCCTTCACTAAGGGAGACGTGGAAGAGATATGCGCCATTGTCAGTCCGTTCTTGGTGCACATTCTGTATCGAGTGGCCTCAATACACTTGAGAATTGCTCATGAGTCGCCAACGGATGCCGCGTTGGAGAAGGTTGCCCTTCTGAAGAAGGCGATGAAGATTGTTGGGAGCCGATGGCTATGCGCTTGTAAGTATCGTATCTGATGAACTGATGGTGGTTCTTGGGCTGATGGTTCCTTAGCCACGTATCTCTCACTGTTGGAGAAGCAAGAAATCTTGCTCGTAATGCAATAAAGAGGTTGACGGCATGCATATTACATGCTCTCGGCTGCAGTCAAACAGTTGCACTATAGTCGGTCTACGGGGTACCGGGAATGGATTACCATATGCCTTTTCAGATGAAAAGGAAACTCACCATACACAGTACTGAATCCAGACCAAAACCAAATCAAAAGGCCATACACTTGATATCATCGACCGCTATTTCTATCTTGTACAACGATGGGGTATCTTTGCTCTGGATTACTGTTACCTGTTGGAAATAGCAGACCGATTGGTGAGGAAGGACGAACGCAATGGCGATGCCGTTGCGGCAAGAGAGACTGACGTGGGCTATATAAGACAACGCTTTTTTGATCTCCGTATCACCATCATACAAACAACACAACACGCGTCCCTCAGCTGCCATCGTCAGACAGCCTCATCGCCAACTCGGAACGCAACGCAGAACGAACCATCACCAGACACCAGATACCCCGCAAGGGAGACCAACACCTTGACGCGGCATTAGTCTGTCACTCTGCCTGATCCTGATTCTGCCTTTCTGCCTCTTGTTCCCATGCGTCACCGCGTCATTCCGAGTTGTTCCTGCTGAGTGCCACGTCCCAACATCTCTTTCTGATCATCGCTGACACGCGTCTTGATTTCCTCTACAATACCACGTACCAACGTACGGACTCCTTCTGCAACAGTCCACGTACCATGTCCTGACGTACGTGGTGTACTATTCCACAACACGTCTTCACCATCTCCCCTGACGTCCCTGACGTACCGACATCATGATGTCGTCAAACGGTGCTTCCACGTTCGAAATCGACCCCTCCAGCTTGCCACAGCTTGACAGCAGCGGCAGCAACTATCCGGTGTGGCGTCCGGCGTGGACCATCGTTTTCAAATACGCTGAATTGTGGGATATCGTCTCTTATGGCAAAGCTCCCGCCGTCACCACGGAGACGCCGGCATTGACAGCACTTTCCGCCCAGATCGTTCAACGGAAAAAGGACGACACCAAGGCGATGGTGATGCTGATGTCTGCCGTTCATCCTGACCTCGTGTATCTCGTCACGACAACGTCCTCTGCACACCAAGCATGGACCACCCTGAAAGATCGGTTCGACCGTGACGCCGCACAATCCACCATTCAACACGACCGTGACGCCGCACAATTCACCATTCAGCAATTCCGTCAGTTGATATCACTGAGATACAACACGAGTGATGATTTAGTGCAACATCTTAACCTCTTCCGCCAAACATGGACCGCGCTGGAACGCCGTTGCAAGGCGTCATCACACGGACTTGCGAAGGACTTGAACACCGTCTTCTCTTCTGAATCTATTAAAGGCTCCTTCTTCCTTGCCACTCTGCCCGAGGAAATGAACACGATCGTCGACAATCTGTCTACTCAAAACGTCAACAAGTTCGCCGAAATCGAACCCCAGATGGTGGACATTGCCAACCGACATGCCCGGCCGACAGATGACAAGGCCTTCTACACCAAGACTGCCGGAAAGGCAACGCGGCGTCGGACGACACGTTCCTCCGACGAATGTACTTGGTGTCACAAACACAACTTATCCTTCGTCGGCCATGTCTACACGGATTGCCACAAGTTGGCCGACTACAAGAAGCAAAAGGACAACAAGAAGGACCAAAATGCCGCTAAAAAGAAAGGCAAGGGCAAATAATGGATGACTTCATGGGAAGATGCTCACAGTCCTCCCATATTATTTGCTATACCTCCATGCTTTGGAGTCTGATTTCCAACTCACCCTGAGTTGGAACGAGGGGGTCCGGCGATGAGAAGCCGGCGTCGTCTTGGAGATGCTGCAGCACTCCTCCCCTGGCGCTGTTCGGATGGAGGCAGGAGGAGCGGAGGGTGAAATTGACAAATGGAAACAATCGAAGTTCTCCATTGTGGCAGTTGCCAGTCGAGTGTCTTCCGTCGAATCAAGCTTTTCGTTGCGATAGTAGTGGATTGAAGAGCAAAGCCTGAATCGAGGAACTGTGGTTGAGCAATGAAAAGCTGATTTGATTTGGAAGATTTGCTTGGTGAGAGCTGGCCGGGCATCCGATTGTTATCAGGGATATGACTCTACATGAACATACTACCCTGAGGAGCTATCGTGCAAACATTATTAGCCGACACGGCTCATGGGTAGTTATACCATTGTGTGGTTGTGTATCGCCTCGTGGCCACCATTCATTTCGCTCTTCGTCCTCAGCCATTCCGGAAACTCCACCCAACGATGTCTATGCACCCACTCGACCACTGCGCCGTAGTCACGGCATGTATGTACTTCGTCCAGCACAAACTCCTCCAAGTCATCCGTAGTGACAAGTGTCAAGTCGGGATGACAAAGTAACTGAGACCGAACGTAGTCGAGGCAGTGGAGCATGTGAGTCTCATCCCACGGAGGAGGCGTTTTGGACATGAGGTTTTGGCGGATTGAATTCTAGAAGCCACAGTTAGACTTGTGATAAGTCTCCGAAAACTTGAAAATCACATACTAAGCAGTGAAGAGCGTGGAAAACGTCCACTTGGTAAATGCTCTGGGAAGAATCTGTTGGGGACTGCGCCGATGGCCTCAATCCTTGACTTCGGGCCCATTCCGTGTCCAGCGATATGACGCCTCCGGAGCCTAGAAGGTCTCTCCAGTATTCATTGGCATCGAGAGTATCAGCCATGTGATGGGAGCCATTCTGAAACTTTGCGGAAGTATTGTATGAGGCAAGCAGCGACAAGCCGTCAAGAGAAGTCTCTTGTCGTAGTGCCCGTTTTGCCTGATGCAGTGCAATGAAGCCCGATACGAGGAGGGCACACAGAGCTACCTCTACCAAGAGAACTGCGGCATGGATAACAGAGGATGCTCTCAGTGACTGTTCTAGGCGATGCAGGCGTTTGTTTGTCTGTGATGTCCCAGTCTCCGCGGAGTCGGAATCATCCCCTTCTGGGAGACGGTTGTATTCAGCGTCTTCTGTCTTGGTCGTGAACATCTTGACTTTCTCACCCAACATCGCACTTTCTTACAACCATCAGACAATAAGACAATTTTCTCAACACGTCTATGTTCACACAAAGTATGTATGCCCGAATGCGCTCTCCTCAGTCTGGAGTAGGTCAGATGGGGGGGGCGATACTAGCCCAGCTATTTCCTGGATGTAACGTGCTAGGAAGGAATGTCTACCACAAGTAAGGTGCCGTATGTTACTTGGTCAGTGGAGGAGCATTAAACAGCTTGCTCGCGTCTTAGCTCGAAGATAGTCTTAGTCCAAATCCTAGAGACATGGGTTTACGAAAGAGGGGGATCTGCAGTGGCGGTCTTACATGCATGATCCTCTGGTCTGTCCTGGCCTCTAGACTATCGTGGCCACCCTCTTGCTCTCCGTTGAGAGGTGAGGAGTTACTGAGGGATTCAAGCATGGAAAGTGAGATGATTATTACTGTATTTTTTTGACTGTAGTTTTATGGCAAAGAGAGAGATCAACTGACAGTTTCATAAGCTATATCGCGGATACTGGGCTCGATCGTAGAGTGTTGGATAAAACACGGGAGTCCGCGGATGTCTCAACGAGGTTATTATCCTTATAGGGAATACTGAGTAAACTCTGTTCAATATAGAGCCAGTTTGACGCCTAACTATCATGCACATATGGGGTACTTGACAAAAATCTTCGTCCCAGAGTCCTTCATGCCACCCGGATCCCCTCCAATCATCTGAACACAATGATTCGTATGGTGGGAATTCGCCGTGTACGAATCAATCCTCAAGTTGGCGTCAAGAGCCACCCTGTGAAACCTCTTCCACACATACATGCAGTGAACGACATGCCAGTCAAACGTCGTAGTGAAATGGCCGTAGTCACCCTGATGAAGCTCCTCCATCGTCAGATTCTTGCCGTTAATCTCATATGGCCAGTCGCGGCCCTCATACATGAGCTTTTCGTCCTCCACGTCGTCTTCTGTGAGACAATCTTGAGGAAGCCATGAATGTAGCACGATGCTGTATCGGCAGCCGAGTGCTTGGGCATCTGCTGGGGAGTTGCCGCAGTCGCCGTGAGACCAGCTCAATGGAAGACCCGTCTTCTCATCTGCGCCCTCACGAATCTCGGGATACGGTCGGTTGGATCTCATGTGGTTGTTGGCAGAGAGGAATTTCCATAGACCGAGCGCGAGCGCAACGGTCAAGATCCCAAGTAGATATGATGAGATCAAGGCGAACAGGCGCCGTTGCGGCTGTCTTGCAGAGTTGGCTTCGTAAAGGAAAGCTTCTTCGCTCTCACTGCCCTCAATTTTGGCATACTCGTCTTTGAGCGCCTGTTTCTTGATGAACGGAACGCTTTCACGAAGACGATTCATTATGATACGATAATTGCTGTTGTAAAGACATGCGTGAGCAGAGATTCAGATGGTGATGTCGGGAAAATGTACAAAGATGCTCTCTATCCCAAGACATGAAGCGACGGCTTTTAGTCATGAGCGCCTACTCGGATGCCGAATTAAGCATATGAGCAAGGCCGAGGATACTGATCCTTAGCCTTACATGGGTCCGAATCCTCCATCAGACCCCATCATGTAGGGTTGCATCCTTCAAGCTGACGGGTGACTCGGGACCGTTGAGATACCCGAGATTCTTTCCTATTTAGGTAGGTGGAAATTGACTTGCCGTAGGACGACAGTCAAGCTCTGGTGATGCATGCTGATAGCGCATTCATGAGCTGTGCTAATGATGTTCGTGTCAGATATGAAGACCTTGATCTTCCCAGAACTCTTATTTACTACTGCAGGTTGACGCCTATGATAGCCGTCACTTTTGCTAAGTTACGTTACATATATAGACATTAAATCGGGAAACATGGGTAAATACAGCTCGTCCTTCGTAAGAGGGGAGCCAGGCACTTCATGTGACGATGACTTGGTTGAGATGTAGTGCCTTTCTTCTTGGGCACTCATGCATGTGCGATCGGACCATCACCATTGTGTCTGTATTTACACATTGTATGATACGACTCGTTTATGAAAAATGTAAATGTGGCTTCTCTGTTTAGCTCTAACTTGGCCGCCTAATCGGAGCTCCTTCAACCTTGTGAAACTGGTCAAAGGTCTCGTCTAGTCTATGCTGAGCAGCCCATTCTCGAATCTTGTCAAAATCCTTGCACGTATGCGTTGTTCGGAGGTTCCCAAACATCTTCTGCTTCTCCTCGCTCCACTCCCAGTATATCGTGCCCACGTCGGATGCGCATTGAATGGACTGCCTGAGCTGCTCATAGCAGTGTTCCAGATGATAGATGTTATCATCGGCCTCTTCTGAGCCAGAAGTCAGATCAATCTTGAAGACGTCTGGATACACAATTTTGCGCATGAAGTTGAGACAATGGAGTTGGTGGAATACATCCAATTCCACCATGTACATGTTCGGGTCGTGGGCGGTTGGTGTTGTTGCGTTTGGGAGTCGAGCTGCCATTGACGCCGGTATTTGCGATATGCCAATGTCTAAGTTGCAACTTGGTCAATAATCTCCTCAACTACAAAAGTAGAAGTTGACATACCGTTGAAAAGGCTTTCCCATCTCTCATTGACTTCGTCAGAGTATCCCTGGTAGGCAGATCTATCACCATGAAGACCTCCCGTAAAGACCACTGTTTTGTACTCGACTGCAGATTCCGCTGGAGCTATTGGCCAAGTCAGAACAGTTATTCTCTCTTGTGAGAAAAGGGCACTGACAATATACTGCGTTCAATATTCGCAATTGAGCAAACTGCCGATATGAAATAGCCCATGTTAAGACAAGTGCTATTAACAGCACAGCGTTGAGGGCGATAGAATATGGAAGGAACTTTGCCCGTGACGCGTCTTTTGATGTTTGACCGTTGTGGTCATTGTCTCTCTCATCGTCAGCGAGTAAATGCTCCTTATCATGATACTCTTCAGAGGACTTTCTCGACATGTTGGCTGTTTGCTCTATGCGCCGGTCAACTTGTCACGCACATGAAGTGAAGAGGAGAGTTGAGTTCTGAACGAAGTGACCTCACGTATTCGACCAGAAACTCATCACTCTTGAGATTGGCCGAGTGTTGCAGCAAGCTATTCAACAACTAGGGCCAAGGTTACATTCGCACCACGAGGACAAGCATCCTGGTTTGCCACTGACTCGACGTATCAAATCTCATGTTAAACAGAACTCACCATTGTTATTTTTGCCACGTCGAATCTCCCCACCTTTGCTGATGCGGAGGAGTTGAACTAGCCCCCATGTAAGCTTGAACGAGCTTGAACGAAGGATCTGAAATATGCAAGTACTTCCGCGGAGCTACTGTGGGGGCTGTCTTGTTCGGTAACTACTTTCAAAGCAGACGATCCTCCATGGAGGAGTCGCAGGCGTGATCTGAGATGCATATTCTCTCACAGGTTGCTTTGATCATTGGCTCAGAGCAATTGCAAACAAACGATAGGCTCAAGTCTATGCCATAGGGAAGAATCCGAGTGAAACCAATGCAACGTATCCTCATCATAATCCCTGCTGATCGACCATCATCATGTATCGGGCGTCAGCAGCTGTATCGAAGAGGACCGGTTAGTGTCCTTGATTGGAATTTGCTTGAGCTACTACATTGTCAACATGCTTGCAATGAGATATGCGGTGTGCTCATCAAGTTCTGCTTGAACGCCGAGTAACCGCAGGCTTTCAACGGATCGGCATATAACATGAGTGGCTGGTCTCCGACCCCAACATAGCTATTGATACAATATCCTGTCCCTTACATCGTCTTCAAACACTCAAAGACACTTCGCTACTACAACCAGATCTCAGTTTACCTTTATCAGCCCTCACAATCTATCAAGATGAAGATATCTCAACTTCTCCCTCTTGCCATTGCTCTCCTGAGCGCTGTCGACGCCGCACCAGTCGAACAACGCGACACCACCTCAGTCGATCTTGCTGATAACGAAGCTGGATGGGGAAAGCGAGGCACAGCCGTGGACCCTACGAACAACCAGGCAGGTTGGGGAAGACGCGACACTGCCGTTGATCCTACAAACAACCAAGCTGGTTGGGGGAAGCGTGATACCGCCGTGGACCCTACGAACAACCAGGCGGGCTGGGGTAAACGGGATACAGCCGTTGACCCTACCAATAATCAGGCTGGTTGGGGAAAGCGTGGTACCGCCGTCGACCCTACCAACAATCAGGCAGGCTGGGGTAGACGCGATACCGCTGTTGATCCCACGAATAACCAAGCTGGTTGGGGCAAACGGGGCACAGCTGTTGACCCTACGAACAATCAGGCTGGTTGGGGAAGATAAAGTGATATGGAGTGGGAGGGCGAACGATCAAGAGACGATGAGGGGGCAACATTTGAAAGATTAAAATATATCACCTGATGAAGGTTTTCCATACTACGCATATTGAGATATAAGTGATTCCATTTCTGAACCTCCTAAAACTGTGATGACTCTATAAGTTGGAACACAACTATTGCTACACTCTTTTACACTCTTCATTCAATGCTTGAAATGCCGGATATCTCTCGATGTGGCTTACGATTTCGGATACTTCGGAACAGGAGTTTCTGGTCAAACCATGTACTAATCTAGCAACATTCCAACTTACTGCAGCGTTTTCAGCTGCTGAAGGCCTTAAGCTTTTAGAATATGCCACATGTACTGCCTATACTGCCTTCAATCGCCCATTTACGGCCTCGAGAATGTATAGTTGATAATGCTAACTTCAGCGGGGCAAGCCCTGACCGGACACATAGATGGAACTCGACAAGCATAGCTAAGTGGCGTCCGAGAGAGTCACTTCCTACAAAATGGATGGTGTTCTCTTCACTCTTGTCTCTTGAAGCTCTTGACTTGGGAGAGTAAACAGCTTTGGAAACATAACAACTTGCCGAGCCAAGGTAAGCGTGCTTCGTTCCAACCCGGCAACCTTCCATGGATTATAAAATGACGTACTTCTATGCCAAGGTATACTCTAGCTCAACTCAATGAGAGATCTCGAAACTATGGCGACATTCGCACAAAATGATGAAGAGCCTCCAGATGAAAAATTCAGCCATCTCCGAACTTCCAAATCGAGCCACCGGCTGAACCAAATCGAGAAGATCAGAGCATATGGAGTTGGTGATCTGGTGGCCTTGCCTCAGCTAGTCGTTTGCGGAGACCAGTCAGCTGGTAAGAGTTCGGTCTTGGAGGGAATCACAGGAATTCCATTTCCTCGAAAGGATGGCCTTTGCACACGATTTCCTACGGAGATCATTCTTCGTCATACAGATGGGGAGTCGATCAATTACACGGCTAGCCTCAGGCCGCATTCTTCGCGGACGGCAGAGGTCCAGAAAAGGCTCTCTGCCTATCGCAAGGAAGTCAAGGACCTATTAGAGCTTCCTGGAATCATCCAAGACATATCGCGATTGTTGAACATTGGTGGCCACGCCACCTTGTCCGACAATACACAACAGCGGATGGGTGTTAGCGAAATGTCCCAGAACAATCATGGCCATGCATTCGCTCCTGATGCTCTTCGCATAGAAGTTACTGGCCCTATTGGATTGTATCTCAGCGTGGTAGACCTACCGGGACTGATATACAATCCCAATGAAGAGCAAACCGAGGAAGACGTCGAGGCGATACATGCTATGACCACGTCGTACCTCGAGAGCTCTCGAACGATCATCTTGGCGGTCCTACAAGCGGGTAACGATATGGCTAACCAGTCGATCATCAAATTGGCAAGGAAGCACGATACTCTTGGCCAGAGGACTGTGGGAATCATCACAAAGCCAGATCTAATCAACAAGGGTACTGAAGCCAGGCTTGCACGAACTGCGAACAATCAGGGTAACATCAAACTCAAGTTGGGATTCTTCCTTCTCAAGAATCCAAGCCCTAAAGAACTCGAAGGAGATCTCAGTATGAAGGATCGATCAGATCTGGAAAGCGGATATTTCTCGAGTCCGCCTTGGACGACCCTGGGTCTCGATATGAACCGAGTAGGGGTAACAAAGCTCCGATCCTATCTTCAGGAGTTGCTAGATACCCACATAGAGCGAGAATTACCCAAAGTTCGCCAGGAAATCAAGACGTTTCTGGAGGTGAAGGAACACAAGCTGCAATCTCTAGGAGACGCTCGCCCCACGGTTGACCTCATGAGGATCTTTCTCACGAGATCGAGTATGAAGTTTTATGAGCTGCTGCAGGCGGCTCTCGATGGGAACTATCACACCATTGATGCTGCGTTCTTTTCCGAGGCCCATGGTTCAAGACTGAGGGCACGTGTGCAGGAATTGAACACCGAGTTTGAGGCTCGTATGCGGTCATCAGGTCAAAAAAGAGAATTGCTAGAACCTGAGCTTACCGAGAAACCGGGTGCCAAGGTCGTCAAGAGTCTAGCACACTCATTGGATCGGGAATTAGAATTGATGAAGTGGGTTCAGCAGGTCTGTACACCAGTTCTTCGGCTACAGATCTTCACTAATCCAAGATACAGGCTCATTCCCGCACACGAGGAAAAGAATTGCCTGGCAATCATAACCCGGCTCTCCTGGAAGAGCTCTTCCACGAGCAGTCGTCGCCTTGGTTTAGTATTGCCCAACGTCACGTTCTTCGTACCTCCGGGACAGTGGCCCAATGGGTGCTTCTTGCCGTCGAAAGGCTCTATCCCGAGGTGACTCTGCGGAATCTTGTCTCCGGAATTTTAAAGGCGTGGCTTGATGAAGCAAAGAAAAGTGCGCTTGAAGAATTGCAAAAGCTAATTGATGACGAACGACGGAGCCCATTGACGTATAATCACTACTTTACGGACAATGTCCAAAAGTCTCGATTAGACAAGCAGAGAAAAGAAGTACAGCGGGCTGTGCTTGCTAAGAAAGATCATCTTGGAAGAGTACATCTTGACAATGACCGAGATATTGAGAATTTCGTTGAGGCAATTGGATTCTTCATCACGGCAGATATGAATGAAGAAGCTTGCAACGAGGCTATAATACAGTTAGGCGCATATTACAAGGTGAGGACTCTCCTCGTATTCTACTTGTCATGAGGATTGTTCGCAATGACAATTCCTAGGTCGCAATGAAGACATTCGTCGACAACGTCGCCCGGCAAGTCATCGAGCGGCACATGATATCACCCTTGCCAAATGCCTTCTGCCCAAACTCAATTTCCGAGCTTTCGGAAGAAGACGTGGTCCGCATTGGCTCAGAGTCAAAGCAGCAGGTTGAAAAGCGCAAGAAGCTGGCCGCGCAAGTCCAAGGGCTGAAGAAGAGCTTGAGAGAATTGCAAGTGTCTGTGTGACTCTAGTCTCGGCTATTCTTTGCGCTCTTTGCGTTCGTTATCCCCTATTTGTGTCCCAGTAATATTCTGGATCTACGTAATATTCTGGATCTACCTGCTCTTTGCTGGGCTTTTTGCCAGGTAGTTTGTTTCCCTGAAGGGGTTGGAGTTGGATTCAGGTGGATTGTCCTCTTGGTCTTGGTTTTCCTACCGGGTTTTCCCACGATCCTTGCGTGAATACGGAGAGGACAACCCTTAGACATGAATAAACGAGTTTGATCTTGAAATAGTACAATCTTAGAAAAGTAGTTGTGAGATCGGGATCGCGATTCCGAGGTCTCTATTCTGGTCAGCGGCCTTGGATGTCGCCATTGGACAAACCTTCAACGCCACAGAGCCCGTGAGCTTATGTATTCCCACATGATGCGCTCGTCCAGCCAACGATTGGCCTTGACAGTTGTCAGCGCTAGGAAATCGCCTGATTTCAATGGACATTCCAAAAGGTAGGAAACTATTCTTGAAGTCGTCTGTGTGAAAGATGCTCTCGAGGGGTTCAAGCTCACTTGAAAGCATTTAAAGACCAGCTCGAGGTGTGGTATCGTTCGTTAACCAAGAGCCCAGAAACCTACCCAGCAGCATAGAACTTGACGATCGATCGAATTCGTCATGAACTGGAAACCTCTAACAAAAGCTCTCCATCACGTCCATCACGGACCAAACAGCACCATATACACCTTCAACAAAGATCACAAGCCCACCCTCACAGTCGATTCCGGCACCGAAGTGACCTTTGACAACACCCACGCCGGCTTCGTAAACCTCACCAAAGACACAACAACAGCAGATGTCGCCGCATTAGACATAAAATCTGCCCCGGAGCTCGAAAAGTTGGTTGGCCTACTGTACGTCAATGGCCCAGTATACGTCAACGGCGCCGAACCAGGCGACATTCTCAAAGTTGAGATCCTCGAATTGCAACCCGGCTCATGGGGCTGGACGGCCATCATCCCAGGAATGGGCCTCTTACAAGACGATATTCCAGGCCCTCATCTCAAGACGTTTGATCTCCCCGGGGGTCAAGACTACGCCGTGTTTAAGCCGGGCATACACATTCCGCGTCAGCCCTTCTACGGCACCATGGGCGTCGCCCCGGCAGAAGGCGACCAGTACTGCTTGTTTCCGGGCAACGACATAGGCGGAAACTTTGACTGTCGATACTTAGGCGAGGGCTCAACGCTCTTCCTCCCAGTCAATGTCCCCGGTGCGCTATTTGGCGTCGGTGACGCGCACTTTTGCCAAGGAGACGGTGAAATCTGCTGTCTTGCGCTGGAAACTACGATGCGCTCGCGGATGCGTCTAAGTGTCATCAAGGGCAAGGAAAGGCTTGGCGGGCCGCACTATGAGACGAGCCCGGAGCGGGTAAAGGAGATGGTGAGTCTTAAAGGTAAAGGAGAGCACGGGGCGATGATCACAGGAGATGATCGCGATACGGTTGTGAAGCAGGCTGTGAAGGAGATGTTGAGGTGGCTTGAGGAGGAGAAGGGACTGACGAGAGTGGAGGGGTATATGCTCTTCAGCCTTGTTGGAAATCTGAAGATGATGCATGAGATTGGGCTGGGCGTGTACACTGTGTCCGCGAGTATCCCTCTAGGAATATTTGTCGACTGATGGTGGAGAAGATGTAAGTAGTAACAGCAAATGTGTATCATGCAAGAGTAGCTAAACAGCGCAGCAGATAACTATGAGTTGCACAGAGCGATAATGTCTTCTGGCACATACACCTCCAGAATGTCAATCAACTGGCTCAGCGGAATCCAGTCCAAGGTGCCGTGAATGCTGCGCAGCGTGTGTCCCGAGTACAGAACGCGAGCATAGTACGCCTTCTCCCGCTCGGCCGTCGTCTCCCAAACCTCGATGGCGACGTTGGATCCCATTGCAGGCCATCGCAGCTGGTTGATTCCCAGGGCGCCCAACACGGGACCGATGTCGCCGTCGTGGAAGAAGGTGTGCGAGTAGACGTACTTTTGCTTCTTATTCAGGACGGCCTCCAACCGTCTGACAACCTCGCCGATGAAGAGACCCTCGGTGGCCTGGATATACTTGACGACCTGCGGGTTGCTGCGCCAGTAGTAGTTCCACTCCCAGTCACCCGCGCGGAAGACTTCCTCAGCCTGGCTTTCGGAAACGCACTTGGACGCGTCGTTGAAGCTGCAGGGGAGCTTGTATCCATTGCACAGCCGTGCCTGGAAGTTGTCGGAGAAGTGGTCAAAGGTGGTCTGCCACGCACTGCTCGTGGCACCTAGAATATCGCCCAGCGACTGTCGAAGCTCAGCCGTGACGCTGAGATGCTCGTTCCATTCGGGCGTGGACTGGATGGACGACAGCGTAGCGCCTTTGGCATTGCAGGGAATCCCACCGTTGACCGTGTCAGGCCCGGGCTGTTGGTGGAGAGGCACAGAGCCCGAGTAGTGAGGCCACAGACCGCGCAGGACGCCTCCAGCGCTCTGTTGGGTGAGAGTCGCCGAGCTGGATCGTAGCCAGACCTTGTCGCTGGGTGCATGCGGAATGAGGCCCAGCTTCTCGCCGTACAGAGCCCAGAGGTCCTTGCCCTGTTGGACGCCGTCGAGGAGACCGCCGGTGGTCAGCTGAGGGAAGAAGCACGTTGAGTTGATGTACGGCAGAGCATCGACAAACGGGTTGTTAGGGTCCGTGTAGACGCTGGCATAGACCTGGAGGCCGTTGGTGCCGTGTGCTTGACTACCGTACGAGAAGGCTTCAAAACTCGAGCAATCAAACGGTTGGTTCTACATTGTTTCAGCAGAACTCATTTCCGTATCACTCAAGGTACAACTAACCTCTCCGCCTGGAGCCAGATTGTACATGGTGCGTCTCTGGTGCCTCTGCATATACTCCAGGTACACCAGCTTGGCGTGATGGTCTTTGGGCATCTCATATTCGCTCACGCGCGGGTGCGGCATGGAGCAGTAGTCGTATATGCCATACGGAGAGCCCTGCGAAGCCTTGTCGGCCGGAGCCCTATAAGTCCCTCCATACGTCCCCAGCTCGCTGTTGCTGATGTACGAGGTGTCATTGAGGCCAGTGGGATAGAAGGTGTCGACTGGCGACAAACCGGTTGCTGAGGCCAGGAGGAATTGGGACAGGACGCCCGCTATGGTGACGCGAGTCAGCATTATGAGCGAGATGGAGTTGGTTATGGTGAGGATGAAGGTGGCATGTTTACCTCCTTGCAGCATTTGGTCTTGGGGCACGTCCGAAGATATAACGGTGATGGCCTGCTGCAATGCAAGCACGTGGGTGTGCTTGAGCAGCTTCATCCCACGCTCATGCAGGAACAGAAGCGATAGCAGAGACAGAACCCACGGCTAAATGAAGTTGTCGACGACAATGGCGATGATAATGGCAATGATACCGTCCAGGTCGTGCATGTAGCTATTCTCGATACAAGATAGCCTTGTCAATAATGCTGTGTATAGCCTTCACCGACGACTAAACCAGCAGCCTCGTCAGCACCTAATTTGGCTCCGGAAATGTCACTTCCCAGGGTGTTTCGCAGAGAATCGTGATTGTTGTGACTTTTGCATATCGGAAGCGCCAATCTGTGCTGCGAGCCACTTGTTGGAGATGCTGGTCGCACGTGCCTGTTTCCGGCCTCGTTCTATGGTTAGCAGATCCGCTGTTGACATTATCCGGGCTTCTGGATGCAGCGCTTGCATCTCGAACCATCGTGTAGAAGATTGGAGACTTGAGTTGAACAAGAGAATGTTCCATCTATATCATTTTTCTTAACTTAAATAATACAATTTGACAAAAGATTGAGAGTGACAAGCTGTATCATGTTCGCAACAGTGGTGATTAATAGGTAGCTGATAGTGTCCATATAAGTTCTACATGGATCTACTAGAAGAGAGCGGCGTTATCACAACCGCAACACATATTGGTTCAAGTGAAAGATATCATTGCTAAGAAGCCGATTGAAACAAATCTCTTATAGAAATCGAGTTATTCATGGTCTATCGTGAAGAGATTCGCATGGCTTATCGAATTTTAGTAGTCTCCTAGACGTGAAATGAGGAATACAGGGTATCCAATGCAGGAAAATCCGTCTTAGCTGAAGCATCTGACCCTCATGAAAATACCTGAACCCCGGCCTCATAAAGCTTTACTGCTAGCTTTAGCAAACCACGCTGATTCACCTATCTGGCACTTTGCTGAGGTGGTTGGCATCAATCAGCTGTAAACAGTCTCCCGCCATCGTCTTGGGGCTGCTATCACTGCACCAACAAGCCAAAGATAGATCTGGCCCTCTTCTTGTTATCATCATGTTACACCGTCTGGAGATTCGGGTTCGCAAAAGCGGCTGACCCAAGTCCCAGGATGGGGAAGGCTCTCTTCTCCCGGAACTGAGACACTTACCGATCGCCGAGATGTGAGACATGTTATTTCCACCCTTTGTGGGGGCCGAAGCGCTGCTATTCGAGAGAATGGAGAGCTGAATGAATCCCTCGCATTTCATTACCTGTGCAGCTCTTGGATTCACTCGGAGTCTTGGGGGTAATTTTGTTGTCTTCAACATTGCAGCCTCGTTGAAGCATACAAAGACGCAATATTGTGCACACCCAAGATGACCACTATTTGGAAAGTACCGAGCTATCTACGTCTCACTATTTCCCTACACCTAATCAATCCCATATACTCGACGACAAAAAAACATCCCATCAAGAAGGACATGCTCCCGGAATAGGACTTTCTAAACTTGGATTTTGCCGAAACACGTCAAGAGACAGTGTGTCCATTCATCCCTGGTCTCCCGTTGCTAGCTCAAGAACCCGTAGCCCTCGCTTCCTCCCTTCAGCAGTAAGCAGAGAGCTGGAAAGGCTATAATTCTGCAAGGGAGGACAAAAACGGCCTACTTCCGGATTGCACCCAAGCATCCCATATGTTGACCGTATCCTATCTTTGAACGCGCGAAACTGTGGGCTAGTAGTCAGGGAGGGAGGAGTGAAAACGGTGTTGGAGCGGCCTTCCGTCGCTTAACTGCATAACGCCTCCCGTGATCGAGGCAAAGCCAGATCATACGCCGATTGATCGGTACGAGCCGGATCACGGCATATCAAGAAGCTATTTTGGGGTCCATGTTGGTAATCGAGATCGTCCAACTACAAAACGATTCCGGGGGAGGATGATTCGCATTGTGTCAATGCTTCGGACAATAGATCTCCAATTACTCCGGGACACATTGACTAGCAGATTAAAGAGGCCGTTTTCGAGGCCAAGGCATGACGCTTCACTCTCCCTACCTAACATTGTTTTAGGTTGCTCAATTCGCCGGCTCCTCTTGTCCAATCGACAATTTACATCGGCGTCTCGCTACCACTAGCAATTTCTTCGCCTGCTGTACGACCACTACTATCTAATGAACATGTCAGAATGGACATCGCGAAAACTAACGAGAGCACTCGGTTGTAGCGGCAGGGGACGGATAGGGCCAAATGCCAACGAAACCGTTGGTTGTCTCATGGATCGCGAGTCATCCAACCACCCCAGCTGCCATGATCAGAGGCACAGACTGAGATGTACCTTTGGATGTAATGAGTATACGCCAAGAGATTGGCGAAAATGGAGGGCTGTAAAACTACGATGCAAATTGCCGCTGCTCTGTTAACTTACACAATGCCAAGCGTTACATCTCCCCAGCCGTTTGTAAGTCGCGGGGGTGGTATGGACGTTTCCACAACTTGTCCACTTCCCCACGGCCACGATCTCCCCATCGACGGAATTCCAAATTAAAAATGATGCAGTATATGCCGACATCCGTCTTCGAAACGGCCACCTGCTGCGAGGGAGAGCCAACGGCAACCCGCAGAATGACAAATTCGGGATTCCGAGTCCTTGGGTTGGGCCACTCAGATCGGGAAAAGAGGCGTAATGAGCCCCCCCCCCCCCGCAACTGCAGAGAAGCAAGGGCAAAAAAACAACAAAAGACAAAAAACAACGTCTCAGACCTGCTCCCCGCGATGGCATTGGTCTACAAACGGATGTTTTGGACCCGGACAGATTGTGCGCTACTGCATCTTTCTTTAGATTGACGGTGGAGGCGTTCAAAAAAAGAAACAAAACAGTAAATTGCAGCATATACGAAACAGAATGTCTTACCTGGGCGGAGAGCGTAGCTGCAAGTTAACGGAGAGACATGGCATCTTCCGGCGCGAGCATTTGCGTTTGTTTTGCTGTTTATACGGTTGAGAGATGTTTTGAGCTCTTAAATAGCGGCATTGCCCGCTCTGATTTACATCTACTTAGCTTGTATAACTGCCCTTTTGTATCGTTGTGCTTCAGCCTCCCCTCAGTATTCGTATCTATACATATCGATATGCTTTTCTTTAGTTCTCTTCTGTCATTAACAACCCTTGCTACGGCAGCATGTGCCGGTAGCAGATTCCCGAGACCACAGATCCAGCCTTGGGTGCCTCCTGGACCAGATGATTCTCGAGGACCGTGTCCTATGCTCAACACCCTTGCCAATCATGGCTACCTGTAAGAGCATCTTCAACTTCGACAGTACTACCCGTCTCGAACCTGGTTGCTGACAGACTCCAAGACCTCACCATGGCCACAATATCACAGCCTCACAAATTGAAAACGCCTTCACCAGATTCCTCAACGTCGAAGCAGGCTTCGCCGATCCCGCCAGAGACTTCGCCAAAGCCTTCGGCCATGACGTCTTCAACCTGGTCGACCTCAACACACCAGGCATCATACAGCACATCACCTCTCTCACCAGAGACGACTACACCCCTGAGGAGCCTCACCTGAAAGCAGATCCGCTCCGGATAGAGCGCCTCCTCGCTGACAGCGACACTCCCTTTCTCACCGTCGACTCCATCGCAAAGTCCCGTCTGCGCCTTATCAAAGAGTCAGAACCTAGAGTCCTTCCCGACAACCAAGTCACGTTTACTCTATTTGAAGCTGCAATGACCCTTACCATGATGTCCGATGACAGTCCCGATGCGGACTTTCATCCGCCTCCTTCGGCATACAAGGGCCCCAAGGACCGTATTAGGACCTGGTTTGAGGAGGAGAGGTTTCCCACGGAGTTTGGTTGGAAGCCGTCAAGGAGGACGATCAAACTGGCTGATATGAACCCTGCGATTGACGCGATTGTGAAGTCGATGGAGAAGCAGGATAAGACGAGTCACATTCCGATGAAGTTCCACAGTTGATAACGGAGTGTTCTTATGGCTCTTACGTTAGATATTGATCGGATTCTATGTATATAACAACGATAGTGAATTCTATTCCCGCATTCTTACTCAACAACACTCTCATTCATGCATCAGAGCGTTTCTTCCAAAGAGCGCTTGAACATGACTGAAGGTCCATATCGGGCCTCATACTATCTATGCCTTCCACGGACTCATATCATGAGCTACCTTCCATTTCTTCATTGTCTCTGTATCAAAACTAACAAGAACCTCCAGATCGCCATTTGCAAGTCGAGGAAACACCACGGGATACCGCTTCGTCTTCCACGTCGGCAGTCTAACAATCTCGCAGTGTCCGAGTTCAGCGCCCCAATCGAGCTCATAGACTCCCTCGTCGGCCCACGAGACTACGGAAACGCTTGCCGGCTGCTGGCAGAGCTTGAGACTTGTGACATCTTCCTGCTTTGCCAGATGCTTGACGATGGCGCTCATTTTGTCTCCATCTATGATATTAACGCTTTGGCGTACAGCTGCCGCGACGTTTGCGATGGCTGGGACGGAAAGGGTCTGATCGGTGGAGGTTCCTATGGCAATGAGGTCGGCTTTCTTTGCATTCACTAGCGACACCCCAAAGGCTGCACCGAGGTAATTCTTAGGCAATGGCGGATTGAACCGACTGCGGTAATTGACGGCAATCCGCATAGAGCATGTCTCGTCCATATCATGGCCATCAGCTGCATCCTCAGAAGAGACGATTGTTCCCCAGAGAATTGCAGTCAATATGTCGCTCGTCGATACCCAAGAGGTCCCCTCGGGCAGATGCTTGTTAACTTCGACTTTGAGGCCTTTCAGATATTCTGCAGAGTACCTGGAGAATTGAGTTTCCATCTCCGGAGGCTTTGATGTCTGGCTCGCCGTGTTGCTGCTCTCTTCTTTGTGGAGCAGAACTGGCGTATCAGCGGGAACATTGTGAGATTGTCTGACGATTGCCGAGCGATCGAGCCAGCTTTGATCAAACCCGATAACTTCGGAAGAGCCCGTTCTGCAATGTGACGCCCAGGTCTTGAGCAGGGAGCCGAACGCAGTGATGTCGGCCGTTGAGTGGTGGAGACTGACGCAGAGCAGACAGCCTCCTTTGACCAGCGACAAAACTGCGCGAAAGACCGGGCTGGGCGACTTGTTTGAGGGACTGAGATCAGGCGAAAACAGATCGAGTCCGTCGAAAAGCGCGGGTTTGAACCCGCCGGACTTTAAAGTGTTGTAATCAACCGCCGTGAGGAGGTTGGTGACGCGAAACAAATCGCTCAACGAGTCGCATGGCGGACTCAAGGCAACGGAACCTTTGGGATGGTCCCTGGCCACTATCCTTGAGGCGAGATATGGCACGTCTTTTAACGTTCCTGCAAGGCCAATTTGAAGGATATCGGATATTTGAGGGTTTGACGATGGGAAGCAAAGGATTTGGCTGACGTATGATCGTGGCATTATCCACTCAAGTGGAGAGAGTTGACTCAACTCAAGAGTCTCTCCGATGGCTGCCATGATGATGTGTGAGAAGTTGGCGTATGTTGAAGTGCAAACTGAGTTCTTTTCCGGGAGTTTGTGTGATAAAGTCAAGAGAGATTTAAGCAATAAAGTTGATGTCAAGGAACACCTTATGATAAGGTAGATGGGGATTGACGTTTGTCAGCGATCGGCAGTTGTATTAGCTCTAGACTGTCCACAACATATGCTCAAGGTTCAATATCTGCCACCCCGTCTTGCCCGTCCAAGCTATTGGACCTTTAACTGAAACTGAGCATAAAGAAGCGCAATCCACAACAGAAAAGCCATCAGCAACTTATTTTACATCTATCGCTCGAACATTCAATTTTGTCATTCAGTAGATAGATCAACTTGTGGGTAATGAGAGTTGAAGCCTGAAAGACGAGAAGAACAGGCGCCAAAGCCAGTTATCGTTCAGTTCGGATGAGCAATGCATGTGCGTAAGTTTCCATCACCATTTGTAACTTCTTCGTCAAACGCTATTGGAACGGTGCTGATAATGGTTCAGTACTAGCATTGTTCTAGTATACAACGATCCGAATATGTCCCCCAGAGAAAGAAATTAAGAACTATATAAGGCGTGACGAAACATTAAGACCAGGAACGCATTTCACATTACCTACTCATTTGCTGGAGCCTTGCTTCTATAGAACTGATGCTGTGAAGCCTGTGATACTTGTAACTCTGCGTAGCAGCCTAGCCTTCCTTTTCCTTTTGGTGTTCAAGGAGTTCTGTTATCCTTCGTCTGATATCTGTCCATTCAACAGGTAGAACTTCCACCATTTCCTCCGTGGCCTGAAATCCTTCCCTTCGCCGATCGAGAAGTAATTCTATGAGCTTTTTCCCATTGACGTGCTGATTGATGAGTATCGCCTTGACCACGTTGTCGGTAATCTGAAGCTGCTCTCCCCGCCGGTCAAGAAGTAGCCTTATCATCCCACGAGCAATCAAATAATCATTTCCAGCTGCAGCTATCAGCACTTTTTCAGTAAGCCGAAGCTGCTCTCCCCGCCGGTCAAGAAGTAGCTTTATTATCTCATGACCACGATCGCAATTTCTAGCTGCAGCTATCAGCACTTCTTCAGTAATCCGAAACTGCTCTCCTCGCCGGTCAAGGAGTAGCTTTACTATCTCATGACCATGGTCGCGATTTCTAGCTGCAGCTATCAGCACTTCTTCAGTTATCTGAAGCTGCTCTCCTCGCCGTTCAAGAAATAGGTTCATGATCTCCTGAGCATACCCGTGATTTCCAGCTGCAGCTATCAGCACTTCTTCAGTAATCTGAAGCTGCTCTCCTCGCCGGTCAAAAATCAGCTTCATTATCTCATGAGCATACCCGTGATTTCCAGCTGCAGCTATCAGGACTTCTTCAGTAACCTGAAGCTGCTCTCCTCGCCGGTCAAAAAGTAGCTTCATTATCTCATGACCGGCCCCTTCATGTGAAGCTGCAGCCTTTAGAATTTCTTTAGTGATCTGGAACTGGTCCTCCAGCCGGTCCAGAAGCAGCTCGATTATATCTTGGCATCCCTGTCTTCTAGAGAGTGCGAGCTTGATAGTGGACTCCGTAACCTGGACCTCTGATCCTCCTTTATCCAGAAGCAGCTCGATTATATCTTGGCATCCATGTCTTCTAGAGAGTGCAAGCTTGACAGTGAATTCTGTAACCCGGACCTCTGATCCTCGTTTATCCAGAAGCAGCTCAATTAGATCTCGTCCGTTTGGGTTTGCGATGGCTTTCTCCAATGCCGTGTCTGTGATCCGAACCTCTGATCCTCGTTTATCCAAAAGGAGCTCAATGATTTCTCGTCCATTCAGATTTGCGGCGGCTGTCTCCAATGCCGTGTCCGTGATCCGAACCTCTGATCCTCGTTTATCCAAAAGGAGCTCAATGATATCTCGTCCATTCGGATTTGCGGCGGCTGTCTCTAATGCCGTGTCTGTGATCCGAACCTCTGCTCCTCTTTTTTCCAAAAGTAGCTCGATTATATCTCGTCCCTTCGGGTTTGCGGCGGCCGCCTGTAACGTTGTGTCTATGATCCGAACCTGCGTTCCTCGTTGGTCCAGAAGTAGTTCCATAACTCCTCTTCCGGCCTTTGCGTTTGCAGCTGCAGCACTGGCAATGTCTTCCAGAACCATCACATTCTCTCCGTATCGGCTAAGGAGCAGTGCCACAACAGTGGCGTTGAAATATTTCGCAATCAAAGATGTTACGTCTGCACTCTCGATATTCGCCCGTGGTTGGTTGAGAAGCAGTATCATGATATCGTTTGCGCCGTTATTCAAACGGATAGCATCAACAATCTGTTTCGTAAGTTGCACATGTCCTCCGAGATGGCCAAGAAGGAGTGTCATAATTTCCACACCGCAAAACCTGCCAACGACAGGTACCGCTGCCTGCGTAATGCGGATGTCCACCTGTCGCTGCTTTAGAAGTGTCTCCATAATCTTCTGCCCATTCGAGTGTCTGCCCACACATTCCACTAGCTCATCTGGAATCGGGATCGGTGTCTGGATGTGCGCTTGCCAGTAATCAAGAAGGATTGCCGCGATCGCTTCACCCTCAGATCCATTCAACGCTGCAGCTCCGAACAATCCTTCGATTCCATCCGCTGTGTGAAGACCATCCAATAGCGTGCTGAAAATCTTAAGTTTCGCTTTGCAGATGATTTCTTTTTGCGGCAAGCCATTCAAAACGTAATGTATGGCCATGTGCCACCCTTTTTTTGCAGCAAGTAACACATGTTCCATCGTAACTTCATTCTCGTTGTAATTATGATCGAGAAATCTTGTTTTCAACCCGAATTGGGAATTGGAGACCGAAAGGTCCATGTCTCTGCATGTACATGGTGCATAGTAATCCCGATAACACACTCTGAGATTGATGGTGATTCCCATATGTTGTTTTGCTTCGTGGTGTTCCCAAAGAAATTCAGCACATGTGAAATTGCCATTCTCAAGTGCCCATTCCAAAGCTTCTTTTCCTTGAATTTTCAAGTTGGTTTTTGACTTGAGCTGTACTAATAGGTCTGCAGTCTGTCTCCTGTCAACTTTTCGTCGTCGGTTGTTCAAAAGTGCAGCATAAAGTGGTGTGTGGTCGTTATTATCCATGAGATCAACTTGGGCTCCTTGTTTAACCAGCCACTCGATGGCGTCATGACGACCGTTAATTGCTGCCCAGTGAAGTGGACTTCGGTTTTGTGTGTCTTTGGAGTATATATTTACGCGTGGATCGCTCAGTAGCTTTTCCATTACTGAAATGTGGCCTTCACCAGCAGCGTATGATAGCGGAGTTCGCCGGTCCGAATCTTCAGTAAAGGGTAGAGCGTTTGCTTCCATTAAGATGGCAACGACGGCCAAATGTCCATGTTCTGCAGCATAACTTAATGGTGTCCGGCCATTCCTGTCCACAGAGTCCACAACGGAGCCAACCTGTAGCACTGTTCGAACGAGCTCGAACCACCCTTCCTGAGCCAGAAACGACAGTATAGTGCGGCCACTTTCCTTGTCAATGGGGAAGTCATTGCCCTGCTCAAGTTGGCTGATTGACCAAAGAGCCTCCTCTCTCTCACGTGCCATAATAGCATTGAGGACGTCTTGTCCCGTCCGGGTTTCTCTGGGCCGTTTCTGGAGTGACACGTAACGGTCTATCACGTCGTTTGCCGAATGTGACGCTGAGGAGATCCTCTGTAATTCCATCCATTTGACTCCTCGTTCTCCAAAGTCTTGCCGGTCCCTAGAGAAACAGGCGTACCGATAGAGCTCGCCCAGCTCAATCATTGCAGTGTCTTGAAGTTCGCCTGATTCAGAGATCAACCCCCATGCCCATCGAAGAACTCCTTCTGCTTCTTTTAGGTAATCACCTCTTCTGAGATCCTCGGCGATCCGATAAGCAGTTGGGACAGCCTTCACAGCACGTGGGAGGACAGAACTCTTCCGCAGCGCTGGTATGATGACTAGTGATGCATCTTGTTTCGAACCTAGGCCACTCGCCTCGAAGGATTCGATCAGCTTAGTAATAAGCTGATGCTCCAAGCGCATCGTGCTCTTCTCTCTCGTGACTGTAGTCGCTTCTTTGTCGACGTCAAATAACGCCGCAACAGTACACAGAAAAGACTGGTAGATGTCTTGGGAACATAGAGTAGGAATGTGCTTCGAGTTGATCTTGACTGCTCCCACGGTAGGTCCTTCCAAGGCGTCAATGCCATGCCAACCAAATAGTCGTTGATAAGAATCCAAATTGCCGAATAGAGGGCCAGGTGCGGGTGGCTCATCTTTGTCAACCATTATGGGTTTGTAATGCTGCCATATGGTTGTCACGTTTGTGCCCTGGTCATCGGCTGGAGAGCTTTCCTTCGTAAATGATGTCAGGGTAAAATTAGGACTTGTCCCTATCCAGAACTGGATATCTCTCCATGCCTGTTCCGTTTCAACTTCGGTTCCCGCTGCTATCGTCCTATACACTGGTATGTCTGAGGCACTCGAAGTTCTGAACCCAAAGGATTCTCCCTCTGTACGCGGATCGGAAATGATGGACCATGACCACAGTCCGATGATGGCCTCAAGAAGGTTCTGGTCCACGGTCCAGAGAGAATCCTGCTCCATAAGCGAGATTTCTATGACTTTGTAATTCGGATCATGATGAGACCATTTGTCGAAACTCCCTGTCGCGATATTCAACGACCAACCGATGAGTTTTCTGCCCTTGATCTCATCTTTTGCCTTGGCGTGAGCAATGAATATGGACATGCTATCTTCAATCGCTTTTTTTAGCTGTTGGGCCTGCAAACGGCCGCTCACCAAATGGTTGTCCCAGGCATTGGATAGCTTTGAATCGGCGTTTGCTGGTTGTCCCGTAAGTTTTGCAAGCCTAGATCGATATTCCCATGCTTTGTCTTCAGATGCGGCAGAGCCTTGTTGTAAAACACTTGAAGGTATTTCCGCAACAACACCCCAAGAGCATCTCGGTTCGTTCGCGCCCTTACCTATTTGTAGAGCAAGCCAGTCCAGTTCATGGCTGCTGACTTCATCGGGGCGATCACGAAGGGCATTTGCCTCAATGCTCAAACGTTGCGTCCTCAGCAATGCTCGGACGATACTCATCATTATGGTGATTGCGAGTTGCAAGAGGGAAACAATTGAGTGTAATGCTCTCAATCCAACGAATTGGAATACGAAGCCCATCGTTGTTATCAACGTAGCAATTAACACTGAGACCTCAATAGAGGGCCTTTTCAGCTTTTGCAAAAGGGGCTTTCTCTTTGGGCTCATCAAAAGGGCTTGTGGTCCAGAATTTGAGTCAAAAGACGGGGGGGCCTTCCATGAGGTTATGTAGCTGTTCGTGGACTTGGAAAATAGAAAGGGATCAAAGGTCTGATCTCCGACCACCTGGTTACCGGGCTGAATCACGTAGAGCATAGGGCCCTGTGACACGTGTTGGCCGTTCGGGTCGTCTTTTCGCTTGAACACTCTCTCCTTGGTGCTGTCATTCACCAGAGTGGCACAGAAGAACATGCCGAGACTGACACAGACTGTACCAACGAAAACAAAAGGAAATGCCCATGGATCAATAGTGCTATCGTTCTTTTTCCACTTTAACTGATATTTGACGACAGCGGCCAATACGATGACTGAGGATTGGGCGAAAAATCCGAAAATAGCTGCTGTGATGTAGACCCATGAAGACCGCTCGACGATCCCTATGTTAAGGGAGAGATTGGGATTTGGTGCGAAGTCGTTGGATGAATCGTTGGCTGATGAGAGACGATTCTCAGCTTCATCATCTGAATCGTCGAGTCCCTTTTCTTGCCATCGGTTATCGTTGAGTATCGTCTTCTGGAAATATTCTCGAGAAATGTTGATCCCGAACTCGCGCTTATCGCCATCTTCGTTCGCCTCAAGGAGCGGATCATAAACAACCTCTAAGATCTTTGGCCGACCAAAGACTCTGATGATAGCGCCGTTGTGATATAGCTCGCACACATCGCGACTTGTAGAAGAGCATAGTTCAGCCTCAGCAATGCCACCTCCTTCTTGTGCGCGGCCGATGAACGCTCGCAAGGATGGGCTTCCGCAGACCCGGATGGCGGAGACGACTCCGGTGAGGATACCGAGCGGTGCCATGGCAAAGATGAAGTTGTCGATGACGGTTGTTGACTCGCTGAGGAACTGCTTGGTTGCTTGTTCGCCGAACAGTGCAATCAGTGGCGTGAGGTCCGTGGCCAAGTTGTTGGTAAAATCATCCCACCATGATGCCGTGACGGGCGTAGCCAAGCAGGCTATCAGAAGAAAGTGCAAGTAAATTTTGTTGGGTTCCAACATGGTTGGAATATCTCTCCGGATAGGAGGTAATCTCGAGGCCGCAATGCTCGGGTATTCAGTGAAGACACAACATCAAAGAGAAACTGACCTGGCACACTGAATTCCACTTGACGATCTGCGAAAGATTCCTAGTTGTGAGGACATCACGAATGCATACTGCACGTAAACAAAAGATGCGGCTGAATTTGAAGTTGGGGGGGCAGGATTCCTGTTTACCTGCATGTAAATATCTCGTACCCCCCACGGCCAGTGGAAATATTGATGGAAATATCGATTTGACTGCAGACGTGGCAATGGTTTATAGGCTGCCACCGAGTATGCCTGATTATAACCGAAGACTTTCGATTGGTGTCTGCATCTTCCGGCTGCCATGGTCATGTTGCATCGCTGAACATGGTTACAGACAAGGAGAACAGGGCGGTTTTCTGCAATATTAAATTGGCAGCCTGGAAGCCGAACAGAGCCACACATGGGAGCCTGAAATCAGCTGTGACCAAAATGAGGCTCGATATGGAGTCCAGCGCCTACCATCAGATTTAGCATTTATGGACGGAATCTTCCCCGCTTGATACCGCTCAATGAAAAAGTAGAGCCGCCACTGGGGTCCTCGATATGCCAGAACGATCGTACTTAGGCTGCCCTCCCATCTACCTTCTACGCCATTGTGAGTCAACAAATGTCTCCTGCAATAACAGTAAGCTTTGCCCGAGTTCCCATATAGACAGATACAAAGATTGTCGGGCTATAAGGAAACGCTCGTCTCGTTTATTAATGATGTTACTTGATATACACTCCATATATAGCCAAATCAAGAGGGATATATTGCCTTCAATCTGTAATCCGTGTCGAATATCGAACGAATGGGCTTGCTTTATACAGATAAATAACAAAAGTAGTAGCCAATTCCAGATCTCCGAGCATCGTCACTCATGGTTCCGAGAAGACACCACTAGGCGTATGGAGACGCTGGTCCATCTTGTTCACTTAGAAACATTTCTATGGCCTGACCAGATCCGGGATTACGAGCGTTTCACGCAGACAATAAGCTCTATCGTTCCGCTAAATCCCCTAAGAGCCATGCCGCGAAAAAACCAGAGGCACGAAGAGAGACCAAAAATTGCCTTCATGCCATCAATTACTAACTCATGAAGCGTTTATATACAGGTTACTTGGAGGCATAGGCATGATCGCTCAATCCCAAGCGCATGCAAGTCCTCCAACAATATACATGAAACCTCTCTCCTCCCATCAGCCAACACACTGCAGGCGTTTACTGACGAGTCCAGAAAGCAGTGTCCGACCAGGTGATGCTCATGGGACCAGTGCCGCTGTCGGTAGTGTAGGCACCAAACTTGTCGTAGAAGCTTCCACCAGGAGCATTGTCGTCACGGAACGCCAACTGGCCGTTGACGTACACGCGGTAGCTGTGGATATCCGCATTGTGAACCGTGTTGATGGTGACGCTGGAGCCAACGTTCGCAACGCCCGTCGCCAGCGTGGCACCGCCCTCGACGCTGTACAGACGACCGCCGGTGTCAACAGCAAGGATGAAGTACGGGCCCGCGTCGCCGTTGAAGGTCTGCTTGATGGCGATGCGGCTGCCGCCCATGGAGTTGATCGTGAAGGTGCCGGCGAACTGGTGGACGCCGGAGCTGTAGTCGTTTGTGTAGCGGCGCTCGGCGCGGAGGTGGCCGTTGGAGCAGCCGGAGCCGGAGGTGCTGCCGTTGGGGCTCGTGGGGATGGTGAAGGTGTTGCCGCTGACGCTGCCGCCCGCGCAGGTCTGCGTCTGGAAGCCCGGGTTCACCGAGACCCAGTTGCCGCTCTCGACGGGCGTGGCGGCGAAGACGGCGGAGGCGGCCGAGAGGGTGGCGAGGAGGGTCTTGACGAGCATCTTGACGGTTGGTGTAAAGACGGGTTGATGGAGGAGGTGGAGTTGCGTTGTGGTGAGGATAAGGGGAATAGGATAACATCTTGTCGATCCGGATGGCCTTATATATAGGAAAACTACTCTTATTCCATCACCAATGGGTCGACGTCTCAGAACTACACGAGTAGCTACGCAATAAGCAATATCCATTTCGAACAAAAGCAGCGGAGCAGATGGAATATTCCACCTATGACAACCGCCCGCCTCTCGGTGCCGTCGTTTGAGACGTACCAAGTCGGGAAGGTCTTTAAGCTGAGCCCCTGACACGCCTAGCGCTGGTCGGCGTGGTGTAAGTCCCGTCGATCCGCCTTTTCCCAGCAGAACACGTGTGGAATGCCCGCTCGAAGCACTTGTTGTTGTACACCATAGTCCTGTTCGGGACACGAGCTGGCGATGTGGATGCGGTGGCCATTGGTGGAAGAAACTCTGGGCAGGGCGTCCAAGGCATTCACCTGGAGATTCACCTGCTGGATCTGGAGGCAGTACGTTGTCCGGTTGCGTGTTTGCTTTGCAGGTGAGAACCTTATTCATGGCCTTGCAAGGATGGTTAGCCTACTTGTAGTTGTAGTTGCTGGCACTACGTATTTGAGGACTGTCGTGTTTGCGATGCCCCGCCAGCAGGCCAGGGGCTGTTAAGCAGATTGCCCAGTAGGGAGAGGCATTCCAGCTGCTTTTAGGGGAATGCGAGCTTTATAAACGTCCCGTAATAGCCGTAAAGTCAGGCGGTGATGTTGATGATTCCATAGAGAAGATCCAGTATGACAATGCTGATGCCGGCAATCAAGGTCAACACTTTGTTCGAGATGAGAGTTGGCCAATTAACTGCATTGACTATGCTGTCTTGCCAAGTCTGCCAAGTTCTATTACATCTTGCATCGGCAATTCCGCTGGAGGTGTACTTTCTACACGAGGTTCTCGTAAGCTTGGTGCGGTTATACACCAGCTGCGTGTCAATAACTCCGAACGCATGCGCCCGACTGTTTAGAAAGCAACAGTATTGATATGGTGAATGCTATGTTGAAGCTAACAATCCTGGTGGCTTGCAGAAGCCAACTCAGCTTTCATTCCTTCCTATACGGACTTGCCTGACCTGGAAGCAAGGAGTTACACGAGATCTGAAGCTGTGAGAGACTCAATCCAGCGCCTCAACTCGCCGCTTGTCGGCATCCTACGTTATACCCTTTCTCGCCTGAGATTCTCAGCTCAAACCATGTGTGAATAAATCCACCACTCGGGAAAAGAGGCAATCCTTCAGCCTCTCGTCAAATGCAGGTAATCAGACAGACAACCGCCTCTCGACAAGCCTTCTCTAACAACATGAACAACAATTGTCAACCTCTCAGTCATACCGCACACTTCGGCTCCGTGTCTCTCCCAGAGTCTGAAACAAGGAGCTGATCTGCTCTTGATAGGCATTCCGCATTCGCTCCATCTTCTCCTTCATCTCCCTCAGCTCCTCTTCCAGCTCTCGGTTCCTCTTCTTCAACGATTCTTCGCGTCGTGAGGATGGTGGCGGCGTCATCATCACAACATCCTGTAACGGTCGCTTGGTCGGAGTGACGAATCGGACGGGAGTGCGAAAAGTGCTCGTCGTCGGGCTTATAGGCGTAAATAAGCTGCGACTCCAGATCTGAGGCGTCGTCGGTGGTGCAAATTTAGCAGTCGGCGTCTTCGGCTCTGGCGTCTGGGCTTTCGCATTGCCTTGGCCTCCTTCAGCAGGCTCGGCCATCGCTCTCTTCAGCTTTCCATATTCAATTGCTTTTATATGGGCAATGGAGGCATGGTGCTTGGTGTGATTGCCTCTGTTGGAGAAAGAATGTTGAAATTTTGGACAATCGGGTTCGTCACAAGTCAGGCTGATCTGTGTCTGTGCGAGTTTCATTCGAATCTCTGCGGTCGGTGAAGCCGGATTCGAGTCAACAAGGCGCGGATGCAAGTGCTGGGCAGTCGCAATATGGTGATAGTAGCTCTGGCTGGTTTTGAGCTTCTCCCCGAAATAGGCGCAGTGCTCAGCAGTGCAGCGAAACTCCCTTGCAGCTTCTTGCTCCCTCGTGATGTCGGCAATTGATTTCCCCGAGTCGCGAAGTGACTCGGAGTATTTCATTGCGTGGGTGTGCCCATGCGACTCGACATGTCGAACAAAGTCGGGTTCCGTGTAAAAGATGTGTTGGTACCGGCGACAGGAGGCCTCGGAGCACATCTGACCCTCTTCTTCGGACAGATCGTCTTCTGTGGTCTCGCCGTCCATGAGACTGATGACTTCGGCGTAGTTGACGCGCTTTGCCGAGCCTGGACTCTGAAGAGCCTCTTCCGGGAAAAAATGCTCATGACCGGGAGTGTTGAGCGCGTGAGAGACAAACTCGGCCTGGTTCGCAAACAGAGTGCCTTTCATTTCGCAAGTTTCTTCGAGACAAATCCAGTTGAAGTGACCACTACACTTGAAGTGTCGCTTGAGGGCCGGTCGAGCTGCAAAGTTGGCGCCGCAGTCTGAGCAACAGTATGGCGGGTTGTGCCACTCGTCATCATGTATGCGGCATTCTTCGATGGTTTCGAAGGTGAAGCCGTCACAAGTTTGATGAGGACAGGCGAAGAGTTTGTCTCCCTCGCCTTCTGGCATAGGGCCTTCGACCACATAGCCATCCGGGGCAGTTTGGACGGCGTCATCGGCTGGATGATCGATAAAGTCATTGGCGCGGCCTTTGACGAGGTCGTCGGGGCGATCGTCCATCATGATTCGTTCACGAGGCAACAGGCTCACGAGGATGTGGGAAACCGAGAACCCGAGACTTGCGATAGCCACGAAAAGGCAAGATGCCGCTCTCGGCCGCAGATGATGAGGATCAAGTCGGACATTGTGGTTCGCGATTTTTGAACGCCTAATTGTTGTGGTGGAGTGAAAAGTGAGCCGGGTTGTGAGTTGAATGCGAGGTGAGAAGGTGGTGAATAGGCAGCTCGCTCGGGCTTTTGTTGTTCTCACATTCAGGCCAACAATTCTCGATGTCCTCACTTCATCTCATCAAAACGAATGTTCTCACTTCATCTCATCAATGCGACACTTCTCTTATCAGAGCTGGATAGCAAACAATGTATTCCCACAATACCTTCACCTATGCCAACGTCTGTCCCGTCTTGCTCAGCCTCTCCATAAACTCAGCCGTATACGCCGTATCCAAAAACTCCACAACCTCATCAATCTTCTCCCCATCCTCACTAACCGTAAGCACAAAAAAGTACTCATTCTCATACGGCCCGACATCCGTCTCCGCAGAGCTCTTCAGATGCATCATCACCTTCCGCGCCTCCACGTCCACCACCGGCGGCGTCGTGTCCACGACGTGCAGACGAAAGTTGCGGATGATGGGAATTATGCGCTCGAGGAACTCGGCAAACTCCTGGTTGTTTCTGGAGGGCAGCTTGGTGCCGGGGAGGAGGTGGTGCTTGCATGTTGGGCTGCGGATGGAGAGGACGTCGGGGACGGTCCATTTGTTGTAGGCGGCGACGAAGGCGTTTGCCGTGGCGATGAGCTGCGAGCGACTGGGAGGCATTTGAAAGATTATTGTTTTGATTTGCTGCTTGATTTCATAGCCCATAAGTCAGAATAGCCATATTCCCTCTGTTTATATACATCTTGTGTATATATCTGCCATTGCCATCCATCGTCTCCCACGCATCACAGCTTACGAGAACAACCACCTCGCAGCTTACGAGACACAACTTCAACCAACTTCCACCCCATTTCCACCCCGTCACCCATTCTGGCTATTAACCCTCTCAAGTCCCAGCACAATTGGCCACATCCGCCGTCCCATCTCCACCAACCCGGTCCGCTTCCGCCTCTATTCCACCGTCAGCTCCGCTAGCTCGCCGCCTGTTAACCCCGTCTGCAGCTCCGTCTCTCAACCAAATCTCGACCATCACGATAACCACTCTTCTACTTACTATTTCTTTCTTTTTCTTTTTCTTCTTCTTCTTCTTCTTCTTCTTCTGAATCTAATAATACGCCGCCATGGTTGCTCAGAACAGACCGAAAGCCTGTGGCTCTTGTATAACGGCGAAGCGGAGATGCGATAAAGTCCGGCCGTTCTGTCGGCGATGTGAGGACAGGGGGCTAGATTGCCGATATCCGGCCCTGATCCGGCGAACAGCAAAGGCAGGCCCGTCAGATGAAGCAGTTGCTGAACCAGGCATGTGCATCATCTTCGCTCACTGTTCTCTACGGCATTGTCTTCACTGTATACATACTCTGATATCAGTCTCTGATAACTTGAAGTGTTCGGCATACGTCCAGGCCACGTCTACTTCTCCAACACCCACACATCAACGCTCTCATCCACCTCCAGGCCATGGTTCCTCGCCCCCGAGACCTGGACCATCGAACAATCCACCCCCAGAGCTCCCCCCATTCCCATCCCCGTGTTCAGAACCTTCATCCAGCAACTTCAGCAATGGCTCGTCCAATGGACTCAGGACGGCTAATGCCCCTTCATACACCGCCAGCTCTACGCCAACAGCTTCTTCCCACCATCCATGCAGGACGCCTTCTCCGCCATCAGCATGCACCAGTCATGTAACAGCTGCAACCAAGACATGATTGCCCGCATCGTCCAGGACAGAGCAGATGTACTCATTTAGAACGCCGGAATCGAACAAAACAGCCTCCTATCAGTTGCCGTGCCTCTCGACACAACACAGCATCTAGCACGTGTCCAGGCGCTGCTCATCCACCAAATCCTCCGCCTCTTCGACAACAGCGTATGGCAACAGACTCACGCCGAAGAAGCCATGCCCACGCTGCTCTCATGGTGCCAGCAGATGTGGGATTCCGCCCCCCTGGACTGCATCACCTCTCAGACGCCAGACTCTGTCCAAGACGCCGGCCAGCAACGCTGCGGATCCTCATCTCGATTATGGAGACTATGGATCCTATCTGAGAGCGTCCGTCGGACATGGCTTGCCGTCATGATCACCATCTCAGCCTACCGCACGATCAAGGACGGATGGTGCGAGTGCGCCGGCGGCATCATGCTTACCGCACGTCGATCCTCGTGGCTCGCATCGAGTCCGTCCCAGTGGGAGACCATATGCAGGACAGAAGCTCCCCTCTTTGTGCCTTGCTTGGGCAACCGGGCGACGTTGGAGCCATGCAACCCAAACGATGTAGACGCTGGACTTTGCATTCAGCTGTCTCACGTTAATCTGGGGCCCTGAATGGGTAGAATCCTGGAAAGAGAGCCACGCATCGAGGCGACTCACCAACGCATAAAGCCCGATACAAGCAAAACGCGACCACGTAGGCTTACCATACGCGAAGCTCTAAATCAAATCAGTCCACGTCTCGTGTACTTTGTTCCCTCTTACGGTGCCACCGCGAGGCTACGAGTAACGTGCCGCGACGTCATCCTGCCGCGGCCGCAATATCGACAGCAATATCTGGAACCAATAGGCGTCGCATCGCAAACACCAAAAACAAATCCTGTAGCCTACCACAGGGAGTCGGATGTTGGTCGATGGGAAGGTCACTTGTACTCCAGGCAGAAGTTGGGCAGCCATGTCGAAGCCCATTTAAACATCTCCATGTCCTGTGTTTTCGACGGTATCATCAGCTCGAGGCTCAGTATTGCTCCCCCATCGCCCCAGATATGGCGCATTCTACCTCTTTCATACACGAAAAATCCCCAGCCGTCGAAAAGAAGCGGAGCTGGTCCCTGATGCTCCTCTCGTCCATGATTGGCGCAGCAGTTTCCCTCGCCGCCCTCTTCGCCATCGCCGCCCTCATGGAGCCCGGGGCCATCCCCTCTGTAGTCGGCATAACAGCAGCCGGAGTCATCTGGGGCGTCACGACTGAAGTATCCAACAACCTCGTCGGATCAGAAGTGTCCGTCACTCTTCGGAGCCATATTATTCAACAGTCGTATCGAAGGACCATCGAACAGCATATTGGTGCCACGCTGGAAAAAGTCATCACGAGCATTCGTACCAACACCCCATTCGAGCTGCCCGACTGCGTTTACTTTGACGTTTGCGACGAGTATTGCTTCCTGGATAAAAAGAGGCACATGTTCTTCAGTTTCTCCTTCAAAGTCCTCCCCGAACCCGGGACACTACCCCGGCCCCTCAACGAGAGCATTCCTCCTCTTGACTTGCCCACCTACGACCCATCAAGAACACATACGATAGAAGACAGGAAAGACCTCTCCAAGGGCGTCTTTGGCGGCACCCGACAACGCGCAATCCTGGGCTTCACCATCGGGCTCTCAGCGAGCCTCATGTCCCTCCTCCTTGGCACAGCAGGAGTCGTCCTGGGCGTAGTCCTAGCCACGATGCTGGTCAACCACTTCACCACTCCAAAGAGTCCCGAAAAAGTTGCTCTGTCAATCGAGTTTGCAAATGAGCTGCGCCGTCACCTGGATCGATTGCTACACTGTGCCAGGCAGAATAACATTGGCCTTGAGGCTCACATGTGGGTTGCGTCGACGTCGGGTATGACACGTACGTGGCTTGGCAGGTCGAGAGAGGAAGTGAAGGTCATGGCTGAGGTACACAGGAGTCTTTCCGGGAGGGTCTTGTGGGCTAAGGACATGGCTGGGGGAGAAATGCCTACGAGAAGGAAGATGCAGTCCATAGCGGACGGCACTGATAAGGGAGGAGAGTTTATAGTATAGAATAAAGGCTGGATATTATGATGGCCAAAGAGCTTGGAATTGATAGACAGTGTAAATAAATTTGATCCTTGTTGACTCTTGCTTGAGCAGACCAAGACTTCATGACTCTCTCGAGGGCTCTTGACGTAGAGATATTCGATCTTTAGCTTCTACCTGGAGATCACAAGATCTATGATTCCGGAGGCAGTGTATGAGCCACCAGTCTTTACGAATCTTCCCTATACATACTAAGCAGTACATTCAAAGAGCTCAACCTCGCATTTTGACATCTCACCAACAAAATCCTTTGCAAAGCCCTCTTCACCAACTCCCACACAAGGCAACATCTACCCCTATAAGCCACGCCTCTTCAGTTCCACACAACAATACGCCCCAACTTCACCCTCCACATAGTACTAGCATCCAACCTTTCAACAGAACCCCACCCCGATATTCATCACAAGTCTCCGTTACCGATACAAGTGGCATACAAAGCCGTCAGTGCGCACAGCGGCCCCTGCGTCCCGAATACTATGCAGAATTTGCCTCTGTTATGGAGCTTATTCACGAAGGGACATCAATAGACATAACAGTTGTACCAATGCTCTTCAACCCTCTTTGTACAGATTCGATTGGTTGTTGTGTCCGAAGAGAGAACGGGTTTGATGAGCTTTGAAACTTTGGGATGGCAATGTGTCCGAGGGGGGGCACGGCACTGTCTACATCGTAACGTCGTAACGTCGGTAATGCATCTGGGGAGTACGAACTCTCTTGTTCGAGGCCAGTCAATCATAGCTAAAACCTCCAAAGAGAGATGAATAATCAACGAGACGAATGTAGAATCACCGATCAGCCTGACAAGTCACCGTACAATAACCTTGGTATCAGCATGCCTCCACATAGCTCGACAGACATACATACATACGTGCACTCCATGGGCCCATGAAATCTCCAGCTCATCTTAGACATCTAGATACAGTCATATCCTCCATGAGCAGCTATCGTAACTCAAAAAATTGCCTTAACTTCAGTAGTACCTCACTTATACAACCTCACCATGTACAATCAAAACTTGCCACCTGACCCCCTACCAGAACCATCCTCCATATCACATCAATGTCAACGGCAAACAAATCAGATTCACCACATGACTCTCGAGATCAAAGATTTCCAAATACTAGCCAAGTCCCAATGCGCTGAAAGAGCTCCATCTGCACCTCTCATCCCCCAACGCTCAAACCACCATACAGTCCCTCCCCTTTCATCAACACAGACCCCGATCTCCATAACAAGCACTCCAACACTATCAACACTCTTCGATATCACCAACTCATCACCCATCTCATCAACGTCTCCCCCAAACCCCTCACCAAGCCCAGCTATAAATCAACTCCAATCCCTTCCTCCTAATCCCCCCCTAATCCAACACCACTCACTACCACAAACCTCCACCGAACCATCCCCAACACCCCAATCAATCACTGAAGATGAAGTTCTCCATCGTCCTCGCCCTCCTCCCCCTCGCCCTCGCCGCCCCTGGCACCGCCCCCGAGGCTGCCGCCGCCGCCGCCAAGCAGCCCTGCTGCTCCGACTGCGATACCACCCTCTACAAGGCCTGCCGCGACTCCTGCTGGGACCGCGGCTACTTCAGCTACTGCACTTACCAGTGCGTCATGGACAGCGTAAGTTGCAGCCACTTAGGCCTCGCCCTTGCAAAACTCTTTCAACTCTCCTTTTGCCGCTGTTCGACTTCATGTCTTTTTTTTTTTCTTTTTTTTCTTGAACCCCCTTCAAGTTATATACATCTTCAGGCCCCCACGCCTCTTTGACATTGTCTCTTCAAACCTCGTGTCTCTTCGACATTGTCCCTTTAACCTCATATCCCTTCAACTTCACCTCTCTTCAACCTCCCATCTCCCAAGTCCCAAGCCCCAGATATGGACACCTTCCCGACCCCTGAAAACACGGTTTCAACCTCCCATTTTCCCAATCACAAGCCCCCCTTGCCCTCACATCTACCCAAGCAAAAATCACCCTCCTCCTGAAAAACCATTCACTGACACGCACAAAACAGAACAACTGCCTCGCCAACTGCAACAAGTCCTGCAAGGCTTAAACGGAATACCAACCATGCCATACCATACCCCTCAACAAAGCTCCCCCATAGCCCCCCCCCCCCCCCTGTCTCTCTGGTAGGGAGACTCGTCAGCCCTACTTAGCCACAAGTTCCGTGGTCCCCGGTATGGATTCGTGTAGGCATCCCTGAATGGGACGTTTGTCTGAGGGTCCGAAGATCATGGGACCATGATGTGATGGACTATATAGAGTAATGGGATATATGATGATATATGGTAGACCTATGGAATCAATTGCAGAATGACATCAAACATACATCTATCCCGTGCTTCATCTCTAGGTAGGTGATCCATTACTTACTCCTAGAGAATCCATTCATCGGAACCCAAACCTCACCTGTCTTGCCGTAAAGCGTCTCGTTTCGCCAGAGAAGCGCATCTACTCCGAGAGCCTCGCGACAAGCCCCCGACATCTCCTACATCACAGCCAAACCACATCACACAGAACACTTGCCTCATGCAAAGATACAAACCAATTAACACGCAGAGACCATCCGCGTTTATATATCCCCTCTAGCACTACAATACTCATACATCAACAATGCTCCTCAGCACGAATCTTATAAGAAACCACCCTATCCCTTTCTGCTTTTGTATCCTCCCCTCTAGCAAATCCTTCGTGTAATGATCCACAATCTCCCACAATAAATCCTTTCGTAAAAGGCTGATTTTGGTGTCTGCGCCGTGCACTCCCAAAATTCCTCAGGTCCATCCAGTGCCGAGCCTTGAAAAGAAAGAAGAAAAGAAACGCAAAAAAGCAAAAAAAATATTACTCATACAAACCGTGAGGTTGTTCCACAAGACCACTCGTATCATGCTGGTTCGACCAAAGTGGCCTGTCTTCTCGCATCGCTCAACCGTCAATCATCCCATCGGCAATGGCGAGGCGTTGCTTAGCCGTCTTTGCCCGCTTGCCGATGCTCTTTGCTCTGGCGGCCCCCTTCTTGCCCTTGGGCTCGATCTCCGCTGGCGTAGCAGTGCCCGACGCACCAAGCTTGCTTCCATCATCAAAGTTGCCCTCGCCTGGAAACAACGAGTTAGCATATGCTCCAAATCCACAAGCGGAAAAAGACGTCTTACCTTCGTGATACATGTCGTCCAGACTGGCGGGAGCATCTGTTCGCTTCCGCTTGCCGCCCTTCTTCTTCTGCTTCTCGTACTCGCCAGACTCGAGCAGCTCCTTCTCGCGACGCTCAATCATCTCGGCTTGCTCGTCGTCGGCCAACCACATGGCGATATCGCGGTTGCGGTTCTCGGGAGCACGGCGGCCAGAGAAGTCGACGCTGGCACCGCCACCCTGGATGACGACGCGTTGGACTTCTTCCTTCTGGAGGGCGCGCTTTCGGATCCGCTCCTCAATGGTGCCGCGGGTGATGAGGCGGTACACGGTGACCTGCCGGGTCTGGCCCAGTCTGTGTGCTCGGTCCATGGCCTGCGAATCAATGGTCGGATTCCAGTCCGAGTCGTAGAAAATGACCGTGTCCGCGGACGTAAGGTTGATACCAAGACCACCCGCACGAGTGGACAGCAAGAAGATGAAGATCTCGGGCCGGGTCTGGAAGTCGTGCACGGTGTCGCGACGATCCTCGAGCTTGGTTGAACCGTCCAGGCGGCAGTACTTATAGTTGCGGTACGTCAGATACTCCTCCATCATGTCGATCATGCGAGTCATCTGGAAGTACAGCAGCACGCGGTGGCCTTCGGCCTTGAGCTTGAAGAGCAACTCGTCCAGCTTGGCCAGCTTGCCGCTGTCGGTGACGAAGCGCTGCATGGAGGGGACGGCAATGTTGGTGAAGCGCTTCTTCTCGTGGTCCGGCGCGGGGAGAACCTTGTTGACGGGATACAGCTCCATCGGCACCTTCTTCTCGACCAGGGCCCGCTCATCGTAAATGGTCGGTCCGTACAGCGTCTTGCGAATGTGCGTGTTGAACATGACGTGTCGATGCTCGGCGACGGCGTTGGGGCTGTTGCAGGAGACTTCGATGGGCGGAGCCGATGCACGGGGTCGTCCTGCAGGCTCCAGGCGGCCGAGACCAGAGTCCCGGTACGTCACCTTGGCAACGTTCATCAGACTGCTCAGGATGCCCTCGCTGGTAACCTCGGCCAGAGGCCGCCAGTCGCGGCGCTCCCGGATCTTGAACAAGCAGTGAGCCGGGGTGAAGTTGTCGTCGTCCTCGTCATAGGCAATGCTCATGGGGCCGAGCCTGTCAGGCTTCGCGATCTCGTCCACAGCGCGGTCGAAGAGGCCGCTGTGGGTGGCCTTGTAGACGTCGCCTGCCGAGGTGTCGGCGAAGCGGAGCCACGAAAAGGCCTTGTCGGCGTCCTCACTGGCTTGAACGTGCTCTGGAGTGAAGATGTTGAGCATGTGATTCAAGGCCTTGTTGCGCCAGCCGGCCGTCTGATTGTCCCGCCCAGCCTTATCGAGCCGGCCACCCTCGGTCCAGACGAGAGTCGGCAGCTCGTAGTCCACCAAGCTTCTGCTCGAGTAGCCCACGGAGACGGTGCTGCCCTCCCTGACGAACGAGGCCGTCTCGGCAAAGTAGCCAAAGGAATAAGGGGCGGTGACTTCGGCGCGCTCGAACAAGTCTGGGTGGTTGCAGACCTTTCGAAACTGCATCACCAGGTTCATCAGAGTACCCGAGTCCTGGTCGTCGCCCATGGTGGCCTTTTCGACAAGGTCCATGATGTTGATCTGGTTACGCAGGTTGCTGTAGTAGGCCCTCTGCCGGTAGGTGAGGTTGCAGAAGACGTCGAGCTCAATCTTGTCGCCAAGCTCCTTCTGCACATGCTTCTTGACACGACGGAGCATAAACGGCTTCAGGATCATGTGAAGTCGCTTCAGCTGGTCCTCGTTAAGTTTCGTGTTGCTCTGGGCGTGCGACTCAATGTCCTTGGAGAACCATTCACTGAACTCGTCGTGGGAGTCGAACAGTGACGGCATGATGAAATGCAGCAAGGCCCACAGCTCCTGCATGTTGTTCTGGATGGGGGTACCGGTCAGCAGCAGGCGGTTTCGGCAGTGGAAGCCGAGCAAGCACTTCCATCGGGAGCTGGATGAGCTCTTGATGGCCTGGGCCTCGTCGAGGATCATGTACTGCCATCGCATCTTCTGAAAGTAGGCCACGTCGGACACGACGAGCTGGTACGAGGTGACGCAGACGTGGAAGGGCGCGTCCTTGCGGTACGTGGTGTGCTTGCGGTCCCAAAACTTTCGCAGCACCTTTCGATCGCTGGCGCTGCCCCAGTAGGGCAGGATCTTGAATTCGGGAACGAACTTTGCAATTTCCTGCTGCCAGTTGTGCAGGGTGGAAGCGGGCGCCACGACCAAGAAGGGACCCCAAATGTCGTGCTTCTCGGCCAGGTAGGCCATGACGGAGATGGACTGGACAGTCTTGCCGAGACCCATTTCGTCCGCCAGGATGCCGTTGATGCCCTGCTCGTAGAGGTTGACGAGCCAGTTGAGACCCTTGAGCTGGTACTCCTTGAGCTGAGCATTGATGAGCTTGGGCTGCTCGATCTCGACATCGCCAAGGCCTGTCGGGTTCTGAAAGTTCATCTCGCCCTCATCGTCCATGTCCAGGCCCTTGTTGTTGAAGTCGCGAGCCTTCTTCTGGGCTTCGGCAATGGCGTTTTGCGCATTGGCCATGGCGGCCGCCTGCAAGACCGACTCGTCCTCGTTGTCAAAGTCCAGATTCTCAAAGTCGGTGACCCTGGAGGCCAGTGGGCCGGTGGGCTCTTGGATGGACAGCTTGTTCTCAGGAATCTGCTGCGGGTCGGTCGCGATGTCGGGGTTGTCGGTGCTGCGCTCGACCTCGTCCGTCTTGATCTTCTTGCCGATAAAGTGCGAGTAGAGTTCGGTCTGGGAGATGAGGAAGTTGAGCTTTCTCTTCTGGCGAGCGGCTTCTCGGTCGGCCTCTTCCTTTCGGGCGTTTTCAATCTCCTGCTTCTCGGCAGCCTTGCGCAGGTCTCGCTCTTCTCGCTCGTTGCGCTTCCAGAAGCTCATCATGTCACGCATGACACGCTTGGCGCGGGCCTGGAGGTCCTTGGTGCCCTTGTTGGTTCGCAGCTGCCAGCGCTTGGCCTCCTTGGAGGCGAGAATGGCCGTCTTCTTGAGGTTGGAGCCCCTGGTCGCGTAGGAGTCGACGGCGAGCTTGAAAGTCTTACTGACATCCTTGCGAGCCATGTCACGCCAAATCTGATCGTAAATCTGATTGTAGCCCTTAGAGATGAATTTCTTCTCGAGATCCGGCACGTCGTCGACCTTTTCCTTTTCCTTGGAGGCTTCAGCCTTGTCCTTGGCAGCCTTTTCGCCGTCGCCGCCCTTGGACTTGCCCTTGATCTTGATGCGGACCCGGCCCTCTTCCTTGGGCGGCAGCTCTTCGCCGGCATCCAGGGCGGCCTGAGCAGCCTCGGCAGAGTCCTTCTCCGCCTGCTTCTGCTCCTTGGACTTCTTAGGCCGCGTGCCACCGCGACCCTTGCTCTTCTTGGGGGTCTCGGCATCGGACGCGAGGAAGCTGGACATGGTGCCGCCGTCGAGGTTGAGCTCCACGTTGCGGGCAGGTCCCTTGATGCCTTTCTGCAAGATGAGCTTGGTCTGCTGGGCCTTTTTGTTGGCCCTCTCGGCGTCACGCAAGTGCCTCTGGCGCTCTTCTTCATCTTCCGCAGCTTCGGCTCGGGCCAGGGCGGCCTCCTTCTGCTCAATCGTGACGGCCATGGACTTTTCGCGTCGCCGCTTTCGCTGCATGTCCTTTTTACGCTCCTTTTCGGCAAAGAGCTCTTGTTCGCGGACTTCTTGGAGGGCCTCGTCGTAGAAGACGTCATCGTATCGTCGCTTGCCTAGATCCGAGTGTTCTGCCAGCCTCTTTCCGGTCGTGTTGGCAAACTGTTCGCGCCGGGCGTAGGCCCTGTCGGCGTCGAGCTGGGCCATGGTCCGCTGGCGCTTGAAGGCTCCCTCTTTGTACGCTCGCTCGCTGAACTCGTCCTCGTCGAGGGACTCGGCCTGCTTGTCCAGCAGTGCTTCCTGGCTCTCTATCGACCTCTCCATCTCGCTTGACCACGTCTTCTGCTTAGGCTGGCCGTTTGCCTGTCGCTTCGAGGGCGGTCGAGGAGTAGGAGATTCCTTCTTAATGGATGGGCGGCGGTTCTTCTTGGACGCGTCTTCTCCCCGGAGATCAGACGCACGGCCCTTGGAAGCCTTCTTGGCAGGCTTCTTCTTGATGATGATTTCAGACTTTTTGACAGGAGCAGGCTCGGGCTCGGTGTCGGCCTCCTTCTCCATCTCGGTATCGCCGTCATTGTCGGGTTCTCGAAGTTCAAAGATGGGAGCGGCCAGGGTGGGTTCTTTCTTGGGTGAGGGTTCCCTGGCCACGGGCTTGGGAGCGGGCTCCGAGTTGGATAGGATATTGGAGAAGGACATTGGGTCGGCAGCTCGGCTCTGGGATGCACCGTCAGTAACTTGTCTTTTTGCAGGCGATGGATGTATGGCTCAATTGAATTGCTGGGGCGGCGGGTGGCATGAGGAAGGAAAGAGGCGAAGAAACGATGACAAGGTAGTTGATGATGGGGAAAGGCAGTCGTAAAAATGGATTGATGTGCTGGTTCATTCTCATCAAGTAGAGCTTGTACTTACGGAAGCCGGCTTCGGCGGTGACGGAGCAGCCAAATCCGTCTTCATGATGGGCGCCAGCGAGGTGCCGTTGGTGGCATGCGTCGCCGCGGGCGCATGCCTGGACACGGGCGAGGTCATGTGCGAGTGCCGGCTGGGCGGACTGTGAGAGCCCGTGGCGAGGCTTGGGTGCGAGTGCGAGAGGGAGAGAGGGCTGGTCGGGCGGCGGGTGAAGGATGAGGCCCTCTCGCGAGGCGATGGATAATTGTCGCCGTTGCGGTACGACGACGGCTGGTGTTGCTGGTCAATTGGCTGCGGATACTGGAACGGCTCGCGAGGGTGGTACGGCTAGAGAAGAGGGAAGAGAGAGAGAGAGGAAAATCACGTTAGAAAGACGCGTTTGAGAAATCAGGGATGGGCGGCGGCGGGAGTGGGAGTGCAAGGGCCCAAGTGAATTTTGGGGGGGGCTTGAATTTTAATTTTTTTGGCGGCTAGCGATGCATCAAAGCTGTGGTTGTGGCGGAGGGCGGATGATGGGCAGATGATGGGGAAAAGTAGGCATTGATGAAGAGATGATGGAGGAGGAAGACAAATGCAAAGGCAAAAGGCGGATGCGAGTGGGTTCAAAGCCAAAAAGCGAAAGTGGACTTGGAGAGCGTGGTCGAACAACTGCGTGCTTGTGCCTGCTTACCTTTGG